CCTCCACGGCGCAACAACTCAGTCATCTGCTTCCGCATTTCAATAGCTTCCTCACGAGAATCCGTTGATGGTAGGCCATCATCCATGTAAACGTGCTTGTAGACTGCTTTCACACCCAGAGGTAAATCTTCCCCGTTCCCATCAGCATTTCGCCTCATAGTATAGTTCACTCTGGATGGTGCAGACACTTCTCTAAACACTGTTCTCTCGAACTGATACACACTCGGTTCTTCTCTCAGAGAGTTCCTCCATAAGAATCTTATCGCCGGCTTGTCATGGTCAGGGAGGCGAAGCATATGGTACATTTCTTTCACATCAGCAGCCATTGCAATTCTTCCTTCGCCAAACCTGAGGAAGACTCCAAACAGAGGGGAGAGAAGATCTGGCCCTGTGTAGATCTTATGGTTCAAACTTTGTCCCATGAATTTTGTTGATGCATTTTATACTCTTCTGAGACGATCAGGTTTCTTGGGGTTAATGACAAATCTGTGTGGTAAGTACCAAGTCACTTTACTATTGCACTGTACTTCCTCTTCACTAAGTTTCTTCACATAGCCTTTCTCAATGTCATTCTGGATTGACTTTGCATATCTCTCTCTGACCTCGGGGCAGCTCTCAAGCTTCTTCTCTAGCGATTGCAGCCTCTTCTTTGCCATTTCGTAATTGTTGGGTACAGATGGTTCCTGTTCTCTCCAAAGTAGGTCTGACACACGCATCTTCACTCGCATTCTTAAAGGTCGTCTTTTCCATTAGTGACAATGCTCGCTTGTCCTCAATTGAACGGGCTGGATCTGCTAGCTTCACCACACCTAACGTTTCTATCTTTGACTGAGCCACGACCAGCTGCTTCAGCACCTCATCTTCAACTGAACTTCTTTTATACACCTTGAACCCATTGTACGGAGATGGTACTCTTCGCTCACCAGGTAACCAGTTATTCACCGCCCATCCAAGTAGGGTCTCAACTGCATAAGGTACTCTGTAAACTTCCGGTTGACCAGAGGGTTTCATAATTTGTTTTGGTAGAATCAAGTCAGAGTTGTTAGTTCTAATTATGAGTTGCACTGGACCTGTGTCGGTGTCACTTAAGTCCAAGTTCTTCAGGTGCTGATACTCTTGCTTGATTATTGACCACTTCAACTTCTGATCCGGACCATTCAGGCTAGGAATTGTTTTCACATCTCGCAAGGAGTACTGGACTTCCTCTCTTCCGACTCGTCCGACACGACATGTCTTGATGTGCTGGGAAGTAAACACCTTCCGCACATTTACTCCTTGAATTTCGAGATCTACATCTACAGCCTTGAAGTCCAAGTGAGAGCACTAAACTTTCATCTATAAGTGTTGTGTTACAGCCTAAGTCACGCAAGGCCATCACTTGTTTTTTTCCTTTTTCTCCGGAGACAACTATAGGAAGTACTTCAACTAAAGCACGACCACCAGCTTCACAACCTACGTACGCTGATTGGCGATACCCCTCGTGGGGCTCCACAGCCTGACGTGGTGACGAGTCTTCACCTTCCAAGGAGACTTGTGCTGGATCTCTCTCAACATCTGGCACTCGTTCTGATTCACGTTTCGCTTTTTCCCGTTCAATAAATTTCAAGTCGACTTCATGTGCGAGGGTATGATGACGCATGTCACAGTTCTCAACTCACTCAGACGATGACCAGGTAATAGACAACATAAGCATAGTTTGTGTTCCTCAACAACTTTCACCTTTTTGCTAATCAACATTCCCCTAAAACTTTTGCACTCCTGCAAAGTGTTATTAGTGGACTGGTGAATTGGGCACCTCTCTTTTCCATGGCTGGTGCGTTAAGATTCTCCTGTGGCTCCTACAAACAGCCCAGATTGTGATTTGTCAGCTAACTTACGCCTATCAACTTTTGATGTATCTGAACGCTTCCACTCCCTCTTCTCTGGCATCCACCACTGCTTGGACTCACTGATTTTTGCCTCTTTTTCCAGCCAATTGGCAAATGAATCCCAGGTTGACACTTTGGTTTTCCTTCAACAAACTCGGCCCATCTACCGCAAAGGCGTGCAGGAAGTTTAACAACAGTTGCTTCAGGGAGTTGCGAGTTAAGCTCACGAAGGAAGTCGTGCTCCTTGAAAATGCCTATTAGCTCAGAAACTATTTCTTGATACTGTCTGATCTGCGTACCATTTTCTTTCACTATGGTCGGAAACTGATCTATGCCCTTCTTTCCAGCTAACGAAACTGTGTCTACACGGCCAAAACGCTCCTGAAGCGCAGTCCATGCCTCCTCGTATTTGTCTGAACCTGGCATGAATTTCGCTAGACATGATTTTGCACTTCCATCTACAGAATCTAGCAGAAATTTAAGCTTCTCTGTTGCATCGTAAACTTCCCTTTTATCTAGTTCAACATTAAACGCTGCTTTGAATTTTTAGTATTCTAGTGGATTTCCATAAAATTTCTGCACATTTAGTTTAACGATTTTCACAAAGGCTGGCAGCATTCTCTCAAACAACTGATCTGTCTTCGACGTCTGCACGCTAACAGACGTCGAAGGGTTACGTCGAAGGTGCACGCTAGGGTTTCCTGTGGCAGAGGTTTTCAACTCAGCTTGACCTTTAGCAATAGATGACTCACATGTCTCCTTTTTACAGGGTTGACTAGAAACCTCTGTTACGACCTCTGGTTTAGTGGATTTAACTTAGGGTTTTTCAACAACAGTGTTTTCGACTTACCTTCTTCCTGGACGAACTCATACTCCAATCTTGATTCTTCAGCTTTCTTTTGAAGTTCCAAAAGCTTTGGACGCTGTTGTTGTTCGGCTCGCAGACATTCGATCTCATTTTCGAACGACTGCACGGCTATTTTTAGTTCAAGGGCTAACTTCTCGGCTTGCAATTTCTTTCTTAAAACGGAACGTTTACTTAAGTAGTAGACTCACTTGGCGTAAAAAGTCGTGGTGTTTTGTCTTCTCCTCTGTTCGAGACACTCGTCTTGGTGCGACTTGATAATATTACACGCAGTTACACGAACACGGGTGACTTACTGAGTACTTACTGGGACTGAGTAGAGTTACTACTTTTGTGGGGATATATCTAACTGACCCCTGTGAAGACAAAATTGCTGTCCATCCTGATGTTAAGATAGAAATGGAGCGATTAAGAACAGTTGCAAACTTAAGCTTTGTATATCACCACTTTATCACATAACAGGTTCCCGTCTCAAACTGTGTTATCTGAATGTAAGATCTGTTCATAAACACATCCAAGACTTGCGTAAAGATCTTAATTATTCCAGTTCTGATATAAACATTTTTGCAGAAACAAGATTTAGTTCTCAAGATCCTAATGACATTTATGACATAAATGGTTACAATATCTTTCGAAATGATAATCTTAACTCTAGTAATGGATTAGTTAGGCCCTATGGTGGAACAGCTGTGTACATTAAAATCCCATACTTACCTGGATATCCCTAATGTCACAATATACATGGTATTGAAATTACTGTAATAAAGGTTATGACTAGTAAGAACTGAACAATCATAGGCATATATCGCTCTCCAAAGGTGTCTGTAAGACAGCTTTGTGTGAAGCCATCTCTGAAGTATTAAATACTATTTTACTTGACAACAGCATTATTTTTGGAGACTTTAATATAAATTGGCTTATTGAGACAGAAAGGAGACCATTGTATAATTTAATAGTAAAAGATAAAGGTTACAAGCAGTTGATATCAACTTGTACAACTGACAACAAAACTGCAATTGATTACATACATATAAACATATCCCACTTGGATGTCCAAGCAGGTGTTTTGGAAACTTATTTTTCAGACCATAAAGCAGTTTGGGCTTTATTTTATGACACTGTGAATTAAATTATTGTTTTACTATTCATTTCACCATTAAGAAAAACATGAAAAATGTGATACAATATTATCTGCAAAACCATAAAATGAAATGTATTATTTTAATACTAAGTCTCAATTCTTATTCTGTGAGCTGCTGATAATTCTGGATATTTTCTTAAGTGTAGAACACCATCACAAAGTTACAGAGGTTATTTGTCTTGTGGAGAGTGCAGTCACATAGCTTGAACCAGGCAACTGACACAAAAATCACGACTTCATGTGTGCCTTATTAGAGAGGAAAATTGAAGAAGATAATGCTCCTGCAAAGAACAGAAAAAGGTCAGCAAAAGTAGCCAGGCAAGTTTTCAAGAGTACTCAAGGAAACAAAAAGGACAGAACCTGTGGAAAAGAGCAAGTTATCACTACTGAGGTATTAAGTCCTTAAGAACTTTTCTTTGACATTTTAGTGTATAATAAAAATTGTTGAACATAGTTCTTTATGATATCCACAACTAGCAATGTCTCAGTAAGCATTGTGGGTCTCAGTCTTTGGCTTCAGCTGATAATGCTTACCTTGCCCTTGATAATTTTGGATATCATGAGAAACCTCCTGTATATATAATGAAGATACATTGTAACACTATTTACATTTTTGGACACAAATGCCCACAATTATGGGACGACATATGAAATACTACTTCTGTGACAGTCAGCTATTTTGCAAATGCCTATCAGTGCTATTGAAAATAGTGTTTGTATTTATTGTATATGTTATCCTTCCAATTTTTTTGGTTTTAAATTTCATAAACCAGTTTCATTTTCCTTCTTTTTTTGTTATAGATCATGGTAATGAATATGAAACAATAAAATGTTAAAATCAAATCAAATTGAAAAACTTTCAACCAAAGGTAATTTTTTTAAGAACCACAACATATGCATTGATCATGCCAATGCTGAATATCTATCACATGAGAGGTGGCTAAGTAAATAATAAGAGAAAAAGTTTTTATACATAAAACAGATGGACCCCAAAAAGCAGACTAACTTCTTAGACAAAGTGTGTTGTCAATAGCTTAAAGAGATCTATCTTTAACTTAGACTGTCAGTGAAGTTCTGGCTTTCTACCTTACTAAGAATTCTGGTCTGCAGTACTGTCATCATCAACTGGTAAGTATCCTATTTCTGCACCCTATGTCCCTCTCCCCCACGAAAAAAAATGCTTGTCTAAAAATAAAGTGCCGTATTACTGTGCATAATTAAAGCATATTATTTTCTAACGTATATACATTTTTCTCTTTTGTCTCCTTAGACAAGTATTCTTCACTCATTACCAAAGGAAGTTTTCCCTACAGTCCCAAACAGCAAGAAGTACCAGTAGCTTGTCATCCCCCTGTACAAAACAGCAATCCAACTGACTAGTGGTTCCTGTACAATACCTGCTACACTGCATGTGAAATTCTGTATAAATCAGTTGTAATAAATAACAGAAAAAATGCAAACTAGCCATTGGGAAGAGACAAGTGAAAAGGATCTTGAAAGTCACAGTTGGGACAACTGAACAAGCAGCAGTAGAATCTGCTCCTTTTTTCTTGCAAACATTTTAATGTATAATGAACGCCTGATCTACATGTAACTTCCTCGTGACAACTTAAAGTGACACTTTTTATTAATTTTTAACAAGTAAAAGAAAGTTATAAACTTCTTACATGTGGATGAAACTCCAGTCTTGCAGTATGCAATTATGATCTGTTGTAAATGATTCAGTGAATTCCCTATCTAAATTACCCCAACCTGCTCCTGTCTGGCCTAGTAGCACAGTCAGTAGAACATAAGTAGATTAAATCCAGAGGTCATCTGATAAATTTCCACAAGGGGGAAGTTTTCTCAGTTCCTCCATCACCACCACCACCACCACCACCACCACCACCTTACACAACACCATCAGAAACCTTTTTGCTACCGAGATTTGATACCCTGCGAACGCAGATGGATTTCTGGCTGTTCTGTAAAAACAACAGCCGGAAATCCGTTCGCATTTGCAACCTTTAATAAGCAGTATCATCGAGGGCCTCTTTCTTTCCATCAATTTTAATACTTCCAACGTTAACAATAAACTCCAGCAACGACGTGCTCGCTGGCTTTATAAATGTACTAGCAAATAACATGATAATTTTGGATGTTTTAATGTTTTAAATGGAAATTTACTTCAACTTCGACCTTTCACTACATAAGGATTGTTTCCTCGGATGTAAACAACACTAAACTGACCAATCATAACGCTGGAATTTCGATCCTATGTTCTAATATAAAAGACGAGATTCCTGCTCACGTCAATCAGTAAGTGTTTGGCAACGATGAAGGGTTCAAGGAGGGCAAGTGAGGAAACGAAAAACGTGGCCAAGGCTAACCCTTCGCCTTTAGTCGTTACTGTACCAGAACCTGCGTTGGCCAAAAGTTTTCCAACAAGCTCAAGCCAACATGCTGTTGAGCCCCAAAGCCCTCCTACGACCCCGTCCAAAGGAAAACCGAACGACATCATTGCATATGTTCATGATCTGTCTTCTCCTATTCAAAACAAACACAAGACCATGAAGTACTCTACCCTAACACTTCACACCGAATCGAAAGACCTTCATGCATTACAACAAGTGCACCACGATAGCAGATATCCTCCAGAATTCAAGCGAAGGTGATTCAGTGTCTGTCCTCGATAAGGTAGGAAACATCATTGAAATATCAACAGTTCGCCTTAGCAAACAAAGTCTCCGAATGGCTGAAGGGACAGTCGCAAATTTAACAGGAAATATACCTATCAGCCTGTGGGAAGATAATCTCGCGTTAATTACTACGGACGCAGTTTACAAGATAACAAACATCCGTGTGCGCTTCTGGAATGGTGCAAAGAAGTTAACTACAAGTCCAAATTCCGTCATCTCTGCCATTCAAGATGAGAAGCTCAAAAGCATAACTATGGAAGAGCCTTCAGAAGTTCCACAAGAGGATGAATTGATAGTAGTGGTTCCCTTCATAAAAACTGTCGAGAAGGTTCAGCAGTACCCTCTTTGCATACACTGTTCCAGAAAGCTTTTGCAAGCCACAGCCAGTTTGCTATTGAAATGTGATAGATGCAAACACACCATGGTTCTTGCTTACTGCAACAAAAGAATGTCTGTGCATTTTACTGTGCAAGGACAAGATTAAAGTGACGTCATCGCCACTGCGTTCGAGCAGACCTTGAAGACCTTCGTTCCAAGAGTCGGAGAAATGTCGGAAGAGCAATTGACTGAACATTTGCTGTTATTAAACAACATTACCATTAAGTACAGTTCATCGACACTTATTGTGTCTGCCGTTGGACTCTAAACCAGTAGCCATTTTAATATTGTGCCGGCGATTGAACTCAGGAACACTAAAAAAAAAAATAAAAAAAAGAACTCCTGTTTATATTAAGACACTTATCTCGTTCTTCTGTTAGAATTTAAACTGTACACAATAGTTTGTTCAGGAACACTGACGAACTTGGCAATTTGTGTTATTTCAACTCGTGTGTTCTGTCCGAGATTGAACTCTAAACCAATTGTCTGTTTGTTCAGGAACACAGAACACTGAAGAACAATTTTAGAAATTCGTATTATTTCAAGTTTTGTCCTGTTATTAGATGTTAGCGAACTCTAAACCAATTGTTTAGATTTTGGAAACTTGTGTTATTTCGACTCGTGTGTTGTGTCCGAGATTGAACTCTAAACCAATCGCTAATGTGTTTCAGGAACACAGAAGAACAATTTCGAAAACTCGTGTTATTTCAACTTTTGTCTTGTTATTTTCTAAGCGATTGGACTCTAAACCAATGATTAAAATATTTATGAGTGTATTTCGTGTGGTTGTAAACTGATAATTTCATGCTAGTATGCTCTCGCTTAAAACAACAATAAGACGAATGTTATATTTTCTGCCCAGAATAACTTACATTGTCTAGAGTGTCCTTTCATCCGGAAAGAAAAAAATTAGTAACGCTTCCTTCATCAAAAGTTAGACCGTGGAACCCTCCAACTTCTTCGCCATTTCTCGAAGGCAATTTGTTGCGCATGTTCTGTTGATTTTAGTTTGATGTGAGAAACCGCTGGTATGCGCCTACGTCGTTTTCCCGCTCAACAAAAGGAGGAAAATAAAAAACAAAAAAGGTCAATGTCTAGTAAAGAAAAGTAAGACAAAGATACGGTCGTTACATTAAAGAGCTTGTTAACTGACTAAATGAGATCAGATTAAACTAATATGGAGAGGTTTGTTGATCTCTAATACATTCTTAAGAAACAAGGAGTTTCAGCCTCTTGAGTTATTATCCATTTGTTGAACATGTTCTGTTCTTGTCTCATATTTTAAGAACCAGAGAAAGTTAGATAATTTTAATCTGCGAGTTTCATGGTACACTTCGACCCAAAACTCATTTCATATGGTAGAAGTATTCTTCTGAAATAAACAAGACAGAATGAAGCTGACGCCATTCGTTTCGAATAACACATGAACAAAAAGAAAACGGCACCCGTTTAAACTCAGGAGACAAAGCCCATGCATTTTTTTAGGTAAATCAACTGGTTGGACCGAAAGCTAAATAAATAAACAATGAACAGAGAGTGGTGAGGGATTTGGGGGCCATGTGATAAATAGGTTCTACCGAAGTTTACCCTCTAGTTCGCACTTCAAGCCCTAAAGGGCAATTAGAAAAATTCTCACCTAACCACAGCAACAAAATATGATAAAACCAGAGATGATTGATGCAAGACTATAGCCATGTTAAGACACGTGCCTACATACCATGTACAACAGGCTTGGAGAGCAAAAAGACCAAGACAGTTGTGAGCCATGACTTTGAAAATCTACCTCAACCTCCCAAAAACGAATTCGCCAAAGGTTGTACTAAGAGCAACTCAATCCTGAAGCTAAAACATTTTTTTAAAGCCTTGTGTCCTATGTGACTACAAAGAGAAAGAAAACACGATGTTATTTGAAGTGATTTGAAGGGGGCCACCTCGAACTTAATGCAATTTTATTTCAAAGTTGAAGTAAAATCAAATAAAATTCTAAACTACCTTCTATTATCGTAACGAATATCTCTCGATCGTCTCCACATACAACTTCGTGATTCATAGAAGTAAGTCATCGACATCTTAAGACTACCCTTCAAGGTTTGTAGTCTCATCACAGGCGGCCCAAGCTCACGTCTCGAAAAAAGCCAACGATAAATTCATGAACGCGTCACGCGTTTTGTGACTCGGTGTTAAGTTACGGGAGGAACCGTTGAAAATTTGAACACGTTATAAGGAATAGTATGGGGAACGAAATATGGTCGATTTACAACGATAAATATTTCGAAATATGAATATTTTACACGTAAAATCAATAAAACTTACTCATGCCCTGTGTATCCGTCATAGTTTCTAGCGATTTCTGCCGTTTTAAGCTTGCTTTACCATCACTGTTATCCATGTCAAAAGACGAAGTCAAGGCTGCACACTCCGATTTCGACCGTGGTCCACGCGGAGGTGGTTTGCGCCCCGAAAATCCTCCCGATTGGCATTTTTCTCAGCCACACTTTACGATCTAAGATCACTGCACCCTGGGACATGTCTCAATACTAAAACTTCACGCGCATTTCGCTGGAAACGAGCGTTTTCTACCTGAATTTCTAAGTTCGCTTCTTTCTGGTTATGCTTTGAACACGCAGACCGGCCGCGAAAGAGACTTGGGTACGAGGTCAATTTTCGAATATTTCGAAATATTTATCGTTGTAAATCGACCATATTTCGTTCCCCATACTATTCCTTATAACGTGTTCCAATTTTTCAACGGTTCCTCCCGTAACTTAACACCGAGTCACAAAACGCGTGACGCGTTCATGAATTTATCGTTGGCTTTTTCTCGTGACGTGAGCTTGGGCCGCCTGTGGTATCATGTGTACATCTTGATCGTCTCTGAAACAAATTTCAAACTTCAAGTTTTCGGACTTTATTCGCGTTTTGTTCGCACTTTGATCATTAAAATATTCTGATCCAACGAGCCAGCAAACTCCACGAGTATCCACAGAGTTATAATGGTTGTCAGTAAACTTGTCATACTCTTTCATTGCTCTCCAAAAAATATCACAAAAAGATGTTGATCGCCCAGTGGAAAACCAGCGGAAGCGCGCCGAATAAATTTTGTTGGGGCATGCACCGTCGAAATGCCTCTCTCCCTCTGCCTCATTCCTCGAACATATGTTCTCGTCCCCAAGCCCCACGCTTTATTATGAGTGGGAATAGGTACTGAGGGACTGGTGTGAGCGAGCCCTTCCTACCCCTTCCCCGTTGACGCCTGCCACGCAGGCCACTATATTATAACAAAGGTACATATTTTTAAATTCACGTTGAAACTGGACTGAATTTCGAAAAAAAAATCTGATTACAACAAGGCATACAGTCTAACTGTCTGGCCAGTAGTAAATTACAAATAATATTGAGTGATAACACATGTATCAGTAACGGGCTCCTTCATGTAGTTTACCCTAATATTTTTCATTTCTGAGTTCATACGCGTCTTGAAAACCCTTTAAATTCAGTGGTCCGATTTCAAGGGCCTTGAAAGTACTTGAAATTGGTTTTTGGTCCTTGAAACTACTTGATATTTTGTTGAACGAGATCGAAAAATATAAACGCTTACAAGTTTTAAAGTAAATGAAAGCCAGTCAAAACAAATGGTAGACACTTCTCGAAATGGTAGACACTTCTCGAAATGCCTACAAAATGTGCGAAAACACTCGTTTTGTGTTCCTAGCGCTCTCTCCTTACTCTTACGCATATCCATTGAGCCAAAAATACACAGCGAGTGTCTGGTTTTCACGTGTTTTCAAGCTCTCGTTGTCTGGCGTTTCTGCATATGCACGTGTTTATGCACAAAACATAGCTTTCAACACAAAAGAAAAGCCCTTAAAATTTCAAAGTAGGGTGGTGGAAAGTCCTTGAATTTTTGGCCTCAAAAAGTGTACGAACCCTGCTACTTACTTCTCAGGCAAACAGTATTGCTGCTAACCAATTCTACAATAGTCACTAAAAACAATATATGGGAACTTCAATTCTAATTGTTTTGTTATTGACTGTCATATTTAAAGTGTTCATCTCTGGAAAGATATTATAACTCCGTACTTCCCCTCTGTCCAGAATTAATTTATCAATGTAAGTTACGGTAAATTTAATCCAAATAGACTTATCATCACCTACTTCCAGCTCATATTTTTCTCCTCAGTTTAACTTCCATTACATGTTACAGGTGGACTCGTAAGCCACACATGTACGCATTGCGGACCTATTTTGTACGTATCATTACGCGATAACGATTGCCTAGAAGTGAATCGGTTATTTTAAAACACATTTCATGGTAATTCTAACAAAAATTTACACTTCCCATTTTGGACGTCGAAACAACCTTCCGCCATACATTCCCTTCCAGCGAGTTGCAATGTTTGCCCCGTGGCGATCCCAGAAATCTGAGCGCAAACGCAAGGATCTGATTACTGGCAACTCATTCATTCACTGGAATTCGCTTACAACACTTTTCAACAATACTACACAGTTAGTGAAAAATTTGAATCCGCACCAGCATGGTATTATTCCTGACATACTGCGGCTCGCGGATCGTCTCAATCGGTGCAAACTCAACATATCCGTACCCCTTGTAGTTGCGCGGTGCTGTGGGTCTTTGGAAAGCCAACATGTTAGGCTTAGCCACCAGGGTCTCACTGATGTGGTGACGGTATTCAGCACCATCAGACTGATCCAAAAGGGACAGAGCAATTCTTCCCGTAAAGGGCCATTCCAGAATGCTGTCATAATCTCCCTGCATCATATGAACAAACAGCGCCACGTGTTTTCCAACACCGCTATCCACACCGTTCAAGTTGATCCTCATACACAATTTGTAGCCGTAAACATTGGTGTAGAAGGACGGGCTGTGGACTGCTGTCATCACCCCACTGAGGGCAGCTTGGCGGCACTGTCGATAGTTATCGATCTTCCAAATATATGATCCGTTACACAAACTACTGTCAGTGGCGTACTGGTCTTTTGGTATTCGATAATTCTTAAATTCAAATGACATAAAAGGTTTTACTTGCACTCGCTTACTTGTATTAGAGTTGCTTTCCCAATGTGGCAGGTTAACTCTTTTCCCTAGAATATCAGTTGAAAAAACAAAACGATCCTATGCACATACGCTGTAGCTTAAATTTTATCGTATCCATGTGAAGACATTTTGATTTTCTTTTTACTTCTAATTCTCTTTGTAATGTTTAAATTATATGACGTTCATCTTGTTTTACTCGTATTTACAGCGTTTTTATCTCTGTACGATTTAGATCAACATGACGAAATGGTAGTTGGAACTATGGGTGTGTAGTTGGGAAAACTGTCCTTTTCAGAGTTCTCTGATCAGGCTGGGAAAATATAACTGCAAAGCATGTCAAATCGACAGAAATGGCTACTGAATTGGTTGCTGGTTAGCTCTTTTGTCACCCATTACTTGTACAACTTTTGATGCGAACTATTTTGTTAAATGCTCTCTCATAATTTTAGCAGTAATTTGCAGCGATCGGGTCAGCCATTCAGGTTTAACGTCCTCAATTTCACGTCGGAGGTCTTCAAGCAAATGTCTTTTCATTTGTTGATATTCACTCACCATGAAGTTCTCAGCCATCTTGTTGCCAGAACTTTCAAAACATTTGACCTGAGGGATCTGGAGAGGAACAAAACAGTTACTGTCGTTTCACGCATGTTTGTTCGGATGCAATATAACTTGTCGCCACATGCATCGATCAAGACTCACTTATTCATTAACATTGTGTAACATTGTATGCACTGGGCCCTAACCATAGTTCTTATAAATGCCTCTGTTAACACAGAAACAAAAAAACGTTGTTAAGAAAGCTTTCTCGAAATTAACTTACTCCAAAACAGCTGTGAAAGGTAAAATTAACGCCGCGGGTGAACTTTGAATAAGTTCAGGTTTCTGTAAGTGGAGACTTGAACACCCCGGGCAGAAATAAATGCTTTCATTTGTGAACGAGTTTGACCTGAGGAATCTGGGAAGGGATTTCCCCTCTCTTATAAAAGATCTCTTAGAAAACGTATTCTTTTGTAACCAAGTGACATGGGAGCATTTGAGGTTAAGTTGCTTATTTTGATCACCGGTACCCTCCCATTTGACGTTTGTTAAATAACAATGAAAAAGGATTAAAGTCCATAATCCGCCACATATGTATACGCGATGATTATACCTGATCAGTTTCCTGAGTATGGTCCCTGTCTCCTGAATCGAGGGATGGCATAGGGATGGCATAGCTGTCTTCTGGTGTTCGATAATTCTTAAATTCAAATGACATAAAAGGTTTTACTCACACTCGCTCACATTAATTAGAGTTGCTTTCACAACGTGGCAGGTTGCCTCTCTTCCCTGGAATATCAGTTGAAAAAACAAAACGATGCTATGCACATAAATTTTATCGTATCCATGTGAAGACATTTTGATTTTATCTTTGCTTGTAATTCTCTTAGAACGTTTAAATTATGTAACCTTCATCTTGTCCATTACTCGTATTTACAGCGTTTTTATCTCTGTGCGATTTAGACCAACATGACGAAAGGGCAGTTGGAACTATGGCTGTGTAGTTGGGAAAACTGTCCTGTTCAGTGACAAGCTGAAAGTCATCGTGAGTCAAACCCTTTTAACAATAGCACTGTAAGTTTTATGTCATTATCTGATCGGGCTAAGAAAATATAACCGCAAAGCATGTCAAATCAACAGAAATGACCATTAAATTGCTTCCTGGTTAGCTCTTTTGCCACCCATTACCTGTACAACTTTTGATGCGAACTATTTTGTTAAATGTTCTATCATTATTTTAGCAGTAATTTACCGCGCTCGGGTCTGCCATTAAAAATTGAGCAATAACTGTTATTTCACGCATGTTTGTTCGGATGCAACACAACTTGTCGCCACATGCATCGATCAAGACTCACTTATTCATTAACATTGTGTAACATTGTATGCACTAAACCCTAACCATAGTTCTTAGAGATACCTCCGCTAAAACGGAAAAATACGTTGTTAAGAAAGCTTTCTCGAAATTAACTTACTCCAAAACAGCTGTGAAAGATAAAATTATCATGTTTTTTAATCAAAGAAAATTTAATCAGTTGTAGGGTTTGCCTGCAATGTATCAAATTACCAGTGCAGACTTCATTCTTCTCAGATGTCAGCTGGTAAAAGATAAATACTAAGAATAGATGTCCATAAGAAAAAGTACACACCATCCAAAAAATCATACTGAAGTGGTGGTGTGATTGATTTGTGATATTTAGAATGACAGAAGCAGGAAAAACACATTTAGCTTTTTCCTATTCTCTAGTAAGTTAATTAGATTTTGGATTCTACATTCAAACTAGGTGAGATTAAATTAATTCATATCATGCTTCATTATGGTTTGTTTACATGGAAAGGTAAATGTTATTATAGTTTACAGATGTTTTGGTTGCCATCCCAATTAACTCTTTAACTCCCAGATCAAATTTGTAATCCTCCTCACTGTCAACCATACAAACATACACGTTAGTTCAGAGAATTTAGTATTGGATCAACTAATTATCCCCAAATTGATATTTGTCTCTATTCTCATCTCTTTTCTGGTTGATATTGTGGGGAAAAATTCTGTCTTTGTCACTTGTGGGAGTTAAATGGTTAACATTCATAACAAAGCTTCATTTGACACAGAATGTTTCAAGAACTTTTTTCTTTCTCTTCAATACCATTTACTATTTCTGAAGACAATTAACCCTTTAACTCCCACAATCTCATTAGAAATTCTTCTTACTGTCTGCTACATAGTTCTTGTGATGTTAGTTTTGAGAATTTGGTATTGGATCAACTAATAATTCCCTAAGTAATATTTTTATTTGTTCTCATCACTTGTCTGCTTGATATTGCATTGATTTTGTAAGGAGAAATTCTGTCTTGATCCCACATGGGAGCTAGAGGATTAGAGGAAGCACGTCATTAAAAAAATTATAGCCTTTCATTGAGGTAATTATTTGAATATGTGGGTAACATTTGATGTTTTCACATGTGACAGGATGATCAAGCTGAAGATAGCCTCAAAAAGGAGTGAATTCAAACTCCATGGTAACGATCAGACTAATTTGGAAACATGAGTACTTGGTGAATACACCTTGGCTTACAATTCTGATGATTAAAGTTTGCTGGGGTAATTGAAATGTCAGTCCCCATGCAGGAACCTTGCACATGACCTGTACAATCATATGCTATGAGATAACTTTAGAAAAATGCATTTGTGTCAGTAGAAGTATGTTAAGTACAGTACCACCTAGTAACAAAAATTAATGACTTTCTATAAGCATGAGTGTTTTGGAGAAATTATGGTGGTAATTGACCTTTTTTGTTACAATGAATAGGGTCTGATGGTTGTAATGTATTTCTTTTAGCTTTCAAACTCTCAACTTTCTATTAGTTGTAATTTTTTACCATATATCTATTTCCTTAACCCTTTAACTCCCAAGATCTCATAAGTGATTCTCTTTACTATCTGCCATATAATTCTTGTAATGTTAGTTCAGAGTATTTGATACTGGATCAACTATTAATTCCCTGTTGATATTGTTCTTTATTCTCATCACTTGTCTTCTCAATATTGTATTGATATTGTGAGGAGAAATTATGTCAAAGGGTTAAGCTCTCAAAAGTTGAAGCAGGTGAGTCAATAACCTGACGTCCTTTGTTTGGAGTTTTATGATTATACAATTTGCTGTTAGTTACCACATTGTAACATGTAATATTATTATTCAGATTGCATTAAATACTCTTGCTCAAGCTTCCATTAATGTATGGTGTTTCTTACCAACATTCACACCCAAACTAAACATACCGGTAGTTATCTGGAAATGGTCACAAGATATGCGAGTTCTAAAGGGTGGGAATATGGAAAAGCAAGGATCCTCCTTTAAGAAGGACTGAAATTAATGGGGGCCTCCTGTTTTATGTCATGTTTATATTTTGACCTGCCTCCTTCCATGTAATGTTTAGGGCACATAGATGAAGAATACATTTTTTTGTATTTTGACTCATGAAAGTTAAATTAATTGGTGTCCACATAATGCACAAAGCAAAAATTTAAATGCCTTAGCTTAATAGGTTAAAAAAAAATTAAAATAAGAGAGTTGTGCAGACCATATCTCACTTTTTATCCTCCTTTGGATATTTATCCAAATATCATAGTCACTAACAGTCACATTCATTCTCAATTTCCACTGAGATTGTGAAAAGATGATAACCTTAGTATTTCTGTAAATAAAGAAAGGAAAGCCTGCCCTCTTACCACAGACAGTTATTTTGGGCATCATCAGTGCAAACCTGGTCTAATTTGAACATGAAGGTGTTTGTTCCAGGTAGGCTACCCTTAAAAATTAGCTGTGAAATTTTCTTGAACCTGTCGTCGTTTGAATGTATGACACAATTTTACCTCACTAACCAACATGTAAACTGAATACATAGAAACTTGAAATTTATTTGTTCTCCTTTTGAGGTGTGGATCAAAATTTTGAAATCATCACAGGCTTGAACTGCAAACTGGTTTAAAGGAAATCTGCACATGTTTCCAACTTATAAACCCAAAATTATGACTACTTTGAATGACTTTACTATGTGCCATAAAGGTACAGGCAGGTGTTGTAAAAAAATTTCCTTAGCTCTTTCACCAGTACACATTTCTCTAAGAATCTTGTTTATCTGGGCTGTGCTGAATTCTAATTTTTCAACCAAATTTTCTTCTCTTTTGAATCTTCTTAGATCTCCTAGTATCAGTTAATAATTACATGAAATCCTGCAGATGTATAGCACATTATTTTTTCCTCTGATCCTCCTAATATTTTATTATGTGTAGGGATTGGTATTGGCTATAAAATTAAAGTCCAATTAAAGTTTTGTGCACAGCCTATGCATCAAATTTATATAATGAAATATTGCATCCTTCTTAAAACTAGTTTATCAGAATAAGAATGAGTTACCAGGCACAAGTATGGCTTTCACAATGACAGTTTCCAGGTTTGAAAAAAGTCATTGCCTACTAAAATCCTCAGTTCTTTTGCCCTGACCGCTCAACTTCATCAAAACATTGCCAACAGAAGCAACTAGCTAATTATTGATAAAGACAAGAAAGCCTATGTGTCTGAGTTGAATAATTGCTTTTGCTTTTCACACAATTACCCCAGTTTTAACCCTTTACCTCCCATGAGTGACTAAGAGAGAATTCCTCCTTACAATACCAATACAATATCAAGCATAGAAGTGATGAAAATAAAGTAAAATATCAATTAAAGGATTATTAGTTGATCCAATACCAAAATTCTCCAAATTGACATGATAAAAATTGTGTGGCAGACCATAAGGAGAATTACTTATGAGATCTTTGGAGTTAAAGGGTTAATAATAAGGGATGAACATTCAACCAATTATCCTTAGAATCTTGGTTGAGTTTTAAGCAGACCATAAGGACATTAATCAAGCACTGTTAGAGCATTGATAAAATCATCATCCAACTATGGGATGCCTTTGACCAACCATCAATTAATGCATTACTTAACTACTGAGCAATATGTTAACTGCTAAAGCAACCTTGGCTAACCATAGTATGCATGGTCCAAACTTTTGACCAAGATAACCATTTACTGCACTTATATCATGACAACAGTAATTCAAAATACTTGTACAAACCTGTGATTCACTTAGGTGCTTATTATCTAAAGGACATTTGGGACCAGCATCCCTAATAAATTGGTAATGAAAAACAATGTTGTTAAAGAGAATCCAAATTATCAAACAACAACCTCTTGACTCAGTGTCTGTATATACTAATAGTAAAAACAAAACTATCAAGATGCACCTGCTCTATCATAAACCAGACACATTAATCAAAAGAAATCCTATCTTACTTTTACTAGGATTGTAATTGTTAGAGGCTTTCAAAACAAATATTAAGTACTTCTTTTCTAAGTACAACATTGCACTGTTGTTTGCTTCTTTATTTTGTATGACAGTGTCTCAAAACTGTATGTTTATTGATTCAGATGCAAGATAAATATCACCTCTTCAGCACTCTTCTTAACTATTTAATGGTTATGTCAAGATGATGTGGTACTACTTTTATTCCACAAAAACAGAGCGCAGCTACAGGTAAACCTGGTAGTTCATGGTTGGAAAAAGGCGTTAGTTTGACAGTTTTCACTAGGGGTTAGGCACTTGTGGAGTGTATCACAAGGTACAAGACAAGTTTACTGAATTGATCAGGACTAAAAGCAAGAAACGACATCATTACTGAATGATGTCGGTCATCACTACGAATGATGTCGGTCATCATTGCTGAATGATGTTTGGTATCTAACAAACTGCTTGAGGGAAAGCTTAATAATCACAGCTTTAACACGTCCAGGATATATTTGTAAAACTTTGATAGACCTTACCGTATAGACCGAAAGATACAGTCTTTACAGAACCTGTGACCACAGCCTGTCTGCACTGGTTCTCGCAACCCCCTAAGACAGATAGGACATTCGTATTTCCCTTCCAACGGTGGGTCAAAGTATTCGTCGTATCCACCAGACCATGTTTCAACTTCGCCTGTTGCCATTTCAAAGCTTGGCTCTAAAGAACTGTTGCTACAATTTACTTAAAGAGACTAAAGTAACCACACGTTTCCTCGTAAACTAGTATCGGTCTCATATTACGTTTCACGAACACATCGAATGCACTGATCTGCAACCAGGCCCAGGAAATGAACGCACTCCGATTGCGTGCATTGTGGTAGCTTCGTTTTGAACTCGTGAACTGCACGCATGCGCAAGAGTGAGTTGTAGATATGATATGGAGAATGGCAATCGCTCGCTCGCTCGCTCGCTCGATTGGTCGATTCCTGTAAACTTTTTTCGATTTTAGGCTTTTAAGTACATTTGATAGTTTTTGGCGAGTAATAAAACAAACGAAATGGCAACCTTTGTTGCTAAGAATAGTGGTGCGGCGAAAAAGAAGCCAGTGATAATCTTAAAAGAGTTTATTTTTTTTCGTTTTAGTTTCAACAAGCGGCGCCAGCGACTGGCAGGCGTGCGAGGATTCACACTTAATTAAGAGAACAACCTTCGTTTTTCATAAGATTGCAATTTACAATTCTTGAACTTGAAAACAATCCGAAGATTCATTAAAAATATCACTTAATCCGAAGCGCTCGGAGTTTACAGGTGTTCAAAAGCTTTTTCTGTTATGGCGTGAGATTGAGAACAGAATCGATCATTACATTTCGTATCGTGTGTTTTTCCTGTGTGAAGCAACAATAGGTGCCGGCGACTGACGAAATTACAGGTTAACACGAAAGTCGAATAACACATAAACAAATAATTTTGGCTACCGATTTTCAGTGAATTTTTAAAGAACAGTTTTCTTTTAAGTTTCAAGACAATTAGAAGATTCAGAATAAATATTACGTACTAAAATGCGAAAATTATACACCACAAAATTGATAAATAGGCCTGAAATGAAATTCTATCTTGCTCTTGATTATGCGTTGCCTAGCACGTGACCAAAATCTACCCCGGCGGAAATCCAAAACGACGGTGGCAGTTTGGGCTTAGTTATATCACTCGAAACTCGTTCCCGTTTGTCCCATATGATAAAGAGGGAATCATTAATGTTTTCATTAAGACAATATTGCCTTTATTTTCCGATATTTACAATGATAGACAGTAAATTTCACTTTTCACCCACATCTGTTCAGATGATGTATTGTCTGATATGTCTTTACCAGATTACTGTACTAATGGAATAGAGAATTTTTCCAGATGTGTATTTCACAACTGTACTATTAATTTGGTGCAAAAGTAAATTTACTGTGTGAAATTTGTTGAAAGAACATTAAATATGTTCCCACCATTTGTTGTGTCAGTTTCTGTGTTGATAATTAATTAATATTCATAAGTCACGTGCAGAGTCTTTATATCTGATAAAACACCGCATACTAATAAGGATGAGGTTTATCGATATAAAGTCACTGCACGTGATGAATTATCTACCATTTGATAGGTTAATGGGCTTATGAATTATTAATGCGTTTTTGAAGTATGTTTAAAACACATGACATCATCCACCCCTTTCAAATGTAATAGCATGATCATTTCAGTTGTAATGCCTTCTTATCCCAACGTTACTTTGTTTCTTTGCTACATTAGCGAACTACTGCACGTACTCTAAATATGACAATCAACCACAAATTCCTTAAACCAGATGACATTAAACATAATCCAAAAAATCATGTAAGTCATCTGTCAATTCACGAGTTAGCTCACAGAGCACTTTGATTAATATGGCGGTGAAAGCAGCAGAAATCGGCAGATTTTGACTGAACATTCCGTAAACATTAGGCCGTTCCTTATTCCTTTCACCATAGGTAAATGTAATTTTTCTTATTCTGAATGTGTAAAAGTATTTTTTGTACGTATTTGTCGCGTATTCTATGTTTGATCCTTCTTCAACGGCTCTGACCAAACGCTTCCAAACGCTCTCCAATGGTACATGTGTTTCTCGCATTTTAAGTGTAAGTATTTGAGATCGATTATGGCCGAGAGGAGGCCTATTGTTGCGTTACACAGCGTTACTATCGTATACTCAATATTTCGCCTAATGTAAGGTAATCGGGATTCCGGAATCCAGGAAATTTAGCTTGTGGAATCCGGAATACTGGGCATTGGAATCCAGAGTCCAGCTTTTGGAATCCAGAATCCCGCTAAAGAATGAATCAGGTATTTCAAATCGTATTAACGGCTTTCATGCGCATCCATGCCACCACGGTCATGCTAAAACTCAGACTGCAGACCACTTAGAGCGCGGTTTTTTAGCTGGAGAATTTCGACTGTTACAGCTCGCGAGACACTGACAAATTCATTCATTACCTATCACCCTATCGACTTCGATACTGACGTGGCCAAAGTTCCCTACTAGCTATCAATCAGTCTTCCACTTCGATTCAAAACCTTGTTTCCGAGTAAAGTTCAGGCCAATCTCCATGAGCTCGAGAAACTTGAGCCTGCGATTTTGTTTTGCTAGAGGTGCGTTCCTTTGGGAGGATCCGGATTTGGATTTGTGATCCAAGATCACACAGATCACGGTGAAAGGAACCGAGTTTTATAAGACGAGCTGTCAGAGAATTCCAAAAAGTGCGCGAATTTAAGACTTGTGTATGCACGTGGGTTATTGAGATCTTCCTTGAATGGCTCATTTAACTGCACGGGCTTTTAGGGCGCACTTTTCACCAGAAACATATTTTTTCATGGTAAACTCAAACAATGGAATTAAAACAGAAGCAAGTATTGATTACGATATGGATATCTGGGAACCCTGAATACTTGCGATCAGTGCCCGATCGATTTAACATTACAATATCGATTTTATTTCGTGTTTATCGCATAATTTATGGAGCGATTGCCAACAATCTTTCCGGTCGATATATGAACAACCTACATGTTTGAAATTGAGCACCGCTGGGCAAAATGATTCATTTCGGATCCTTCCCCTAAAGGAACGCGTTGGATCAGTGATCCAATGATCCGTCTTTAGATCACGCAGATCAGTGATCCGATGATCCTTGTCCAGAGTGGATTTGATAGATCACTGATCTGAAAATGGATTTGCACGAAAGGAACGTCGCAGATCAGAAATCCTGATCCGGATTCTCCCCAAAGGAACGCACCGTAGGTAACGAGAGCTCGAAATAACCTCGTGAAGTTTTGTCATTTGATGTTCTTAAGAGTGCAGTTCACGCACGTGGTCAATGGTATGCAAGTTTGGAGGCACAAAAGAAATTATTTACATAACAAAAGCGTTAAAATCCCACAGGATTTGCTTGGGATATCACCATGGCGACAGACCGCACGTTTCCAATTACGAGACACTTTAGATACCTATGGGAGCTGGGAGAGTACGGTGGCTTCAAAGGGACATACACTTTTCTCTTTCTTTTTTTTTTCACTTGCGACTTAGCTGCTACTTTCTTGCGACTTCGCTGCGACTTTTCAGCTACTTTATTACGACTTAGCTGCGACTTGCTACTTTCTTGCGACTTTCTTGCTACTTTATTGCGACTTTCTTGCTACTTTATTGCGACTCTCTGGCTACTTTCTTGCGACTTTCTTGCGACTTTCTTGCTACTTTCTTGCGACTTTCTTGCTACTTTATTGCGACTTTCTTGCTACTTTATTGCGACTTTCTGGCTACTTTATTGCGACTTTCTGGCTACTTTCTTGCGACTTTCTTGCTACTTTATTGCGACTTTCTTGCTACTTTATTGCGACTTACTTGCTACTTTATTGCGACTTTCTTACTACTTTATTGCGACTTTCTTGCTACTTTATTGCAACTTTCTTGCTACTTTCTTGCGACTTTCTTGCTACTTTATTGCGACTTTCTTGCTACTTTATTGCGACTTACTTGCTACTTTATTGCGACTTTCTTGCTACTTTATTGCGACTTTCTTGCTACTTTATTGTGACTTACTTGCTACTTTATTGCGACTTTCTTGCTACTTTATTGCGACTTTCTTGCTACTTTATTGCGACTTTCTTGCTACTTTATTGCGACTTTCTGGCTACTTTATTGCGACTTTCTTGCTACTTTATTGCGACTTTCTTGCTACTTTATTGCGACTTTCTTGCTACTTTATTGTGACTTTCTTGCTACTTTATTGCGACTTTCTTGCTACTTTATTGCGACTTACTTGCTACTTTATTGCGACTTTCTTGCTACTTTATTGCGACTTTCTTGCTACTTTCTTGCGACTTTCTTGCTACTTTATTGCGACTTTCTTGCTACTTTATTGCGACTTTCTTGCTACTCTATATATCGACTTTCTTGCTACTTTATTGCGACTTTCTTGCTACTTTATTGCGACTTTCTTGCTACTTTATTGCGATTTAGCTGCCTGGCTACCTAGCTGGGCCACGTGGGACGGTAGGCCACGTTGCATTGCCGAGAAACAACATGGATTCCACAGTAGAAAATTTACCGGAGGTCGACCAGGTATTTTGACACTTTTTCCTGTCTTTCGTACAAATTAGAAATGTTGAAGCTACGACAACTTATATTTGGTTTCATTCTCTTTAGATTTTCACCTTTTTAAAAGATAAACGCAAGGTTGAAGATGGCGTTTGCCAACAGTTCAAAGACGAAAAGGTAAGAATTCATTACGAACTGTTTCCTCAAATGTTTCCGGTAAAATTTCCGCACAGCGCCATACGAAGAGAAATTCCATATCAACTCAAGATCTTACTTGTTTGCTGCGTGATATATTGACTTGAACACTTGCAGAGAAATTCCATATCTGTGTATGTCCACGTATTATTCTATATGTATCTGTTGACCTTTTTTCCTTATTGAGTTTCTTACCTTGGGAAATATACCCATAGGACCTGCAAGTATTTTTTTTCATATTTTACATATTTGTATTACAGCTCAAGTGGATATTTTACTGGAATGGTTTGACTACACAGTATTCTCTATGGTAAACTCATTTTTCCTTACTACAGATGGACTTGACAGCCGTGAGGATGGCATCAGATGGAGATTTCCAAGCCTTTGGTTTGGTTCGCCGGGGCGACATACTTGCACTGAGATCATTTGTTCCAATTACAGACAAGGCAAAAGAAGAGCGAAAATCCAAACTTCTGAAACTAACCCATCTACTTGGTACAACTTCCAGAAAATCCAAGGCAGCTTCTAGCAGGGGAAAGTTTTGTCCGTCCGATGATTACCCTCAATCAAAAAAAGACCAAGACTTCTAAAAAGACCCAGGTTGGTTGGCAGCATTATAGTAAGAATGAGAAGCGATATGTCAGTGTATGACTTGTGAAGGAGGAGGAACAAGGGAAATTTCTGTTCCGATTCAAAGTTCACATGTAGAGTTGCTTAGCATAATGAAAGAGGTTTATTTCCCCGATGGGATGTCCACATTTGGTGATGCAGATATAATGACATTTAAAGTTGGAAACTTTAAAGACGGAGAAGTAGAGGAGCAGTTCACATTGGCGATGGATGGTATGAGAGAAGGTCTTCGGGATGGAGACTTTGAAAATTTGTGGAATTTTTCGAAAGAGGATGTAAGGAAGATGTATCACATGATGAAGCTCACGCCACAACGAGTTATTGCAATGCTTGCAGAAGAGCCATCTACTCATCTAAATAAGTCCAGGGCCAAAATTCTCTCTTACCTGAAGAAGTACATAAGCTACCTCAGCCGTAAAGAGCTTGGCCAATTTCTTCGTTACGTCACTGGAAGTCCTGTACCAGTTTTCGAGCGTATTAAGGTGATGCTTCACGTTAATGAGTAAGAATCCTTACCACACCCTCGCACACATACCTGTGCAGCTTCAATCGACTTGCCTGATAGTGGTTATGCAAGTTTCAACGACTTTAGAATCCAAATAGATTCTCTACTAAACAATGAACTTGCATGGAAATTCACATCGTTGTAAGCAGCTTGAATGTAAGCGGATGCAATGTAACAGTGATTCAGAGTATAAAGGGATTCAGCATAACAATGATTAACTTAAAAATGTTCAAGTGAGTTTTTATTACGTGTACTGTTTGTTCCTGTTCAGCTTTTTTACCTTTTAATTGCACGTTTTTGGTTAAGATTTAAATGATCTTTGTGATCAAATCTCATGCAATAGCTGTAGAAAACGTTATTTACACTATCTCGAGTCGCGTTGGTACACTTGCCGAAGTAATAAGGATGGTGCTGCACATCACAAAAGGGGATTAATTATTCCTTTCTTGTTTTACATTGAAAATGAAGAAGAATTAAAATTGATTTTAATTAGTATTTTCAATTGTTTTAGTGCTCAGCTCGGTATCCAGCGTAGAGGAAAAGATTGCGGCATTAGATCTGACCAACGATAAATACCTTGCGATTTACATTTGAGAACACTGAATATTTTGCGAACCTGACACAACCCAAAGGCCACATAGAAAGCTTTGTTTTTGCGTGTACCAAAAACATTGTTCAAGCTGGGTAGCCTGTGAACTGGAATGAAATTAAACCACCCTTTTATGGTAGGGCATTAATGTGGTCTAGTAAATCTACGTAGAGTTGGAGAGCTTCCTCTGCTGTTGTAGCTGGTTCTAGACCTTCATCCTCCATGATTAGTTCGCAGAAGTCTTTAAAGTAAGGACAACATCCACTCACTTGTGGTTGCTCGGCACACGTATCCTTTGCGATTTCAATCTCGTCGATGTCAACTGGAGCCATATAATTTTGACTCTTTGCTGATGCTGGAATGAAATAGAGTACATCTGGCTTTTCCGACGGAGATTCCACATTGCTAGACGGCCGAATTCTGGGAGCATTCCACTCCAGTGCAGCTCTGTGTAGTTCACTTTGTATGACATCCATGAAACAGAATTTCAGGCATTCGCGGTGTATTATATTATCATCGTAATACAAACCAGAATCTCAAGTGTTTAAAAAAAGTAATCCACCATTCTGCACATCCTTGCCTTAAACGTCCTCACCATGCTTCAATTCTTTGGTTTGCCGTAGGTTTCCCATACATGAAACTTTATCGCCTGCAAAGTCGTCATTCATGGACCGCTAAGTTCCCGTTCTCAGATCTCCTATCTCTACGTACAATCCTTGCCGTAACTCCTAACTGTCTTGTGTAGTCTAAGAAATATTGAGCTACTATACTAGGGTCGTTGTTTGAAGATGCAACCTCCAGCCACAGGATCCTTCGACTTAAGCCATCAACTGCGCCATGAATGCAGAATCCAAACAGTTTTAGTTTGTCGTAGCCGTCAATGTGCCATAAGTAATTTGGCCCTTTACACCTGTAGATTCGTCGTCGTAATCTATGCTGTGACCTATGCTCCACCCTTTCAGGATCAAAAGCCCTCAAAACATGTCGAACGACTTCCCGGGTAGTAGCAAGACCGTGCTAATTGATGAGTCTTTGATGCATCGCTCGGTATCCGAAAAGGCTTCCCCTCAGTTCCTCCTCGACTGCTTCTACCACCTCATTCAAATTACTTCGACGCCGACGTGTTGTACATCCCAACCGTCTGAGTATTCTTTTCAATTGTTTGAACGAGATCCCGATACTATGTACACTTACGAGAAATAATGCGATTTCTGGTGCAGTAAGCCCGAGATTAAAATAGTTCTTGATTATCTCGTCGGACATTACTGCATTGTTCCTTATTGCGGGAGAGTAAGATGGAAGCACTGCCAGCGACGTAGAGCACACCAAAATGAAAGTGAAAACGGCGAAAAACTTCGTAGCTATACTGTAAAGCCAAGGCAAAACAGACTACCGATTATTGATAGGAGTCCACGTTGTTTTTAAATAAAACAACCCGGCCTGCCGACGCACGCGGCCCAGCGTGGTAGCCAGGCAGCTAAATAAGCCGCAAGAAAGTAGCAGGAAAGTCGCAGCTAAGTCGCAAGAAAGTAGCAGGAAAGTCGCAGCTAAGTCGCAAGAAAGTAGAAATTCGCAAGAAAGTCGCAGCTAAGTCGCAAGAAAGCAGCGGCTAAGTCGCAAGAAAGCAGCGGCTAAGTCGCAAGAAAGCAGCGGCTAAGTCGCAAGTGAAAAAAAAACAGAGAAAAGTGTATGTCCCTTTGAAGCCACCGTAGGAGAGGTCTCTTTAGAAGACGAAATTCACAATTTAACATTAACCGCTTTCTTTGATATTTGGCATTCGAAATAAAAAGATTGAAGATTTCATGAAGCATCATATCTCAGTTCAAACAAAATAAGATATCGCCAGATTTCAGGGTCAAACAACATTTTTTAGAAAAGAAAATAGCGGTGGGCCACCTTTAACCTTTATAGAATCATTGCTCTGGATAATTCATAGTCGACGTAATGTGACTTGACTTGGGTAAACTTTTTAGGAAGAAAGGAAGTATAGGAAAGAGAATCTGTAATTCTTGGAAAATTACCTTGTAAATGCAAATCTTTCGCGATTTTGCAAAGGTTTAAGTATAGTTGAGTTGGTTAAACACCGTTTTATGCGCCATCTCATAGTGTCGAACATCATTGCCAATTACATAAAGGAAAACAAGCTTTTCTTAGTCATAGTCTGCGATTTATTTGCAACATACACGGGGTATTATAAAACTTGTATTTCAGTTTAAATTTTCCTCAATTTGGTCTTTGTTTAAAAGGAAAGTCAAAAAGGTAATTTGAGATGGAATCTGGAATCTACAGAGGTAGAATCACAGCGTGGAATCCAGAAGGCTAATACTGTCATGGATTACCTTACATGGAACGAAATATTTTGTTGTAAATCTACTTTCCTGAGTAAAAAGGAAATTTACTATTGGCGAGTGTTGTATGGTAAATCTTCTATCTTGATCATTGAATGAAGGACAGATGAATTAGAACAATGAAAGGAGTCACTTGATCAATGAATAACTCTACAATGCACACGGCATTGTGCGACTCCTGCCATTCACTTGCCCTTTTAAATCTTCTGACCTGAAAGTTTAGCTGTTATTAGGATATCTTTTAATGACTTTTGTTTGCAATGTGATAATAAAAATTATTAAATTAAATAGTTTCAAGCCGGATGAGATTGTGTTACAAAAGGTAGTATTTTCATTTGTGCGCGCTATTTTTTTTGTTTTCAGGTAAACTGTCTTTCCCGTATAGAATAACTCCAGAGATACGTAATGCGCCCACAGTTCTTGGTTTAGTTTCCCTAAGGGCTACCACAGCCGCAACATCGGCTGGGTCTATCGTGCAGCTATCTGCTGACACTATTCTACCCAGGTAACGAACACAGGGCTCAAACAGCTCACATTTCTTTTGCTTCAATTTGATATCATACTCCTGCAAACGTCTGATTACTTTCTTAATATTGTTTACATGCTCAGAAAATTTTTCTTCTATACACCAGGACATCATCAAGGTATTGGATACATATTTCATCACGGAGTTCCTCTAGGCATTTCTCCATGTACCTTTGGTAAGTGGCCGGTGCATTTTTAAGACTAAAGGGGATGTGGGTCTACTGGAATAGACCTTAAGGGGTGACGAAAGCTGTAAGATGTCGGTGTTCTTCTGTTACTAATCCTTGGTGATACGCCTTCCCTTGGTCTAGCACCGACAAGTAAGTATGTGTACTGAGGTTGTTTAGGATGTCTTGGATGCGAGGGATGGGCCGGCGGTCATCCTCTGTTTTGCCGGTAAACTGCCTATAGTCGACACTGTCTCATTTTTTTTTTTTGACTGGATCGTCATCTCTCAAGATGATTTCCAATTTCTGTTGTTTAGCACATCCAATATCACCATCATTTGTGGCGAAGGCCCCAGACTCTTCCCTCGACATCTCCTTGACAATCTCCTGTTGTCCACACGACAAAAAGCTCAAGTCAACCGGGGGAGTCCACTGTGCTTTACCTTGTTCGAGCTGGCTGGGCTCCCACTCATAACTTGTCTTCTCACTTGTTCCACATTCCTCCTCCTCTCGTTTCCTTCCAGCTTCGACTGGCGATGGCGTAACGGACTGAACTAACTGTATAGTGCCCAGTTCTGTATGCCCACGTGATGTCATTTCTCGTTCGTTGTTGTTGTGTACTAGAACATACATTTGGCTTGAAGACCCGGGGGGAATTCAGTGGAGGCAGCCCGTAACTTCTTGCCCCACAGGCCATGCCCCTTCCTCTTTCGGTTCAAACACAACAGGCAAGTCTTCCTCTGGCGGTACGAAGTGTACCTGACATTTGACTCTTACAGTCTCTCCTGGTGGAACATGGTGGGAAACTAGCTTCTGCATTCTTACTGTTTCATTACTAACTGCTGCATTCAATTTCTCAAGAAGTTCTTCGTCCTATACTTTTTAGGTGTTTTGTAGGCAGGGTTTTATCTCCATTTTGATGCTATCATTCTTAGCCCAGAAATATGCATTGTACCAGCTTAGGGTCCAACTTTAAGCCAGATCCTGCTTCTTAGGAAGCAAGAGTACTTTCTGTCTTAGGTCAAGGAGGCGAACAAGGAAGTCCTGGGGGGGCCTCCTCCGCTTCCTCTACTGCAGAACTAAGCAGTTGGTACATTTCCGTCGCCCCTTTCTTCTGGTAATGTGACCTGAGTATTTTACGCAATCTGGCAAGTCCTAAAACAGGCTTACCTTCCAAGTAGCTCCTCAATCTGAGGCCTGGATTGTTAGCTCGAATGACGGCCTCGACAATTTCTTCCTCTTTCTATCCCTGCTTCAAGCCAGCGTCAGTTTGGTAAGCCAGGCTGGTAAAACTCAGGTGGTCCTTCTGAAGAGAATCTCCAATCTGTCCCGATATTTTAAATTCCTTCCTGAATGTTGTGATCGCTGCGGTCTCTTTAGACTTAGGTATGTTTGTAGTTAACGTGATGGCAGACTTCTGCTCAAGCTGCTCGGTGTTTACGCCACTCTCTTGTTCACTCTACGCATTTCTTCTCCTCTTCTTCTTTTATTGCATCTTTTATTCCTCTATCTGAATCTCTTCGACGACTTTAGATATCTCGATAGCCTTCTCTGTCACATCGGGGTCACCAAATGTTGCCCTCTGCTCAATTCTCGTAAACTAGTATCGATCTCTCCTTGTTTTTTTCACCACCAAATGGGATCTTCCGATCCCATAAATGTGTATTTTGGGGCTGGGTCCAGTCTCTTTCGTCTTACATGCTACAAAATGACCTTAGGTGATTTCTAAAAATTACCTTAAATGACCTTGAGTGATTTCTAAAATTACCTTAAATGACCTTGAATGATATCTAAAAAATGACCTAAAATAACCTTAACTGAAGACTTGACCTAAAATGATAAAAAATTACCTACACTGACGTTTAAACTTCACCGGAACAATTTAAAAACGTAATTGCCAGCGATATACAACAGAACAACAGAATTGAATGCGCGAGCAGACCTTTTGCCAAAATTTCCTTAGGTTTCAGTCTACTCGTGAATTGGTAAACAAAACAGAGGACAAACAAATCCTAAGTTCGAACTTCTTACATCAAAGTTCATGATCAAAGTCCTATAAAAAAAACAGATCGGGTTTATTAGCCGTCGATCGATAAATTCGTGAATAATTAAGGGCCGAGTCCACAAAAAAGCTCATTAGAGGCGCAGTCTCATTCCATGCTTTTACTTGGGGTAGAAGAACAAAATACGTCATCACAATGGAATGTGCTACACATAGAATCCATCACCGTATAGTAACCTTGAAACGTGAAAATGTGTGATGTGTGATAAACTTGGAAGTATGAAAGTGTGAAAATCTGGAAATGTGAGAAAATATGCAAATGATACCACACGTTTTTTCAGTTCTTTTATCCCATATCTTGAAAATCGATGATTGTGACAGATAATGATGATAATAACATCGATGATGATCAGTTATCACGATAACGACGATGAGAAATTTCATCAAACTAAATCCGAGAGCTGTTAAACTGAAGAGAAATGTAGCTATTGGCACAAAATTAGCTTCTACATTAACATATTTACAATAAAAGAAAAACACTGATGTTTTCAAAAGAAAAGAAAAGGACCTTATTTCAGGGCTCAGCCCACGTCATATGAATCCTTCTCTAAATCGGTTACGAATACCTTCCTACGGTCGACATCCTACAGACTGAGAAGCAAATTTGAGCACGATTCATCTTTCTTTTAATCTTTACCTACGTCAATTTCTGTCTTCCGCTTGAATCAGTCTGCTTTCTGTACAGAAAAAAATGAGTGCGTGTTTCTTTTAAATTTCGCTCCTGCATTCATCATGGGCAACCCCATGCTTTGTAACTTAATATTTCACAAAGCTGTCGCCATTACCATCTGTACAGAGCGAGTATAGAGGAAATCATGCTATCCTCGAACAATACAACTTCTTTTATCATCCTACGAAAAACGAAGACAAAATGAGAACAGAGACGCTTTCGTTGTTTTTTGAAATTCTGGTAAGTATCAAAGCTTTCTATCTGACGTAGGGCTAACACTCGAAATGCCTGCTTAGAAACTCTTCGCAGTGGCCAATTTACATCATCAACTCATTATGTTAACCAAATTATCTTTTTTATACCCTCAACCGACACAGTACCACAGTTTCTTAAGAAACTTATCCTTTTTATTTAACTAGTAAATACACCAGCAGTTTGCGTTTATCGCAGAACAGGAACCCAGAATATGAACTAGACCAGGCGAATCACTCATAAAAATAGATGGTATCTTCTAGTGGTTTTTGCGAAATTCCGCAACCAGTATCTTACGAGAGTATTTTCCTTCAGCGCGGCTGGTCTCACATATATACGGCTCTTGCTTTTTAGCTTCCTTTTTTCGGTTTGTACTTTTCGTCATCTGAACATTTCTACAATAGGACAATAATCGACTAGTTGTTCAACTGATTTGCCCCAAAAGACCACGTGACACTAAACTCGTCACGTGAAACATAGTGAGTGACACTTTGTATTTGACGCGTGCATTTAGCTCAACTTCCGCTTATGCTGATTTTCTTTATCAGGGATGTGGGGTGTCGAATTTTTTGTCTATGTAATCAACTTCCTCTTCGAACAACTGACTTCCACTTTCCAATTTATCGCCAGTCAAGAAGCTGCATGTAGTAATACAACTTGTCATTTACTAAAATTGTTTAAAATGGTTTACACCACATAATTATTGAGAAATTGTCGGGTAAATTAACCAGTATCAAAAAGCAGGTCTTCCTTTCGACTTCCGTCGGTTTATCACCGTTCCTTTAATTCAGATATTTTGATTTCCATGTATTTTGGAAAAACCCGTTCGTCATCTGGTGTCAAAACACTCTCCAAATGTTGTTACCATTTGGCCCTTGATATACACGTTACTCTACAAAATAGGTAAAAAATAGAAGCTTTGTTTCTTAAAAAATCCCAAAGTTTCTCAATTGTAAACATTTCATTTCTGTTTTCAATTAAGTTTTGAAAGTAGACCACTACAAAACGGCATTATACTAGTTCGCTTTATGTCTTCGTCTAGAATACTTCTCAATCAATCAAATTCAAACTTATACAATCGCTTCTTCGTCGTTCGCCTTTTCTCGCGCTTCAGACTCATTACATGTTCAGATTTTGAGCCCTCATTAGACTACTAGCAGTCCCTTCTTTTCGGTAAAGTCCGTCGCGCAAGTTATTTAAAAAAAGAACTGCGAAAGAAATCGATGTTAGCGCGCCACTTGAAACTCTGCGAGTGAGGCGCAGAGTTCCACATAGCTCACAAACTTCAATTTTTTTTTCGCTGATTGTTTTCTTGACTCGCGCGATAGACTTCGCCATACTCTAAGTTCCCATTTGCTCCTCGTACAGTGTTCCTTCATCCTGATTGGATGATTCGAGAATCCGACAAAGGAGAATAATTTTTTGCGCAGCCCATTTCACTGTGATGGCGTGTTCTTTGCTCTTCTACCCCAAGAAAAAGCCCTCCCCCTTCTTTACTTATGTCCATTGGAACAGGTGAGCAAAGGATCAAGGACTCGGGGAGCGCTATCTACCACTGAGCGTACGATTTTGTAATAGTGAAAACAAGTCCTTATCGCAACCCGTATGGCATTTTTATAGAGCTAGCGCGGGAAAGGAGAAGAAAAAGGAACATAAGCGAGGATTTCTCCTTGTTCATGCACAAAGTCAAACGTTATGACACTTATAAAAGTATTGCTTCCATATCACAAGTGGTTTTTATTTCATGTTACATCGGAGTTACTTATCCTCGTTTTTTGAGAGGAATCTAGTCTTTTGAAAGAAAACTACTTTTTCTCTGTTTCTGTTTTGACTTGCACTTACAATCGGTTATAAACATCTTTTTCAGATCACTGTAATACTGATACTTCGGCTCACACTTATGATACACGGGATATTTGCCGCTGCATCCAAGCATGGAGTGACCGTAGCATTGCGCCTCCTTGATCAATTTGCCTTCAATATAGACTGGTGAAAAATGCCTCACGCAGGGATGTTTAGGTGATCCTAAATCGTTTCTTTGTGAGTTCGTCTTCGTCAGGATTTTGTCGGCAAAAACATGCCAGCGTTCATGCGGAGAATCCAATCGACTACTTTGGAAATCTCCACCTGGTTCATTGCCTGAGTACTGTTTGGGTTTCATCCACTCTGCGCCATATGTGTTCTCCAATATTGCTATCTGAAAAGTAGAGTACTGTTATATGGAGCCTTCAAGGCACCTGTGGTAAGGCTCAAAATGAGTGACTTATTTCACAGTTACAGTAAATGATTACACTCCATCGCTTTCTATAAAAAAAACATTACTAATCTAGCGCCCAGACACTCAATTACTGGGCAGTGAAAATTGTATAATAAGGTTTGGTTACGAAGTAAGTGTATAAGACATAACATGTCCGTCTTTGATAAAGAACCAAACGGTTCACATTTCGATTGACCAAAACCAAATTTAAGAACATCGTCGTCCAATCAGGATGAAAGCGCACTGTACAAGGAGCAAATAAGGACTATCGCACGAGTCAAACGAGGCGAACGACAAAAACGCGATTGCATAAGTTTTAATTTGATTGATTAAGAAGTATTCTAGACGAATACATAAAGCAAACTAGTCTATTTTCGAAACTTAATTGAAAACTGCGTTTCATCTTATTAAAACTAAAAGATAAACGTAAACGGTGGGTATAAACCAAGAAGAGGAAACAGAAATGAAATGTTTGCAATTGAGAAACTTTGGAATTTTTTCAAGAAACATAGCTTCTATTTTTACCTATTTTGTAGAGTACCGTGTATATCAAGGGCCAAATGGTGACAACATTTGGAGAGTTTTTTGACACCAGATGACGAACGGATTTTTCCAAAATACATGGAAATCAAAATATCTGAATTGAAAGAACGGTGATAAACCGACGGAAGTCGAAAGGAAGACCTGCTTTTTGTTTCTTGTTAAATTACCCGACAATTTTCCAATAATTATGTAGTATAAACCATTTTAAACAATTTTAGTGAGTGAAAAGTTGTATTACTACATGCAGCTTCTTGACTAGCAATAATTTGGAATGGGGAAGTGGAAGTCAGTTATTAGAAGAGGAAGTTGATTACATAAGCAAACAATTCGACACCCCACATCCCTGATAAAGAAAATCAGCATAAGCGGAAGTTGAGCTAAATGCACGCGTCAAATATAAAGTGTCACTCACTATGTTTCACGTGACGAGATTTAGGTGTCATGTGGTTTTGTTGGGCGAATCGTTTGAACAACTAATCGATTATTGTCCTACGGTAGAAATGTTCAGATGATGAAAAGTACAAACCGAAAAAAGGAAGCAAAAAAGCAAGAGCCGTATATATGTGAGACAAGCCGCGCTAATGAAAAATGCTCTAGTAAGATCGCGGTTGCAGAATTTCTCCGAAACCACTGGAAAGATACCATCTATTTTTATGGGTGATTCGCCTGGTCTAGTTCACATTCTGGGTTCCTGTTCTTTGATTAACTCAAGCTGATGGTGTATTTACTAGTTTAATAAAGGGGATAAGTTTCTTAAGAAACTGTGGTGCTGTGTCGGTGGAGGGTATAAAACGATAATTTGGTTAACAAAATGAGTTGATAATGTAAATTGGCCACTGCAAAGAGTTTCTAAGCAGACATTTCGAGCGTTAGCCCTTCGTCAGATCGGAAGCTTTGATACTTACCAGAATTGCAAAAGACAACGAAAGCGTCCTTGTTCTCATTTTGATGGTGAAGGAAGTTGTGTTGTTCTAGGGTAGCATGGTTTCCTTTATACTCGCTCTGTACAGATGGTAATGGCGACAGCTTTGTGAAATATTAAGTTACAAAGCAATGATATCTCTAGCCAAAGCGCGCAGTAAATGCTCTTCAAGGGCTGGAATTTTAAATGTTGTAGGAGATGCTACTTCATCTTTTTAAGAGGCTCTTTTTGTTCAACGCCCGCTCCTATTACGGCAAGCCTCATAAACAACCAGAGTTAAACTTCCTGCTAGCCTTCTTTCAGTATTTTTTTTCAGGGGTTGCCCATGATGAATGCAGAAGCGAAATTTAAAAGAAACACACACTCATTTTTTCTGTAAAGAAAGCAGACTGATTTAAGCGGAAGACAGAAATTGACTTACGTAAATATTAAAAAAAAGATGAATCGTGCTTAAATGTGCTTCTCAGTCTGTAGGATGTCGACCGTAGGAAGCTATTCGTAACCGATTTTGAAAAGGATTCATATGACGTGGGCTGAGCCTAGAAATAATGTCCTTGTCTTTTCTTTTGAAAAACATCAGTGTTTTTCTTATATTGTAAATATGTTAATGTATAAGCTAATTTTGTGCCAATAATTACATTTCTCTTCAGTTTAACAGCTCTCGGATTTAGTTTGATGAAATTTCTCATCATCATCATCATCATCGTTATAATCATCATCCCTGTTATTATCATCATTATCTGTCACAATCATCGATTTTCAAGATATGGGATAAAAGAATTGAAAAAACATGCGTCATCAAATACGTACTTTTTTCCCTTATTCAGCATATCGACTTTTTGAAGGTTCCGGGTTAAGTGTACTAAAAATGACAGACAGGAACAATTTTTATGGTTTTAATCTCCAAAGTGCCCTCTCAGACCGAGTCACAATAACATCTCTCAAACACGCCAATCTTTCTTTAATTTTCCCCATTCACTAATCGGCTGTAATCGGTCTTCAAAAAGAACTTAGGTAAAATAAAAAAAAAAAGATTGTCAGTTTCTAAAAGAGTTGGTCAAATGATTTCAATGTTTTTAAATGCATCTATTCATGTGGGTTACGCACAACAAAGACGATAAATTGAACCTTAAATTTCAAAAGGATTTTGTCAAAGAAGGACAACGTGCTCAAGATGGTCACACACAAAAAAGCTCATTGCATTTCAAAAGGTTTTTCATTCAAGTAGGAGGATTGCTGGTTCATACATAATGATTAATGGTTTGAAAACAAGCATTTTTTTCTGAATAGAAACGGGTACAAGTTTGGTTCAAACGATTGTCTATCAAGCTAGAATGCGAATGCAGAGAATAATAAAAATCAGATTTCAGTTTGTAACAGGAAAACAACTAAGAAAAAGATAATTCTACACCAAAATCAATAAATGCAAGTTCAGTGGAGGAAAATATTACAAGAATAAATAACTCTGGAAAAAGCTTGAAAACACAACACAATCACTTGCAAGATGGGACTAAATTCTTGGATGAACGGCAAATCAAGATGAAAAATTTTTCTCTTGGTCAAATGCTTTTTATATTACATTGTAACATAAAACTTTAGGGGAACAGAGTGCAAACTGGCTGTCTAGACACTTCGTAACCAAAAATAAACCTAGAAAAAGCTAGGTTTTTTATAATACCAGTCACCGCTCAATAGCTTTGAACGACTAACGTACACTATTTATTATCCATTAATAGTTGTACCGTCGAGTTATTTCGGAGATCTTCATTGCGCATAATATCACTTGTTGTTTAAGGTAAATGTCAAATAAATGAACACAGAGTGACAATCTTTTAGCGCAAGATGTTGAACTGTAAGTGCGTAAATGTGTTCAAAAGATAAACCCTCTCATAATCTTCAGTTCAAAATGCTGAAAAACAATAACAGGGGCAGATCTAAGTTTTTCTTAGGAGGGGTTGCACCAATAAAGAATGACGTAACTGAAGGGTGACATAAACATGTTTTCAAAGCGGACAACGAAGACGATGGCCTGAACCTTTTTCGAGCAAGCGTTTCTGGTCCCGTGTGAAACAGCTGAAGACCCAGGCGTAGCTGACCTCGTGATCGAAGGCAAATATTCAGCAATGGAGCGACCAAAGCGGAATTTTGAACAAAAAATTCTCTTATGTTTTCAGCAATTAAACTGACTCAGATCCTCAGAGCGTCGGGAACGAGCCAAAGTCTAGCAGAAGTCCTCTTATAATCACCGCTATTGGTGTCACCAAACAGCTAACCTCACTGAAGACCACACAGATCATAGACTTTGCTTTACTTCGCTTTGAGAGAACTCGCGCCGCTTCAAACCTTGACCAATCGCGGCTGGGTCACTCGCGTTTTCCCGCACTTCTTGTGGCTTAGCGGCTTTCAGTTTGAGTTTTCATTGGCTCTTATAATCTTTTCCTGTGTTTTGATTGGCTGTTGTGATAACTTTGGTTTTTAGCTTTGATATTATGACACGTACACCGAAATGCGCGCCAATGTAGAGGAACGTGTCACCAGATGTTTTGACTGCGAAGACAGGACGAACCGAAAGCACATGAAAAAAATTTTCTTTCGTTTTCGACACAAATAACCAAAAAAATGTTTTTATTTCTTAGCCAAGTACGCGTCACAAATAATAAAAATAACAATTTTTGAAACTAAGAGAGGTCACTCTAATTTTAACAAACGTTAAAATCAACAATTCCCTAAGACCGAGTTTGTGTAGACCGGCAGAAAAATACATTGAAGTTTCACACATTGAAATATTTGAATCATGCATCAAAGTTAGTATCATTCGGGATTAAGGAAGGATAATCGCATCAGAATTGATTTACTATCGTTAACAAGATTATAACGTCTTGAAGGGACACATTCAAATTTAAAAAAAATTCAAAAGATATAGGCTAAAAATACAGAAAAACTTTCCTTCTGAACTTTCAGTATTTAAATCCATTGATACCAGCTATATTAGTCCATTTTAAACTTGTTTTTTTTCAAAATGCGTGGATATTTTGACCGGAACAAAAAAATTGCGGCTCGGGAGATTACGGATGTTTCGCCGTTTATGTAGAAGGTTCTCAGACAAGTTTGCCCTAAACGTTTCCTATACAACCTAACTAAATAAATTTCTTCCACCCTTCTAAAACACGGTCAATTCTCGTACCGCATATTCACAATAAGTCATATGATCGTTTTTTACAAGACGTGCATCTGTTGATCACACTCCCCTTAGCCTTGGGTTTTCTTGTCTTCGAGAATATCTCCGTTTTAAAATAAATAGTTATGCGTCGCCTATTTGCGAGTGCGATCTTGACTCCGAATGGGTGAATTTTTTTTCTTGTATTGCCTAAGGTAAGCCGCTCAACGCAACGTCCTCTTTACATCTGCTGCTAATATTCTAGGTGAAACATGGTCATCGAGAAGCGATCGAGGAAGCTGAATTTTTTTATCGTATGGTGTTGAATCTGTAACTATAAATTACGATGTCAGCTATGCTTTGTTTAAATAATATATCCCTAGCTTTGTAAGTTAAATTCATCGTCATTACAATTTGTGTGTGTAGTTTGTGTGTCTGTTGGTGTGTGAGCATGAGTAAATTGAATTTTATTTGCAATATTATAATCCTCTCGTTAAGCCTTCGTACTTTTGGGGGAAAAAAAAAGAAAAACATGTCTAAATAATAATAATAATAAAAAAAACCTATCTGTATAAACTTGTAAAAGGGAAGCAAGCCCTTAAGTCACCAGAAAGCCACTAAGTCAATAATGTGTACAACATCGCACTGTCGTAAATAATTCCCTAAGATACCGTGCAAGGCATATTAAACCGGCTGTTGAGAGTGGTAGTCCGTAAATGTAGGAGCAGGTCGAACAGGTAGGTTCACCGATTTCGCTTAAATTTTGCATGTAAACTTGGTTAGGGTTTCCAATCACGAGATTGCAATTTATTTTGCGTGGGAAATTACGGCTCACAGCCATATTGAGCGCCATCTGGAACATGGAAACTGGGCTAAACTAAGAGCTACTAAGTCAGATTCATGGGCAAAGTTTGAAAGAAATCGATTTTTTAAACCGAAATACACCGAATCGCTTTGAGAGAGACTGCGTCTTAACTGTTCCCTATTTGCTTCAAATATCAAGCCACCGCAAGAGAGTACAAATAGTTTATATTCTCTTAGCCGCCGTAAGTCTATTCCATGTCAAGTCGTCCTGTATTCCCTAAGAAAAGAAAAAATATAAAAAGAATCTCGAGGAGTAATTAGCGATATCAGTTCACGAAGAATATTATATCTTGTGACAAAAAACTGATAAAGCGAGGAACCGAGAGTACAAAATATTTCAACATCGAAACTCTTGGACACGGAAATAAGTTCAAAGTAATTACAGTTTACAGCGTAGGTGTTAGTTTTCGTAACTGAAACCCTGTATTCGTCTTCTTCAAGTAATGCAAACTGGACTGGCTACGAACCCTAACAGTTCCGCCTGACATAAATAATTTGTTACTCGTAAATTCAGACTTATCATAATTACTCTTGGAAAAGAAGTGTTAGTCTTACTATGACGATCTGATACAAAATAGAAAACTGGTTGCCACTGAGATCTTTTATTGTTTTTCGAATGAAATTCAGCATGGGTGTTTTCAAACTGACGTTTATCTTCAAACGCGTTGGTGTTGTTTCATCAGAGCAAGGAAGTAAGTTCGTTCAAGGCAACAGATGCGTATAAGTATTCTGAACTCATTTTGCATTGGTATGATCAAATGAAGACAACAATAAGGAGTAAATGTATAATTAATGTCTTTCAGTATCAACGTTCTAACTGATGAAACGGTTGGTACTCAGGGTTACAATTTGATCTCAGGTGACCTACTTTAGAGAAATTGGAAATACTCAGAATTTGTACTTTACCTTCCAAGAGCCAGGGAGTCATCGTCATTGTCTGTCAGAGTTTCCAGATCTATCAGAAAATTAAGGGGAAAAAATATTAACATCAAAAACAATCGCTTAATGTCGCGTCATTTCTATGAACACATTCACGACAGCTTACAGACATCGCTATACAACAAGAAAATTCGAGTTGGTTACCTTTGATGCAATGCACAGAAATGGATGTCAATAAAGGGTATCAACTCATCCATGAGTTCTTTATTCCCGGTTGTCTTCCACAAGAAACAGTCGATCGAAGAAAAGAACATAGTGTTGAATTAAACACTCATTTTTAGAAAGTAAGTAATTGTTATCCACGAAATCTTCTTGATCAATAACTTTATGGTTTGGAACAACTGCTTGGGACAAAAGTATTTGATGTCTCAGGTGATAAAATTCAAAACCGCGCCGTTAAAACAGAATACTCAAAAGTAATATGATCATGTTTTTCTTCGCCGTGATCGACTCGGATCGATCGCAGCCTCAACTGAAAGCATCGCTTTTTTCATATCTTACCTTTTTATTATTATCTTCAGATCAAACATGACCATGATCTTCAAGTCCATTGTGGTTGTCTTGACGAAGCTACAGCGAACACCTGTCCTCGTTTGGTGAAGCTTAAAGAGTCCAGTCTGTTTCGGGGCTCGAAGTAACCAGTATGGTCGTTTTACCTACCCTCGGAACATCTTCGTGAGCTCCTTCCTGTTCGTGCACCGTACAGGATCGGTGACTCGTAATAAAAAACAATACAGCTACTGGGGGTTGTTTTCCAAATCACCATGGTCTTGTTGTCATCCTCACAGATCATCAAATCGGAATACTGGCAGGTTACACTTCTTTACACCTCCTCGTCTTCTGTCCTCGTGTTCTGTGCTCCCCAGAAGCCCCACTGTATCTTCGCCAACACCGAGTTCTGCCTCTGGTACGGAGAAGATTTACGTGGTTTCATAGAGAACGACAAGGGCGGGTGCAGATGTGTATGGTGCGTTGGTCTAATCAGTGATCTAAAAAACCTCGAACTTAAGAATGAATATATCTGTAAATGCTAAAAAATGTTATCTTTGTACTACATGATTACAACTGATAAAGGAAATAAAATTATTCGAGGTGAGGAGACTGGTATTTGTTTTCTAACCATAAAACCCCGCTGATTAGAGGCTCAATGCTTTCAGTTTCATTTAAAAGTTCAGCCAAAGACGGAATCAGCGAACTTATGTTCTATTCGTATGATCTAAGAAGAAATCTCTGGAAAGGTGAATTTAGTTCGCAGAACTGATCAAATCTTATCAAATTTGTTTAAAAAGAAAAGAATATTTATGTCAAAAGTTGACCCAAAAATTGGTGTCATCTCCAAAAATTACACATTCCCATCGAAATCGGATTTACGAGCAGTGAAATTAGAGCGTAAACTCAATTTTTTCCCGCCGGCGCTTGTGCGATTTACCGCGCTCCCGACCGCTCGCACAACTGCATGAGACATATGAACGAACCATTTAAACGAGCGTCTCGCGGCTTATTTTTATGTCATATTCATAAAAGTGATTCAGTTCGCGCCTTAAATAGACTGCGGTTTATTTCCCTCGTAAAAGTGGCCCCGATTTCCCCTTTGTGGGCTGCGCAAGATCTTCCACCATTAATGCTTCAAATTTAATCGACTAAGATCTTTCGCTTCCTACATACTTTCGTAACAAGAGACTATAAACTGTAATCTTTTGTTTCGTAACAAAGTGGCCCTCTACAAGTCATATGTTCTACATCTACATCCATGAAATTAAAACCAATACTGACCATATCCGACCACATTTGTTTAGAAGACTAGAAAATTAAGGAGAATTTGTAGCAAAAACTAATCCTGTGAATCATGATAACGTAAAAAAAGTTCTCGTCCCACTTCAATTTTCCAGCTGGGGCATTTGTTAAAGTAAAAAAGCTCGAAACAGAAGAGTATTGAAACAAATACGATACGAAATTAACAAAAAAAAACTAGAAATGGAATATCAGGTGCTAAAGAAAAATTTGTGGCAACGTGAAGCAAACCATACAGATTTGCACAATTGAAAAAGCACGAAGTCCTTTACCAATCTGAATAGGTCAACTTTACGTGTGTCTTCTAGTCAACTTTGCGAGAGACCCGGGGAGAGTAAAGAGTATGGGGACATGGTTATGTTCCAGTCAGTTTTCTAAGCAACACCTTGGAGATTTAATTAAGGTTTCATTCGTTGTGAAACAGATTCTTGTGAACTGTTCACGAAAAATATGATGATTTTTTTCGCATATCAAACATTAACAAAATCAAAATATGAACAGGACATGAAGAAAGCCTCTGTGGTCAGACAGCTATGAGAATTATTCAACAACATTATTAAGACACTTTAAGTTTCTCTTCTTCTCTTCTTCCTATGAACAAAAGCTACAAAGGATTAACTTTGTGAGAAGAAAGTTAACTCTGCTGTCCATAAAAGACCAACAAAGATTTATGCAAACTCCAAAACGATATGACCAAAGTAACCTTTTATCGAAGATGTGACTGAGAACAACATCAATTAGCAAGGTACACAATTGAATGATGACCTGTCGTCAAAGTTATAAGCAGTAACTAAACATTCAAATGGATTGGAATCATAAGCAATTAGACATGTCGATTTGGCTATTATGTACTATTTACAACTGAATACATAAGTTGCGCCAAATACAACATGCATCAGTTTAACAGGATAAAGAGGGCTCCTTTCCAAAAACAAGTTAACACTCGAGATCTCCTTTCCAATGACAAATTGATTCGAAACATGGAAGGATGTTTTATAATCTAGTCACTACTGTGAGATAGAGAAATACTTGTAGGCCCCCGCTCATTACCAAGCTACCCACTCAAGTTAATAGAATTGATGGATTCTGATCCAGCTTTTATTTAAAATTGAAAATCATTCCGAATCAATTGCTACTCAAGGACATCAAAGAAGTGCCATTTGATTTAAGTGGATCCAACGTTCTTGTCAGTGAAAACTACAGCTGAAAAGCAGATTCAGAAAACCTTCCTGTGATAGCCGAAAAAAATGAGACAAAAGTAAATTGTTATCATAAAATATACCATTGAACAGCCACGAGTTAAAATTGGAGTCACTACAACAATACAGCTGTTAAACACTATTATAATGTTCAATGTTTCATATAAATACAGCACGCATCAGTCATCAGTTCACTGTGTATAGATTTTCGTTCCTGATCACAAGCAGCTGACGAAACCTACAGCGTGGAAACTCAAATTTCTCGCTTATTCTGTTCCTTCAGCGCCCATTGCAAAAGGTAACTGAGATATTTGATTGATTCCAAGAGTTCATATTTGATCATTTTTTAACCAGGGGTTTCAAAAACTTTTGCCATAAGCATAAGGGGTGTAATAGGCGACTGTGCCTGTAAAAGGGGGCGAAGGTGGAACCCGAACGCGAAGTTCTGTTCGCAGGCTAAACAGGCGTCAGTAAGTGGTCATTACTGCAGGTAATGTGTCGATCATGTCAAAGCTTCAACATCCTCTCGGGCAACCCCCTGGGCATTTGAACTTTTGAAGATTAGTTTGATAAAATTCCCACCCCCTTCTCCTCCCTCGAGGCCAAAATTGTGTTCAAATGGCCCACCCAAGAGCTGGATTGATGATCCATTTTTTTGTAAGATTCAAAATCAGGGACGATCTTCTGAGCCATTACCTCGCGAAAGTAAACTGTTTAACTTCAAACACGTCCATTTTCAAGATGAAGCACTCGTATTCCATCGGAAAGACTGCACACTTCCGGTTCAAAATTTCATTCCAGCCAGGCAAAGTTCAAATTGCCTGACTCCCTTCCCCCCGGCACGTTCGACAATCAAATGCCCGGGAAGATGTTGAGGCTTTGAATTGATCGGCGCATAACTGACTTTTGTCGAAACCCTTGATTTCAACAGTTTTTTTTCACGAAGTGACTCTGTTTCTACTAACTATGTGTACAGTTGCCTGTTTTCCTTCTTCTTCAGATCAATCCAAGTCACCATGCTTTTTAAGTTCGCTCTAATCACCATGCTAGCCACAGCGTTCATCAGCGAAGCTTCAGCAAATTCCTGTCCTCGCTGGGTGAAGCTAAACAAGAGTCCAGTCTGCTTCGGAGCCCGAGACAGTCAGTTCGGCGCGTTTGCTTACTCTCAGAACATCTTCGTAAGCTCGTTCATGCTCGTTCATCGTTCTGGAACAGTGACGTGTAATAAAAGACATTATAGTTACTGGGGATGTTATCCAAATCACGCAAGTATAAATGTCGTCGTAACAGATCATCAAAACAAGTTATTGGCCCCAGCTGCTACCAATCATGGTGGATGGTACAATCTGTCAGGTTACACCTCCTCATCTTCTGCCCTCGTGTTCTGTGCTGCCAAGCCCCACAGTATCCACGCCAACACCCAGCTCCGCCTGTGGTACGGTGAAGATTTACGTGGCTACACAGAGAACGACAACGGCGGCAAAACTTGCGCAGATGTTTATGGTCTGCTGGTCTAAACTGCGATCAACAAACCTCGAACATTAGACTGAACGAGATGATAACTGATGGAGAAAGACTGTCGATTTATAACAAGTAGTCAAAATAGAGATAATAAAGTGATTCAAGGTCAGAGAAGAGTGAAGATGGTTTATATGATCCTGCAATCCCATACCCAAATATTAAGGCACGAGCTGCTACTCAACCTCTAAGGAGTACAACGGTCAAAACATTGAGCATGCGCGAGGGGATCAAATTTGGCCGCCCGCGCGCCAATTTCCCGCGCAGAAAAACAGATAAAACAACTGCTCTCGCAAAATGGTGAAAGAAAATTGAAAAGCTCATAAAATTATGTTAAAGAAAATAAAAATATGGAAAAGGAAAACTCTTAATTTTTAGAACAGTACGGGTTTTCTTTTGATTCACTACTAGCTTTTTACGCTTCTAAAAAATAGTGACTTACCGGCTTGTTTGGTTCACTGTTTTACCACTCAGTCAGCGATAAACAGGCATATTTGCATAGACATCTTAACCTTGTAAAATCCTAGTTGCAATAAGACACCAAAACAAAAGAATGAGTCTCCAATGATGGAGACCCGCGTAATCAAATAAGTCCATAAACAAATATTAGAAGGAGTGAGACATCAGGGTTCGACTGTATCTCAAGGTAAAAATTCTACAAATCATTGATGCTTCTCTGTCAAAACTTGCCTTTTGATTTTTCCTTTCATTAATTTCACAGCTCAAAAACTTGTCCTGAACGAGGATACGTATAATTTGCAGATTGTCACCAATATTTGGGGTCGACTTTGTTTCGAAGATATTCCGATCCAATTGTTAAATAAATGTGGCAAGATTAGGTCAGTTTTGCTGACTAAATTTATGCTTGAAAATATTTTCTTTTTTTTTTTTTGGATCACACCTATGAATGGCCATATGATACAAAGCTTCACTGATTTGGATTTCTCTGAAAGTTTTAAACGAAACTGTGCAGAACTGGAAGCACTCCGCCTCTAGGTTTATAGCTTTTTAAATGAATAGGCTTTTATAATCATAAAACAAATACCAGTCTCCTCAACTCCGATGATTTTATTTTTCTTCATTCCGATAGCTAAGTACAAAGAAAAATATTTTTTAGCAACTACTGATCTATTCAGTCTAATGGTCGAGGTTTCTTGTTACGAACAGTTTAGGCCAACAGACCATACACATCTGCGCATGTTCGGCCGCCGTTGTCGTTCTCTGTATAGCCTCTTAAATCTTCTCCGTACCACAGGCGCAGCTCGGTATTGGCGAAGATACAGTGGGGCTTCTTAGGAGCACAGAACACGAGGGCAGAAGACGAGGAAGTGTAACCTCCCAGATTGTACCATCCTCCACGATTGGTAACAGCTGGGGCCAATAATTTGTTTTGATGATTCGTTAAGACGACATTTAGATTTGGGTGATTAGGACCACATCCCCAGTAGCTGAATTGTTTTTTATTACACGAAACTGATCCTGTACGATGCACAAGCATGAACGAGCTGACAAAGATGTTCCGAGGGTAGGTAAAACGACCATACTGGTTACTTCGAGCGCCGAAACAGACTGGACTCTTGTTAAGCTTCACCCATCGAGGACAGGTATTCGCTGAAGCTTCGTCGATGAACAGGGCGGCTAACAAAACAACCACAACGAACTTGAAAAACATGGTCGTTTTTTTTATCTGAAGGAATCAAAATAAAAAACATTAAGACATAAACAATAAAAACGTGCTTTTGGATGAAGCCGGAATCGATCCCAATCGATCGCAGTGAAGAAAATCTAGGGCATGTTACTCTTTAAGTATTCTATGTTTACGGCGCGCTCAGTTTTTAATTTAATCATCTTGGTGATCGATTTCTTTTGTCCCAAGTCGTTGTTTCAGTCCGTAAAGTTATTGATCGAGAGGACTTCATGAATTACTTATGACTCACCTTTTGAAGATGAGTGTTCAATCCAACACTGGGTGCTTTTCTCCGATCGACTGTTTCTTGTTGAAGACAAACGGGAATAGAGAACTCGTGCATGAGTTGATACCCTTTATTGACATCGGTTTCTGTGCATTGCATTAAAGGTAACCAACTCGAATTTTCTCGTCCGAAAGGGAAGTCTTTAAATTGTGATCAAGGAGCACACAGAATTGACAGGAAATAAAGCTATTTGATTTTGATTTTATTGTTGATATTTCTTCTGACATATCTAGGAACCGCTCTGATAGATATTGAGTTCACGTAAGTATCTTTGTTACCAGTAGTCATATTGTGATCCTGCATGAACCAGGCTAACCGTCTCATAAATTCGATAGCGGTAGATGTACGTTGATACTAGAAGTCATAAACTAAATATTACTCCTCATTGTTTGCTTTATTTGAACATGCCAATGCAAAATGAATTCAGGATACTCCTATGTTTCTGTCACTTTGAACAAACTGACGCGCTTGCTCTAATGAAACAACACCAACATGTCTGAACACAAAAGTGTTGTAGAAAGTCACTTTAAAAACACCTTTTCGGAATGTTCTTTGAAAAACACTCGAAGATCTCAGTGGGAACCAGTTTTTTGCTTTGGGTTAGACGAGCATCATAAAGCCGGATAACGTTTCTATTCCCAGAATAGTTAACAAATCAGTTATGTCAGCCGGAATTATTGGGGTTCGTAGCCAGTCCTGTCGGCATTGTCCTGATTCGCGATCGCTTCATACTTGTCCCGGCGAAGATGAGCATAGGGCCTCATTTATAATAACTGATACAGCTTTAACCGTAATAACTTTGAACTCATTTGGATATCAATATTGGTTTTGTTGACAAGATATTTACGGTTCTTTCGGTTCCTCGCCTCAGTAATATATTGTCACGATGTACAATTTTTATTTTATCGGAGTAAACAGGACGATGTTTTGAGGCGTAGACTCACTGTGGCATAGGGTAACAGCCGATTCAACATGCGTTCCATGGTGTTTTAAAGGAATATTCGGATAGTGCAATGTTGAACAAATTATTGACTGAGTGGTTTGCCCTAACAGTCTTGTTTAAGATTTGAACTCGGAAGGGGTATATTCAATTTCAGTGAGCAAGCGTATCTTAAACAAGAGGGATGTGTGGTCTAGTGACTCGGGTTCTAACAACCCGTTTTCCGAGTTTGTAGAAGAAAGGTAAATTATTTAGTAAAGGTGTGCTGAAAAAGTTTGGGGCAAACTTGACAACGAAACGAAACCTCCGTAATCTCGTGCGCAATAACTTAACTTAAACTTCAGCGGCCGTTATTTTTTTTCATCAAAATATTCACGCATTCTGGAAAAATGATATCAATTACCAGCTAAATGTCTAAAATGGCCGTTATTCAATGAATTTCACTACTGAGATATTAGAGGGTATTAGATTTTTGTATTTTCTACCTAAAGCTTCTGCCTTTTTTTTAATTTCGAACTTGTGTTCTCCGTTTACCTAATAACCTCGGTAAACAAAATGGAATTAACTCGAAAGCGATAATCACTCACTTAGTTTTGAATAACACCAATTTTGGAGGCATGACAATGATTTAATTATCGTAATGAGTGGAACTTTACAGTATTACTCTAAGGGTCTACAAGTGTTCGGTCTTGAGGCAATGAATGTTGATTTCAACGATGTGGAAATTAGAATGACCTCTTAAAGTTTCTACGATTGCGATGTTTTTCGGCTGTTTGCGTTGAAAACTAACAGAAATCTTTTTCATGTGATTTCGGCCATCTTGTCTTCGCACTCACAACATCAATAACGTGACACGTACTCTTTCTTTCTTTTCGATGTACGTGTCATTAAAATATGCGTTATTGACCAAACGAGAGGTCACCGAGACGAAGTCACAGAAACGAAAAAAAAAAAAGAACGAGGCTCATATCCAGCCAGCTAGATCGAACAAGAATGGTCAATAAAGGAATTATTGTACAGCAAAAATATCTCTTTATAAAAATCAAGAATATCTTGTCTATTTCGAGAGCCGGGAAAGTAAGCCAACTATGTTTGTAGCACAGTAAACCCATTAGAGTCGTTTATGTTTTCTTTGTTTTGACTGTCTTATGCCGCTTTTTGCGGCTCCATCGCCCACATTGTCCTTGAAGAGCAATATGCTCAAAAACTATCTGTGAAAAGAAACGTTAAAAATTTATTCGAGCGCCACGCAAATTTCGACAAATTTATGGTTTACTTCACCTTAAAATAAACTACACGTTCCTCATCACACTTAATTCTGAGCATATCGTTTTTCAAAAGAGAAATTGTTCGCTCTGGCCAAGTTTGGGATGACGTTAAAAGCGATTATAAAGAAAAAACGACAAAAACAGATGGTAAATTTCCTCTCCTTAGTGACAAACTCAGTGTAAATTGCGGGCTCAGACACAACAAACCACCCTCTTTTAATCCACCAAATCAATACAAAGCACAGAAGGTATAACAACTTCTATTTTGTTCGAGAATAAATTTCAGCGCAATTACTTTACCACCCAAAATAGCAATTTTTCAACTTTCAATGCTTTGGTGAGTACACTCTGTGGTGAGTGTTGATTACATTTTTAAAGAAATAGTATCACACCTTTTAATATTTGTGACTTAAAAATAATAATAAAAAAAGAGAATTTACCGTAGTAAATAAGTAATCTATGATCACCAAATCACCAAAGGTTTTTTCTGTTGGTTGATAATCGATTATGTGTTCAGCCAATTAAGTAGCAAACCTGCTCTTTTTCACCTTTACACTCAAAAATCGAAATCCACACCCTCCATACTCCTCTCTATACATTTCCTATAATGCTGACAAGGAGAATTTGTTTAACAATCAAAGCTCCTTATATTAGTAATCATTCCCATCATTCTCATGAACTTGGAGGAATAATAATATTCAGCAGTATTATTGTAAGGAGAAATTAGATGCTAGTCACCCTTAGGGGTTAATAGGTAAATGATTTTTATGAGAGAAATACTCTGGACTAAGCTCTGTTTATTTTTTAAAGCTGGCATCTGTTCATTCTAAAGTCAACTGGCCCGAGTAAGATACCTCAACTCATAGTTCTGCTGTGTCCTTGACATTTAACTTCTGGTACTCTGTCCATAAAAATCTGTCCTCAAATCTATGCAAATTCACTTGAAAGCCAGAGGCATCATTTTCCCATTAAATACTGCAGGTCTCTTTAGTGTGTTCACTTTCTAACGATCAATTACATTTCCGTTGGATAGTTTCTTTACTCACGACTTTCCAATATTCCCCCCTGCTTCCCCACTTGTTTGTTTTGCTGCCATAGCAACTTTTTCTGCCATCTCCGCTGTCCGCTGTTTAACATACTCCTCATCCTCAGGACGGATTTTCAAAAATTTTCCTTTCTGTTTCTGTACCCATTCACGTATCTAAAAAATGAAATACTCAAGAGTTATATGTATGTGTCAACTTGTAAGCACACAGCTGTGATGTGGAGATTAACATTGGTGAGTTTAAGCGGAACCTATCTACCAGCAGATTGCAGGAAAAAAAGAGGATTCTAGTTCTACCAGGTTTCCATATCAATGCTGCATAAAAATAGAAAAAATCTCTTATTTACAGTTTATGCAAATATTTCAATTTTGGATTAAAAATGCTTCAGTAGACAGCAAGATGCTCACTTTAGCCCTTTGATGTTTGTCATATATGTGATACTTAAGCTCCCTACTAGCTCAAGGAAATGAATGATGTAGCTTTGGAGAGGGAGACGGGATCTTAGGGGTTTGATGTTCCACTTCTTGGTATGATATAAGAATACTGGTAATTACTTAACTTTTTTATTTCTTTTTTTTTTCAACAGTGAACATCATAACACGTCCTTAACTTCTGGTGAAAAGCTGGTGTAGGTCTCCTTATTGAAAAATCTTTTATCTGACATGGTTTGACACTACTCTGGTTTAAAGATTTGATGAAAGTAACCTAGAAGTTACAATTCATAGACCAAGACAGAGTTTCTCCCTACGATATCCATATGATTTCAAGCAGGCAATAAGAATAAGGAGAAATATCAATTAGGGGATTATCAGTTGATTCAGTTACAAATTCTCAGAACTAAAATCATAAAAATTGTACAACAGTCGGTAAGGAGAATTACTAGTGAGATCTTGGGAGTGAAAGGGTTAAGCTCCCTACTAGCTCAAGGAAATGAATGATGTAGCTGTGGAGAGGGACAGATGATGTGAAGGGTTCATTTACGACTACTTGGTAACTTTTTAGTTTTTTTGCAACAGTGAACATCATAAGATGTCCTTAACTTCTGATGGAAAGCTAGTGTAGGTCTCCTTACTGGAAATTCCTTTATCTGTTATGGTTTGACGCTACCCTTGTTTAAAAATTTAATGAAAGTAACCTAGAAGTTACAATTCATACACCCAATGTGCTGACACTCCTTCAGATCTATGAATTGTAACTTCTCAGTTACATTCATTAGATCTTTGAACCAGAGTAGCATCAAACCACATCAGATTGTTCACCTGATTGCCTTGTGAACTTTAATATATCAAATCCTTTATCTGTTCTTATGTTGTTTTTATCATCATCATCATCACTCCATTTTCTTATCATTGTAGAATAGACCTTCAGTTGTTTTTCTTTCAAATAAGTAAGATGAAGATGTTTTTTCTTTCTCTATTTCTTTACAGAGCTTGAAACTTGCAATCTTTCCTACTCTGTTTAGATAATTATAAGTTGCAAAACATGAACTTACTGGAACAAAGCAATGATCTCCTTCATACTCAGGTATAAATACACAATACAAGCCAGCTCCTGATAGGATGAAAATAAAAAATTACAATTACCACTAAATGCATCACAAAGCTCTAGATCGTTCAGGTTAAAAATGTTCTCTTTTTAACCCTTGGATCCCTAAGAGTGACTAGCATCTAATTTCTCCTTACAATATCACCCCTGAATCAAGCAATATCTCACAATAATAGAGAAAATGATCACCAACATAAGAAGTCCTTGATTTTTAATCAGATACTCCTTGTCAGTGCCTTAGGAAATGTATAGAGAACATTATGGAGAATATACATATTGATGTAAAGGGTTGTAAAGGTTTTTAAGAGGTAATGAAATTGTATCTAATGGGGGGGGGGGGTAGATTTGTATAATATTAAGTAAAACCGGTAGGGATTGAAATACCAGTGTCTCATGAATTTTCTTGCTATCAGTGAGAAGCCAAGCAGGCCGTTAGATAGAAGGGGAGTTTTACTGTGCTACACAAGGTTATGAAAGAGGGAGAAAATTTCCAGGTTTTAGATCTCGAGCTCCAGGGCACAACATGCCTAGTTCTTTCTTTTGACCTATTATGGAACCACACACAAATGCTCTCTCCTATGATAGACATCCTTGTCATAGTTCCTCCGTTTACAGTCATATGTTTTAAAAACTCATGAAATTATTGGGTAAAATCTCTGCACAGCCCCATACTACATTATGCATTCAGTTCTTGGATAGAGAAAACAATGACAAATACAATACATTGCCACTGGGAAAACAGATTTGTTTTTATAATAGTATGGGGCTGTGTGGAAATTTTATCAATTATTGTTTTGATTCATGTGGTTTCTTCAAGTAAAAAACAAGCGCGATTCCTAACCTCCTTGTCGAAACACAAACTTCTTTAAATACTCACCTAGGGTAGCCAAGTAAGTAAATATTTTGAAGGCTCGTTGACTATTTGGGAATATTAGCGGCTTCATGAGTTCGCTTCTGTTTGGAACTCCCGGAATTTCTGGGAATGATCTCTCCTTTCTGATCCGGGTAATTTTTTCTGCCATTTTGTCCGTCATTTTGTCCGCCATCTTGAATCATGTTGATCTCTGTCTCAATCTCGAGCCCAGGGTCATTTTGGCACCTTGTCAGCGGTAAGATCATGGTCAGCTCAAGTTTGTCACCCTAATACATATTATGTCCTATACTTTACATTCATATAATGTCCTATACTTTACGTATAACATCCTACACACACATACAACGATACACAGCTATATAGCGCAATACAGAGCTATAAACAGCTATACAGGGCTATAAACGGCTGTACAGAGCTACACACAGCTAAACAGAGTTATAAAGGGGGTAAGTTTCTAAAGAAACTGTGGTGCTGCGTCGATGGGAGAGTATAGCAGGTAATTCACTCTGACGAAGGGCTAACGCTCGAAACGTCAGCTTTTTTATTCTTTACGGTGGCCAATTTACGTTTTCAACTCAGTTGTTAACATTAAATTACCTGCTAAACAGAGCTATAAACAGCTATACAGGGCCATATAAGGCTATACACAGCTATAAAGGGCTATACAGAGCTATACTAATCTATACAGCGATACAGAGATATACACAGCTATACAGGGCTATACACAGCTATACAGAGCTATACACAGCTATACAGAGATACACAACTATACGGGGCAATAAACAGTTTTACAGGGCTATATACAGCTAAGCAGAGCTAAACACAGCCCTGCAAGGCTATACACAGCCATACAGGGCTATACACAGCTATACGCGGCAGTAAAGGGCTATACACAGCTATAAAGGGCTCTACACAGCAATACAGAGCTATACACCCCTATACATGGCTATAATAGCCATACAGAGCTATACAAAGCTGTACAAAGCTATACGCAGTTAAACAGAGCTATACAGGACTATACAGGACTATACATAGCTATACAGGGCTATACACAGCTATATAAAGCTATACGCAGCTAAATAAGGCTATGCACAACTATACAGGGCTATACAGGGCTATACAGGGCTATACACAGCTATACAGAGATACACACAGCTATACACGGCTATACTAGGCTATATACAGCTAAACGGAACTTTATACAGCTATACAGAGATATACATAACTATACAGAACAATGCGCAGCTATACAGGGCTATACACAGCTAGAAAGAGCTAAACACAGCTATACAAGGCTATACAAAGCTATACAGGGCTATAATAGCCATACAGAGCTATATAAAGCTGTACAAAGCTATACGCAGTTAAACATAGCTATACAGGACAATACAGGACTATACATAGCTATACAGGGCTATACACAGCTATATAAAGCTATACACAGCTAAATAGAGCTATGCACACCTATACAGGACTATACACAGCTATACAGAGATACACACAGCTATACACGGCTATACTGGGCTAAATACAGCTAAACGGAACTTTATACAGCTATACAGAGATATACATAACTATACAGAGCAATGCGCAGCTATACAGGGCTATATGAATAAAGGGGTAAGTTTCTAAAGAAACCGTGGTGCTGCGTCGGTGGGAGAGTATAGCAGGTATAGCAGAGTATATAGAGAGTATAGCAGCCCTGTACAGCCAGGTATACCCAGCTATACACGGCTGTACAGGGCTATACACAGCTATACAGGGTTATACACAGCAATGCAGGACTACACATAGCTATACAGTGCTATGCACAGCTATACAGGGCCATACGTAGCTATACAGAGCTATATGCAGCTATACAAGGCTATACACAGCTACACAGGGCTATACCCAACTAGACATGGCTGTACAGGGATATGCACAGCTATACAGGGCTATACATAGTTATACAGGGCTATACACAGCAATACAAAGCTGTACACAAATATACAGAGCTATACACACCTGTATAGGGCTATAAAGGGCTCTACACACCTATACAGAGCTATACACAGCTATAAAGAGATATACCCAGCTATACATGGTTGTACAGGGATATACACAGCTATACAGGGCTATATATAGTTATACAGAGCTAAACACAGCAATACAAGGCTATACACACCTTTACATGGCTATACATAACTATACAGGGATATACGCAGCTATACAGAACTATATGCACCTAAACAGAGCTATGCACACCTATAATTTCTGCAGGCTTTGAATTGAAATAGCATTACTTTTAATAATTTTATTGTTACACCTTACTCAAGGATCAGTTTTTCATCATGATGAGTATAAAAATGCCATAAAATGGATTTTCTTAAAATTTATTGAATTCTTATTCTGGAATAGGCTGTAAATACCACTTAAGTGCTCAAGTGATTGTAGAAAACCTGCAGAGCTAAACGAAAAATGTTATTCAATACTTAGTTGTTAATTCAAATGTCAGCAATTGAACCACAATAGTTTTCTGAATTTCTCTTATATCAGTGATAGTTCTGCATTCCCTCATTGACGGCATTCTCTCTTTTACTTGTTTTAAAAGTGTGTTATCAAAGAAATAAACACGTGAAAAATGCAATTTATGTATAGTTGTGTATAGCTCTGTATAGCTCTTTATAGCTGTGTATAGCCTTACATGGCCTTTTATAGCTGTGTATAGCTGTGTATAGTTGTTTATAGCCCTGTATAGCTGTTTATGGCTCTTTATTGCGCTGTATAGCTGTGTATGGCTGTATCTAGTCTTGTTTTGCAATGCATATGTGTGTAGGATATTATATGTAAAGTATAGGACATTATATGCATGTAAAGTATAGGACATAACAATTCCTCATACATGACCTACTTACTTGTTTTCCCGCCAAATTGGAACATTATTCTGTGATTTCATCATTCGAAACGTTTGGTACGAGGTGAGTAGGTTTGATAATTTGATGATTTGATCATTTTCGCTGTAGAGAGCCCAAAAAATGCTCGAGAGAAGTTCAATGACAAGATCGGAAATTAATTTAATGTTTTAAAATATTATGCTGTTGTCGGGGGTTTCGATAACTTCGATAAGCAATGCCGATGGTGAAGTATCTCGGCGGCTGTGCACTTAAAACCCAAACACGAGAGCTTGCTTGCAAAGGTCTTACAGGCGGCAGTATAGACAGCCGGTAACCGGCTTCTTATGAAAACCCCGGCTGTCGAACAATTGGAGTTCTGTGAAAGGGACAAAGGACGTAAAACGAACGCGCTCGCTAAAAGCAGATCTGTAGCCATTCTTCTGACATCAATAATTCAGCACTTAGCATATATCGTTTTTATTACTGGAATCTCTTGCATGGCTAAATGTATCTGCTGATTTATCCTGCACGCTCGATTCTAACTTTAATAAGACACGCGGTTGTTTTGACCGAACGCACAATGTCACTCGCATGGTTTCAATAAATTATTTTTGCACTTGATACGCGCGCTTTGCTTCTGGATAATTGTGATAAGCTATCTCGTATTTTTTCATGTATATCATTAATACGTAAAGACATGATTTTTCACGTGCAATTTGGAATGAATAACCACAAATTGCACTCGCCCTACGGGCTCGTACAATTTTGTTAGTCTTCGAAAAATTTTACTCGCGCTTATTTATTCCAAATTGCATTCGAAATCACGTGATTACCTCTACAAAGTACATGTACTAAAAATAATCAAAAAATTTATGTCTTATTACAAATGTATTCAGACATATGATGCAAGAGCTCAGTCAATGGAGCATTCCATTGCATTGCTAAAGAAAAGGACTGCAAGCAGATTTCCACTAAGAAGTATAAATGGGTACTGAATAACTGTTTGTACATTTTATGGTATGCTTGGAGGCCTGGGGAAGCATTGCTTGAGAAGCCTTGTTTTCCCTTCAGGAGGATGAAAATCTCTGCAATTTACTTCAACCCCTAACACCCTAACATCGGTATGCATACTCTGGGAGGCTTGGGGAAGCATTGCTTGAGAAGCCTTGTTTTCCCTTCAGGGGGATGAAAATCTCTGCAATTTACTTCAACCCCTAACACCCTAACATTGGTATGCATACTCTGGGAGGCCTGGGGAAGCATTGCTTGAGAAGCCTTGTTTTCCCTTCAGGAGGATGAAAATCTCTGCAATTTACTTCAACCCCTAACACCCTAACATCGGTATGTATACTCTCCATACTATTCTCTGTATATTTCCTGAGATGCTGACAAGGAGAATTTGTTTAACAATCAAGAGCTTCTTTATATGGTGATCATTTCCTTTATTCTCAAGACCTTAAAAGTGTTTGCTTTGGGGGTGACATTGTAAGGGGAAAAAGGACAATAGTCACTCTTAAAGGTTAAAGAGTTCAAGCTGGGAAAAAAAGGGTACAAATTAAGCAGATTGATGCATTTCACTCACAGTCAGACTTGTCTCTCTTTAAGGCTTTTAATACAACTGCATCAGGATGTTGTCAGGCACCGATACATGTATGAATAATGACAATACTGAAACTTGCATACTGAAGAAAGAACCTATGAAGACACAAAAACATGATGAAATGCAGTACCTGGAGTTAATTCAACACATCATTGATCATGGGTCAAAGAAAGAGGACAGAACAGGTGAGATGGAAGATCAAAAATATACAGCACCATACTGTTTACTAGTCAAAGAATTATTAACATGCTTTAGAGCATGCATGATCATCACCTTTGAACAATAACAAAATATTGTTGGAACAATAAAAGTAAATTTTTCAAAGTGAAATTACTTCTTCTGCAAGGAAAAGAATAGGCTTGAAAATCTTAAGTGGTGATAGATCAAGAAATCTGACCTTTTAGAAGCTTGTTGGCCTGCACATCACAAGGTAAAAAACATTCCTACCAAAATTATCTCAGCTTTTGGTGATTGAGAGTTAACATTTTACTCAAGCAATTTGTGAATACAAAACTACAGTCAACAAGTGTATAGCGAGTAATTTGTTCTAAATTAACAGTATCCTTAACCACTCACAGGTACAGGAACCCTCTCCATTTTTGGAGCCCAGATGAGATTTAGTCTACGTAACAATGTATTTCCTCTTCTAACAACAAAGAAAGTGTTTTGGCGTGGAGTCGCCGAGGAGCTTCTTTGGTTTGTCAGTGGTTGTACAAATGCAAATGAGTTGAGCAAGAAGGGAATTCATATCTGGGATGCAAATGGCTCAAGGGAATTTCTTGACAAACAAGGTAATTTCAAATTGCAAATAGAACAAATTTGTTTCATTTAATTACCAGCAAATAGCTGTTGGTGTAAGATGGTAAAGTTTCACTTTTACAACATAATACAATAAAGACCAAACTTTTATTTTTTGAAATTTAGTAATTGTGAATAATAAATAATTTTAATACTTATATAGCGCAATATACATATGGATATGATCTTATGCCCTTTAAAACAACTGAAATAAAATAAGTAAACCGAACAATTAAAACACTGAACATAACTTTGTATCTGGAGATACAAAATATCACTCACAGGTACAGGAACACACTCCATTTTTGGGTCCAGATGAGATTTAGTCTATGCAACAATGTATTTCATCTTCTAACAACAAAGCAAGTATTTTGGCAGGGAATTGCCGATGAGCTTCTTTGGTTTGTCAGTGGTTGTACAAATGCAAATGAGTTGTGCAAGAAGGGAATTCGTATCTGGGATGCAAATGACTCAAGGAAATTTCTTGACAAACAAGGTAATTTCGACATGAAAATGGAACAAGTTTGTTTCATTTACCAGCAAATAGCTGTCAGTGTAAGATGGTAAAGTTTCACTTTTACAACATAATACAAAAAAGGCCACACTTTCATTTTTTGAAAGTTAATAATTGTGAATAACAATAATTTTAATACTTTAATAGCACAATATACATCTTGATATAATCTAATGCCCTTTAAAACAACTGAAATAAAATAAATAAAAAACTTAACATAAATTTGTAACTGCAGATCTCACCATCATTGAAATTACTATCTCAAAATGATCTTATCTAATACTTGCCATTTAAAAACTAATGTACAATACTTAAAAAGCAAAATATTGATCTTAAATATATTAATGATATGAAAGTATATAATAGTAAAATGCCAAAATCCTAGATTGAGTTAGCTGTCAGAGTAAGATAGCTAAATTTCATTTTACATCATAATACAATGAAGACCCCACTTTCATTTTTTTCATCCCACAATCTGGGATGGAAAAATGTGGTCATGATAATTATTATAGGGTTATTGCATGACTTAAAAGTGATGAATAATTATGTGACTTTTCCCAATAATATCCACACATTATTTGGCAAACAGGTAATGAAAATACTTATCAGGTAGAAGCTGTTATCTTGATCTAACATCAAATTCTTGTAACAAATTTGCAATGGAATGTGTAGTTGTTAGAGGGGAGAATGAACAAGCAGATCTTTGGGGTTAAAAGGGTAAACAGGTTGGGTATTATGATGGGGCTTGGCCCATATTTCAAACCAAACTTCCAGGTTTATGATCTTTTTAATTTTTAGGTTTGCAACACAGAGAAGTTGGTGACCTTGGTCCAGTGTATGGATTTCAGTGGCGTCATTTTGGTGCCACCTATGATGACATGCATACAAACTATGATGGCCAAGGAGTGGATCAGTTGGCTGATGTGATTGACAAGATAAAAAATAACCCTGATGACAGGCGGATTATAATGTCAGCCTGGAATCCTGTTGGTAATAAAAACAACAGTGTTATTTATACGTACCTGTGTATTGATAATCAATCAGAATTGAACTCCAATTAGCTTTTTCGGGGGGTGGGGGAAGGGATGAAATTTTAGGGTTTGAGGGCTATAATTTTGATGAATTATTAATAAAAGACAAAGAAAAAATGAATTTATTTATAAATTGATCTAAATGATACTTTTGATTGTTCCAAGACTCATTTCAAACCAGTCATGACTCCTTTAACAGAAAATCTGCTTTGTCTTCTGGTAAAATCTCTTGAAAAAAGAAATAATTATGTTTGAGACAATTTCAACCTCCCGTAACTTAAAATTTAAATAATACTGTGGATTATTCAGCTTATGTGCTCTTTAGAAAACTGATAATTATTTGTAAATGGTTCTCATTCAATCAACAGATTTACCTAACATGGCTCTTCCACCATGTCACTCATTTGTCCAGTTCTATGTCTGTAATGGAGAACTTTCCTGTCAGCTTTATCAAAGATCTGGGGACATGGTATGTAATCTGCAAGAAATAGTTGAGAAGATCACAACCACTTTGTTGTGGTCCTGTCTTTGTGTAAAATTTTCATCAAGATCTATCAAACTTGGAGAGAGGAGATTGAACCAGAGTGCCTTACCTGCCACTTTTACAGAATAGACTAACTACTAAATAAAATGTTGAATTGAATGATTTGTGATCAAACCTAACTCCTAATTTAGAGCTATGTGTAGATGTTCAGAGTATCAAAAGACACTTTGGGAAAGGTAGAAACAATCTTATATTGCATAGTGGATTTTTTTTTCATTTCCAGGGTCTCGGAGTACCTTTTAATATTGCCAGCTATTCACTGCTGACCTACATGATTGCCCATGTCTGTGGTTTGAAGGTAAGATCCTTATCTTTTCAATGCATTTTGTTGATAAATATTGTAATTTTTTGTCAATAAGTATGTGTTGTACATGTGGCCTGTTTTAGGACATGACAAAGGGACTCTCTCCAGCTTTCAAGCACAGGCAACTTAGTAAACCTAGAATCAAACATCTTGACCATCAACTGATTTTTATTTTTTGGCCTCACTGAATAAATTTTACCATCAATGTTTCTCTCTAGCCTGGTGACTTTGTGCACACGCTGGGAGATGCACATGTGTACCTGAATCACATTAAAGCTTTGAAGAAACAGGTGAGAACATTTACACAAAAGGGGAATAAACGTTGTATGGTGTTTGACAAATAAAAAACAACTCAGTGAAAACTTGATCTCAGTCTCCATTGCCTCAAATACGATTGTCACCCTATCTGTAAAGGAAATTTACAGACATGTTTGTTTCACCTGATATTTTACCAAATGAAATATTTTGTTTCCACAGCTTCAAAGGGAGCCTCGCCCATTCCCAACCTTAGAGATTGCACACGATGTCCCAGATATCGACAGCTTCTCGCTTGATAAATTTAAGATCACTGGATATGACCCACACCCAACTATCAAAATGCAAATGGCTGTCTAAAGTTGAATGCACTTGTGAATACATTACTCTTTAAATTAATCTTAATAGGAACTTGTGTTTGTTAAAAGAATACTGCATTATATATGATTGTTAAATCCCTCAGGGTTTCAAGCTAAACTTCTTTAAAGTTGCCATTTGGCAACCTTAAAATTAGAGAATGGTCCTTGAAAAAAAAACAAAAAGAAAAAGAGAAGGAAGAAGAACATTTTTTCAAATATTGCAAACTATTTCAAGCAAGAACTGATCTTATTTGATACTTAAAATCATACACTGAAAAATGAAAATGTTACAATTTTGCGAACAAGTATTTTTCTAGAATAGAGTGTACACTTTCCTATTTCTGCACAGTTGGTATTAAAAGTTATCTCTTTTTTTTACTGTCTTGAGCATGGGGTCATTTCCCAAACTGTGGCTGATTTCATGCCAAGAGGCATAATTAAGTCTAATACAGGAATGCTGTACCTGAAGGCCACACCCTTGCCTTTTTGTAAACTACTTTTGATCAACAAGGTACATGCTGATCCTATTAATATTTCTGATGAGGATTAATACTATCAACATTGAAGTTTCCTATCATACTGTTCAGCCAGAGAATTATTATAATTATAATTAATTATATTACAGCCAAATTCTTTGGTCCTAATGCATACATGTAGGTCTTTTTAGTACAATGCCCAACGATGGGGTATAAATTCATTAAATTAAGCCCCAGAGTCTTAGCTAACGAGGTCCTAAGGTGCCTGAGGAAACCCCTTTCTCCCTCCTTTCTGAGAAAGGGTTGTTTATAATATCTAACTTTTGTGTCAATAAAATGCTGAAGCCAGACCCTCATTAGACTTTTCTCGGTAGCAGAACTATATGATACAAAAATGATGAGACACACAAACTATTTAGGTCTTAATACATGATTAATGCATAAAATTCATGTTCTATGCAAGTTTGTGTACCAAGACGTTCTAAATACCAAATATTCCATAAGGGCTCTCTGTGGAGTTAACCATATGCTGAACAGCTAACACAATTTCAGCACCAGAAGCCAACCGCTCAAAATACTGGGAAAGAGAAATCAGCTGGTTATTCTGTTCTTTGCTTGATTTTCTTTGGTGTAATGAGGAAGTAATTGGGTGACAGCTATGTCAACGTGACAAACTGTAGCAATGTCACGCACTGCGTGACTGAGGAGAAAATTAAACGCAGAAGCCTGGGGGGAGTACGATGTTCGCCAGCCATTTTGAAAAAGTTTAGTCTTCACACGAGTCAAATATATGAAGATAGTAGCGTTTCTCTGATGACAATTTGTACATTTTACAGATCATCGGGCTTATTGACAGCCTAGAGGTTAGTCTACTACGGCAGAATAGTTATGTAGCAAATTTTGCTTTAAATCTTAGACTATCATAAATTTATTAAGGGAATTTTGCAATGAATTTATGTAATTACGTAAGACAGTAAGCTCACTTTTACCATCGGATGTGCGTCCGATATTTTTTGTTCGCGATGGAAAATTGATGAGTTTTAACTTTTTTACCCTGTGACCTCTTTTGGGGAATATGACGGGTTTTAAAAAAACTCTATATCCCCACCACAAAAAAAACAACAAAAAACACTGGCAACAAACAAAATCTAACAGGACATAAAATATGCAAAGTGTTTTGTAGACCATTAAATCAAAGGCCAATCACTCAACAGAGGCCTTGTAAGTTGGGTTACACAGTTTCCCCATTCTTAAATCCTCATAACAGACGTGATTATCACAGGGTCTCTAGAACAACGGTTACCTAAGTTAATGTTTTCTCTTAGTATAATTTATCTTACCTCTCTCTCTTTCTGCTTCAACAATACCTTGTAAACCTTTAGTTCACGGTTTCCTTGAGTATATTCCAAGCATAAAGTCAACTGCCATTTGTTTCCTTTAAAAATGTCATATTGCCATGCAAATGCCTTTTGAATGACAAGGATTGCTGTTTTCATTTCAGGCTTCATAAACTGACCTTAGAAATGACAAATGCCAATAATTTGAGGTTTGCAGTTAAACATCTCTACAAGCAGGTCAGATAAATGTCCTACATGAAGTGTATCCACTAAAACCCAATTGTAAGAAAGAGTTAAAAAAAAACACTTAGATAAATTGCCCTCAGGTTCATGGCACAAAACTGTTTTGCTTTTGACCTTAATCGTTAATCTCCCAGGAGTGATAGACATGTAACTTCTCCCCACAATATCCATACATTACCCAGTGAACAGGTTAGGAGAATACTCAGACCTATCAGGTAGAGGTTGTTATCTTTATCTCAGACCAAATTCTTGTACCTAATTTGTAAGAAAATGAGTAGCAGCTAAATGTTAGAATTAAAATCAGACCTTAGGTGTTAAAAGGTTAATCTACTTGATGGTTATTTTTCTGGTGGAAAGTCCCAGCCAGGCTTAACCCTTAAAACCCAAAGAGTGATCAGCATTCAATTTCTCCCCACAATAGTAATGCTGAATCATTTATTGAGAGCACAAGAATGGAGAGAATGATCACTAGCCTAAGAGGCTTTGATTGTTTAACATATTCTCCTTGTCAGTAGTTAAGAAAATGTATAGAGAATGGTATAGAGAACATGGATACTGATTGTAGATAGAAATAGTAGAGATGGTAAGTTTTGTCTCACACTCATCCAACGCTCGTGAAAAGACGAAAAAACATATTTCTTAATTCTTTACCAAGCTCAAAACTTGCCATCTCTACAAAAAAGTTGAGGTCAATTCTTATGATGTTAGTTCAGAGAATTTGGTAATGGATTAACTAATAATCCCTAATTGATATTGTTTATTTTCAATACTTGTCTGCTTGATATTGTGTTAATTTTATATAGTATGGAGAAATTATGTCTCGGTCACTCATGGGAGTTCAGAGGTTAAGGTGTGGTGTCATTTTGCAGCAGAGAAGCTTTTTTGTGAAAGATTTACCCACTTTCTTTACACAGAACCAATGAGTCAAATACAACTCAATGCTTCATAGGAGAATATTTCACTTGTCTAGTTACTCACAGTATAGCTGGTTAGAGGTTGCTGATCTTTTTCCTTTCTTTACAGTTATTGTTTCTTGGAAGAGATTATCCAGCAGGAGAAAAGTATTTTAAATCCAAACTTAAACAAGCATTTATGAAAAACAGGGATGAAACAGACCCTGAGAAGATTAAGATGTTGATTGCCAGAGGAGAATATGTCATCAAAGAGGTTGAAGCTTTGTACATGTTACGAAAATACAGGACTTTAAAGCAGCGATACTATGGAGACCAATAATGGCATAAAACATTGGCCATTAGAATGCTAAATCAAAATTTTCAGTGATAGATGCTCTTGCTTCAGGCTTAATGACTATGTAACTGCTTTGAGTGGTTATTTCAGTTGTACATAGTTTGAACTTCAGTTGTTCTAACTATACATGGCTGCAAAAATTTCTTAATATAATTTTGTATAAGGGTTTTAAGTCATGGCAACTTCTGCATCATCTAGTAAAGTAATTTTTTGGAATTCCTATTTTGTTGGTTTATGGAATAGTGTCACAGAGGCTTTTTTTGGAGAGAACTGCTAAGGAGTTGCAGTGAGTTGCTGATGAAAAAGAAGACTTTGTCACACTTTTGGAAAACATTTGTGTCTGAAGAGTTAAAAGTTGTCATTATGACATTTAAATGACAGATAAAGCTAACCACAAGGACAGTGTCAATTGTAAACCAGTTTTCATGTAGACAGTGCATATATCCATGCCATAGGTATCAGCTGGTAGCTTAAAAAGGTTGGAGAAGTGATACACTGCTTCAGCATTGTGTGACATGAACAGGGTATGCATGTTACTCAATCCTTATATGTTCCTCTATCCCTAACTGGAGAATGTGAAACCACCTTATGACTCTTCCAATGTCGAACCACTGACTAACAGCTCTGCAACAAAAAGGCCTTTGAAAGGCTCAGATCACAGCTTAGATTTGACCTTTTGTCAGTGAGGATGGAAATGGTATTGAGTGGTACTCTTTTTCGCTGTTGGGAATACTGAGGCAGAATTAAAATGAGAAACTGGGATCATGATCAGGAAAATGGGATTTGTGCCAAGACCAGTTTTTAAATCACAGTTTGTGCACCTCAAAAATTGAGGCTTAAATTTTTGGAGTTCATCACTTGCAATCGCTTTTAGAACAGTTATCTAGTGAGTGTCCAAAGTGAGGGGGGTTTTAATTAACTTTCCTCTGTGATTGGTCCAGAAAACTCGCGCCATCTTCTCAACCAATCATGCAATTTTTTAAAAAAATGGCGACTTGGTCATTCTCGTTTTCCCGCGCTTTAGGCAGTTTGCATGTTTTCACTCCTAGTTCTCATTGGCTAATGGGAATGGAAGTCTTTGCTCTGACGAAGGGTTAACGCTCGAAACTTAAGCTCTGAAACTCTTTACGGTAACCAATTTACATTATCAACCCAGTAGTACGACACAACTGCCTTTTGCTTTATTGGTAACTGCTCTATCTAATTTTTTTTAATCAAAGATTTTAATTAACAACACTACAAAATACAAACTAACATTGTTAACAAGAATGGCGTTTTTTACTATATTTATAATGTAAATATTACCTATAATAATGACTTTGCCTTAAATACTAACCTTATGTACCATACTAACATCGCCTAAAGTTATTTGAGTTTCCCTTATATCAATCAGTTATACTAATTTGACCAATTTTTTTTTTTCACGCTTTTAAAAATTCCTCGTAAATGTTTGCACTAACCCACTTTTTCATCCACATAGACTAACACCACTAAACACCACTCAGATACTGAAGGCACAAAACAAAACTTATAACATCCGGAAAATATTGTTGAACCTGTGTTAAGCGACACCGTACTAAGCGGTCTACCTGTAATAAGCGGTCAGTTGTCAAAGTCCTAATTTTTCCCCCTTCAGTTACCGTAATTTTTTACCTCTGCTAAGTGGTCGCAGTGACCCTTGACTTAGTCCCAACGTCCTTAATCTCATGGCCTGACCTGTATTAACCTGACCTGTATCTTAGTAAAACTAAAAAAGTCCCAAGTAAAATTTATCAATGTTAGTACTACATGAACAAACGTCCCTAGCGCATTACGCGTTAAACAGTCCATAGATTACTTTTTCATGCAGCCATTAACACGAAAGTTGTCGTTTCTTACCGCGTTTGACTGTTTCGTGGATCCTGTTTTAAGCGGTCATCGCGCCATTCCCCGTGGTTGACCGCTTAATACAGGTTTGACTGTATGAAATAAGCCAGCAATTAATGAATACAATACTTCAATATGGCAGTCGCTCATGAAAAAAGTTATTGCAACCCCCGACTGCATGACCAAAAAAATTTCGATTGATAATTAAATTCAAGTTCTGATTTCAATGAAAATTTCATTCACCTTCTCATTTACGCTTCATAAACTTAATTCCATGTAAACATGATTTATACCAAATTTTCCAGTCTTTACATGGTTATATCGCAAATTTTTCGTTTTTTGCCAACAGCTGGGAAGTAAACAAGCACATCCAGACTTTTTCTAACCTCAGGTTCTCACGATCATTAAGTGCTATTATTATCATTAATAAATCTCTTTTGTCCGACCGATCATCCAATTTTTACGGGAGAAAGGCATCGGAAAAGTAAACCATTTTGGAAATGGCCTTAAGATCGGCGCACAAGAAGGGACTAGTCCCTGTAACTACAGTCCTAGGAACCAAGTCCATTCGTGTGAACTACCCATTTTCATGAAGAATATGGTCGCAGGGACCAAATTAATCTGAATTCGTGGAACAAGTTCCCTGAACCAATCCCCCAAATTATCCAGGTCCCAGCGTGTGAACTGTTAGTAGGAGAAAGTCCCCGGTCGCAAATAACAATAATCCAATCACTGAGTGGTATTTTAGTTCCCATTACCCCTTTCGAACTTAAATATATTTTGAATTTTATGCGACGTGGTCTGCAGAATAAATTTTCAATTTGGTCGTATTAAGGGCTCTGTTTGAAGAGCTGCTGTTTTCAGTTCTGGATCAGTTTAGTATACCGAATCCCAGGGAAAAAAAAGAACGCTTTCGAAATTGTAAATAACTGACCAATTTTATAAATCGAGAGTATCTTGTTTAATTGACGTGAATATGTACTTCAGTGTTTTGCGGTTAAGTTAGTAAATTGATTCGGTTTCTCTGTTTGGGAGCGTTCCATTTCCGTCTCTACGCTTCCCTTAATTTCAGTGGAAGCGCTCTAAATTTTACTATTTTGACGTGTTACAGTTCCCGGCGTATAAACCCTTTAATAGGATCTTAATGGGGTGATGGTTTTTACGGCTAATGGTTAAAATATTGGCTATTTAACGGCTAACAATTAATTTCTTTCCGTTGCGATTAAAGGAAAACCTTTTTACGGTTACTAAAACTCCTATTACGACTACTGTCATTTTTTTCGCCCAACGGCTAAAGGTTAAACCCACGGAGACCCTCTTCAAGAAAGTTGTCCTCGCAACTGATCCCATCGTGAAAACCCTACAGAGGACAAGTCCTTGCATGAAACAAGTCCCTGCCACTCGTTCCCTTGTATCCTGAAGATTGCTTAGTCCAAAAGTAAGACATCGTTTTCTACTGACAATAAAAAATTTATAAATTTACCTAACACAACAGCAAGGAAAGTAAATGTAACAAATACGTATTGATAAAAAGCGGATATCCTAAAACTTTTTTTCGTTTTTTCGATCGGATGAATTTCACTGACATCAAGACTTCTACGTTATTTTGGATTGTATATTGTGACTTAGATTAAGCTCCAGGTAATCAATCATTTGTAAACATTTTAAGTTGATTGTTAAGAAAATAATCTTTAAGTGAAATATGTAAATGGCTAATAACTTTTTCTTATTTCGAGGACAAATTTGCATTCAAAGAGTACGTGTTAAGTAATTAAACCTAGCAAACCAAATTGTACATCTTAGATTCTGTTTCGAGGTAAGTCAATCTTGCTTTTTTTTTTTTCCTCGAGGTAATTTTAAACACAATAATCCTAAAAGGCGAGCATTTTATAAGCTACTATTCCCATTCGACCAGCTCACCTGTCTCCCGAGAACATTAGCTTTTGTGTGACATCGTCAATCATTCTGTATAAAATGTTCCCTACTTTCCTACTTTTACCTCAAGAAAGCTACTAAGTGTTGGTTTTTACCTATAATGGTTGCCGCTGGGTTTTTTGTCATACTGTCCGCAATAAAAAATGTTCGCTACACTTTTACAATGTTCACAGTTCCTGGGAATTTTTCTCTGATTTCGAAATCTAACCTTCACGATTGCTTAATGGCTGTTAGGGTTGAGATTTCGTTTTAGCCCTGATCATGATAGTGGATTTTCTACAGGTATTTCTCCGTTTTTCTCCCTTCTTGAAAGACAACACATACTAAAACAGTTCTACTTGACCACAACAGTGGCACAAGTTTTGTGCGATGAGTTCTTTAACGTCTTCAGTGTTACTCAGGCGAAAAAAAACTCCTTATCATATACCACTAACCGGACCAGATGCATGACAAAGTGAGAGATACGCTGATTTGTTTCCTGCGTGTTGAAAAATGATTTGCACCCCTGCACATTTAAAAAGTAAAAAGCCTTTAGATCTGTCCTTGTCATTCTCTAATCTCCACGAAGACCTATCGCTCCTTAATACTTGAGCATTGACTAATCTTGGTCAAAATGGTCTTCCTTTTAAAAATAAACTTTGGCAGTTTCAGATGCTATTTTCAAAAAGGTATTCTACTAAACATTGAGTTTTTTAATTTTCCCCTTATCAGCAAAATATTAATAATGGTTGATGAAAATCACGAAATTACGAGCTGATAGATTGTATTCTTGTGACCCGTAATAATTTTTCTAATCTACTCTCAATATAACGTGGCGCAAACCCGGAACATTTGGTTTATCACACGGTTATCTTCCGTTGTCCGATTCATCATTTATAGGTACCACGCCACTTGAGTCTTACAGCCAATAACATCACGGAAGAAATGACCAATCAGGATTTACAAACCGGACTTACGACATTCGATTGACAACAACTATTCACTTGACTCTGATGATGACTTCCGCTCAGGTTGTCGAAACGTCAGTCACCACTACTGACAACAGTCCTTCTTAGGGCTACATGGACGATCAAACTACAATATTACACCTTATTGATTTGTTGACACCTTATCCCTCTCATTCTCGCTGTAAAGACAGGAGCCTGAGAAAGAGGTTCAAATGCTAAAGAATATTTTTCTCGTAGAATTCATCCACAATGAAGTCATCAGAACACAGATTTCAAACGCTATTCGAGCCATTCCGTATCAAATCAGTTGAGAGGATACAACGTACCACGAGAGCTCAGCGGGTTCAGCGTCTAGAAGAGGCGAATTTTAATCCCTTCATGTTGAATTCTGAAGACATCATTATCGATCTGTTGACAGATTCTGGTACGGGCGCCATGAGCTCTGACCAGTGGGCTGCAGTCATGAAGGGTGACGAGTCTTACGCGGGCTCACCAAGCTACCGGAATTTTGAAGCAGTGGTGAAAGAAATCTTTGGCTTCCGACACGTGATCCCTACGCACCAGGGCCGCGCTGCCGAAAGGATCTTATTCCAGTGTAGTCTCAAAGAGGGGGATGTCGTTCCAAACAACGCGCACTTTGATACAACTCAGGCCAACGTAGAAAAACGGGGAGCCAAAGCGATGAATTTGCCAGTTTCCGAAGCCTTGGATCCAGAGGTAAGTATTCCATTCGGTGGCGATATGGACATCAACAAACTGATAGAATTGCTGTCGAGTGGAATAAAAGATAAGGTTACATTGGTGATGACAACCGTAACTAACAATGCCACAGGTGGAATGCCCGTCAGTATGGAGAACATAAGAATGGTTTCCAAGATTTGCCGCTCTCGAGGAATCCCCTTCTTTCTTGACGCGTGCCGTTTTGCGGAAAATGCTTGGTTCATCAAAATGTTTGAGAAAGGGTATGCACATCGCTCGCCGCTTCAAATTGCACGCGAGATGTTTTCGTACGCCGATGGCTGTACCATGTCTGCCAAGAAAGATGGCCTCGTAAATATTGGAGGATTTCTGGCCATGAATGATGAGCAACTCGCTGACAAATGCCGCCGGGAGTTGATCATATCTGAGGGGTTTGTCACCTATGGCGGGTTGGCCGGAAGAGATCTCGAGGCGATGGCCGTTGGATTACGTGAGGGCCTAGAGGAAGACTATCTTCAATATCGAGTTGGATTTGTCAAAATGCTGGCAGATTTGCTGAGGGAATATCACATCCCTGTGTTAACCCCACCAGGTGGACATGCGGTCTACATCGACGCAGCAGCTATGTTGCCGCATATCCCCAGAGATCAATTCCCAGCTTGGGCTTTGGGATGCGCATTATATGTTGAAGGTAAAATAACATTAGCTAATGACACATAAATTATCATTAGATGGAGAGCGGTGGCGCCTAAGTGCATTACTTGCAAGAACACTAGAATGAATCTAGTGCTGTTTTTTTTTTTTGTTTTTGTTTTTTTTTTAAAGATTAAGTTGTTTCAAAAGATAGCACAAATACAGAACAAAACTACTCAAAGTCGCGAATCTTGCTCGAGATATACTGTCGTGTCAGAGCGTTTTTCGATTAAACTCGAATGAACACCAAAGGAGAACATAAGTTAATACTGAAAATTGCCAGTGAGACCTTGAAGTAAAAGAAAAAGTTCAAACTGCCTGAGGCGCGGTAAAACGGGAGAGACGAATTTGAAGTTACTCCTGACACGAGAGCCATTTGTCGAAATGTCGAAGGTAACCCGGGATTTCAATGGTTTCCTTTACTTTGTGTCGTGATTGGTTCGGAACCCGCGCCACACTCTCAGCCAGATGTTCAAAGCACAAAAGACATGAAGGAGAAAGTCAGCAAATATTGATTGCGTTGTATTTGAAAAGAAGCCATTATTGATATATGTATTTTTCAGGTGGTATTCGTTGCGGTGAGCTGGGCGGTGTAATGTTCGGTGGAGATGATATAAGCTTGGAGAACGGTCACGAACAAGAAGATGAAAAGAAGGAACTTCTTCGCCTTGCAATTCCACGCAGGACATATACTGAGTCACACATGAAGTACGTATTTTCTACACTATAGGTGAGGGGGGGACCTTTTAATTTTTGCAGAGGGGGTGTGACGACAGCTTTCTAATTTTTCGGCTATTATTATTTAAATTATTATCATTTTTGTTGTTACTATAATTATTACTTTATTCCAGAGAAAATTTCGGGCAATCAACGCAGTCTTTTTAGCCCTCTAAACATACTATCAAACAAACATAGTTCTCACAAATCATTTAATCATGGTATATTTACTGTAGGTATATCGCTGAAGTATTGGAGTACGTTAGCAGACACAAAAACGAAGTCAGCGGATATAGAATCACGTGGGCTCCTGCTGTATTACGTCATTTCAGTGCTCATCTCGAACCCATTTTCCTGCCAAACCAGGAACACGAGAACGGCATTGGAAACGAGGGAAGATAATTTGGTGGAATTCGCTACATGTGAATCACCATTTCCTGTACTGCAAGGAGAATGCTCGTAAACTCACTGACTGTTGTGAAAAGTATCCACTGAAGGATTAATCTTTTCTTTTGAGGCACGTATTACACTAATTTTATCACTATCCTAATAACCAGAATGCGGGGGTTTGTCAAACACAAGATTCAAATAAAGTTTGAGGCCATAATTGTATCCTGATTCCTGGTCTTGATAGATGATTTTTTTTTTTGGCTCTTTCCGGCCGCTTGTAAAATTTCGTAATATTTTAATTTTAAGTGCGTCAGAATTCGTCGTATTCGCCACATATGAGTGGCAATACTCTGAAAACGGAGCCTTTGTAAGAAAACCTTGACTGATATAATAAAACGATACAGTTCGCGGGCATGAATATCTTTTAGGCCCGACTCAGAGTTATTTCAGCCCGAGCCGCTAGGCGAGAATTGAAATGACTCGGAGAATGGCTTGAAACAGATTTATGCCCAAGAACATAAACCCTTTTACCATTATTATCATTTTGGAGGGAAAATGAGAAAATAGAACCTGATTAATTACAACAAAACTGTCTGAAAAATCACGCGGGCGTGCGAACAGGCAAAAATATAATTTAGCCCGCCATAATCTCTATCTTAGCCCGCAAAATGCGCCACAGTTCCCGACAAATTGATTGATGATAATTTTCAGCCTCCCATAATATTTTATTGCTTCACAAATGATCAAAAACTCGCTCTCAGGGCGATTCTTCCCATTCACATTTAAAGGGAAAAGCACTGAGGAAAAGAGATTGTAAATGAAAGATTTCTGAGGTGCTGCATAAACGAGTTTTATGATCAACCAATATACGTATAAGAGCAAAAAATTTATATGCAAGTGAACTATGTGCAATAAAAATATTCTCTTTCGGGATTTGAAAACATCTGCTCTTGATATGAGACTTAAATAACACTTTGTCTGCATGCTGAAAAAATATTGGCAAATGAAACTCAAATATGACGACATTGGCGGAATTGATCAAAAAGATCATTTGATCTACGTTGTGTAATTTCCGATGGTTAAGTTTGTTTATGGCGTCGCCTCTTCCCCCTTTACACGCATCTTAGATTGTGTAACATTTGGACAAGAAATGCGCCTTTATGTCAATGGAAGTATTTAAGAATGCGATGGCACTGGAGGAAAAAATCTTCTCAGAGAACCTAGGATACGTCGCTTTGCTTCTCCGGCAGATTCAGTCTTGCACAAAAAAAACTCCTCCCAAGTATTGTTGCGTTGGTAATTGCAACTTTTCAAGGTAAAAAGTCGCTATTTCATAGATCACTTTTTTCCGGCTAAAAACAGTGACTGATCGTGAAACTTAAGTGACACATGTAATTTTTTGTGTCAGCATTTTACTTTACGTGAGAGACTATATTCTAAAATGTACAATTTAGATCGGTTTGAGTGTTTGCGGCCTGCTTATCGGAGCTCATTTATCAATCATGAGTGCTTATCATTCAGTTTCACCCCTGTATTTTTAGGCCGTGCACCATATTCTCGATTACGTTTTAAGGCAATTTTAAAAACTTTGATTGATTTGAGGCTTCGTTTGCTAATTTTTGCCGTTTCGTATTAGTGAAATGTTTTCGATCTGATTGTTAACACATTACACCTTAACATTAGCATTCATATTCTCCTCACTGTTCTCTTTACATTTATTGTGACACTGATTAGTAAAATTTTCTTGAGCTATCAGGACCTTTTTAAATTGGTGATTGTTTCCTTCATTCTCATGACCTTTATAATTGATTCAGGGGCTTTATTGTAAGGAGAAATTAGAAGCCAGACATTCTTAGGGGTTAAAACAAGAATAAAATGATATAAAGGAATTGAAATACATTTTGTTATCTGTAAGAGGGGCTAAAACTCGGTTTTCCTAATTTTTCTATGAACTTAAGGTGGAACTCTACCTCAACAAAAAGCTTACATAGATTGTGCGATTGTACACACTTTGGAATTTGTTATCCGTTGGTTATCTCATGGAATTTTTCTCCGTGCTTTAACAAGTTATTTGACATGTTACTCTTGAAAATTGTCGTGAAATTAAATTGAAAGCAGAAGTAAATAACTAAACGGTGTATCATTGCAACGTTTCTCTTACTTAATTTGGTTCGATCTGTTCCTCTGATCTCTCAACACGTTACGATAAAACGATCTACTGAGAAGTTTCGAGAGACAAGTTTGTTCTGTCAAACAGTTATCAGTTTCTCCAACTTAGTGGTGTTTGAAATTATGTCTTTTCACAGGATTCTTCCGGGACAATTGTAAATAAAAAGAAGTAAAACATCCGTTGAAAATGCGAGAACTCATTTCAAAGGCTGAAGGGCTCAAGGTTTTCCGCTCTAACGAAGATTGTGCTCATGGAAGAGCGATCACAAAAGTAAATCTTTCATCCATGTTAGCTGTTGTAACCAGTTACATTAAATATATATCTAAAACAAGAATTTATCACTTCCATAATATGTTATGGATTTTTTCGGTTTTGGTTATTGATATTCTGCGTATCAAAGTCTAATTTTCAAATTTTGTCATATTTTTAATCATCAGCTTATCAACATCGTTTTTAGTTCGAGACAATAACTTTTTACGAAGGCATGATGTGTTTGCTGTAAAAAACACTATATTGGAAATTTCAAGAGCAAACGCTTCATTTTGTAAATAGCCCTTTTGGGTAAACGGAAGCAAACAAATGTTCTTGTCCAGAGTAATTACAATGGCTAGAAACCGGAAAATGTCCCTTTTAAATGACTAAGAGTTGGACGTTTAAGGGTTTTCTTCGGTGAAAGGAGCAGATATCGGAAATGGCAAATAGATGCAACTAATTCTATTTCTTCCATTCGCTTAGGTAAAACGGTTTTTTTATTCTCTTTTTCTTAATCAAAATAACCAAAATAGTTATTACCAAATGGTAGAGTTCAGAGTATCAAATGCGGAACAGATAAAAGAAATTTCAAATTCAAAACAAAATAACTTACTTCTAATTTTTTTCGAGAGACAAAAATACCTTTCTCGGCATACACGGGGTTATTCCTAAAGGCAAATCCAACAACCGTATTAGTAATTTCTTTATTAAAAGTGACCCACTAATCCGTTCTGTCTTTTTCTCATTTTATAATTTACAATAACAATTTTTCTGTGTCATTATGTAACTATAAATGTACTTACGGTAACTTTTGATCATGTTATAAACCTTATCAGATTTCGAAGACTGGCCCGCTTAGATTGGCGTGCAGACTAGCTGCCCTTTCATATTAAGAATGACAAAAAATATGAAATGTTGTCGTTGTGACTGTACTTTTTCCCTTCCCTAATAGGATTCAGAACCGATGGATTTGAAAGAACATAGTTTTCAAACTTTCTTCGAGCCTTTTCGTATCAAATCAGTTGAGAAGATACAACGTACCACAAGAGCTCAACGGGTTCAGCGTCTAGAAGAGGCGAATTTTAATCCCTTCATGTTGAACTCTGAAGATATCACTATCGATCTGTTGACAGATTCTGGTACGGGCGCCATGAGCTCTGACCAGTGGGCCGCTGTCATGAAGGGTGACGAGTCTTACGCGGGCTCACCAAGCTACCGGAATTTTGAAGCAGTGGTGAAAGAAATCTTCGGCTTCCGCCACGTGATCCCTACGCACCAGGGCCGCGCTGCCGAGAGGATCTTATTCCAGTGTAGTCTCAAAGAAGGGGATGTTGTTCCAAACAACGCACATTTTGACACAACACAGGCCAACGTAGAAAAGTGTGGAGCCAAGGCATTAAATTTGCCAGTCCCCGAGGCCCTAGATGCTAAGATTAAAGTTCCTTTCAGGGGAAACATGGACGTCAACAAACTAAAAGAGTTATTGTCGGGGGAAATGAAAGAAAGCGTTGCTATGGTAATGATTACAATTACAAACAACGCCATTGGTGGAGAGCCTGTCAGTATGGAGAATATCAAAGCGGTTTCCAAGATCTGCCACTTGCACGGAATCCCGTTTTTCCTCGACGCCTGCCGTTTTGCGGAAAACGCGTGGTTCATCAAAACGCGTGAAGAGGCTTATACATATCGCACGCCGCTCCAGATAGCACGTGAGATGTTTTCCTATGCTGATGGCTGTACCATGTCTGCTAAGAAAGATGGTCTCGTAAATATTGGGGGATTTCTGGCCATGAATGACGAGCATCTTGCTGACAAGTGCCGCCGGGAGTTGATCATATCTGAAGGGTTTCTCACTTATGGCGGGTTGGCGGGGAGAGACCTGGAAGCGATGGCTGTAGGATTGCGTGAGGTTCTGGAGGAAGACTACCTTCGGTATCAAGTTGGATTTGTCAAAATGTTGGCAGATTTACTGAAGGAACATCACATTCCTGTGTTAACCCCACCAGGTGGTCATGCGGTCTACATCGACGCAGCAGCTATGTTGCCGCATATCCCCAGAGAGCAGTTCCCAGCTTGGGCTTTGGGCTGCGCTTTATATGTGGAAGGCAAGTCAGAGTCTGTGTTACTGGGTATAAGCCGGTGGGATCTTTGTTTTTATTGAACTCATCTCGTTGCCTGGTGTACGTCTTCTACTTGCCACGAAATGCGCGGTCATCTTTGAGAAATCTCAGAGCCCACGGGGAAGATCCAGGGCATCAGCCATTGCTTATCACTTGGAAAGAGTTGGCGTTGGGGGGTCTGAGGATTTTGGTTCTCCTGATTACTACCTTAAAGCTCTGTAACATTCTTATGCCCTTCCCCCCCTTAATTGGCATTCATTTTCTATAGTCTCCCACTATGCTCTGCTGGCGACGACTGATGCCCCCCCGTTCCCCCTTAAAACCGTGTGAGCCCCCCTCCACCCCCTCTCCAGGCAATAAATAAGGACTGGTCCCTGGTTACTTTTTAATCCCATTATGATGAGAAACGTGTACGCATTTGTATCAGTAACCGCGGAATGATGTAACACACTAATCATGCGTTCACTCACCAAGGATAATATTCCATTTCAAATCGGTAGTAGTCTGGGCAAAGCAAGGCGTTCTGTTCTGTTCTGCCAGAAACCAACAGCGGAAAGGCGCACGGATTAATTTTTTCCTTTCCCCATGAATTCCACCGCCCGCGGAAACGCCTGGTAACAGACTAGACATAGCTCTCGAACTTACCTTATTTGTTTTACTTCTTAGGGGGAATCCGATGTGGTGAGTTAGGTGGTGTGATGCATGGAAAAGATCCTAAGATCATAGAAAATGACCATGAATTAGAAGACGACGAAAGTGGAGAACTTCTACGCCTTGCCATACCACGAAGGACATATACTGAGTCACACATGAAGTAAGTACCGAATAAGTGTTTGTACATACATAGTTTGAGAGCGCTAGGATTCCTAACCGTGAGTCAAATTTTGATTACGATTTTGTCCATTTTATAGGTACGTCGCCGAAGTATTGCAGTATGTTTACAGACACAAAAGAAAGGTTAACGGATACAGAATCACCTGGGCACCGACTGTACTGCGCCATTTCAGCGCTCACCTGGAACCCATTCCTCCATCAGCCAAGAAAGAAGACGGGCCTGAGGAGGATGAGGTCGATGACATGGAGGAATTCATATCACGTGTGCGTGGAATGTCACTTCGTCGACACTCCTACCAGTTTTTGTAACTCTAGTAAACTCGTCGCAGCTTGACATGCTCTGACGAAGGGCTAACCCTCGAAACGTCACTCTTCACGGTGGCAAAATTTTACAACAATAACTCAATTAATAAAACTTGATTATCTTGTTGTACGCCCCGCCCACGCAGATATCAACCTCGTTCCTTTTTGCATTTGAATGGACCTTGGCTTCGTCTCAGCCCATAAAAAATGTAATATCCAGTCATCTTGTCCTCGCTCTCGGTCAATCGCATATTTATATTGTAAAATTTGTTTTAGGATTGTGTTCAACCAGATATCGCAATCGGTTGGTTAATTAAAGATACTGAGCCCAATTACGGTTGTTCCTGTTCAATCCATTAGTTAGAGCGCATTTCAATTGCAAGTCGTAACCCAACGAAATCACAATGGCCAATCAGAGAAAGGAAAATGCTCTTAAGATAATGGGAACTTAAAGTAATGCGTGGCAAAACGCGGGCGTCCAAGTCGTGATTGGTTTTAGTTTTGCATCTGATTGGTTGAGAAGGTTGGTGCGAAATTTCTGGGCCAATCACAGAGCAAAGTACAACAATACCAAAGCAATCCCAAATACCAATGTAACAATGAATTACTTTCTACACTATATTGAGAATTGCTCCAAATGGATATTAAATTGGATTGCAATGCCACTGCATCAATGCTGATAGCATCCGTTCAAATATCTCCTCCCTAATAAGCATTATCAGTTTCCGCCAAAGTTCGTTCTTTAAAATAAGGTTTCGACGATGACAAAGATAAAAACATGGTTGATTAACTTAAATTCATTTTTACTGTCTTAATACATAACAAGTAAATAAATTTCTTCAAATACGTCGTTCTTAGACTTTCTTATCTATAAATGTTTCCTCTTTTCTTTATCATAGTGTAAACTGCAACAAGTTTGCGTTACCTATTAAACAATCTTATTACGATTAAAAATTTTTAGTAAGAATTTTATTTAAAACAGATTCAAAATTCTTTACATCGGGTGACTGAAAGGTATTATACCTGCGCAGCAAGCAAGGCTTGTTTCTAGGGAGTTTCCATCATCCGATGAGGGCACTTCCAAGAAATAGGCTAATAGGGATGTGCCGATAGATAGAGTCGCATTTTTACGACTAAATTGACTGTAATGGGGTTGAATTTTGTTAGAGTTACAAGAATCGGGTGGCATATTTTTGGGATTTTTGGGGGTAAGCAGGCTTTACGTCTACAATTGGCCACAGTATAGACTATGGTGGGGCAGGGGATCTGAGATACCAGCGGTACATACCCAGTAAAATAGACCCAAGCACCCCCGCCACAGTATAGACTATAATGGGGCAGGGGATCTGAGAGGTCAGCGGCACATACCCAGTAAAATAAAACCAAGTGCCCTCGCAGCCATTACTATTCCCCTAAAATCAAATCGCGTACGTCATAACATCAAAATTCATCGGAATTAGTTAATTACTGGGTCTCAAATCATATTAACTAAACTGCATTGATGAATTTTTTCGTCTCCTCAACACTTGACCACTGGACACCTTTACGGCTGACGGACGGCGCACTTTATCTGTTTCCTCAGAAGCCTCTGACGGCGGTGGAATGGGTTCCAGATGAGCGGTGAAATGACGCAACCAGGGTGGTTCCCACGCAATGGTATAGCCGCAAACCTTAGAGCGGTTCCTGTAAATATGGGCACAGACCTCTGCAACATATCTGTAAAGAGGATTTATACAATTATTGGTACATGTTAGTAAGTAGGAATCCCCCTTGAAAAGCCTAAAAAGGGAACAAGGAAATTTTGAATTCTTCCATCCTTTTCCTTGGTGGGCAGAGTTAGGATTTCAAGAGACGTTTACTTGAGGAAAGCATAATAACATTAAGGTTAAATGCTTTTAAAGTCGACATGAGAGCATTCTTTCACGATTTTCTCGCGGCAGTTACCCTCATCCAATCAGATACGAAACTTTTCAAACGCCTACGCCTTTGTGAACAGCACGTGTCAGACTCGCGCTTGATCACTTGACATAAGGACTGGATAGGAATGTGCCACGTGACACATTTGGTCGGTGGGAGAGTTTAACAGGGTAATTTAGTATTATCAAATGAGTTGATAACGTAAATTAGCCACCACAAAGGCATTTAAAGCTGACGTTTCGAGCGTTAGCCATTCGACAGAGCGAAGGGTGAAGCTACGCTCCGATGAAGGGCTAACGCTTGAAACGTCAGCTTAAAAACTCTTTATGGTGGCTAATTCACGTTATCAACTCAGTTTATAATACTAAATTACCACACTATAAGAATTAATGTTACACTTTATAAGTGAAGGGCTCACCTGATATGAGACTCAGTGTAGGTGCGGCGAGGAATGGCCAGACGGAACAGCTCTTCATGCTCCTCCACTTCAGTTTCAAAAACCTCATCATCTTCTTCATCAGTGTTTACTTCATCCTCTGTATTCTCACTCACTGCGGAAGACTCCTTGCCATTTTTGGCCGTTCCCAGCATCACCCCGCCAACTTCAGCCCCTCGGATACCTCCCTCGACATAAAGGGCACACCCGAGGGCCCACGCGGGAAATTGTTCCCTGGGGATGTGAGGCAGCATTGCACCTGCGTCGATATACACCGCGTGACCTCCTGGGGGCGTGACAATCGGAACATGGTTCTCTACGAGTAAGTCCCCCAAAAACTTCACGAAGCCAACTTGATAACGCAAGTAGTCCTCTTCTAAGACCTCGTTTAATCCCACGGCAATTGCTTCGAGATCGCGACCGGCGAGTCCACCGTACGTCGTAAACCCTTCGGTTATCAAGAGCTCTTTCCGGCATTGTGCGGCGAGTTCCGAGTCGTTCATTGCCAAAAATCCCCCAATGTTTGCTAGGCCGTCTTTCTTTGCGGACATAGTGCAACCATCGCCGTATGAGAAGATTTCATGCGCGATTTCTTTGGGTGTGCGATTGGCATAGCCTTCTTCTTTGATCTTGATGAACCAAGCGTTCTCAGCGAAACGACAGGCATCGAAGAACAGCGGAATACCATGAGCTCGACATAGTTTTGAGACCGCCTTGATATTCTCCATGCTAACAGGCTCACCTCCAACCATGTTATTGGTTATGGTGATCATAACAAGTGGGATTCTGGCCTTACTCTTAGCGACCTTTTCTTCTAGCATTCCTATATTCATGTTACCCTTAAATGGCATATCTGTACTCGGCTCCATAGCTTCGGGTGTCAAAAAATTGATCGCGTGCCCCCCCTGCGCTTCGATGTTGGCCAAAGTAGTCGCAAAGTGTGCGTTGTTAGGAACGATATCTCCTTCCTTTATTGTGCACCGGAAGAGAATGCGCTCAGCAGCGCGCCCTTGATGCGTGGGGATCACGTGACGATAGCCAAAGATCTCCTTGACGACCTTTTCAAACTTTATGTAACTAGGGGAGCCTGCGTACGACTCGTCTCCAAGCATTACCGCTGCCCACTGTTCAGAACTCATCGCCCCAGTCCCTGAATCGGTCAGCAGGTCAATCATGATGTTCTCTGAGTCCAAGAGATACAAATTGTAGTTGGCTTGTTTCAGATGCTTGATTCGTTCGTCTCGCGTTGTTTGCTTGAGTTTCTCAACAGATTTGATTTTGAAAGGCTCGAAGAACGTCGAAAACTTGTGCTCTTGCATATTTTCACAGGGTTAGAGCTAACACTGAAATATAATAAAAATAGTGTTTGACTGCGCTGTAAATCAGCCTGAAGGTCTCCAACAACCGATAATAAGTGCATCACACGCTCCTCCCTGGGATAATTTTATCACTTACCACTTAATTTTCGAGTTTGGCGATAGGAAGGGGAGGGGGACGAGACTTTAGGAACGAGAGGGCGGGGAAAGGGAAAGAGCCTACTACGTATGCGCAGGCCAAATATTAAGGGTATCGAATAGATGAGTTTAAGACACTCCTAAACGAGGGAGCTAAACAATGTTACTGTGTGAAACTCACGGCAAACGGGGAGGGGAGTCAGATACAACTTCGAAAAAAAGCAGTGAAAGCGCAGTATACAGAGCTAGCAAAAATATTTTAAAAATTGCCAATGAAGGGGCAAAATTATGCGCTGGTTCTAGGTAGAGTCGTCTGGAGACAAGACAGAGTAATTTGTAGACTTTCCGATGGAAAAAAAAAAAGAAAAAGAAAAGGAAGACAAAAAAGATCCAAACAAATTGAAAAAACTTTCAGTTCTGGTGCCTCAAAAAATATAATGAGGCAGGAGCCCTTACTGAGGATATTGACCAATTTCATAGCCGCCTAAACAACGGGGGAAGGATGTTCAGGCTTAGAATTCAGAGGGGTCAACTATTTAAAATATTAGCTACAGGTCAAGATTAAATTTTATACATCTGCTTGGTGGAATTTTTCCGATTATTAAAAATGAGGCATGTCACGAAATTTTGCATTGTGTTTTGAATGCTGAGAATTGTCTTTCACTTGAAGGAAACATTCACATTTACTTTTCGGATGAAGAAAAACACCAAAGAAACAGGCAAAAACCAAGTAGAGACCAGGATGGTTGAGTACTGAGAAGATAAACATCGATTATAGTAACAAACTCATAAAATTTAGCTTTCCCATGGTTAGAAGGCCAAGCGAGATGATCGCTCGGGAAGAGAGGAATTTTACTAGACACTCTTCAGACAATGGAATGAAATAACGATTGGTAATAGAAACAATGGCATTTGTTTCTCAAAGAAATCTAAGAAGTATGATCTTTCGGATGAGCGTCAGTCTCTTACGATTCGTCGCACAAGAATAGATGACTTAAGTCTAAGATTTTGATGTGCTGGTGTCGGGAAATCGGCATTTCTTCCAAAAGTCAGTTCTTTGCCGTCGAAGGACAATAACCTGTAGTTTAAACCGTTTTCCGTTTCTGTTCATTGCTACTCTATTAAGTCATGCGTTTCAAATTAATTGGAGTGAAACACTGCATATAAAACTTTAGTTGATATGATCGTTTAGTGTTGACATTACATTACTTGAACAAGCAAATAATTTGTTGGGACTATATTGCGGGTTTGCCGTTTATCTCGTCGTGAAAGTGTAACTGATTTCGGTTTCCATGGTGCACAAGCAAATGTTACGATATGTTTTCAAGTCCCTACCTTTATGCCAGCGATGGCGAAAAATTCTGTCCACAAAGATCAGTGAAGTTTTCTCTCACAGTCGAGATTTACCGGTTCGTCGCTGAACGCTTACAAACTTGGACGCTGAAGTAACGTGGAATCATATGACAACATAGTCCTCTGGGGATCCCCTCCATTTATCGTATTTCCAATACGTCACAAAAGACCTTGACATGTCACCCGTTTCCTGCTCTCTTTCATCTCGTTTACAGTTGTGAAGAGGACAATCGTGATTACAAGGCTACAGAAAGATTGCGGAAAACTTGCACACAATGACTCTAAGGAAAATAAATTATAACAAAGAATGACAACTGTAACTGAAATAAAGATGGCGTGGTAACAGAAAAATTACGGAACATAAAGATTGTGTGATCCGTTGTCATGCCAGTGCAATGGGTTAACTTTTTTGGGCTCAAAACGCCATTGAATGCTGTTTCGACTGAACATATGTGAGCTTTTTTGCCTCTGGTGAACAGAGGAACAATCGGAACACCATAAACAATTTATTCGAACATGAAGTGGTTGTGAAAAAATGAGGAATTTAGTTAAAACTTTTATCCCCTATGACAGTTGAAAATCAGGTATTTTGGGGAAACGGACCTCAATGGTCATGACAGCAATACCAAAAATACACAGCTGAAACAATTGTCTTTCAAAAAATCACATTTATTACAATAATCATTTACTGCTTCCATGATTATCTGGGACAGCAGCGAAGAGAATAAACATGACCTGAAGACATTTCATTTGAAATACACCTCATTCCAAATGGTCTTCACAAAATATCCTTTACATTCAGTAAACCTAAACTCTGATCAAAATTCAACTTCTCCTGACCAGCTACTTGTTAAATTCACTTCTATGGCAGCATTTGCAGCAAATTAGGTACTGTTGGGAGGAAATACATGCTGAAGGGGTTTCAGATATTCTACCAAATAGAGTAAATAATGGCTTTCTTTAGAACACCTTTTTTCTTTCATTTGTGATATACAAGTATGAAAATCTACTCAAAAAATTATTCTTGCTTCATACTCTGACAACAAAGCTGCATAAATAAGTTTATCAATTAACTGTTGCAATACATCTTCATTCTGTTTCATACTTGAAAAAGTACAATGGTATGCCTCTTTTTATATAATGGTAGCAGGCTAGGAAGTTTCACTTTTATATTATTGAATTGTTAGACAAGGAGAAATAATATAACCCAGACTATCCAGATACTAGAGCAATTTTTCCAAAAATCAGTTTTACATCTATTGTAATTGGATTCTCCTCACCAACAATATACACGCTGAAAAAAACCTAACCTTCTGCAAAGTATACATTATTTTTTTCACAATGAGTGATCTCTGAAAATATCAATACCCACTCAAGGAAGGTTAACCCTTTACACCCTAACATCAATATACAAACTCTCCATACTCTTCACTATACATTTCTTCAGGTGCTGAGAAGGAGAATTTGTCCAACAATCAAAGCCTCTTAGGTTGGTAATCATTTCCTTAATTCTCACAATCTTCAGTAATACTGATTCAAAAGACAATTGTAAGGAGAAATGAGATGCTGGTGACTATAAGGTTAAAATAGTTAATAAAATTGGATAAAGAGAAGGAATTAAGAAAAAAAAAAGCCATATTTTGTCTTGAGTGTAAAAGCCAACTGGAGTTTCTGGAGTTTGAATGGTTAAAACCAAAATCTTTCCACAGCACAGTTAGTCTCCTTGCATCCCATGTTTTGCTTTTTTATAAAACATGTTCAAAAACAGCTGCAAGCATTAAGTCTGTGCAGGGATATGGATATTGATATTTTCTTGAGCCACAAATAAACCACAATGTCCTGTGGTTGCACATATTTTATTGACTATCAATATTATTATATTTTTTTGTGATAACTTATTATCATTGCTTAGATATTTTTTTTCCGAGATAGTACTTGGGAATTTAACAGCCAGCATTAAGGCATTGCCTTATGTTTTTAAGATGCCATGCTCCATGTAATGGCAGGGGAGACTATCAAGAGACACTAAGATTGAATTCTTTTAAAGAAGAGCAGAACATCACATTGATATCATTAACTTCTTCTTCCTACAGTGGCTCCACATAAGTCCCAGGAAAATGTCCAATTTTACCCTGAAATCTTCCCTGACACCAGCCCTGGTCATCCTGCGAGGAAAGTTGTGTAAGGATGTCCCCTTCTTTGAAATTGAGTTCGTCATCCTCCACACCTTGGAAGTCATACAAGGCCCTGACTGGGACACCTGTATCTTCAATGGGAGGTGGCTCAATGTCCCATTCATCTGGAGCTGATGGTTCACTGAAGTCTTCATTTGTATTTGATGTATAATTGTTAAATGGGTTGTTTCTATTGACCAAGAAAATGAGACAAAGGTGAATAACACTGTGATGGATAAGCTCTGAATTGTCTCATTACCATTGCACCTTTATTCCTTAGGCAAGTAGCCTGAACACAGCAGTCAAAAGTCAGGCATGTACAAGAGTATCAATTCTAGCTAGCAACACACCTATCTCCTGTGCAAAATTTCAATTAGGAAAACATAAGAAACAGCTGCTGTCTTGCAAAATAAGCAAAAGAAAATTAAAACTTCAATAATTATCAGTGGTAGGGAAAGGGAAACCTTGAGACTTTTTGAACACAAAGCTTTTTCAAGTACAGGTATCATGTTGATTTAATATTCTTTTTTGAGCTATACCTAAAAAGGTTATATGTTTTTTGACACAACATGAGTCAATAGCTTGTGTGGTTGTTTGTAACTTGCGTGACACAACTTGGTTGTGACATGCTAACAGCACATTACCAAATCATTACGATGTTTGTACATGCGCAGTCTTTTGATGCCTGTCTCGGTAGCCTGTAAGCTCAGTGTTCAAGTAGACTTGGAAAAGCTCAAGGCCACTAGTTATTCTTAGTTCTAAAACTTACATCTCATTGTGATGAGGGTAATCAGTTTGTTCTTCAATATGGTTTTGAGTGGTTGTATAAGTGGATGCCGCTGGTGCTTGTTCATGTCCTCGTGACACTGATGGTCGTTTTGCTGGAGGGGGCTCATTATACTCCTGGAAAAAAAAAAGGTTCAACTTTCAAGCATCTAACTATGAAGCTTTGAAGTCACTCCGAGTATCTCATAGTACATACGTTGTTATGGTTTCTTGTGGTTTTTAGTCAGAAGTAGCTGATGATAGTGTAAGGTGTATTGTTCAAGAACATAATGCTAGAGGTGGTTCTGAATTTCTTTGTGAAATTTGATTAATTTGCTCCCACTTTTTTCTCAAAAATTGTTTCGAAAAAACTAGAGTCCTTGCTTTCAGCCACCTTCAAAGTGACATGACAGGAGTAACATCATTTGTGCCTACCAATTTTCAATCTTCTCTCAATTAAATTATGATATTTTTTCTGCCTCCTTTAAAGAATTTTTCCTCTTTTGTGTTTACTATGTTACCAAACTATTCAGTGGTCTTGTTTCATCTTGAAGGTAGTTAAGCATTTTAGAAAAACTGACAAAAAACAAGGGATCAGAGGAGTAAATTTAGCCTAAAATGGCACGACTTATCTTCCTGTAATAGCAGTTTAATGAAAAGCAAACAGTTTTCACTTGATGTCAATGCTCACTTCCAATCAAGTTCATGAATCAACAGTACTTCTTCAATGCTTCTCCTAACTAAACAATCACTCTTTACAGTAAATTGTTTCTCTTGCTTAAAACCATTCACTACAAATACTTAACTTTTTAACCCTCTGCCAGACAAAGTAAAATCTTGGCACCTCTTTTCTAAGCTGACTCTGACTGCCTTATACTATCTGTAGTAAAAAAAAACTCTAGCTAACGTATAACTACTGATAATCCTGTGATCTTCAATCTATAGTACCTGATTTCTGCATGACACATCCAATATTTCCCAGTACAACACTCCTGTCCTGCTATTACCATATGCACTTTCTACACAGTCTACTCTCTCTGAAATATTTCCATCTTGTGGATGTTCACCTACTCTTTCAACATTGCTTGAATCTTTAACACAGCAGTTATATATTGACTCAACTGTGCTATACAAAACACCTTCATCGAAGCATTCACCTGTGCCTAAAGTTATGAGATGTTCAATATTGGTAGTGTCAGTGTTCCAAGCAAAATTATCCTCTGTGTCCAAGTGAATACTGTGAATTTTATCAAGTGACTCACAAGTGCTTCCCTTTTCTATGTATAAGTTTTGGAGTCGTTTTCCCTTTTTTAATGCTCCACTTTGACATTGTCTATGCAACATTCTTTGCAGTAAGTTACTAGTAGGATGTTTCCTTTCCTAAACATAGACAAAAAAAGCAGTTTGAAGACTGCATCCACTGGAAAAGTTCTGCACTCTTAGTTCAGAGACATGAACTACCTTCTTACTAAAGTTGCACATTAACCACATCTAAATGAAAAAGTACCTACTCTTGAAAATATCTTTATCCACTAGAATTCATATATTGTTAAAAGATAACATGAAATATATTTCTAAGGTATACTAAGAACATGAAAGAAAAACACAACTGAATCCCTAGCTTGAGCTGAATAAAATTAAAGTCACTTCAGCTTTGCAGTGAAAAAAGAATACATTTCCTGAAAGGAACCCTCTTAAAGCTAAAAACAGGTGTGGTTAAACTGTGCCTTGTCTCTGATGTTATGATGGAAATGCTGCCTGATACAACGATGACACAAAATTGACACCCACTGAAACAAAGGTTGGCAAAAACACAAAATTGACACCCACTGAAACAAAGGTTGGCAAAATCACAAATGGAGGAGAGATAAGGAACAATTGCATACAAAGATAATTTGTTCCTAATACTTAAGTCTGAGGTAATCTTTATACTTTTTTGTTGCGTTTAAAGGGAAAATAAGGTCTAAAACGTTTACCTAAATGAAAAGTTCCTGACTTGCATTGTCCTAACTGGCTATTCACTTGTTCTAAAAACTTTTTTGTTGCAAACAATTGTGTTCCAAAAATTGACATTTTCAAATTAAAAATGACCTTCTTTGTTATGATATAACTGTGACAAAGCAATAGTCAAGCATACCACCTTAAATCCCAGCTGAGATGGATGTAAATAAGGAAAACAGAAAAAAGGAGAGCACTACTGACTGAATTCTCAATTTGGATTTTAATCCAGAGGGTGTAATACATCCATTTATGTTTCAAATGCAACATGAAAGAAGAAACCTGTGCTGACAAAGAAATTCAGGAAAATGAGTTTCAAGGAAAATGTCAAACTGCTCAAATGCTCATGTCTTGAAAATCACAAGTGTTGCTCTTGTAGCAAATGTCAAGAGAAGCCTGTGGAAAACGTATGCTACCAAGAATTAAATGTACTAGCTTGAGTCAACGACTCAATTTGAAAGGAAGGGTTTTTTTTCTCAATACATACTAGCTCTAGAGTGAGAGTTCTTTCACTAAAGAAGACTGTGGTGCCTGCAATGAATTCATTTCACATTGCTAACTGAATGAAATGAATCATTTTTCAGTTTCAGGAACCCAGCTCTGGTGTATTAATGAGTAAGAGTCATTTGGACCCACAAACAGCCCTGGTTGGCATGCAGTTAAGTTGAAAATAATAGACTTGAAGAGCTTTTCTTATGTAGACCTTACTTTCCCTTTAAAGAAATCAAAGTAGTTTTGTAGCAACCAAGGTAAAAATTATGTAAGAGTGCCACTGACCAGCACTTTTCAACCAAACCAGGGATGCTAATTGGAGTGAAGGTGTTTGTGCAATAAGGATGCTTATTAGAATAGGGGGGGGGTGCTTACTTGAGAAAAGGTACTAATTAGAATGAGGACCCTAAATCCAATCATTACTGTACATACAGTGAGATGATATGATATGGAAAGTTTCCCTAGAGATATAATTTGCAATAACTAATCTCAATCTTGTTACCTAAACAGCCATCACATACCACTTCAAGGCATATTTCCATTTGATATTGACTGAACTTATTCATGAATGTATAAAATCTAGATTGACTTTGGGTATCTTATAGTGAAGATATACAGAATGTTAATGTACCTCAAACATTGGCCAATTCTGTGGCATGCCCATACCATGGTTGTGTGACCACCAGTCCAAGTCTGCCTGGGCATCTGCCTTCTGAAATGTGAGGCCCATGTTGACAAAGACACCAGAAAACCTGCAAAAAGAAGAGTTTCTTAACATTTGTTTCTCCTCAGAAAAGTCATGTAAACAAACTGAAAAAAAAAAAAAAAAAAAAAGAAAAAATTGAAAAAAGTATCATAACTTAGGGTAAGTTCTAACACACTTCACATCTCCACGTAAAATTATGATTTAAGAGAAAAAAAAAATTTCAGAAACAAGGTGTCATAAAAGTGTTAATTTTCTCACACAAAAGGCATCAATATGAGATAATTTAATAAAAGCCAAGTGTCAGATAACGATAAATTTTCCACAAAATAATATAAGTCAGTCAAGATTGGATATTGCACACATGCTAGCAGCGGCCAATAGTTGTCTGGTTATGCTGGTAAGGTTAATTGTAACAAGTAAAGCACTAGTTGGCAAAGAAGCTAAAGATATTCTCTAAGACTTCACAACTATCCAAAATCTCACAGAACAGTTAAGAGAGGATCTGTTAGCATAATACTTAGAAAAGAAAAAGCAAGAATTCTTAAAAATTATTTTTAAAAAGAGGACTTTGAGGGAGCTTGTTGATAACATATTGAGTTGATTTTGTTATGTTGAAAAGTTTTAAATAGGAGACAGTGACCTTGAAATAACAGTGCTTTTCCCAGAAGTATATTAAACCAAATAGAGATGAATACTGCTTATGATGGTTGATTTGAATTTAATATTTCATGACAATCACACCAAAACATAGCCCCTGACAAAAAATTTTAGAATCTTCCTTCAAGTCTATGAACTAAGGAATTTGGTGATATGACAGGTCATTTAAAAAACATGATAGGTCAATGTTTTGTTATACCTGGAATTCAATGAAAGATTCAGTTATGATTGTTACTAGCCTAAGGATCTCAGTCATTGTAAACCACTCAATGACCTCATTTTGAAATGCAACATTGCTTTACAGAGTTGAAAAATTTGAGACTATAGTGCACTATATAACTCTCTGAGTGTGCAACGAAAAAAGAATATTTGCACGTCTGTCATTTCTTGGTAGATCTTTTACAAAGCATGTTATGATTTGGACAACATTTTACAAGAGAATCTTGAACTTGACCTTTTTGTCTTGAGAAAAAAACCACCATGTTTAATGGACCTTCAAATTTTGATGCAAGACCTTCTTTAAGACTCCATGCTGTTTATTAAAAAAAAAATACTCTTTTGCATATTTCTGGAACTGAGGTGGCAGTATTGCACATTTTCAATACATAGTAAATTAAGAAAAAATTTTCTGTCACATCAGAGCACTTTACATTTAATCTTGGAGAATTTCTTCAAAGCTGGCCAGATTTGAAGTCCTAGTTGGTACACTACTAAGCAGCGCATTGGCTGATAAGTTGAACAGTCCTACCACTAGATTAGTGATCTTTATACTCAAGGATTATTCAAAGTATTGCTATTTATGGATGGCTGCATTCCTGTGTGCTTTTTTCAGTTATTTCTCTCATGGCTTGATACATCCAAGAACATATTTTCAGGTCTGCTGCCCATAATAAATACAAGCGATCAAATAACTGATTACCGTACTTATCTCATCTACTTCGATTAGATGAGCATAGATGAAGATTAATCAGTTAAAAAGGGGTGACAGAAAATTATCTAATGAAGGATAGGGAATTACAATTTCATAGACCTTCATGCAAATAAAGGAAAGTACACATTCTTGGCATGTTATACATCGAAGGCTGCTGAAGCCAAATAAACAACATTGAAAGCCGCAGAACAAGAGAAGATCGCACTGTAGGAAACTGGATTAACTATGCAAATCATATCTAAGTGGATTCAAAGTGTTTACGCTTGATTTGTTGTAATATTTGCATAATAATAAAATAATTACGGAGAACACGAGTACTCAAGAAAAGTACAAAGAGGATGACAAGTGAACATTCATCGAGTGCAATGTTCAATTTATAATTAGAACGAAACTGGAGTATACTTTTCCTTACTCCTTACGTTCCTATAACGAAGGACCAACCCCAACAAAATAAATTGCATCGTGTCAAATACTTACTCAGGGCTATCCGATATATCCAAACATTTGTGATACTTCATTAGCGTGTCTCTGAAAAACGCAAGACGGCTGTCCTCGTTCTCTTGACATCTTTCAAATTCTTGAATCATGTCTCGTTCATATTGTGAGTTGTACGATGTAATTTCGTCGAGGCGAAGTTCGTACTTTTCTTTACATTTATCCATTTCTCGTTTCGCTTTCTCTGTTGCATCCTGCAACTTTTTCAGTTTCTCAGCTGTTTTCAATTCGGTGTCGTTAGTTGCTTGATTCTCCAAATTTTGAGCTTGCTCGCTGTTTCGCGAGGCAGTGTGATACGCCTTTTTCGACCGTTCAACTTTAGCCAATCGCTTTGCCCAAGGCTTTTGAGCCTTCGTAAACCCTTCATCGGCCTCTTTGGTCTCCTTCCATTGAAATATTCCTTTGTGGTAATTTTCTGTTTTCCACCTTTTAATTGATTCGTGCACGTCGTTCATCAGTTTATCACGGCATAACAAGTGAATCTCTGCTCTAGACTCGGCTTCAGTGACAGTGCCTCGCATGGCAACTTCCATTGTGCCATATTCCGGTCCATTTTTAATACATTCTTCCCATTTCTTGGCCCATGCTTTCAATTTAAATGCGTACTTTGCTTCTATTTCAGCTCTTTCTGTGACAAGCTTCATAAACTCGTCACATAACTTTGCACCATCGTCTATTCGTTTGACCGTGCGCTTGAAGTTTCCAACATCCCAAAAACTGTCACTAGCAGCACTATACTGCAGGTTCTCGTCAGAACCCCTAGGTGTGCCTCGCATGGACATAACTGCCTTCCAACACAATAACTTCCACTATTTTTGCTCTCAAACTTCTCTCACATTGTTCCGAAATTTGTCTAACTGGAGTATTTTGAAGGTGTGGGGTCTTCCAGTTCTTACCGCATGCGCAGAAAACTGTTTGTAACGCTGGCAAGGAAACGCGGGCATTTTGGTAGTCAAGGAACCTAAATCAAGAATATCATTACAACTTAAGTTTTGCAGAGTGAACTTAACCAAGTGATAAAAATTCAAAATGATAGCGGGGGTTCTCTCGTCAAATTCATCTGATGGAAAGGTGAAAAATCTTAAGAGGGTTCAACACAGAACCATTAGCCACTACATAGGCGGTGGAGGGACAGCCATGCCCTTCAGAAGAATTTCAAGTCTTTCCGTCCCCGAAATGTCTTTAGTATGATGGGTCTCAATTCTTGGGTAAATTAAAGGACTTGATTATTGACATATAATTCGAAAGGGATTTGAATATTTTAGCTCGAATGTTCTTGTTTGTTTATTTCTTTGCTTCTCTTAATAGTTTTTTGCTGATCCTGCCACTTAATCCAATATATGATTCCGGAAATTTCTATGGAAGCATCTTGAAGGATTAGATGCATGTAGCACAGCACCTTTTGGTTGTTGATCAACTACAGTCTAAAATTTGAAGGCGGTACCGTAATTGGCAACATGTTTCGTTGAGAATTGTGCCTTTAAGTTGTATCAAGCTTATCTTGACCGGGTCAATTATTAAGTATGGAGAGACTCACACAAGCCGCCTCTGACACCTGATATATGTTCTGTTATGTACACATTCTTGTGGAAAATCAACCCTAATAAGCTACCTTTGCGTGAAGTTTTTCGGTTGAGGTGGTTTCGACTAGCCGTGAATCAGTGGGTTTGAAAGTTTAGAAAAATTTCAACGAAGACAACTTGCCCAATTGATAAAGAACGCGCCGAAAGGTCACGCAAAATCGCTTTATCGTGCTCAAAAGTCATTCCGAAGTATTTGTATCCGGCCAGGGACGAATAGTGATAACAAATACTTCGTTACTGTCGGGTGTCAAAACAGTCAGCCAAGTGGAAACAATCACGCTTATTAACGTCACATAACTTCGGCTTGTTTGTTTTTCTGAACTGGATCGGGTAAAAAATGACGACTCATAAGCTAATTAAAGAGGAGCAGAATAATCGAGCTGTTGAAACACCAAGAAAACAGCAGTTTATCCTAAATATTTTTCATATCCAGCTTTCCTGTGCATTTCCTAGACATGTGACAATAGCCACTGCCATTCAACAAACGCGTCACACCCCAGCGTGGAAACGAGGCTAGTCTCTTCCCGAGGTTTCAAAAATTTGATTGACTGATTCCCAATATGGCCACCTAGACGCCAAAATCGTCTATTTTTAAGTCCTTGGTACGTCGAATTCGCACCCAGTAAGCAAACAGCAATTCTTCAAAGGTTTGTCTTTTAGTTTGTGCGAATTGGAAACGTAAAAGATTTGTCTAAAGTCCTTCAGTTTATCGCGTGACGTAGTCCTGCTTTCTGGCGTGTTTATACTTTGGATGGTTTGATATGCGATATCTTGTGCAAAAATGAATAGCGAAGCTAATGACAGTACGGATGCAGGAGTGAGTAACGAAGACACAGACACAGTGGAATCCATCACAGAAACATCGGGCGAGAGTCGGACAGAAAGAATTCGAAGACTGAATAGAGAAAGACAGCGACGAAGGCGCGAAAAACTAAGGATGTCACGCCAGAGTGAAGCGCCATCGACAACCAGTAACGACGTGGACCCAAGCCATGATCTTGAGGTTCTGTCTGAGGGCTGTGCGATTGTAGAAGTAATGCTACCTCTGAAAGTCGAGACAGAAGTACCAGAAGAAATAGATAAAGAAAGTTCGAAAGCTACGAGACCGAAGCGATCTACGAGAACGAGGCAAAAATCGCGAAAGGAAGGCGCAACTGAGCAAATTTCATCCGATACCGTCTCATCAGCAAACAACGCCATTTCACCACCATGTCACGACAATAACTCAAGATTTGATGGCGCTTCAGACGAGAGCAGCGTTCTTGTTGTCGCCAGTGAGGTGGAAGTAATCGATGAAAAACCTCAAGAAAACGGAACCGAAGAAACTACGGAAATTTCAGAAACAAAAGCAGACGGGAAGAAGCGACGAACGCGAGAACCGAGGAGACACACTGAAAAATCACCCGAAGACGTCGCGACAAAGCGGGTATTTAGAGAGCGTGAAAAGAAGAAAATGCAGGGGAATAACGATGAGGTCACGGCAAGAAGAGAAAAACAACGCGAGTTAAAAAGGAAGCAGAAAGAAAGGATGAGTAGCGACCAAATTGAAGCGCTGAGGGCGAGATATCGGGAATGGAGGCGAAAACGAAAGGAAACCATGACAAGCGAGCAATTGGAGATAATTCGCAAAGGAAACCGTGAACGACAGCGAAGACGGCGTGAGCGGTTAGGAATCAGAAAGCGGTCAACAACCCCTCAGGCCAAGGGAGTCAGCGAAGCAGTCATACAAGGCATCAAAAACAAGCAAGCACAAGTTCTAAAACCAATGGAATCGAGTCTTAGTCCCGAGGCAAGTCTTGTAGCCGCGGTAAACAAGGTCGCTTCGCTGAACAGCGTCGAGGCAGCCGCAGCGACCGCCGCTCTTATGCCAAATCCTTCTCGCGTCGAAGGACCGGTCGCTGTCACACTAGAAGTAAATCCAGCCGCTACTGGAATGGCACCTAGTGTCATTCAGAACACCCAGCCCATTTCACAACCGCCTTCATCAACATCTCAGCTCGTAAGTCTTCCTGTCACATCTACAAATGTAACACAAGGTACTTTGCCTCCGGGAATGCCCGTTCTTGGTCCTCAGGGAACTATTCTTCAAGGGCTACCACCAGGATCTGGTGCTCTTTACAGCATGACAATGCCAGGGATTCAAGGAACTTTGTTACCTGGGATTCCTGTTACTGCAGGACAACCTTTACCAGGTGTACAGGGAAGCACTGTCACTGGAATGCCTTTCTCTGGAATGCAAGGACTTGTGCCAGGCATGTCTCAAAGTGCATTTTTGTCAGCTTCACAAGGTGGAGTCCTTCCTGGGATGCAAACATTTAGTAGTATGGCACCAACTATGACCAAGGATGGCCAAATCTTGCACAGCATCTCTACCCTTCTTCCTATTGCTCCAATGCAAGGTATCCAAGGAACTGGTCAAGGTGTTGCATTCCTTGCTCCTATGCCCATGACTGGACCTGCTGCTCAAGTTCAAGCTTTTCAAGATATTAGAGGTGCAGTGGCCACTCCGATAAGAACTGCTAGTCCTGGCATCAGCACCACAGTGGCATCAGTTCCAATAGCAGACAGTGTTACAGCAGAAACAGTGGCTGTTGTGCAACCAGGGGATGGAAGTGACCCTGCTGGAACAGACCCCAAAAATAAAAATGCAAGCTCTCCAAAACCAAAGGGAAGAAGAGGAAGGAAAAGAACCACTTCTGCTGCAGAAATGTTAGCAAACCTGAGCAACTTACCTCCAACTAGCACACCAATGTCATCCATGCTATCAGCATTGGCCTCTCAGTTAAGAGGTAATACACCCACTGGGGTAACAGACAAGGAAGGGGAGCCTCCAGCCAAGAGAGGTACTGTGGAAGCCAATCAGATTGCTGTCATGCCTAGAGCACCGACTCATCAAGACTCCAGTCCAGGGGCAGTAGCCATTGGGAGTGAAGCTGCTGGCCATGCGAGACCTAGTGTGGTTAACCATCCAGAAATGCAAGCGACATTTCCTTCTTCAAGCACAAATGCCAAGATTCCCCATATGAGTACCTTTCTCAATACCATGAGTGGAAGTTCAATTCCAAACATGGGAGTGCCATTTGCTACTGCCACAAACCTAGCAAGGCCTATTAATAGCTTCCCTCCTAACATACAGGCAATACCTGGTCAGTTTTTCCCATCCAGGGTTTCTGTTGCTGTGGAGACAGAAGAAATAAGAAAAACAACAGTTGGCACTAACACTGAAAACAGCCAACATTTATCAGCTGGTGGCATCGACCAGTCTGCTGTTATGTCATCGGTAGGTACCATGACTGACTCATTGTACAAAGTGTCTGTGGGTACTGGGACTGCTGGAACAGGGCAGCCTAATGGACAATCAGTTGTTACTGCTATGGGTGAAAGCCATCCAAATATAGTGGAAAAGACTGCAACTGGACAAGAACTTAACCAAGAAAAACCATGTCAAGCTGTGGTGAATGTTACGGAAATTAACCCAGCAGAAATACTCCAGGAGGCGTTACATCAAGGTCAGATTACCCAAGAGGTCATAATTCAAGAAGAGGTGGTGGAGGAAGTTGTTGGAGTCTCTCCAGAAGTGGCCAAGATTACGCCTATAGGAGATGGTATTTAACATTTACATTGAGCTGTTATAGCTCCACAATAAACAGTGGTTTGTCTACACCTTAACACGGTCAAGTCTTTGCATGTACTTTAGTTACTAACATAATTATTGTAGACTGGGATTTCGTTTTCATCTGGGGTTAAACATAGTGGGAAATAGAAAAAGAGAGAGAGAGACTCAGAGTTGACCGAAAGTTCTCAAGAGCCTAGCTCTAACACTATTTCATGTGAAAAGAAAGAGTTGCTCACAGTAGCATGGATCAGAAACTTTGCAGATTGGAAGCCCTATTGAGCAGCTATTCTGAGTATCAGGCATTCTATGTTCTACATGTGCATTGACATGCATGAGATCTTATTTCAAACTTTTGGCTCAGTCAGGTAGAGTTCAAATCTTTTTTGCAGGCGAAAGACAAAGCATGGTGTTATTTTGACTGTTAAGTGTGAATTAACTTGTGGAACACACTAAGCCTGACTCAGAGAGCTAGAGCACTGGCTGTTTGGTGATCTAGTAGTTTAAAACATAAATGTTTGAGAAGATTATATTTCATTTCAAACTGATATTGTAATGGCAGTGAGCGAAGGCAGAAAGGCAGCTTAAAGCAGATTCTATATTACTATATATACTTGTTCAAGGACTCGTTATCATTAAAGCAATGCCTATTGCTTATGTAAAAATTAAGGCCTCAACTTAGGTGATAACTAAGAACAACAAGGCAATGTGAAAATTGATTTGATTTGGTTTAAAAAAAGTAGAGAATTAGAATTCTTTAAATCAAAAAATATGTTTGGGAAACAGATTTTGCATAGCAACAAAATAGCGTGTCGAGTTATGAAGTACAATTATCTGTGTTTGGAAGACATCACAATTCAAGCCTGGTTTTGTGCAGTTTGATGACTATTTTATCCAAGACAGATGGATATTAACCTCTGTTGCAACTGTATCATTTTATTTCATGCAAGATATACCCAAGTGTATTTAGCATGCAAAATGCATTCTATTACATTTCATGTTATATATCCATGCAATTTTTAAAAAGAAATCTCAATCCGTGATAGTTTGGGTTGATTGAAGTAGTTTAACGGGTCACAGCAGTCTTTTTCGTAACAATCTAGGGCGATATTTGTATATTTTAGTCTGTGGTAATCATTAATGAATCTTTAATAACCTTGTAGGTTTAAGTGTGTTGATCAAACATTGATTGTCTTTATTATTTGTTACTATTGATTTTTCATGACAAGGTGTTTTAACACATTTGAATCACAGTGAAATCAAAGTCAAAGGGTTTATTGTGATACAGGCAAAGCCGCTAAAAGTCCAGATTATCTCTAATTATATAGTAGAATAAGTCTTGACACCATGCAGGATTATGATATTTGCTATATTACGTAGTTAAAATTGTACACTGAGGACATCCTTAGCACTGAATTAATGTTGTGATGCTACTCTGGCAAAACTATCCAAAAAGTCATTAGTTTTATTCAGTGGAATATTTTAACCATTTGGCTGTTTCTTAAAAGTTTTAAAGTTTCTTTGATGAATCAAATGAGTGTTTTTAACCATGGCTTTCAGTTAGAGAGAGAACACTGACATTGCTGTAAATTACTGGATTAGATATAATTATAGGAGCAGTATTATTGTACATTTGTAGCTTGCCTGTATTTATGTGGCAGTCTTTTTTACAGTGTAAGTCATAAGATTGCAGGAGTGTTCTGTATCACTCTATTTGGCAGAGTGTAGTCGGAGGCAAGGAGAAATGGCTGTATTTGCATTTAACAAATAGATTCCATGTTGCTGTGCATCTGTTCAGTAATAGATCACAGATGAAATCAAAATGTGGTAAGAACAAGAAAATAGCACACATAACATAGGTGAGAAAGATGTTGATGTTCTTACTGCTTTATGACATCCTTTGTGATCTATTACTTTGCAGACCCTTGTTAAGATGAGTCTATATGTTTTATATGATAAAAAAGCAAAGTGTTGTTTATGTTGAGGTCATCTATGCATCTGTCCTCCAATAGATCACAAGTAAGGACCATCAAAATGTGTGTAGGACTTAGCCTATATAAACTTCACAGCGAAGAGAGAATGTCTATGCTTCTCTCCCATTGCATATTCTACAGTGTGATGAAGACTGGCACCAAAATGGACAGGCTGGCATCAGTAAGAGCTTAAGTAGTGTTCTTATTGCCTTCTTAATATTGATAAGAGAGAACTTTGAATAATTTTGCTTTCAAGGTTGATGGTCACATAATGACTGTATTGTTTGTATGGTACGTATGATTTATTTTAAACACAATAATTATGATTTAAGTAAACAAATATCAATAGCCATGTTGTTGTTTTCTCTGTAATAAGAGTATTTGTAAGTCGTGTCATACAGATTCATGTTTATCATGGGGAAAGTGCAGCCTGCTGTGTTATTTACATCGAATATTTTGATTTGGAAAGTAAAGGCTGAGGCTTGGTGTGTTGCACATAATTGCTGATTAGTTTCAATAAGTTAACCTGCAATACTGCCTGTGATACAAGCTTGTGATTGTTTCTTTGTTTCATTTAGAGTTAAGGTGCATGGTAGGGGGAGGGACTGGTAAAAGATGATGACTTCTATTGCCCCAGCTCTTCTCCTTTCCTTTCTTTTGACTGTTGCCTACCCCCCAGGTACAAGTGTCATTCTTTCTCCAGCCGTTTGGTGCTTTTAAAAATCAATTCCTTGTCAAGAAAATACTGAGCACTTGCACACCCAAATTATACCTGCTGTGCAGGCTATTAGAAAGTTATCTGTGTCTACATCTGCGAGTCAAATACACTGCTGTTATTAGTAGCTTTCAAAGTACTGACATATGCTAAACCTTTTTGTTAAATAATAGTATGCTGTTGAGTTTGACAACATTCTACCATTTGTACTACCTCTTGCCACTTCATAGTCACATCTTCAATCAACTCCTCCCCTGTTCCTTGAGCATAAACTTGTTAAAAAAACTACCCTTGCTTTCACATTGACGACAATTTACTAACTGGTTAGGGCTATTGATTGTTTCATTTCACCAGGGCAACAAGCCCCAGTGAAATAAAACGTGTTTTGCCTCAAGGGTTTGAATCCAGCAGCAGTCATGTGTTGTGACTGTCTGGGTTAGGTATTCCTGAACAGGACTTGTTGGTAACAGGGACTGACATGTTTACAGCCTAAGGGAATGTTTTCTCAAGACTCTGTAGCCAGACTTTGAATATGACATTTTCTTGAGGTGTCAACATTTCAGTCTTAATGACAGTCTCTTTTTATTTCCTGAGGGATGACTCTACAGCAATTAGGTTAATAGAATAAGAAAGATGACGAGTTATAAGCTTGGTGAAGAAATCGCTGGTAAGCAAGGCTCATATGAAAATAAAGCCTAACAGGAGGGCTTATTTTTTGCCATCTGTTCTAGGTCACCCGTGTTGACCTGATCTGTACCAATTATCACAAAAAAAGTATGTCAAACCAGTACGTTTGAAGACAAATGCAGGGTCTGATCTGGGAACATTAAAAATTTACAGTGTGCCCCACCCTTCCCCCCACCTGCAGCAACTACCCGCTTACACCGTAAACTATCATAAATCAAGTTGTCGGCAAGACTCGGAAGTGATACTCGTTATAAAATAGAAAAATGTAATACCTGACAAGAACTGATGCTAATCCCCCCTCCCTCCCCCCCAACCACGAAAAATCTGACGCGGTGACGTTCCCCCGCTATGCGTGACAGCACCCTCGTTTCCGCTTAAGCTCCATTCGCATACATTCGCATGCGCATTCAAGTGGGAGAAGTCTCAAAATGGCCGGAAGTGTATCTCTTCGAGGAGTCATCGAGTATTTTTATCAAAACAGAAGCGATTGTTGTAAAAGAGACAAGGCAAGATGCTAGAGAAGCACAGGCACTTGTTGATTAAGTTTAGGGGAGAAATTGTGGAAGATTTGTTAGTGGACGATGTGCTTCCTTACCTACGGAGCAAGTTTGTGCTGGACTCTGAGGACGCTGAGGTCATTCGAAAGGAGCTTACTTCCCGAAGGCAAGCAGAAAAGCTTCTGGACATTCTTTCATCGAAAGGATATAACACATTTGATCACTTTTTCGCTGTTCTTAAAGAGAAATACCAACATCTCGCGCAACTTTTATCGAGTGATGAGAGTAGCGAGGATGAAAACGGGTTTAATCATGTCACGGAAGGTATCGACTCACCACTACAATGTAAGTATAAATCAAAGGGTTTTTTTGCCTTTCTTTTGGTGGAAAAAGCCATTGTTGCTAGTTTCCTGTATAACTTTTTATTTCGACATTGGTGCAGATGGAACTCGTTTGATTCTGACAAAGATAAATTTCGTAACATAGCGAATTTGTTGTGTTCGATCCACCTTGGCCAAGGTACGTTTCTTACTGCTAGAGACAAGACATGGCCCATCAAACATGTTGTTTTACTTCCGCTGCATTTTTCATAACCCATTCTTTCTTCTGACTTCACGATTCTCAAGCAGTTACTCTAATGGATTGTTGAAGGGTAATGAATGGTGCTTGACCCAATATCACGAACATGTAAACATATGATTTTCTTTTTCCTAATATTGTCCTCATCTTTAGCATCATTATTAGACGTTTTGGTGTGTAGTATTGCTGAGAATTTTCATGACTTGTGTCGTATTTTGACGAGCCCGTAGGGTGAGTCAAAATACACACAACGATTTTTTTTTCTGCTAAGTCTTTCTACTCATTTCTCATAAGGCGAGAAAAGCAAACCAGACAGAGAAGCATAGCGGGCGCAGCCGACTAATCAGTCTTTTTACAGTACAAAATAACCAACTGTCCAAATAACCGTACAGTATCGCAGGATATTTGTACTCTATTCGCGCGTTATTATTACATTTCTTTGTGCAGTTGGATAATGAACATGTTTATTGTATTGATATTTTATCTCTTTTATCGAGCTGCATCCAGTAGAGTACAAATAACATGCGAATCCGGTACAAATATTCTGTTATTGCACAGTTATATGAACTATGTGACAGTTATGAGGATAATGAATAACTGATTAGATGCTTTGGTATGTTGTTTTGCTGAGTATTTTTGCTTGTTGTTTGTCTTTTGATTTGCCCTGTAGGCTCGTCAAAACATGGCACAACTTGGCTCACCTTTTAAAAGAGATATTTTTTGCTAATTAACTAGACATCTTTAAATACTAGTTAGTGACAAGTCACGCAATGTACATCTCATTCCAGTGTCCAGACACTAACTCAGGGGCCCCCCTTGTTGTGGATTCTAAATTCTACTATCCTAGGGGTTTAGCTGTGTGCCGATACTCTCAAACACTGCTTGTTTCAGAGGCTCTTGTTGGCAACCACCTTGCTGAGTTGCAAAGATTTACAACTGAAATTGTTTTTATTTCCATAGTGCAAATGATGACTCAGGACCATGCTAATCTCCTTATTGCCAACCGGGTGGAAATTGTTGAAGATCTCTTGGTTGATGATGTACTTAACTTTCTTCAGAGTAAAATGGTATTTGATGTTCATGATACTGAACTAATCAGAGCAGAAGTAACATCAAGAAGACAGGCAGGGAAGCTGCTAGACTTGTTGGAGACTAAAAATGATGCAGCCTTTTATCATTTCCGTAAGGCATTGGAAGAACCTTATCCTCACTTGGTGGAATATTTGCAAGAAAATGCTGCTGCTCCAAGGAAAGTATCAAAAGCTAAAGAGTTATCAGAGAGAGGTGTGTAGCAAAAATTATACATCAATTAAAGGAGAAATATGCTCTGGAAACTATTAATTTTTGTGTCTACCACAAAAAAATGTTTAAAATTAGGATACAGAATGTGCCTTGAGATTTACAATGGTAACCAGACCCCTTTGAAAATTGTCTTAAAATTTGACTAGGGACACATTCATTCTTTCTTAGTGCTGTGACTGATTACCTGTCTCAAACCTCCATTTTCAATTTCATAGAGATCTATTTATCAATACTAGGCAATTTTACAGTTGTGTATATAGTTGCCAAGTGTTTGATTTGGAGTGAGGCTGTAGGTGACCTTGTTGTGATAGAGACCAGTATCTAGTTAACTTAATAACAAAGCAATTTACATTTGATAAACAGCAAGGTTTGTATCATAACAAGGTTACCCTTAGCCTCACTCCGGTTCAAAGGCATAGCAACCAAGTACACAACTGTAAAATGGACTATTAAGAAGACTACACTAGGGAGACACAGTGGCCTTATGGTCAGTGCACTTGACTCCAGGTCAAAAGGTCTGGGTTCAAGACCTGGGTGGGTCAATGTGTTGTTTTCTTGGACAAGACACTAACCTTGTCAGTGCCTCTCTCCACCTGGGAGTATAAATGGGTACTGGAAAATTATCAGGAAAGCCTAATGATATTCTGGGGGATAAAACTGTGATGGACTAACTTCCCATCCAGGGGGGGAAGCAGTAATACTCCTAGTCACTATGTGCAACTCTTTCACTAAATGTTATTTACATTTTAGTTATTATAATTTTCTATCACTTTTTTTTGTTCACTTTGTTTTTGTTCAGTTGAAAATGTCCTTCTAGAGGGTGGTGTGCCTCAGCAGCCAGCGATTTTTGCCCACAGAGGAAGAGATATTCACAAAATTCATGTAGCATTAAAGTCCCTAAAAGAGAGAGATGGCTGGGTTATTCTGCATGGAATGGCTGGCTGTGGAAAGACTGTCTTAGCCTCTGAAGCTCTTAGAAGTGCTGTTGTCTTGGATGAGTGCTTCCCAGGTGGTGTTCACTGGATACGAATAGGCCCTGTAGATCAACCTAAACTTCTCATGCACATGCAAAATCTTTGTGCCAGACTTGATTCTGATCATAATCGACAACCTCCACGAAACACTGAAGAAGCTAAGGACAGGTTAAGGGTGCTCTTTGCCCACCAGCACCCTCGATCATTGCTAATTCTTGATGACCTTTGGGATTCCTGTGATGTGAAGTTCTTTGATGTCCGTTGTCGTATCATGGTTACCACTCGTGATGCAGCTATCACAGACATGGTGGGTGGGTCGAAAGCTAAAGTTCACATTAGTGAGGGTTTTACAGAAGATGAATCACTTCAAATTTTGGCTGAGTGGACAAAGCAGCTGCCCAAGACAAACCTCCCAGCTGAGGCAAAAGAAATCTTTAAACTTACAAATGGTTCTCCCCTAGCAATAAGTATGATAGGTGCTCTGCTTCGAGATCATCCTACAAGATGGGAATATTATGTCAAACAACTGAAAAAGAAGAATGTCAGTAAGCTTAAACCACAGTTTGAGTATCAATATCCAACTTTGACAGAAGCAATTCGCATGAGCATCAATAACCTGCCTGATGAACTAAGGGACATTTATGAAAGCTTCGCTGTGTTTCATGAAGATTGTAAAGTTCCTGCCCAGGTCCTCATTATACTGTGGAACGAGGAGGTATGGTACCCACAACTTGATTACAAGAAACACCTTTGCATGTCTTACTTTAGATACATCTGATAATCAGTTGGTTTATCTAGTAGTTGGTTAGCAAGTCCATTTGTTATAATCCATAATTCAGTCAATCAGTGAGTCAGTCAGTGAGTCAGTCAGTGAGCCAGTCAATCAGTCAGTCAGTCAGTCAATCAGAAAGTCAGTCAGTCAGTCAGACAGTCAGACAGGCAGTCAGTCAGTCAGACAGGTAGTCAGTCAGTCAGGCAGGCAGTCATTCAGTTTTTTACTCAGTCAGTTGGTCAGGCAGTCAGTCAGTCAGTCAGTCAGGCAGTCAGTCAGTCAGGCAGGCAGTCAGTCACTCAGGTGGGCAGTCAGTCAGTGAGCCAGTCAATCAGTCAGTCAGTCAGTCAATCAGACAGTCAGTCAGTCAGTCAGACAGTCAGTCAGGCAGTCAGTCAGTTAGACAGGTAGTCAGTCAGTCAGGCAGGCAGTCATTCAGTTTTTTACTCAGTCAGTTGGTCAGGCAGGCAGTCAGTCAGTCAGGCAGTCAGTCATTCAGGTGGGCAGTCAGTCAGTTAGGCAGTCAGTCAGGCAGTCAGTCAGTTATTCAGTCAGTCAGTCAGTCAGTCAGTTAGGCAGTCATTCAATTATTCAGTTAGTCAGTAAGTCAGTCAGCTTTACTGTTTGTCTGTTTGACTTGCAATTAATTATTTCATTCCCCAGCTGCTTGGTTGGTTACTAATTATTAAAGCTAGATCAGCTCAGAAAGCTTTCTCATAAGTGAAATAAATAATTTTATAGTTTGAAGTTGTGGAAGACTGGATGGAAGACTTGGTGAACAAATCCTTGGCGAGAAGAACAGTGGATTCAGAAGATGCAATTGGTACATGGTACACTGTGCACAACTTGCAGCTAACTTTCCTTCATGAACAGGCCACTAACCTGGAAGCTCTGCACAAGAAGCTGGTGGATAGATACAGAAAGGTTTATAAGGGTAAGCTATTGGTAGGCTAATCTTTGGCAGAGCAGAGTTACATAATGCATATGACACAATGCCCCTAGAATGCATTCAATTGACTGTCGTAACATCAAAACTAAGCAAATTTCAACGTCTTATCAAAAGAGGATTAACATTTCATGAGGTCAGTGAAGAGTTTCAGGGGGGTAGTTAGGGGGGAAGTCCTCCGGTGCAAACCCTGCCCTTTGTAAAAGATCCTATCTTCTTTCTGTTAAACTTTTTAGGCAACTTTAGTGAGATGAAAAATGATGGCTATATTCACCGGAATCTTTTGCGACACATGCTTAGAGCAGGTCTGATAGAAGAGGCACAGCAACTTATCAGAGATCTAAAATGGCTGGCTGCTAAACTAGATGTCACTGGACCCGCTGATCTACTGAATGACTATTTAGCAGTCAAAGGACACGAAGACAGCAAGGTAACTACACAGCACCATAAAAATGTTTCAAATGACCAAAGAGTGGAAATTGATTTCATGGCTCTATATCAAACAAAATTAGTCCAGCTCGTTCAAGGAGTTTTTATCAGTTGACTCTGCATGTTTTTCCCTCGTTTAACCTTAAATGTAAAATTTTCTCTCCAGGAACTGAAAGTCATCAATGATTTCCATCATTTTGTAAGTGTGAATGCCCATCGTTTTGTGGAGAAACCTCTTCCAGATTTAATCCAGATGGGTCTTAGTGAATCCAGAGACTCTGAAGTCTATAAACAGGCATATGACAAAGCCGTTCAGCTGGGAGGGGATGGCAAGTTTTATCTTGATTGGAGGTGAGATATGCTTGTCCTGTTCCATAACAAGGGGCTAAGTTAATTATCAATTTGTTGATATAATCAACATACCAGCAATAAAATTTATGACAAGTTTAATTTGTAATGACTTAATCAAACTCTTCTACTTACAAGAAAGAGGTTTTTGCTGATTGAATGAAATGAACCTTCTAGAACTCCTTGCTCATCTTGATACAATTAATTACTGCAATCGCAACAAAATGTGTTCAATGCTTTCTTTATTTACAGAATTTACAACAGAATTTGAAAGGAGCTGAGCAATCGTACTAACACAATTATTTGCCTCGGGCTCAATGAACATTGTTGAATAATCCCCTGGGCTTCATCCTGGGGATTATTCACAAATATTTACTTTGCCTTTGGCAAATAATTGTTAAATATACTCTCAAACAACTGTCATGCCCTGAAATACTGGTTAGATGCTGATGGAAGACTGCCTTATTAGGAATTCTTTTTGTGCCTTCATTGAACTAACAACCAGTCTTGAAATAACTTAATCAACTGTTTCCATAGTAACCGTGCAGAAGAGTCTCAGGATACACTTCTCATAACAGTGAAAATTCACCAAGGAGCAGTGTACTGTTGCAGTTTTTCACAGGATGCAAGCAAAGTGGTGTCTTGTGGTGCTGACAAAACTGTAAAGGTATTGCACTTTGAATGACCTTGTAGCATACAATTTATTACTGACACTAAATGAGATTTTTGGTTTCAACTGAAGCTAGTAACTCAATGTTCTTATTAGCATCCAGTAATTGCACATTTTTGAAGAAATGTGAAGTCTTTTGCTCTCTAATTAGTTGAAGAAGGAGATGTTTCCAGTTCAGTAGATCAAACAAGCTTCAAAAGATTGTCAGTAAGGATAGCACTTTGAATTCCTTTTAGGTTTGGGAGAGTCAATCAGGCAAAGAGCTGCTGTCCATGATGGGCCATACTGATGTGGTATACTGCTGTGCATTCTCCACTAATGATGTCAGAATTGTTTCATGTTCTGCTGATCACAGAGTCAAGGTTTGTCCATTACTATGGCTAAGTTATTGGCTGGAAGTATCTTGAATTTGTATTTTTTGTTTGGGCCCTTTGTGAAGAAATACTCTGATTCCAATGTTGAAAGGTTATTGTGCATAACAGATTATAGAGATGTGACTTTACAATGTGGAACATATTTGCTACTCTCACTAGTATTCAATGAATGAGGATTTAGTAATTAGAATGGCACCTCTTATTTGTATCCTCTTTTGTAAAAGTGATATGTAACTCAATCATGTGCAGAAAAGAGAGCAGTCTATCAATTCCTCTTTAGATTTGGGACAGCAGTAGCGGAAAAGAACTACTGACTTTCAATGGCCACAACCAAGAAGTATTCAAGTGCATGTTTTCACCAGATGACAAGAAAGTTGTTTCCTGCTCTGCTGACAAGACTGTCAAGGTACTGGTACCACTTTAAACCTTACACTCTAACATCAGTAGGCATATTTTCCATACTGATTTTTTATACAATTCCTAAGGTGCTGACACCAAATTGCTCTCAAAATCATGTTATTACCTATACTAATTTAATTAAATAAATGTCCTTCCATTATAAACTTCTGGCCCTCTTGACACTGTTTACAAATTAAAGTAAATGATTGAATAAAAGGTTTGGCTAATTTTAAGATGGCTTAGAGTGTGGTTTTGTCAAAAAGTGGCTAAACTTTGTTAAGATAGCTGGCCCGATAAGTTTATTTAATGAATTCACTTATACACACTTAGTGCACACTATACACTTCATTTAAAGAATGATTATTAATAATTTAAATATTTTCATAGACCCACAGGTAGTCTAGACTGAATATAGGCGGGATATGTTTTAACCAATAAATACAATATAATATATCAATTTGAAAATGAAAGGGTAACTAATCATTAAAAAACTAAGTAACACATCAATACATGGAAGCTCGTTTTACAACTCTTTGAGTTGATAAGTTAATAAATCAAAATTTATAAATGAAATTTAGGCCGTGATATGTTAATTAACAAATTCGACTTGTTTCATAATTTCTAGAACATAAATAAAAAGTAATGATTTATTGATTGATTGAGATTGGCTATGATTTTGCATCTGGACCCCATCACAGAGCAAGTAAAGCAAAACCAAAGCAATCCAGGATCACTTTTGTTACTGAATTTAAAACTGCACCTACTTAGACTTATTCTTTTAACCCTGTAACTCCCAGAAGTGATTAACTTGTAACTTCTCCTTATAATTTCCATACATCATCCTGCAAACAGGTATTGAGAAACCTCCAACTTATCAGGTAGAAGTTATCATCTTGATCTAACACTAAACTCACACTAACTCATTTACAAGGAAACATGTAGCAGCTAGAGGGGAGAATTTACAATCAGATCTTGGGAGTTAAAGTGTTAAATGACTCAACTGGTTGATATTCAAGTCAGTGTGTAGACCACCTTCAACTTTTGATCATTATTTGAATGGGTAAATATTTTATTGCATGGAAATTTCAGGTGTGGAGTTGTGAAGATGGCACAGAATATGTGAATTTCACTGGTCATGCAGATATTGTCCGCTGTTGTTGTTATTCTCCTGATGGTTCACAAATTGTGTCTTGTTCTGATGACACTCTTGTGAAGGTATTGTGACACAAAATGATATTAACCCCAAATACTTACCTTTTTAACCCTTTAACAATCAGTAGAAACTCAGGGCAGAGGAGGTTGTACATTTTAGGGAAAACTTATCATAAATCAAATCAGTGATGAGGATTTCTGAGAATGGTTTACAACATAATCAACCATGTTCAGATTTACAAGACGATGTGGTTTGTAATTTGTAAATTGGTGGCTGTGGGGAGTTTCAGATGTTTTGAGGGTCAGCCCCTCATCAGAGCTCTGACAGCTTTAGAGAGTACAAATATAAAGTTCTATGTGAAGATTTCATGATGATGGCTGTTACTAAGGGTGCTCTGTAAGGTAGCAACAAATGTACCACATTTGTTTTCAATCATTTGTAACATATGTGGTAAATTGGAGTTGTGTTTTTTTTTTTTTTACCTTATCAGGTCTGGGATTCAACATCAGGACAAGAGTTGTTTACCCTTGAAGGAGGAACAACTAGTGCTGTGACATTTTGCTGTTTCAAACCAACTTCACACAGTATAGTTGGTGTTTCAGATACTGTTGCTAAGGTTAGAACACAAGAAAAATAATTTTTCATGTCAGATTTTGGTGGCTTTTGTGAGGTTCTCATGATTTGAAACCAGAAAATGAAAAATTATTTCAATATGTCTTCAGCTCTCCAACTTGTTACAAATAAGATTTTGATTTTCAATCCATAGTTTTCTTTTTCCAATATTCTTTGGGAACTCAAACTTGAATTATGGAAAGGAAACTATTAAACATCTTTTTTTCCTTTGCATTTCCATTTCTATGTGGACCAAATTCTTGCAGTTCCAGGGTTACTTTTTATATCAAAATTGTAGAGTTCCCTTTGAAAAGGCAAGCAAGATTTTAAATCTACCCACTGGGATTAACAAAATTTTATTTCTTTGCTAGATTTGGGACTCAAAAACTGGTGAAGAATTAAAGACCCTTTATGCATCTTCCACCCCTCTCTCACTGGCATATTCACAGGATGATAGTATCTTAGCGGTGGGTCTGTCAGACACAACTGTACAGGTAGGCTTTCAATCTCACATATTCATTTATGAACACGTCCTACAATTTCATGAGCCTCTTAAAATTTTTTTTGAAACTTTGATGGAATTCTTAAAATCCTTTATAAACCATATTAAACACAACTAGACACACTTAACCCTTTGACTCCCAGAAGTGATTAACATGTAACTTCTCCCTATAATATCCAAACATTATTCAGCAAATAGGTTATGAGAATACTCAAACTTATCAGGTTAAAGTTGTTATCTTGATCTAATGCTAAATTCTCACAACTAATTTAGAAGGAAATGTTTGGCAGCTTGAGAGGAGAATTAACGATCAGATCTTGGGAGTTAAAGGATTATGTTTGACTTATTTGGAATTATAAACATGATTATTGTAACAATCACATCTCAATTATGAGACATTTTGTCAGTGAAATCTCTGTCACCTATCACAGATATGTTAACCAAAAGATTAATGTTATTTGTACTCTTTGCAGCTGTGGAATACAGTCAATGAAGGAAGCATAGGTGTGTACCGAGGCCACTCAGGCTGGGTTCACTGTGTTGCCCTGTCACAGGATGCCAGCAAGTTGGTTTCATCCTCTGATGATGAAACTGTCAAGGTAAAGCACTACGAAGCTCAAAAATGCAGTATTTTTAAAGGTTAGTGTGATTTTTTAATAATCCCAAATTTCGATTTTTCTCTCAACTGTAGATCTGGAAAGTTGACAACACCAATGTTCAAGAGTGTATGAAACTCAGAATGGTGTTTGATGTGATGTTTAGAGGGGATTCCCTGACTATTGCCATTACAGACACATCCAACAGGCTGATGGTAAGTAGTAGCTGGTTACCGAAAAAGAATGGTAATTCTAAAAGTTGGAATGGTGGAATGACAGAATGGTAGAATGGTGAAAAGTTGAAACAAATCCTAAAAGACAGAACTGTAAATAGTGCACACATCCTGCTAAAGGATAGAGGGTTTTCCAATACACCCAAACCGTTGCAAATTGTCAAAGGCAGTTGACAAATCGTCAAACTGGAAGTCGATTCGCCAAGTGATGTTGTATATATACTGGAGGTCTGAGAAACCATCTCTTAGGATTTGAAAAGGCATACCGGATGTCAATTTGCAAGAGAAAGAAAATATTCCATAAGTGTCTGCAATAGGGGGTTGAAAATGTTGTTGAATCGACACAAATTGACTCAAATTGAACAACTCATCGCAACAAATGACAACCTGTCATACTGGATGTCAATTTGCAAGACACTTAAAAAATATTCTACAAGTGTCTGTGAAGGGGGGTTGTAGATGTTGTCGAATTGACATGATTCAACTCGAATCGAAGGACTCATCACAATAAATGATGACCCGTCATACTGGATGTTGATTTGCAAGACACTGCAAATTGACATCTGGTATGACGGATCGTCATTTGCTGTGATGAGTTGTTCGATTCGAGTTGAATCATGTCAAATCATCAACATTTGCTACACTGTATAGTTTTTAATATTCTGATGATAGACTTCTGGTTGTTTCATGCTTTAAGAATGTGGAAGGTTCATGTTGTCATGTTCTCATACCATGTGACTCATTTTCACTCATTGCTCACATGTGTACCCCTCAACTTCCGGTATGTTAATTCACGATTCAACTTCTGGCATACCATGGTAATTTCACATATTGCTTACGCCTCTCGACTTGTGGTATGTTAATGCATGATTTGACATCCGGTGTGATGATTTGTCAAGGACTGTAGACAAATTGCAACAGTTTGGGTGTATTGGACATGTATGAAAGGATAAAGACAGCCAGCCAATATGCAGTCAAAATATACATGAAAAGCATGCAGATGTAAACAATTTAGTTAAAATGGCTCCATTAAATTTTTCTTTTACTGTGGTTATGGCTGTAAATAAGAAACAAGTGCATTCCTCTAGATGCAGATCTTCTGTGTCACAATACACATTTTAAGCAAACTAACTAAAGATAACTTTTTGTGGATTGGTTTAATTTACCGGTACACTGAAGGTAAACTCATGGAGGGGAAAAGGTTTCAATTGGTAAGCTTTTTTTTTAGATTGCACCCCCTTTTCCCTATATTTTTTAGATCTCAGTCACTTACGTACATGACCAGAAGTCTGCTATGACATTGTACCAAAGGAAATTATTTGGCTGTCTTTATCCTTTGGCAGGGTGTGTATAATATTTATAGTTCCGCCCTTAGGATTTGGAGTGATTTCATGCCATTCTCTCTTTTATGATTTGGGGTAAATTTCCACCATTCTGATCATTCTGCCATTCTTTCATTCCTCTGTTTTGGTTTTAAGGTTCCTTGACATAGGTCATGATATTACACAGGTCCAATATAGATCTTACATAAGTCGCCCAGTATTGTTATGTGCAGTTGTAAGCAGTTGTACTATTTTTTGGTCCGTTTACTACGCTTTACCAAGCAGTGAGATTCTTCCTTTCCTGATGCTTGTAATGGGTAAAATCCAGCTAAGTTTTTAAAGTTAAAGAATGTGGTTTGCTTCCTGACGTTGTGTGAAGTGACAAGAAATCTCTAAAACCTTTGTATTTTGTTACTATTATGCTGAGACTTATTAGAAATGATTTTTTACCTCTCCTTTTAGATATTTGAAGGTGAAAACACCAAACTGTTGTCACAAAGTGTAGTTAACCAAATAAAAATCACAAGCATTAGTTTTAACAGTGATGGAAGTCTAGTCGCTACTGGCTTTGATGATGGATGTATAAAGGTAAGCATATTTGTACATGAAATGTTACTCTGATTCAGAGGTCACTGAACTGTAGATCCAAACTCAAAAGATTTAGCCATGAAAGTGTTTTACTTTGTAAGAAGTTTGGTGCTTATCAATTTGAGATCACTTGACTTTAGAGTGCAGGATTCTGAAATATTTGCCTCCTTTCACCTTTTAGATTTTAGAGAAGTTAACATGCAAAACAATCCAAGAATTCAAAGACCATTGTGATCGCGTTAGGTGGTGTGCATTCAACAAGGGCTCTGAACTTTTAGTGTCAGTTTCAGAAGACAGCACTGCCAAGGTATACTTACAGCATTATATTTTTAGTTTGCTAATTTGTCACTTGAGTCCCCCAAGGATATCTTGCAATTGATAGCGGTAACTATGAAGCATTATGCAATTCAGTAGGGCATTGCTCTTAAAATTCCAGTTCCAAAGGAGCCAATATCTGTATTAACCCTTAACTCTGGGAAGAGGGTAAAGATAATACTCAGACTTATCAGGTTAAATTCATTTGTTATCTTGATCCAACACCTAATTCTTGTAACTAATTTACTAGGAATTTTGCGGCAGCTAAAGGAGGGAATGAACAGTCAGATCTTGAGAGTGAATGGGTTATATCAGTGGTACCAACAAATTTTAAATTAAAAGATTATTCTTGTTAATTGAACAATAATTTGCTCTACCAGTGGAGGTTTTCCTTCTTTAAATTCTTTGAGCAGCCTATTTTCTTCTGCCTTGTCTGTCATGTGAGTCAAAAATTGAATCATCAACACAGTAATCATCAGTAAGCTTGTTCCTCTTCTTCCGAGTCATTAGGCCTGTAGTTGCACACATTTACATTACAATCTGACATTACTGTGCAATTCACTGAGCATCAGATTAGAATTGATTAACTGAAAATTTATCCCAAATGAAGGTTTACAACTGTGTGGAGGGTACTTTGGCATTCTCTTTGGAAGGTCATATTGCAAGGATACAGAGATGTATGTTCTTCCATCACAACCAACAGCTGGTGCTTACAGCTTCTCAGGATGGGTCTCTTAAGGTATTTTGTTATTAGGAAATAAATTCAATAGTCATATTGCTGTACAGTGAGGTTCCATTGTCTGAAGGCCCTAGATATTGTGGGCTTTCCTTTATTAAGAACTTTCTTCACATTCAGAGATGAAAATGTTTTGTTGTAACATTTTAAATTTGTAAAAATCATCATCATAACAAAGACTCGCGGCCAAAATTTTTTTAAAGTTGCCATTTGGTATGCTTAATTGGTGAATGGTTTTTAGCAAATATGTTAGTGAACTCACAGATAATTGGCTTCCACAGTTTTCCCTTGTCAAAACTACAATCTCACTAACTTTTCTCAAGAATAAAAAAAAGGAAAGGAAATTCTGTGCAATTGGTTACCAGCTAATGTTAGCCTCAATTTACTTAAGATTTTGACCCTAAACACTTTGTAATCAAACTGTTACAGCCTGCTACATGAGTGCTAAACACAGGTCTTCCAAATAAGTGCCTTTGGTAAAATCTAGTTTCAGTTTTTTTCCCCTTGTTAGTCAAAAATGTTGCAGTCTGGAGCTCTGCCTTCAACTTAGAAATCAGAGAGAGTGTTGTCACCATCACCCCAGCCCTGCTTTTTTTGACCCTTTAACTCCCAATAGTGACCAAGACTAGTGATGAGAATAAAGAAAAACATCAACAAGGGGATTATTAGCTGTTCCAATACTAAATTCTCCAAACTAACATCATAAGAATTGTATGGCAGACAGTAAGGAGAATTACTAATGAGATCTTTGGAGTGAATTGTTGGTCCCTGAATGAAGGCATTGTCTATCATGCACTGTTAAAAGTAATTCATTCATATCAAACTTAATGTGTCTCAATTCATTTTGTAGGTTTGGAATGTACAGAGTGGATCTCTACAGTTTTCATGTCAACACAGCAGTGAAGAGTATGTTCTCTCCTGTGATGTTTCTCAAGATGACAAGAAATTATTGTCAGCTTCAGTGGATAAATATGCTAAGGTAATCAAACCCTGTCTCTTCCTTCTATAATTGGCAGGAAGGCATACAGGTACTTGTGACAAGTGAATTATGATGTTGTGATCATTGATGAGGGCAGGCATGAATCAACTATTATGCATAGAAACTGAGAGCAAAAAATTTTAGTATCTTAATTCAAAATAAAAGAGCCTCTAACTACCAGTACATAAAATTGTTTAACTGCTAGAAAGTTCTAAAATTAGTCAAAAATAAGTTTTAATTCCCAATATTTCAGCTGAGAACTCCAGCCTTTATCAGGGTAAATTGAGCAGGAAAAATTTACAGAAAGCACAAATTATGATGAGAAATGCAAACTCAAACAATTGTTACTAATAAGTTGTGTCCATTAGCACCTAAGTCAAATACTTGTGTGATCAATAAATGCCATTTTCGTGATTGAGCAGATTCCTGCAAATGTCAAAATATATCTAAAAAAAAGTCTGTCTATTCAGTTTATTTTTTTCAGTACAATGTTAAGCTACATATGTTGCTTGCTATCTATCACAGAGTAGATAATGAGTAGTATTAAGCCAATCAAATAGCATCATTTCTGATAGAATACTTTTAGGTTAACCATAATAAATGAAATAACTTTTTTCAATATGTGTTATATATTAATTAGGTTTGGGATTCTTCCACCGGAGAGCTTTGTTGCTCTTTTGGGCCACACCCTGATGTTGTGAGGTCTGCGTCATTTTCACAAGACAACAAGTTTATCTGCACAGGCTGCGATGATGGAACTGTCAGAGTGAGTTCTTGCATTTTGTAAAACAATACTATTACCATCTCTTGCAAACTTCTTAAAATATTTGATATGAAGCAGATTGTTTTAGAATATACATGTCAATGCAATATCTTCTCATTTTATAGGTATGGAATATGTGTGATGGTAACAAAGAACTTGCTGTTTGCAGTAAACATGATGCTTGGGTTGCCAACTGTTGGTTTTCAAGCAACAGTGACCTGTTGGTATCTGTCAGCAACAATATAAAGGTACTTCACTGTAAACTTCATATTTTTGTTATTTATTAACTTTGATTCTATTCAGCAATCAGATTATGAGCTCAATATGTCCACTGGGTGACAGCTGACGAGGGCACAGCCTGAATCAACTATCAAACATCAAAATGAAGATAAACAATCTAATTATTTGAGTTTAAATTTATGAGTGGTTTGAAACCTCACAAGACAGGCTCATGTAATTGTGGGATTTAGTTTACAACTGCACAATGTTAATCAACCCTTTAAGCCCAAAGAGTGAGTGGTGTCTTACTTCTCCTTACATTATCACTGTTGAATCAAACATTAAGGTCATGAGAATAAGGGACATGATCACCCATAAGAGAAGCTCTTGATTATTAAACAAATTCTCTTTGTAGGCACTGTAGGAAATGTATGGAGAAAAGTATGGAGAATATGCATACTCGACTTACATACTTGTTTAAAAATCTGTATTAGTTTTGACGTTAGGGTGCTTACTATCTATCTCAGACTACAAGTATCACAGAGAAGCGAGTAGCAAGTAGCATGGCAAATCAATTTGCTGCATGTTTGATAGAATGCCTATAAATTAATACTAATAAAACTTAGTTGGTTAGATCGTGGGAATTTTTGAAACTTTAAATTTCAATGATTATTTTTATGGTTCAATTCTGTTCCATTCTTCTCACTCTTTCTTGCAGATTAATTCCAAAAACTCACTTTCTATTCTTTCTCTTTTAATTTAGTGGTGGAAAAGAGATGGAACACTTTGTCAACAATTTAACCTCAAAGGAACCCAAGCCAAAAGTATCTACATCTCTCCAGATTTCTCCACTTTTGTATCAGTGGACAACATAGGGACAATTTATGTACTCAAAAGAATCACATAGGAGCTGACTAGATACATGTTACAACTTCCAGCAAGTGAACCAAGGTAGCGCAGTGGTACAGAATGGACAGATTTTGCACTTCAGGGAAATTAGATTGATTGTAAATCTTTTCGTTGTTGATGTATGCCTGTGGATGTTGAAAGTGGTATGCAAGTAACAGAGTCTGGTCCCAAACTGACTTTTTGAGATCCAAAAAAAATCTGAGGTTACAAGAACATTTTTGAAGAGATTTAGGTTGCACCTAACTGTAATAGATTTTAAATGTATCTATTACTTATAATGTTATTGTTTAGAGAATTCAGATTTAAAAGTTTTTTCAATGTTTTCAAAACATGATTCTATTCCTCATGGCAACTCAGAATTTTTTTCTTTGTCCCATGCTTATGACAAGGTGATAAAACATCTTTCTCTATTTCTTAACCAAGCTTAACAACAATAATTCTATTCATAAGGCCATTGCATGTAACTTTTGTTAGAAGTTTACACCACAAAACTTAGTCAGTGCATTCAGGTTAGGGTTAGTTTTAAAAGTCAGTATTAGTTTTGATTTAAAATTAATGCTGTCTGCATTTCAGGCACCAGATGGTGAGGTGTTTGTAAAATCTTGATGATAGTTTTGCTAGTGTGTTAGCAAAGTTCAGACTTTTCAAATTGCAGAATGACAGAATTATTGTAAGGCTACAAATAAATCAGATAGAATAGACATTGGAAACTCCTTTGCATTCTTAGCCAAGTTCTACTTTTTTGTAAAATAACTACCAAAAGCCTAAGTTTGCCTTTATCAAGCTGAAAAATAGAGGTGGAAAAATCAAAGCAAAAAGAAATTTACAATAACATACTTAAGAATTTCAGGGAAAAAGCATATACCAGTAAATGAAAAATTAGTGTTGGAAGATCCCCTTTAGCTTAAATATTTTTTTAAGGATGGCATGTGCGGTTTTGATCCTTGTACTTCTACTGGTCTCTTTTTTACGCTTGAAGCTTTCAAACTGTTGCACTCATAAATTCTGCAATAATTTTTTTTGTACAAGCAAATGCCATTGCTCTCACTTTGTTGCCGTGTTAAATTGCACTTACCAACGAGAGGTGTATGCATTGTTTCATTTCATACAGTTTGCACCATAAAACTGCTTAAGTTAAAATAAATTTTTAGAGAATGTTGTTGTGGGTGAAGTATTTGTACCTGTTCATTTCTTATTTGGTAGAAGTAATTGCCTGCAGTGCATTGTGGGTTGGAGTTCACGTTGTTGGCCTCTCCAAGCTTGGATTGTCAAGTTTAGAGGGTGTCTTTTAGAGGGAAGAAATTTAAAGGTCTCTTTTACCAGTGGATGCATTGAGACAACTCTCTCAACTTCAAGGTTATGATCAACAAACATCTCATTTGAAAACAGAAAGTTGTATCACACCACTGATTTACTTGAAAGATGTTTATTTTTTTGTACTATTAACAATGATCTTGGTTAAATTGTTCATTGCTGAGTTGAACCTGTAAATCCACCACGGCCACGACCATAACCAGCCCTCTGTGAAAAAGAAGGGAAAAAAAAAAGGTTGCTAACCCTCAAAGAAAAACAAAACTATTGGTAACCCAGAGAAAGGTGTTGGTTTACAATATAAACAATGTCTCCAAAAACAAATGACTTTGGTTGCTTCAATGATAATAAAGTCCCACATTATAAACAAAGCACTATGCATGTTATGCTATTAGAGTTGTACAATGGAGCTGGCCTTCAGGAAAGTTCGTCATTTGTTCTAAAGGGAATTACCGAAATATCAGTTCTAATCTTAACATGCAGCTGAAATGATGGTGGGTCAACCAAGAAACTTGATAACCAACAGTGTCTAATATTTAGTAACATGTTCAAAACTAAAAGGACAGGGTCCAGTTTTTCAGAGAGCAGATATCACTATCCAACATATAATTTTAGACAAAAATATTCTATGTCATCCACCAGAGAGATATTTATCCCATGGATAGCATTATCAACCCTTTAAAGAGCTGGGGCTAGGACTTGGCTCTTTGTTTGTTTCCTTCGAGGGAGCTAAAATGTTAAGCTTTAAGTTTAAGGGAAACACTTACAAATTCAGGCTTGAAGTCTGAGCCAGCACCTCCTTTAGGTTCCATACCAGGGGCAGGACCACGCCTGTAAGCCTCACGGTCAGCAGAGTCACCAGAGGGAGGGCCACGGGGTTGGTCTGGACCTATGAGTCAGGATTGAAGTTGTAAGAAGATACTGGCAGTTCTATTTCCACTCTGTTCCCAATAAATTAATTTTGGACCTTGCTATATCATGACATACTATATTAAACTTTATGATCCATCATGTTTTTGTTTGACTAACGCAGCATGTGACCAATATTCCTCAGCTCAAACTGGGGGATATCTGAGGATATCACTCAAGTGATATTCCCCAATTTACAGACCTACAACAAGTTTTTGTTTGAAACTTAATTCAAGATGAGAGAGTGTACTGTGGTTGTTACAGAAAAAGGGAAATATTTTTTTGTTCATTAAGTTGTATCAGAGAACACTAAAAAAAAAACATCTCGCACAGCAAACAGTAAGCCATTCATAAACATTTTACCACCTGTGTTGCAGAATATTTGAAAGATAATGAACACAATAGCCTAAACTTTGCACAAAAGTATGTGCTTTTGTATTTGTCTGTGGACATGATCTGTTCCTCAAAGCTTACAGTTTTCCTCAAGCTTTGCTCTCAGAAAACTGTTTGCATCTTGGAACAGATAATGTATGCAGTCCAATGACCATGCATAATTTTGTGTCAAATAGAAGATATTGTTTATATAGAACCTAACATTAACTAAAAACTAGGACACTCCATAGATTGAGGTGCAGAAAAGTTTGGAGAGAGAATTTTGACTGCAAAATAACTGTTGGTATGGGTAGCCTTCCTAGTTTCCAATGGTAACTGAATCTAAAAAGACATGCACCACTGACCAATAAGTCAAATGATATGTTGCCACTGGAAACAGGGCCAGTTACCCATGAGAACAACATGATTTCAAAGTCAAAATGTGATCTCCAAACTTCTGCTGCTTTTCACTCCACTGAAAATTGCAGTTAAGTGATTTTTGGTGAGTGGCAGTGAATTGAATTCATGAAACATTTAAAGATTATTTAAAACTTTGGCTGACTACCAACCAAGGCAAAACAGTGTTCATCAGTAGAGAAGCAATTTGCTAAGAGGAAACTATGAGGGTCCAACAATAACTTTAAACTCTTTAACTCCCAGAAGTGATGAACATGTAGCTTCTCCCTACAATATCCCTGCTTTATCTAGCAAACAGTAATGAGAATACTCAAACTTATCTGGTAGAAGTCGTTGTCTTGGTATAACACCAGATTCTTCTGCACATTTTCACTAACTTAGGAAATGTGTAGTGGCTTAAGGGAAGAACTAACAATCAAATCTCAGAGTTAAAGGGTTTGCAAACCAACGCACCTTTAGGTCGTGGCCTAGCTGTTTCAGTCCTGGCTTGTCGGCGAAGAGTAGCTGGTACAATCTCAGGAGGAAGGTGAAGGAATTCTCTGATGTATGTGATTCCTGAAAGCAAGTCATTTAAAGTGTGATTAAGCCGATTAAATAACATTGCATAATCTCCATGATTAATTCTCTACATGTTGCACAACGTGATGAGCACCCAACTAAAGTTCACACTGCAAGCTTTTTTGACAAATTTAAAGCAAATCCTAATTTGGAAAGTACTGTTCAAGTTTGAATAATGCCTTATACTATGGGGCCCACTTATGTAAAGGGTGCATTACACTATCCAACAGATAAATTGCTAACTGGAATAATTGTTAACAAAACATACTGCACTGTACACCAATAGAGATATATCCAGTGGATAGCATCTATCCAGTCTTCAAACAACCATGGCCAATTCTTTAAAAATATTACAAAAGTACAACAATCACAGATTATGAAAATTAGGCTTGGGATGCAACAAAATTTGTCTATGCCTTGCTATGAACAAGTGGCTATCTATCTTAGTGGGTAGTTGCATACAAATAGGGTCTAGTAGCACAGATTTTGGATCAATATCAGTATCTGGGCAACTGCCCACTTACCCCTCCCCTAACCCAACAACAGTCAATTGTTAACAAGTTAGGGTTAATGTTGGGTTAGGGGAGGGGTAGGTGGGCAGTTTCCCAGATACTGATATTGATCCCAGATTTCAATCAAACTTCATCATCATTGCTAGCTTGTTCTAGTAATAATTTCTTACCATCATTGGTGAGGTACCAGTAGTACCACTGCCAAGAAAACTTCTCTTGGACATATCCACGAGATTTTAGGGACTACAAAATGAAGACATATTAGTACCACAAAAAATAGTCTAGCTTCTCTACTTGTTCCCTCATCCTAAAAGAAACAGACATCATGAAAGAAAAATACAATAATCAAACCTATGTACACCTTAACATCACCATCTAAATGAGATACCTCATCAAAACAGCAGCACAATTTTATTTACATGGCAACAAGTTGCAACACCCCAGCTTATGAAAAGGTCTGTATGCATTTATGCATACAAAATCAGATTTTTTTCCTGACTTTTTCTGAACCATTTTTTCTTTTTTAAAACCACACTTTCCAGCCAAATAATGAGGCTAAAAATAGCAGAGAAGTTTCAATGATTATCCATAAAATTGAAATTTCTTAGCTTTCCTATTTATAAAATAATGATTTATTATTAAAATTATAGAATAATTTATAAAATAATTGTTGCTTCCAGAGAAACTCGTATTAATTCAGCTATTTTTTGAAGATCTCAACATGAGCGTTTGTTTTAGCTTAGGACAAACTTCACACCTCTTCCCACTTTCCCTGTTTTCCAGGTTTTGATATTCTGATCGGATGTTTCTGTTCTTTGACAAAAATTCAACACTCTATACATACTCTGTCATGTGTGAAATCAGGATGTTACAAATTGCTAGAAACTAATTGATTACTCAATGTTACTCGATAATAAGCAATAATTTTTGATCAACTGAGTGGAGTCCAATTCGGTCTGTAATAATATAAGGGATTAACAAAATTGGATGACCATGAAGCTGGAGTCCAAATTGTTAATCACAAGTATAATTACAGGCAGAATTGGACGACACAAAGTGTGTCACACAGGTGTCCAATTATGGCTAACTGTTCAATTACACTGTCTGATTACAACTCTATAGAATGATTACTGAAAAATGAAGCAGCTAGTGCACCAATCACATTTGCAGAAATTGTAATGGTTATGATTAGCCAAAATAAGCAATAAGTATCAATAACCACAAGATTTAGGCCCAGATTACCTATGATATCAATTTGATTGGCTGAGAGAACAAATGAACATTAACTAAGAATTAAGTAAGGGTTTGTCTTATCGGAAAAGTAAAAACCTCTCCCATCCTTGACCATAATTTGTGATGACTCATTCCCATTTGAAGCAATTTATAAAACTGGAGCTCACACAAACATAGCACACAGAAAAAACAGTGAAAAACATGTATACTCTGATGAACGTGTTGTACCTCTACCAAAAGAAACTAGGCTGAGTCACTTCACGTGTGGAATTTCTACGACTATTCTTGCCATGAATCAGCCTGGGTGAATTAATCAGCCGAAATACTTAAGAGTCACCATTTCTAGCTATCTCCGCAGATTTCCAGTATTTCGTTGGCGCCTTTCCGTTGATAACCACAAACTTTCGCCATCGATTTTTATAGATAATTGATATTAATCGATTACGATCAATTTTATCGAGTATCAAAATTATCAATTTGTATCGTTCTAGCAAAACAAAACCTTCGTATATTACTGATTTTCATACCAGAGCAGCTTTGATGACCTCCAAGTTTGGAACTCCCTCAATCTCAGGATGCTTGGCGAGATTAAAATCCTTTTTGGCCACCATGACCCCCTCCTTGAAGAGGTACTCGTATATAGCTATTCGGTTTTTCTTGGGGATCAACATCCTTTAAAAATCAGCGAGCAAGACGAATGATTTAAAAATTCAGTCTTCTGAACGTCATTCACCATGAGAGGGGCTTTGAAATCAAAATACATTCCAGAATTGTGGATAAAGCTTGCTTCACAGAAAGGCTTTAAAAGGAATTCAATAAGCAAGGTAAAATAATAGATAAATTTCACAGAAACTGCGTCTAACGTGACAAATTGGTATGAAAAGGTAACAACATTGTACAAGGCATTTTCTTGCATTTCTTTAAGTTTCGCTGAAAAAATTTTCGCGGTAGGAAGTTATATGATATTCAAAATTTTTCATTTTATTGAAAATTCGCCAAGTAGTGAATGGATGGTTTAAAATTTCTGTGGATTGCTTTCACACTACTCACTTTCTTCTCCAAGATGGCGACCACAGTGAAAAGAGAACGATTAGAGTATGCGCGAGATCTAATAGCCTTGGTGGCCAAGCCTTATCGCGGAACAGGAAAATTTGCATATAGCCGTCTGATGAAGTTTTTCTGAGGAAACTTTTTAACCGCCAAATTATAAAAAGAGATAATTAAACAAGAAAATGTTATTTTCGCAAGGCGCAATTGCCTGTACATATTATGGAGATAGAAAAAAAAATTTTTTACCCTCTTACTCCTAGCGGTGATTGATATGTTACTTATATTAGAGATTCCAATATGTTATCTTGCATACAGGCTATGAAAACAGACGAACTTATCAGCTTGAGGGTGTTATCTTGATAAAACACCAAATTCTTCATGCTAATTTTCAAGGAATCGTGTAGGAGTCAGTTGGGAGAAGTAATTATTGGACCTTGGCAGTTAAATGCACTAATGCTTGCTGTATTCCATCATGAGGCTTTATGACTAGAGATAATATATTTATCTTATAAATATAATAAATTACTTTACAGAATTTTAACTTTTGTTTCAGTGTCTCTACTTGGATCTTAAGCTTAGCCTTATTAAATGTAATGAAAATACAATTGTGACCCAACATACTGTTACATTTAATCCACCACAAAAATGAACCACAAGGATTCTTTAATATTTCTTGAGTCATATTATTTATCCTACAAAGATAGAACTTACTTTGAGTATATCGCCAAATAAATAGATGTCATATGATGAACATCAGTTTTGTTTGAGAAATGGATTGATCAATAATAATAATAATAATAATATAATTGTGTTCAAATCTCTGGGAAAAGAGAAACACTATATTTTCTGTGAAAGGCAAACAAAGAAATATTATCCACTTTACCTGTGCTCTTAAACACTCTATGAAAAAAGTCAGGATCACTTCTTCTCCAAGAACTTATCAGTTTTGGTTTACTAAGTACACCATGGTTTAAAACACTCTTACATGGTTACAATACCTATAAACTTAGATCACCCTGGAAAACCCGTAAAAGTCTTACTATGTTTGTAAATAAAAGGGGCAAACGCAGGGTCCATTAGGGTTCTAAACCAGGGTTTTGACATTTGTATGCATTCCGTGTGGAATTATCATTGATCATTTATCCATTAATTCATCACAAAAGAGAGGAATTCAGAAGCCCACTTGGACCCAAACCCCCGTATAGCTAAGCTCTTTCATAAATACTGTTCTTGTGAAGAGAGGCGTGGATTTTAGCGATTTCCCAATCTCCGAGAAACACTTGGTAGCGGATTCTCAATTTCCACATCTTTTAGGTAAGTCCATTGTCGATCACAGCGACATTCAACACCACACTTTTCTGATCCACAAGAAGGACAAGGAAAATGGCAACCGGGACAATTAGTGTCTTGACAATCACACACATCTCTTCCATCGGACATTCGAACACCTGATCGGTCGTGGAAAGTCTGTTTCTGGGGCCGTCTTCTTTGCCTTTGTCTCCTTTTCGCTCGGTTAGCAGGGTCCTTTTTGATCAGTCTGTTTAATTTTCGCATTTCACGGCGACTTGTATCAGGGTTAAATTCTTCAAGTAATCTTCCAGGATTCTTGAACTTCAGAGAATTCCTTAATTTCTCTGTTTTAGAGCTTTCCGAACCTGTAGATTCCGTGCGAGTGATTTTTGCCGGGTCAGTCAGAGAAAATCCCATGAGGATTGGTGTTTCGTCTGATGTTACAAAGCTCGCATCCCCGACGACTGGCAACTTGATACTCTTTTCATCACTCTCTTGTTGTGCTTCTGATGACATTTCACAATTTCCTCAGTTTTTCCAAGGATAGGAAAAAGAGGTATGTGAAAAAAGGAGTAAAAGGTACAATTCTCCAAAAAAGAAAGTTATTTCGCCATTTTGAACAGACAACTCTTACCCAGTCCAACTGTGCTAATGTTCGAAAGCTTACTTCCGGTGAGAAGTAAAACTTCCGGTGACTAACCACAATGAAATACGAAAATATTTTGCAAAATTTTTTTCAAACGAAGAAAACGGAAAAAAATGACTGCATGAGTAAGACATAAAACTGAGAAAAAATGCTAATAACAATAGCCTGATTCTTCACGCTTTAATGATCCATCTTTTGAAGTAATATCGTTCTGCAGCATTGTGGGTATCAGCGAAATTTCCTTTTACCGTTGCATGTTTTTTCTTTATTCTTTTTAATTCCTCGGGTACAACTTGGAAAGTGAAAATTTTGTTAACGATATCTTAACTTTTTAACTCCCAGATCAAATTTGTAATTCTCCTTACTGTCAACCATACATTCTTATAATGTTAGTTCAGAGAATTTAGTATTGGATCAATTAATTATCCCAAACTGATATTTTTCCTTATTCTCATCACTTTTCTGGTTGATAATGTAAGGAGAAATTCTGTCTCGGTCACTTATGGGAGTTAAAGCTTAAGGAGAAAAACCGGGATATCTTGTTTACAGTCCAATAATTATGATTGGCTAGTAAACAATGAAAGCTTGTTAAGAAACTATTTCCGGAAATCGTTGCCTAGCTGTGAAGAGGCTAATTTGTTAAAAATTTATCTCTAATGGTGTCCGACGGTAGCGCCGAGCAGCAAATCGTTGTACGAGGAACTCTTTTGTATTTACTTTGAATTGCATTAACGTCACGTCAAAGTGAATAATTTTACGATTTGTTCTTTCCACGTTTCATATCCTGCAGGCGAGGAGGACAAACTCGACAACATCAGACACTAGCGAGAAGAATTTCGTCATGAAAGAGGTTCGTTGTTTAAGGACCGTCCTAAGTGTAAAAGTTTTCATAAAATCTTTACCGCTCTTAATTTCGATGATAGTGACGCTCTTAATTACCTTTACTTTGGTAAAATTGTTCTTTTAAAGCCTGTTGTCATACACTGTTTCAGAAAGACGAAAATTCAAAAGACATGCATGGAGAAGCTCCTTCAAGGCAATCAGCGAAGGACGAGGCGACATCACCTGAACAGCAACCGGGCTTTTTATGGAAAGTATCTGGTGGCGTTTATAACAAGGCAGCCACAGTGGTTGGAGGAGTTGGTTGGGTTGCGGGAACGGCATTATCAACGACGTTTAGCGCTGTATCAGCCGTAGGGGGAGTTGCGCTAACACCATTCAAAAAATCAGCAAAGGACAAGTCTGATTGATGCTGTGTGTCGGAACAAGGGCCCTCTTGAGGAAAATTTCCTGTGGCATAATGCCAAGAGTTCTATTTAGATATCTTTATTGACGAAGACTTTCACGTTCACGGACACATACAGAAAATAAGGTAACATTTTGTCGAGTGAAATGGAAAATGCATTAATTTTGGAACTGAGGGACTGGATGTATTTCACAGAATTTTCGTGGTATCTCGTTTCACACAGAATTGATGCTTGCACGCGAAAACAGAATAACTATTTTTTTGTGTGATTTAGTAGAAATAGTAGATAATTTCGTGAACTTAAAATTGTAGAGAAGTGATGAAACACCATTATTTTCAATTTGAAATTTGCTTGCTCAGCTGAGCGCCCCGAATTGGTAAATCTGTCATTGTGTTATAAATTCGCATTTTCCTTTCAATTTTTTAAGTTATACTTGTATACACAATGGTTTCGAACTACTCTATTTCAGAAAGCTCTGTAATTTATAGCTGATGAACGATAGATAAAAATTGTAAATACAATACTGTTTATATTAATTTCCTTATTGAGAAAGGAAAACCGAATAGAAACTTAATATATTCATTATCCACTGTGAAGGTTTAAAATGAATCTCGGAATTTCATTGAAAATTAAAATTATTATTAAAGTAGAGATGCCTCAGAATTTTATCGGTAAGTTCAAAATGCTTAATCGAAATTGAACTTGTAATTTCTCAGCTAAGAAATTTTGAGATCATAGTTCCAGACAGAACAATTTTATTTCTGCAGACAAGAAGTGCCTAATTAAGTTAACCAGCTGCTTTAGTTGTGGGAAGGTCTTCTAATCAGAGCTGACTTGCAAAATGGCAGCTTCCAATACAGTCCAACCTGTATTAAGTGGTCTCCCATGGGGAATGGTGTAGTAACTGCTTAACCCTTTAACTCTGAAGATCTGATTGTTAATTCTCCCCTTAAGCTGCAACATGTCTTTGTAAATTAGTTGCAATAATTTGGTGTTAGACATCTTCTGCCTGAGAATTTGAGTATTCTTATTACCTGTTTGCTGGATTATGTATGGAGATTATGAGGAGAAAATACACATTAATCATTTCTGAGAGTTTAAGGGTTAATTTAGGTAGACCACCTAATATTGGTTCCATAGATTGGGGTATTATAAAAAACCATACACAATGCCATGTTATGCCTTAATTGACCACTGAATTACAGAATACAAGCAAAAACACTACTTACTTTTATTTTGGGAGATCAACAAGGATTAATAATTACTTGATAGAATATTATTAGTTATACTGGAATGGTTCCACCCTCAGTGATTGTTCCATACAGGTGGAAAACAATAAAAACAGGCTGTTGGCTCTTAGTAAAGTGTAACTGTGATGGCTTTATAGAGGTAACTGCTTAACAGAGGTGAAAATTATAGTGATTAAGAGGAAAAAAAAAAAATGGGACTTTGACACCTGACTACTTTATACAGGGTGACTGCTTAATATAGTGCTGCTTAATGCAGGTTTGACTGAATAATGAAGCTTGAAAAAATTAAAAATTCCTCTATCTGTGTGGGATTTAATTGAAATCCTGCTTGCCAGTGGTTTTGCTCAGTGAGAAAAAGAAAAAAGTTCCTCTTCTGGCACTGAAGACTACATATTCCAGACAAGCCATCAAAAATTTTTTAAAGCTCTGTCCCCAAAGTTGAAAAAAAAGGCTTTAGTTGCCTAAAACAGAGATGGGTCTTTGGGTACTAAAACAGAAATGCTGTGATACTGTTTTTGTGAACATTTGTACGACTCACCTACACAGGCGACAACAGGCATTTGCCATACCTGTGGCCAAGTTGAGTTTCTCTCCAGAAGTCTTACAATATAGCCTATGACCTTTGAGTAAAAACATGTTTTGTTTGCTTCAAAGGGCCATAAATGGTTTTCTCTCCTAGGGGCCCATGCAATTTTTATTGCAGAGGTCTGACAGTCAGTGCCTTTCCAGAAGTGTTGCTTTGTAAGATCTCTGACCAATGCAGGGTAATTTTAGAATTGGGCTCTCTTTCAGGAAGCCCAAGTAAATATTGCTCTTGCCTTAGAAGTTGCATATGCACTGGGAAACATCTGTTGTCATAAACCTAAATTATTTTTTTTGTCATCACCCTAGATTACAAGCCATGTAGAATCAGTATTACTGGCCTCTAACTAAGTTATGTGGAGTATGTGAAATTGAGTAACCAACTATTGACTTTCAACCTAATCCACCCTTGCAGTGTGCAAGATGGGTTCTCAGAAACTAACTTTGTATAACATTCAACAAGTTTTTGACTAATTATATTATCTCAGTTACCCTTTACATAACAACTGATGTTCACCCTTTTACTCCTTATGGAGTGACTAGCACCTAATTTCCCCTCATCACATCACCTCTGAATCACAGTTATGAGAATAAACAAGATGAAATGATCACCAGCTAAAGAAGCTCTTGTTGTTAAACAAAGTCTCCTTGTCAGCACCTCAGGAAATGTATAGAAAACAGTGTGGGGAATATGCATACCAATGTTAGGGTGTAATAGGTTTAACAAGTTATTGCAAAAACATAACATAATTAATGGAAGTGATGCACAAAGTCGATGGACTGGGAGAGACAAAAGTAGCAATTCCAGTGGTATAAATATTAAGTTTATTCTATTGTTTTGTTTAGATGGTTTGTATGAGTGCTAAATAACACACCTTTTTGCTGCTCTGGACTCTACTCTGCAAATTCTGAGACAATAGACATGTATATACAATATGAAATATGAAAGGATGACTGACAGTTTTAAATTTCTTCTCAAAATCAACTATGAGTAGCCCTCCCCCCTTTTTTTTTGGGCCAGGTCTCTTGTGTGAGTGAAAAAATAAGCAAGAGAAAATTGATGTTAACACAATGCACAGAACTCTGGGAGCAAGATACTCAAGAAGTAGGAATGGGCCTACTTTTCATGCACATCCATGCCACTTGCTAAAATCAATTATTTTCCACTAATTTGTTTCATTTTCACAATGGACTTTGCTGAAAAAGAGGGGTAGCTCATAGTCTAGATAACACAAAGATAAGGCCTTTTGATGCCAGTTTTAAGTCTCCTTGTCTCTCTTTGTTCACAAGGTATTATCATGCACAGATGATTGAGGTGATTGAACTTTTTCCATGTAACATTAAAAACTTCTAAAACAAATTAAAATTAACAAGTAAAGCAATAGTTTTAAAAACAACAGTTTTGCATATGAATTTCTAATTTACCAGTATTAAATATGTTTAAAATCATAAACTCCAAAAAAAGACAGATCTGCAACACAAGTTCATGGTCATTGGTGATAACAGCATTTCACAGCCATGCAGGTACTTTATAATCACCTCTAAACTTCAACTGTTGTTACAAAGTAAGAAATAATTTAAAACTATGTGTATCATTTAGCTGCATGTCCCCCAAAAGTTGCTATGGCCACATTTCCAGGTGTTCTTTTTAGAAGTTTTAGTCTCATGGTGTCAACTGCTTTTTCTCCAACTCCATCAGCTGTGATCTCTACATTATAGTTGTTTGCCTGTAAAGAAACAAGAATACTTGTTTGACCTTCTGCCCTACAAGAAAGATTTTTCTTAGTGCAGCTCATTAAGATTTAATATATTAAAGTTCACAAGGCAACCTGGTGGACAATCAGACATAGTTTAACCATAGTTTGAGCATACTGATAAAGGCACCAGGCAGGAGTGTGGAAACATTAGGTCTATGATTGTAACTTCTTGGTTATGTTCATTAAATCTTTAAACCAGAGTAGCATCAAACCATGTTTGATTGTCCACCTGATTGCCTTGTGAACTTTAAATATATCTTATTTGGGAGAAAAGTATGGTCAAACTGTTGTTACAAGGGTCAACCAGCTTGCGAACATCAGAGTCTGCCTTGCTAATTATCGCTGTCTTTTGTACTACCTGATTCCTATTTCCACCATGTCAGAAAAAGGCAGCTAATTAGCAAGCATATAAAAGGACCTATTGATGCAGCAATTAGATCACCCCTGATGAAGGCACTAGACAGGAGGGTCATTGGGTCTCTGAATTGTAACTTCTCAGTTACATTCATTAAATCTTTAAACCAGAGTAGCATCAAACCATTTCTCATTAAGATTTGTTGCTCCCTTTTTGGCGATCCTTCTCCCCTAAGTTATGCATTTAGATGGGTGCATTTGGTCCTGTTCAGCTCAAAGCTGGTTTAAATGGAGGCCTGTATATACAATAGCACTGGGAGTTGTGTTCCCTACTTTTTGCAACAAAGTGTGTGGGTTTTTAATTTCTCCTGTTAACCAGTATAGAGAAGATGCAGGAGATAGGGCCTAAGTTTTATCATTCTTATCCAAGAAGACTAGAAAGCCATATGAGAATATCTTCTCTTTCTGCCATTTTTATTCTAAAATATTTAAACTTTTCTTGATCTTTGGAATAAAAGGATAGAAACATTTAGGACAAGGATTATTAACAACTCTCAGACTTAAAACTTTTGAAAACTAAGATGATGTGAGAACTCACCAGCTGCAGTGTTGCTAGAAAAAACCTACATATTTCAAATGGTTCCTGTGCAAATAAAAACAGAAAACAAAAAGGTCACAAAAAACAGATTACTAAACCCTTCTTATACAACTCTGGTGTGATTTCTTGCCAATGAATACAATAATAAGCTCAACTCCAGTCACAAATTGGTTTAAAAACAAACCTTTCTGTTGCTTTCTGAGCAAAACATTTAAGCTAAATCTCTTGTAAGAACTAGGTTACTCATTAACTGTGACAATGTCATGAATTCTTGTGAAAGAATGTAAATATTGGATGCAGTTGGGATGTATATTACCTTTTCATGGGCTAGCTGTCTAAAATCTTGATTACTATTGCCTGTGAAAAAATGTTCAGAACACAAAGTAAATTCACAATTGTGTATTTCAGTAGCAGATCCAGGGAGGGGTGCAAGGGTTCTGGACCTCCCCACCCATCTAGTCAACCCAGATTTGTGGGTTTGCCTTTTAATACTACTTGACTGACACCCATATTCTTGAAAACCAAGATGGCTGGCTGGCTAATTTTTTTGTCTAATGCTGAAGGGGCATCAGTTAGTTGAGAAGTAATGTTGACCCTGCTACCAAAAATTCTTCAGTCCAAATGGAAAGGGAAGAGGGAGGGGTGTGTGTGGTGGAGAACTAAGAAACTTGTTGCAGTTGCAGTGATTAATGAAGAGAGATGCACATAATTGGAAGCATTGAATTTTTAAATCTGAGTCATAATCCTGTCTTAAGATTCAACTGTTTTAGTCACTATGGCCTAATATACTTTTTCGGCTATCCTTGAAATTCTCTGATGTCATTTCCACTGTGTGGTTCTAAGACAAAGAGTTTGCATTTACCCTCTCACTCCCAACATCTTGTTGGTAATTCTCCTTACTCTTTGATGTACAATTCTTATGCTGTTAGTTCTGAGAATTTGACATTGGATCAATTATTAATTCCCTGATTGATATTTTTCTTTATTCTAATCATCTTTCTGTTTGATATTGTATTGGTATTGTAAGGAGAAATCCTGTCTAGGTCACTCATGGAAGTTAATTAAAAGCTAAGATAAAACAACTTTCTGAAGCAGAGATAATGCAAGTGGTAGCTGGGCTCATTTAAAAACAGCAAGACATCTTCTGGCAGAGAAGTCACTGCACAATAACAATTTTCAAAACAAAGATGGAGTGAGTGAGAGAGTAAAGCTTTAAACAATGGCAGTACAGAAGCCATTGATTTGGAGTTTGTTTTAGCATACTCTACACTTGTTACCTTTAAATGAATCAATAATTTCTTCTCCATACTTGTGAATATCAAATGGCCGATGTGTCTCCTGCAAATGGAGTAAGATCAGTAAGTTAACCCTTCAACTCCCAAGATTTGATTGTTAATTATCCCCAAGAGCTGCAAAACATTTCTGGTAAATAAGTTACTGAAATTTGGTGTTTGATTGAGATTGACAACTTCTACCTGATAAGTTTGAGTGTTTGCACTACCAGTTTGCTGGAAAATGGATGGATATTATAGGAAGAATTTACATGTTAATTACCAGCAGGAGTGATACAGTTAATGACAAATTTACCATCGATAATGGTGGGAGAATTTGATATAAAAAATGCATTAAAAAATTAATGCATCTTTGCAAGGCTGTCCACTTGTGCATCAGAAGTGAAAATCAAGTTGCATCTGGATTATAAGTGACACATCTCTTAATATTTTTAATTTATAATTCACCTCTTCTGTTAATACAGGGACAATTCTCTCTTCCCATTCTCTGACTCTTCTACTCAACTCTGTTTCTTGGGCATACTGTTGACGTGCCTCCAAAAGGTAACTATCCTGTGTAGCAGGATCAAGGAAATGGTTAGCAAACAGGCACATCAGTACTCCAACTGCAACTGTTTTTTTCACCATGGTTTGAAGAACAGTTTTTGCTTGTGAATTTGCTGCAGAGTCTCAGTTTGACAACAAGAATCACCAAGTGAGATTAACATTTGAATGAAATAACGTTACCACTCTATCATTTTCCTATATATATTGCCTTCTCTTTCTTCATTGTACAAGATTTGGCATGAATTTTCATGAATAATTTCTAACCAAAATTATTTTTTTTAAATACAAGTGGTCTGATTAACAGTTTAGAAATCAAGTAATATTACATTTTTCTTCTCTGGCAACTGAACTTTTCATCTGAAAACCATTTTATGACTCCAGGTTGCCAAATGGGGATTTTTACAGGCCAGTGACCACAAAGTCCTGCATATAGGTTTACAGACAATAAATGTTTGAAAATTGTATCAGTTTTAAGTTATTTGATAGCTTTAACTAATGGAAAAAGAGTAACACTCACCACATATTTCCTAACCATTTCTTCATAGCTTGAAATAACTACACCATCTGCAGGTTCCTCCAGTGCTGTGAAATTAACAGAACAGCTTTTGAATCCAACATATGGGTTAAAGGTCACTCCCTTGTTTCATCTCTTATCAACTTGAGAACCCAGGGCTGGCCAGACAATGGACAAGGTCTAGTCAAATCTAGGTTTTTTCTGGTCAGCTCCAGTTGTTCACCCATGTAAAGATGAATTTAGTTCCAAGCTAAGTTCAGGCTTTCACTATGATTGTCACTTTTTGTGCATCGAATTTGAGGCTGCATGTACAACAAAAGTGTGGTAAATATATAAAGGAAGTAAGTTCCTAAAGAAACTGTGGTGGGAGAGTATAACAGGGTAGCTCTGACAAAGGGCTAAAGCACGAAACATCAGTTTTGAAACTCTTTACCATTGGCCAGTTGATAATACCAATTTACCTTGTGGTAAATATAGTTGTTTCATAAAGGAGGGAGTGGGGAATTTATGGAGATATTTGGATTCTGAAAACATAAGAGAATTGAGTCTGTTGTTTTGTTCCATTTCTTGTTCTGTAAATACTGTGATAAAAAGAACAAATTTTAGCTCAATTTTTACCCATTGGCTCCAGAACTTCAGCACTGCCAAGGTCCAACCCTTCATCTACTCCTCCAAAATCATCACCATCATCATCAAAATTGGCTGGATCATCATATCCGACTCCATTACCATCGTCTGAGAGGAATAAACACAATCCAATAATTTAACCCTTTAACTCCCAAGATGTGATTGTTGATTCTCCCCTCTACCTGCTACACATTTCTTGTAAAATTGTTGTGTGTTAGATCAAGATAACAACTTCTGCCTGATGGGTTTGAGTAATCTCTTCACCTGTTTGCTGGATAATGTATGGATATTATAGGGAGAAATTACATGCCAATCTCTTATGTGATTTCAAGGGTTTAAGGGAGGACAAACAGAGGCTTGGCAAGACAGTTTAGCCTGCAAACAAGTCCTCATTATCAGTACTGCAGGAGTCATGTTTCTCTGCTGCCAGTAGGTAGTTTTGAGATAAGGTAAGTAGAGGTTTGCTAAGAGGTCTGGCACTATTAATGAATGCTGTACCCCCTTGAAGACAACAAGAAGAAAAAGGTTAGGGCAACACTACCATTGACTCTTACCATATACTTGCCCATCTGCATTCTCTTCTCTATTTTCTACAATTGAGTTTAATTCCTCAATTTCCTCCTTGCTTGCAACCTGAGACTGAATTGAAATGTGGTTTTATCTGAGATATAATGTTACACATCATAACAAATATTTTTTTGAGGGATTTTCAAACTTAAAAGTTCCACTTGGTAAAAAGCACAAAGCATAGACTTCTTACCAAAACCTTCTTCAGCTTGGCATGGAGTTTTTGTTTCTCTCTGTATTCTACCCAATACAAGTATTCAAACTCTGTAAAATTAAATTTGTAGCAAAATAAATACAGCAGCATTGAAGGTTCACCCATTAACAGCTTCATGAGAAAGATTCTCTCCAAGCAGGAAACAAACAAGCATTGCTGCATACCTGGAAATGATGGAATTTTGAGACTATTTTTGGACATCTTTGATGCATGTGAATAAACTGCAAAGAAAAGAGTAAGTGTACAAAGTTGTGGTGATTTATTGAAGGTATTAAAGTTGTACAAAATCAAAGAAATAACAGTTTTTCTTGTGATATGGTCGCCTTCCCTGTACATTATTCCTTTACACCCTAACATCAGTATGCATATTCTCAATACTGTTCTTTATACATTTCCTAGGGTGCTGACAAGGAGAATTTGTTTACCAATCAAAAGCTTCTTTGGTTGGTGATCATTTCCTTTATTCTCATGACCTTAATGTGTGATTCTGGGGTGATATGGTTGGGAGAAATTAGATGCTGGTCAATCTTAGGGTTTAAAGAGTTAATAGATTGTAAATAGTAATATTTTGTTTTTATACTGTTGTCAACCCTATAACCCCTAAGACTGACTGACTGGGATCAAATTCTCCTTACAGCATGACTGCTGAATCAATCACTGAGGTCATGAGAATAAGGAAAATAGTGGTATACTAACAAAGCTTGTGATTGTGAAACAAATTCTCCCTGGAAGTACCATAGAAACTGTATAAGGAGCAGTATGGAGAATATAAATACTGATGTAAGGATGTAAAGGGTTATTCATGAGGTAACAAGGTTGAATGATTGTGCATTGCCATACAGAGTAATGAGCATAATGCTTTGCTGAGACTGTTTTACCCTCAACACCTGTGATTGGTGCTTTCAATTAACCCTGACAGTGACTGGCTTCTAATTTCTCCTTATTTCTCACCCTTGAATCAAATGTAATGGTCATGAGAATAAAGGAAACGATCACCAATTTAGGAAGCTCCATTGCATCAAACAACTTCTCCATGTCAGTATCAGAAGAAATGTGAAGAGAAAAGTGTGGAGAATTTCAATAACAATGTTGGGGTGTAAAGGATTAATGAAGAATGGAAGTTTATCATTGAAAATTTGTACAATAAATAAAGGAAAATTTATCATTAAGGGTGAGTATGTTCTACAAAGTGCACAATGTCAAACTAGTGTCTCATCTTCAGCTGATTTTACTTACAAGCTTGGGATATAAATTGATTGATAGGAACAAGTGTAGGTTCTTTATTTTCTTCTTTACGTTTTCTTTTCTTTTTCTTCTGATGTGATGTCAAAGAGGAAGGCTTCTTGAAGGGTTTACCTGCAGAATAATTTTAATCACTTTAGTTTTACCCTTAGGAACGGAATACACAATTTTCAAGGAGAGCTGGTTACGATAAAATAATTATTAATCATATTGTCACTGATGGTTTCTACAAAACTATAATACTACTTTACAGTTCAAATTGGAATAGCTTATCAGTCTCCCCCCCTTTCTTCTCCTGGATTTAAAGGGGCTTAAATTCAGATGCTGAACTTTTCACATCACAAATGTTAAAAGGCATTGTTCAAATCATTATGATATATTTAGAGCAGTTCTCTGGGTGCTATAATGAGAGTGGCCATAACAAGTAGCAAAATTTGGTATCTGAGTCTTTTATTTCAATTTGCTTAGTCCAAATTTGAATCACATTTGGCTTGTGAAAAGTGCAGCCTTTAAACAAGACCTACTAAAAACCAATGACAATAATTTATTTCTAATCAGTTTCTCCTGACCCTGATTATTCTTTAAAAGAGTTCCAGAAACTGGAAAGACTGAGTACAGGAGTGAGAAGAAAGGTGAAAAAAATGAAAGGTTATGTCTGTACTCAAGCCAAGTGCCTCATCCAGCAGGAGCACATTGTGGTTTCCTTAATATGAAGCGACTTGGAATATTTCTACTCCTCCCTGGATGGGATGATAGTTCATCTCAGGGAACCCCCCCCCCCCCAGCATTTAATCAAGCTTCCCTGACAATCTGCCAGTACATATTTATACACCTGGGTCAACTGAGGCAACTGTGAGAGTCGAGTGTTTAGCCCAAGAACAAGGTCTTGAACCCAGACCTCTCGGGCTGGAATCCAGCACTCTATCTATTAAGCCACCACTTCTTCCACTAGGGAAAAGAAAGACTGTGCCACAAATTGTGACTGAATGACAGCTGACCTTTCTTAAATGGTTTTTCTTGTGCAGTACCCGGATCATGAGGATCCAACATTTTCCAGGGATCTTTGAACTGTAAATTTGACAAAAATTAATGATTAAGATAATGGTAAAAATAAACCAGTGCAATTGCAAATTTGTTAGGATGTACTGTATTTCCTAAAATAAGCATTTATCTAAAATTTTGGCTAAATGGGGGTGTGCTTATTGGAAGGAGGCTGCTTAATCAAGAGGGTGCTTACTATTCTCCTGAACTGATTCAGCTGCAGTTGAAGCTGTCAAAGTTATAAATAAAGTAGCAATAGAAACAGGTTTTTCTGTGTATCCCTTCTAGTAACAAAAATGGAGGAGAGGGGCACATATTTGAGTGGGATGCTTGTTTGATATTCTGGCCTTGGGGGAGGGTGCTTTTTTGTGGGAGGGAACTTGTATGAGGAAATACTGCATGTCAGAACTAGACCAATTGGTTAAGGTTAAGGTTAAGGTTTCAAACTAAAGTAAAGTAATAAAACATCAGCCACATGTCACCAGCCCATTCTAAATAGAAATTAATTGCCATTAGTTAAATTTAAGTCATTAACCCTTTATGTCCCAAGAGTGCGCAATGAGCAACTCTCCTTATGACATCAAAACATTGTAAAAACAACAGGTCATAAATGAAAGAAAAATATCAACTTGGAGTATAAATGAGTTTAATTTATAACCAAATTTTTAAATATTTTTAAACACAAATGAATGACAGACTCTCGGGAAAATTAATTAAATAGAATTGAATTCTTGGGTATTACATTTCTTTAAAGAAACTGTTAAGTTGTGTTGATGGAGAATCAAACTAAATGGTCATGGAAAAAACTTAACTCACAGGCTGTGCTTGTACAACTTGTTTTGTTTCAGGTCTTGCTCTCAATGCTCTTCTTTCTTCCTGATGATCCTATGATTTGTGCAAAAACATTTATAATCAAACCTATCTCATTACAAGATATCTTTAAAAAAAAAAAAAACTTGAAATTCCACAGTCTTGGCACAATATACATAAAACAGCTTCAAAAATTCCTTAATGTACTTGTATTTACAAACAGACATAATCAAAAAGCTGTTTAAAAGATTGGAGCAAAAAGGTCTCAAAAGCATAGCAAATCTTTTTTTTTTCTGAAACATCTCATCTCCAGAATCTTACATCATTGAATCTGATTGGCTAATTGGGCACCCATAACTGGTCCAGCTTTTCACAATGCAGACCAAGGTATGAAATATTTTCTGTGTCATTTGCAGCAAAGCAGAGGAAACAATAACAATAAATAAATAACCTATTAACCAGTCTAAGTTGGTCTGTCTGGGAAAAAAACTGTGGTCTTGAGTACAACCCTTGCCCTTTTGGCTACAGTCAAGACCTTAGGCACAGTTTTTTTTCCTCATATGAACCCCCCCACCTGGTAAATAACATATATGTATTCACCCCTTCCAATAGGAAACTTGGGGAGTTTGGAGCTATATTTCTGGACTCTGGATTCAGAAATTCAAATCAATGTGTGGTGTTTTTTTGGCATGACAATTTCACTCTTGCAAAGCATTTGTCATCAATCCAGGGGGTATAACAGGTTTCAGGTTTTTTGCTAGCAAAACTCAAACACAAATGCCTGCATACAGGCTAAACAGACAGCAGCAAAAAACTCTTACAGGAGGTGGTAGAATACTGGCAACCAGCTTTTACTAAAAAACTCCTGAGATATAGCTGACTACCTGTAGCAGCAAAACGTTTTACTGGAGGTGGTAGAATGCTGGTAACCAGCTTTCATTGAAACCTGTGGGATATAGCTGACTATACCTATAGCAGCATAAAGTCTTACAGGAGGTGGTAAAATGCTGGCAATCAGCATTCACTGAAACCCCTGGGATATAGCTAACTACCTGTAGCAGCATAAAGTCTTACAGGAGGTGATTAAATGCTGGCAACTGGCATTTATTGAAACCCCTGAGATATAGCTGACTACTAGCAGCAAAAAGTCTTACAAGAGACGGTAGAATGCTGGCAACCAGCATTTATTGAAACCTCTGGGATATAACTGACTACCTTTAGAGTGTCTGGGAACCTTACCAAATGCATAAAAAGGGTGGGAACAACCTGTGTGAGGCAACAGTACTTGTATTTGTTTTATGTTGGGGAAAGTGGGATAAGATTTGACAGAGTGGATTATCAGCTGTGTTCATAGAAAAGACAACCTCTCCTCACATTGCCTCTCTCAACTCCGGTGTATAAATTGGTACTAGCAAACTTCAAGGGGAACTGACAATATGCTAAAGGGAGATCTCCAGTGGACCAACTTCATGTTTGGATGAAGTACCAGCAATTATCGCAGTTATTACAAACTATAGACATTAGGGTACATTGCTACAGATATGGGGCAATTCTAGGGATCTCATGACGAAGCCAACACCTTAATACAACATTAGATGAGTAATGAAATAGTACAATAACATTAAAGGCTTAACTCATCTTGAAGAGATAACTAATTTTTATTTTTTCACCTCAGTCTCCTCTGTAACAAATTCATTGCAATTTTTTGGAGCATTGTGACAGTCATCAAGTGCATCATCATCCATCAGTTCAGGTGGATCAAAATTATCATCAGGGTCTAAAAGAAAGGAAGTACCTATAGCTCTTCAAACCTAGAAAGTAAACTACTCTTAACATACTGAATTGTGTAACAGGGATTATGATTTGTGGGAATGGACAGTCCCTTGCTCATGAGTTCTCATGGTATCAGCTGGTACACAGGACCACTGAACAAGGTGTTGCACTTGATGAATCATAACTTAATGGAATTACACATTAACAATGGAATGTAACTACCAGTAATGGTAGTTACTATCAAGTAAGTCCTTGTTTAAATTTATGCGCTTAGTTCGGCTAGAACTCTGAAAGTTTTCAGGGTAGTGAATGCAAAATCCCTTTGAGGAAATGTTGACACATATTGTCTTCCTATAATGACCTACAAAGTTTAGTATGTTCAAACCATTTACAGCACAAATTTTGTAATTGCATTCACTGACTTTTGATTGGCTTAAATTCCAAGATTTAATGAAAAAATAAATTTCAGAATTGAATTGAAAAGAGACTTGGCCAGATAAAAACTTGAAGAAAGGGAACTTTACTAACCAGGAAGTTCTAAAGCCTCATAACTTTCAGCTGCATCCAGGCCATGGTTGGCAGACTGTTCATGAGTTCTAGGTTCAAGACCTGGACAGAGAAAAGTGGATGTTCATCTGTTTACTATTAATTAGCAGGTAAACTTGATTTATTTCCCACAAACCTGACATGACTGATGGAGTTGCAGGCTTCAGTCCTCTGAAGGAGTCATCTATTAGTGAAAGGTGTGTCCAGTCTAAAAGCAGGGTGCCAGTTGGACCATGGACAATGGATGTGTTCATCTGTCGACAAAATGATTTAAATTCTCAATAGTTACACTGCTGAATAAGGTAATGGTTGACGAGTCCTGTAGGCTGAGGGCTTCAAGCACTTATCAATATACATGTTAACTCAACTGCTGAGATCGTGCAGTTTTGGTTAATAGCCTTAATTAACTTTTTAACTCCCAAGATCTGATTGTTACTTCTCCCCTCCAGCTGCTACACATTTCCTTGTAAATTAGTAGTGACAAGAATTTGGTGTTAGATCAAGATAACAAATTCTACCTAATAAGTTTGAGTATTCTCATTACCTGTTTGCTGGATAATGTATGGATATTGAAGGGAAAAGTAACATGTTGATCACTTTGGAGAGTTAAAGGGTTAATAAGTCACGAAGGCTGTGGCTTTGATCACTTATTGAAATAATTCAATAAGTGAGATTGTACAGTTTTAATCACAATATTAGTTGATAATGGTTTTCTTAACATGACCCTTGAAAGTCTGTGGCCCGTCCGAGGGATTTCTCAGAATTTCTTTTGATAATAATCATGGTCTAAAAATTAAAATTTTTAGGAATAATTTGAAAATTTAAAACTTTTCATACCTTAAAATCATTCTTTCTTCCAATAGCTTCACCAGTGCGACTGACGAAAAGAAAAGAAAAATTGTTAGTTTCTTTTGATATATCACGGTTCAAAGCACACAAACTCTCATGTTAACCAAATATTAGATTTTAATCACCTCTGAGGATTAATGATGGCACAAGTTTGATTTAAATCACAAGTATAATTTCAGATCAAAATTGCTTGACACAAAGTTAAATAACCACTTTATTACATCCATTTTGAAATTGCAAAATTCAGGCGTGCAACTACAGGATCTTTTAATCTGTACAAATATTTTATTGAACCATTCCCACAACTGGTTTGTAAAAAGTTGCACAAACTTGCTTTTCATTTTCCTGTAATTTGATTGCTTACTTTAAAATTATCTATCTAATTGATTGTTTATTGCTTATCTGATTGGTTGTTGTGTTTTAGTACAGCTTTCACATTGATTTGGAAAAAGGTGCAATTTAGAGCAAAACATGGTGCAATTTGTAAATGAATGGCACTGATGAGAGCCAATCAGATTTTAAGGCTCACCAGTGATTTCAAAATGGATATAACCACTACACATGTACCTTAGAAGCACATCTCCTCTTTCTTCCTCTGGGAGAGGTATTAAGGCTAAAGGAATCCTAGGCACAATCAGTGAACTCTAAAAAAATTGGTGTTTAATCATTAACAGGTGATCTCTAAATACTGCTCTTCAGTAGTAGTTCAGATAGGGCCCTCAACTACTATAATTTTTTAATTAGAGATAACAAACTCAGAATTGACTTGTCTTAAAAAAAAAATTAGGATAAAATTTGCTACAGGAAAGAGGAAGCCCCTAAATGGTACCCATGCTCCTGGCATGTGGCTTCGTGGCTTGGTAGGTAGAATCACCCAATTAGTATCTGGGAGGCCTGGGTTCCAATCCTCTAAAAGCTTGAATTTTTTCAGAATTCTATTCTGTAATTGCAGTTTTCCTGTGAGGATCACTGCTCTACTTGATTTTCATCCACAGGTAAAATGAAACTTATTACATTAAAAACTATGAACTTAGATGAGGGACTAATCAATCCACACAATCAAATTGCAAAAAGTTCATTACTGATCATCTATGGTTCAAAATACTATTAATTGACATACAAGGATTTCAAAACAAGCCAATGGCCACTGGACTTCTGCCCTCTAATTAATAACATGTTGCTGGTTACTGTGGTCAAAATAATTGCCTTTTGGCCTTTTATGAACTTTTCACAGTCACATGGTTTTGCAAAGTCTGATGCCTACTTCAAAACATTTTGAAACCCCCTGCACATATTACTGTATTTGTGAAAATTGGAACAAATGTTGCAATCTTGTAATACTTGAAGAGACATTTGTAAGTACCTTTCTTTCAGCATTGTCATCTTCATCTTCCTTCAAATCAATATTCTTTGATACTTTTATGTCATCCCAAGAGCGATACTGCAACAAAATAAGAATCATGGAATAAGAAAGATAAGTTTTGAGCTTGGTAAAGAAATAGCAAAAGATTTTGACATTGCTAATCCTAGCAGTACACAGGACTAGTGTCATATGTGAACTTCGTAATGAGCCTTGCTCACATAAGAGCCTCTTTAAGCCCAGTGATAGAGCATCACAGCGCAGAATCTGAAGGTCTGAGATGCAACTCGTCATGGGGACTCAGAATTTTTTCCATCTCACACTTGTGACGAAACAATAAAATGTCTTTTTCTAAAAAAGGATCAAGTTTTAAGATTTACCTAAGTAAGGGAAAGGGAGAAAAACTTAAATGAACACCATGTACCTCTTTAGTATGCCCCTTGGCACTCTTCTTCCCTTGTTCAACTGAATCATCTGTTGATGCCTGTTGTAGACGTCTTGGAGAGAACAGAAGGATACAGGTGCATTAGGTCAGGTTGGGAAATGGTATTATCTATGAGATCTAGTCAACTCTTTGGACAGAAGGTCAATTGACAAATCACTGAAACATAACAGACATGTGTGACAACAAACTTTTGAGGCATTACCTACATATTACCAATTTATTGGTTGACACATTGCCAGTGAATCTGCCCACACATAACCAAAAACATTTGCTAACACAAACACTAAATGGGACTGTTTGCAATTTTACAAGTGATCTGCTTATCAAACAAAAAACAAACGAACAAACAAAAAAAAATTACAAAAAATAAGTCAAGTCAGTCCATCCTTTGTATGCATTTGGACAAATAAAGCTATGACCACTGCTGCCTATCCTTCACTTTCTTTCTCAACTCTCCAAAACTAACTCCAAACTCCCTTCTATCTTCTTCAAACATCCATCACCAGGTCTTTCACAATTAAGGGGCTACATTCAAAGTGTCTTCTGCTATGCATATGTCATAGTCACAGGTATGAAAATAAATATTTTATTAACAGCTGTGTCACCCTGGTAAAGGAAAACATAGGCTCTTGATGTCATCATCAGAACTAATGACTTACTTTTTACTTGCTATTAGATCCAACGTTTGATAGACCAGTGAGTACAAATATTCCACCTACAACAGAGATACGAGGCTTTAGAAAAATATTAAAAGATATTAGGATATTAAAAATACTAGGATATGAGGCATTAGAAAAAGAGGTCCTTTTACCCGTCATGTAAATCAGTATAGACCCACGGGATGGATCATAGGTTAAAAGTCAAAGTGGCATGGAATCAAGGGAGAGGATTGCTTTGATACGCGGTTATGTTATGGTACATGTACTTACCTTCTTGCTGTAGATACAAGTTGATCCTTGGATAAGAAGCGCTGCTTCAGCAAAATTCATGGTGGTCTTCCCTTCATCAAAAGATATTTTGATCTTTTCGATCTAAAGAAAATGTTGTTTTGTACAGAGAAAGTACAACAATTACTGTGCCGGACTAATATAAAGCACTCATAAATAAACAACGTATTTGGTAATGCAACTTTGGAGAACAAGAGCCGCAGTGGTAACCTTTAGCGCCATATTTTGCACAAAATTGAAGAATTTTTCCCTGCCAAGATAGATTAAGGAATCAAAGGCCATTTATTTCACTTATAAGCGTAAAGTTAACAGTTAATTTCAGAACGTTGGCTCACCTCAGCCAAGTATTCTTCCAGTTGAGCAGCGACATCTACGTCCCAATTCTTTGTCAGATCACGGATCGGCTGCAGTAAATGACTATACCGGCTAGTTACGTCGCTTGAATCACTGCTTGCTTCTTGAGAAGGCATGATCACCGCGAAGATATTCAGCCAAAACTCAACCAAAACATGACTTCCAAAGCGCTCACGAAGAAAAAGAAATTTCCCGCCATTTTGCTAAGCTCCGAGTATGCGTCAGATGTGCAACCGCTGATAAGCTCCACAGTATGCAGACTCGCGTCTATACCTCGGGGAACATAAAACTTCATGGCTGAATGCCACCAAATGGGGCTTGTTGTGCAAAGCGTAGATGAGACAGAAGAGCGAGGTCGCCTAGGGAGGATAACAAGCCACCAGCATGTTTACAGATTCTCATGTCGTTTGTATTTAAGACCCAAAATTAAAGTTTTTTTGCCTACACTCTTTCCCATCGCTATTAATTACTGAGTTAAAGGTCCCAACCTCTTAGAGAGGCTTTCCTTACAGAGCATGAGCTAACACGCAGGGGTTATCCGGTTATCACCGTGTGTTTGTTTGGGAGCATCTTCTCATGATTGGGTTTCACCTTACGGTACCTTTTCCGTACACAACTGCCTGTTACACCATTGACAGCCACTTATGACAAAAGGTATGGAAACCCCTGACACATGAGTCATACCGTGGCGGTATGGCAACGAAAGAGAAAATTGGAAACAATAAAAGACTCAAATTAATGGAGATATCAGAATCATTTTAGAAAGCGTGGATGGGTAAGAAAGAGAAACTCAAAAAGGAAAGAAAATTTAAGGTAACAAGGGATGAGACACAGAAAGGAGACATCATACCGAGATGGAAAAGGAAAATACAGGTCATAACTAGTTTGCATCATTCACTGACGAAAAAGGGATTTTTAATTTTCCTTCAGAAAAAAAAATATTCCTGAGTAAATAAATAATAAATTATCAATTCCGGGTTGAATGAATAAATACAAAGGTAAAAGGAGTCGGACTGAATAGACAAGACCAACGGGCAAAGTTTCTTAATTAGGCCGCGCAATCTGGCTATCATTCAGTCGGCGGAAGGAAACGCCTCGCCGGTAAGCGTATGAGCGCCAAATCACAGCGATTTTTTCCAAAACGTCCTCGACGGAACGATAAGACGGCTGAATCTGAATTTACAGCCAGTCTAGCCATCTGCGGATTGTTCACTGGCGCTCCTTGCATTACAGCAGTGACAGGGATGCGGCCAGCTGATGAGCCTCTGAAGACTGAACATTCATTCAATGCTTCTTTTGCGAGTTATGCTTTTTTCTGGAGGAGATAAGACAGTACAAAGTTTGGTTGCATTTAGTGAACCTAAATAGAAAGCATTTGCAATGGTAAATGAAATAAAATGATCACAACAATAAGCCAATGAGAACTCAGACTAAAAAAGAAAACGACTCGGGGCTAGAACAGGAAGGACTGAGTCGCAGTTGGTTATGTTCCACTACCACATTAGTTTGAAAAATGGGACGTGTTTTCTTTGCCAAATAAGACCATTATGAAGCAAAATCAATGCAAACCCACTTAAAATCAGCTTTTAACTGAGTGTCGAAAAACCTATACCAAAGTAATCCCAGCGACCAATGGGAACAAAGCAAATGTCATTAGCCAATTGGAACTCAAGTTAACTAGCAAACTACTTGAAGCGCGGGAAAACGCAAATGACCACCAATTATAGAACAAAGTTAAGCAAACCAATGCAATCGCGGGTTACTTTCGACACTCAATTGAAAATTGCACTTTTTTCGACACAACTAAAAATTGTGACTAAGCTTGGATGAAGCAAACAATGTTACATTAAAAGTTTGCATCTCTGCATGCCTTTGTGTTGTTCTCAAAGAAGAACTTTCTATTCAGCTTACCTTAACGGAAGGCATTCTCGTCTTCCATAACATCAAACATCTTTGATAACTTTCTTGAAGCTTGCAAAACACAAAGCCACACCATGTCGTGATTTTCTCACATAACACCCTGCTCATCTCACGCAGTTTATCCATGCAGCCAGTAACATTAATCTGCTTCCAACGAGAGACATGTTTGTTCGTCGATTCGTCCGCAATGTCTGTGTCTTCCTCCCTGTCAGAAGCTTTTGAGGTCGCCTCACTCTTATCGTGAACTCTAAATAAAGACAGCGTGCTAGAGAAGGGGAAAGGAAGCATGTAAGCTTGTGAAACGTCCGTTTAAAATTAATCTAAGACGGTCATAAAGAGCTTATCAATTCCTCCCTCTTGCCTCGTTTCTAAAAGAATGAAAAAGAGGCAACTTTCTCCGTTCCAATTTCATTTGTTCCTCACCAGAACTTTCTTCCAGTCCTCCTCCACCAAACTTTGAGCACCAGACACGTGACCACAATGAAGAGAAGAGCATTGATGAGGGTAGTGGGTGCAATTCGTCTATGAGCCTCCCTCAAGTTCCGTATCAGTGCATAAAGAAAGCCCCACGTGTTCTCTGGCTTAAAATTTGGCTGAAACAAAAATTTCATAAGTCATCGAATGCTTCGATGCGAGCTCAACTATGTCTAAGTTTGAAATTTTAACATTTTTGAACGAAAATAAGCTGACTCCGCTATAGAACCTAACTGTCTCCTTTCGCTTTCATAGACACTATAACTGAGTTCAAATTAATTTTCCCTTCTATTTGGGAGACACTAAACTAGATAAAAAAAACTAATTTGATCACAGAGTTTCGACGCCTGGCATATATCGACCTTCTAGTTATCCTTTTAACCCTTTAAACCCTAAAAGTGACCAGCATCTATTTTCTCCCTACAATATCACTCCTGAATCACACATTAAGGTCCTGAGAATAAAGGAAATGATCACTAGGGAAGGAATCTTTTGATTGGCAAACAAATTCTCCTTGTCAGCACCTCAGGAAATGTATAAAGAATAGTGTGGAGAATATGCATACTGATGTTAGGGTGTAAAGGGTTAACAGAACTACTTTTCTCGTCTTGTTACGAGCTTGAAATGAAACAAAGTTCCCTTGAGGAACTGAACCTCAGGGCACCGGTGCTCAATCACTTAGCTTAAGAGTCTGTGTGGGGAACTGGGCCACCACAAAGTTCATTTGTAAAACGCGTCTCAGTAACGTCGTAAAGAGAATACGAAAAAGATAAATTTCTCGTCTTGTGTTGTTTCCTTCTCTCCGGCATGGTCTTGTGTATCAGTGTCATCAATAATGGTGATAAGACCGAGTGGAGTCCAATTCTGTCTGTAATCTTACGAGTGATAAACAAAGTCGGACGACTGCGAAGCGGAAGTCCGATTTGTTAATCACGAGTATGATTACAGACAGAACTGGACGATAAGAAGTCCTGTTAACCAATTAATCATAACCATTTCAATTTCTGAAAAAAAAAAATACACCTAGAACAGATATCTACAGTGGAGACAATGTCTTAAGTTAATAATTCCTCCATTTTGGAAATTCCCCAGTTTTTCTTTTGATATAGGTGGTTTTTGCTATCGTTATTGTAATCAATTTTGTGATTGGTGGATTTTGCTGAGTGGGTTATTAAGTAAATTGGCTGCGTCAACTGTCCGATTACAGGTGTCCGATTACAGCCAACCGTCTGATTACACTGTCCGATTACAACTGTACAGAATGATTAGTGAAAAATGAAGCTGCGAATGCACCAATAACATTTCAGAAATCTGTTTTGGTTATGACTAAATTTTGTTTTTAATATGTTGATCCCCTGATATCTCCAACTATTTTTGCTGGAGCCTTAGGAATCGAAAGAACAGAACTGCAACAAATTTGTCACGAGCTTTATGACTCTTTACCCGGTAAATTCTCTTTTTCTCCAGCATATTCTCCAAAGTCGACAAAGAACTGTTATTGACGACGAATGGTAAATATTCTCTGTTGAATTCCCGCGTCCACCAAGCCTTCTCGCCGCTGTCGAGAGAAAAATTCAACAAAGTAAGGGATTTGGTACAATTTCCAATGAAGTGTCTTGCGTAATCCGGGATTGTTTGTTTTTGTTTTCTTCGCTCTGTGATTGGTCTGAAAAACTCACGCCATTCTCTCAACCAATCAGATGCAAAACTAAAACCAATTTCGACTTGGTCGCCTGCGTTTTCCCGCGCTTTAGGCGATTTGGTCGGTTGTACTTTGAGTTCCTATTGGCTCTAAGAAGTATTATTCTTTTTCTGAATGGTTGTTGTGATTTTTTTGGTTTTGGTTTTACGACACTAAATCAAAAAGCGCTATATCTAAGCAGTTTTGCGATCCTCATTGAGGAAGTTCCATAATTTTATGTCACCGGATTGTTACCTTGGATGGAACAAAACTTGCCACAGACTTGATGTGTTTCGTGTGTAGTGATACAGATACAGTTGCGCTCGGATGAACCTTGGAGGAGACTCCTTGAAAGGATTTTGACCCATCAGCTGTAAAACGTCTGTTTGTCCTTTCATCAGCTTATGAATCAAGCTCAGAAACCATGGATTTTCAGAGTAGGATTCCAGAGCTGCGAACCACATTTGCCAGTCCAAGCGGGGCTGATGAGGTGCTGCAGTGATAAAATGATTTATGCAAAAGTCGCAGAGTTGAGTTAGTTCCACTTTTTCCTAAAACAACATATGTCACAACCCTGACTCATTTTCAAATTCTCGCCTTTACATATGATGTCACTGCGTAGCAGTTTTTCATTTTCCTTTTAACTTACTTTTCCCGCTTTTGCCCCATGCTCTCGAAGCTTCCCCACTGGGATAAAGAAAAAGGGAAAGGAATCCTAAGCAGGAAAGATTTACACCATAAAGTTCGCTGTGATTGAAGATAAGTGCAGATGCCACGAAAGTTGTTCTCTACTTACATTGGCAAAGGGAATTTATCAGCTGCACCTATAAATGAAAACTGTCAAAAGGAGGACTTGCTTAGGTAAATGCGGCTTAAAACGTGACATCCCCTTTAAGTTAAAGTGTGACCAGGCGATCATTTTCTCCTGGCAAGAAATCTAGCGATGCCTCGAATCAGGTTACAGACGGGTGCCAGTATTGCGACAATACTTTCTATTTATATACTCACCAACAAAGGGCGGTGGCTGATATAAATTGCCAGGTTTGTATAAGAAGTTGTATTCCTGAAGAAAGGAAAGGCAGCCTGCAATAAGCTATCAAAATTACACTTTGTGACAGCAGAGAGCTAGCCGCTCGACATCATCTGTATAATGAAGATGGTCAACTCCTTCTCAAAGACCAACCTCTTAGACGACTCTTCTGTTTCTTAGACAGTTAACATTTCGAAAAACTCCTCTAAAGCGATCAAAGCTCTGATTTTTAGTCATTAACTGGGACTGGCAAATTGCTTTAAGTCTCCCGTTAGGAGTGACCTACTACAAGATTCCAAACTTGCACTATAATGAAGGGGACTGGATCTTACCTCCCAAGGACCGTCCAGTGAGTTGCTGCCTATGATGATAAGCTCAGGCCGACCACCAACTCCAGTCATACTGTAGAACAATAAATAACATATCACTCTTCGACGCATGACTATTAGGCAAGTCGCTGAATAATAACAATTGCAATAACGAAAAAATTAACATGTCGGTTAAATAGCGCATTTTCATAAGTTCTAATGCTTTCCCGGTACAAAACCTTGTAAACTTCTTCAACCAGACTGCACGAAGCACTTTACAAAGAATTGAAGGAAATCTTTGTTTATGTTTTCAATTTTGTAGACAAGACCAGACTACAACACCCAAAACATCCTGTATCACTTATTTTTAAGATCCTCTCCAAATAATAACAGGGAAGAAGAAGGAGACGGGGCTCTCGATTTACCGTCCTTATCAGGGAAACTGCAATGTCTTGCTATTCTTAGATGTCATTCTACGGGCAGCAAATTTTTCTCCGGTGCTCCGGTGCTCTGGTAGTTCAGTGCTATACCAACTGAGCCAACAACTCGAGGGTTATTAAGAATTATGTAACACAACTCTCGTACCTTCTGAACAGGCCGTAAGCATTTGTCAGTTCCAGATAAGCCGTGTGTCGATACATATTAACAAACGTCTTGGGAAGGCTTCGCTGGACAACACGATCAACGGCTGTGAAGGAGTACTGTGGATTAAATGCAAACGGAAAGCAATCATCAAGAGAACATAACTTTGTCTCATGGCAGCGTTCAAGACGATCGAGCTCGCTAAGAGGAACAACACCTAGAAAGGAGGCAAAGAGAACTGCCGAAAAGATTCCAGTGGAGAAGATGTCCTAATCTAATGGCAATGAATAGTTTTGTGGTTGAATATGTAATGCAAGTCCTTTCTAACTTGCTTAATATAACTGATGGTGAAGAGAGCTGAAATAATGATGATGAGATAAAGCAACAGAAGGGACACGGCAGCAACAGCGAGGACGATGACGATAACTGTGATTTACGGTTACAAGAAGATTGCGAAGATACAAACGACAAGCTCAAAAGACAGTTTTTGGAAACAGTCTTGGACAAGTAAGTCGACTAAAGCAAAAAATACACCCTCATTGCAGAATTGCATATGACATCGAGTTTTACTCACCAAGCTAACAGAAAACATCATTAAAGACACAACGGACCAGATGAAACATTGGAACAGCTGCCACACCTTGCTACGCTTGCTGCACTGCTCCAACAGGCACCTAATGCACAATACATAATCTTCAGCTCAAACACACAAACGTCCTCGATAGCTGAATGAAATAAATTACAACGTTGAATAACTGGAATCTTTTCCCCAACAGTGCACGCTCAGCTCTCCCGTGAAATCCAAGAATGAAACTCGAGTAAAGTAATGATCCTCGAAGAATGGCGACTATTTAAAAAACTGCCGAAAAGAAGCTTAAAAAAAATTCAGATTTCAACAGGATTCGAACCCGTGCCCACCAGATACTAGCTGGGCGCTTTGCCAACTGAGCTATGAAGCCACATGTTTGGAGCGAGGCACATTTTAGAGAGTTTGAAGTTCTTCTTTCCCGTGAAGGAATCTGATTATGATTTTGATCAAATAAATTTCATTAAAACTGTTTCACACCAAAAGTCTCTTAGCGGGCGATATTCCAAAATCTTTGACTTCAGAGGATAATAGTGCCCGAATACTCACAAATTTGACCGACGACCGCTTTAAGGCTCACTGGCGCGAGTTCATCCGAGGTAATGATTCACGAGGCTTCCCTTTGCGAAAGATTATTAGAAAAGAAAACAAACTATTTTCCTTGGGACCGGTCGTTAAGTTTTATTTTTGACCAGCAGATGAAACACAAGCCAAAGATGATCCTGCAAGAATCATTTCTTTTTTCTTGATAGTTATTGCAAAGCCCATCAAACCAAGTTTACGGATAGAAAGCACCAAGAGAAACAACACCCAGATTACCACCACCGTTCGAGTATAAATAACGAGGATCTTTGCTTCGGTTACAAATCTATTTCGAGCTGCACATGTCACATCTCACCTAGTAAAAGCTCCCAGTATTTCGATTAAAAGAGACAAAAACCCCATCCACAATGCAAACTGTGTGGCGAGTTGAACTGTGTTTACAAGCTGTTCAGGTGTAAAAGCTGAAACCAAATGAATTATTTTGATTTAGTGGTAGCTCCATTAGTTCAACTTAGCTCAAACTTAACAAAACTTAACGCGCAACAAAGTTGATCATTTACCTGTTTCGCAGTGGATGGGTTCGTCCTTTGTGATCTTAATACTGAACCACTTAACAGTACAAACAATGATAATCATCAAAACGACAAGAGACGTGATAAGGATAGAGGCCAGCTTCATCCAACCAAAAATCTTGCTATGAAGAAATTCTATGGCCTGAGTGAATTTGGAATTCTCATGACGTGAGTTCATCCAGTGTAAGACATACTCCACAAGTTGAGAGGTTGTTGAACTTTCTTCTGTAAAGAAAATTATGGCGAAAATAACACTGAATAAATTGTACAAGTGAATGTGAGTGCTTATGCAGAAGGGGGACAAATGAACGGGGAGCAAAAACCCCGGATCGCTTAGTACTTGAGCAATTACGCACCTACCCCTCCCCTAACCCAACATTAACCCCAACTTGTTATCAATTAACTGTTGTTGGGTTAGGGAAGGGGTAGGTGCGCAGTTCCTCGGGTACTGACTTTGATTCAAAACCCCATAGGTGTGAAAGGGGTTACAGGGAACCCCCCCTTCCCCCATCATCTCGCTTATTGCCTCGCTGTCCAGCCTGTTGTAGTTGCAAACAGATAAAAGAGCCACAAAAGATGAAGAAGTTCAGGGCAATTCTAGCTAGTGATGCCATTCTCACCTGGGCTGGTGCTTCCCTTCGATACGGTGTTCCTGTCCTCTGAGCTTGGTGTATTTTCACTTTCAGCTGCTTCTAAATCTGTGAAATGAAAGACCCAAAAATATATATCCTTAGTAGGGTACAATTACTGAAAGAAACGACAATCAAAGTCTAGGCAAGAGTTCATCAGCTACAGGCCCTGAACGTTTAAATTTTAATAGGAGAGTAGAGCGCAACACGCGGTTTTCTCACTTGGGGGGGAATTTAAATAACGGCCCTCTAAGTTATACCTTCATCACTTCTCGAGCCCATTTTTCCTTCCGCGTCTTCCTCTAAGCTCTCCTCTTGTTTAACCTCTGAGTATCCGGCACGAGGTTTCACTGTTGTTCCTGTAAGTAATTCAACAGAACAACGTCAGATAAACCCTTTCACTCTCAAGATCTAATCGTTAATTCTCCCCTTTAGATGGATTTGATATGGAGAAGTTACGGGTTGATCACTTCTGGAAGCTAAAGGGTTAAGCAACTTTTGTCAGGAAAATTCTTAACTTATAAACAATTTCAAACGCCTGTAGCAACGATGTAGAAAGCGCAGGCAAATCTTAAAAGCACAGAATACTTTTTCCAACAATCTTCCTGAACGCAGTGTTACTTACGCTGACTTGCCGCATGACAACAACTTGAACGCATGCACCGTCTGCACAAGAAGCACTGCATACGAGAGAGAATACACTTGTCATCCAGCAGCGAGATACACAAGACGATTGTCAGTAGGTTGAAGAAGTTGTAGTTACCGGTGAGAAGAATCAAAAGCTGGAGAAATACCTGAAAAGAAATTATGATGAACAGTTTAGCACCGCACCACACTGAAAACAACAGACCACGAGCAGTCCCTCCTTTTCGGCGAATTCCACCACGCAAAAAACTCAGAAAAAAAATCAGCCAGGAAAAAAATTGATGTTGGCATTCGCGGGCCCATTTGTGAGTCTCACTCTCAAAGTTTTGCGCAGTGTGCCAACAATGTGAATTTTTTTTTTTTCGCTGATTTTTTTAGACTCGGCGAGGGATTTCACTGAAAAGGAAAGACTGCTCGTAAGCTATGAAAAGAAAGGCCTCCTTTGGGGAAAGTCAATAAAGGCTCTCTAGTTCCCAGAGGAAAATGTAAAAGTCTTTGGTGAAAAGAACGATTGAACGCAGAGAGTAATCCGTGATTCTTTGGTTTTGTTTCACTTCGCTCCGTGGTTGGTCTTCAAATTTCGAGACACCCTTGCAACCAGTGAGATATAAAACTAAAAAAAGCCAATTGTGAATTGGTTACAAGTGTTTTCCCGCGCTTTAATGCAATTGGTTCCATGCAATATTTATCTTTGTTCTGATTGGCCACTGTGATAACTTTGGTTTTGATTAGACGATACTCAATCGACAAGCTTTCTAGCAATCTTACGATTGTTACATAAATCTTCCCTACCTCGCTGCAATAAACAAACACACGAAGAATTCTCACAGGAGCAAACGCCAGGAAAGGAATTCCGATCTCAATGACGTATCTACAAAAAGGAATATCTTTGAAAACAGTAAGACCGATAACAGGTAAATAAATAACAACAGGCGGGGGAATAACAAGTCCATTTCTCTCCTCATTTCACAAGCCCCTGAGCATTTTCCTGCAATTAACTCTTGTGACATATTTGCCCGTGGTTATAGACCGCCCTTATGGCTGCACAAAAGCTAGCGCAAAAAAGGGGGATTTTCTAGTCAGGCTACCGTCCGGACTCATTTTCGCATGTTTCCCGCGATTAGCGGTGGCTGCCATATCCCATCGTGCACTGATTCTTCCATTTGGCGCTAATAAATGCGTTCCATAAGTCAAACCAGGTAGCAACAACTGAGCATTTTCCCGCACTCGCCGTGTTCTTGTTTCTGCTGTTGTTTGTTTTTCTTTGTGGAATTTATTATGCTAAAATGACACCTATATTACATATTATTAATAGCTTTTTTGCAAATGTACTTACGTCATAACTACACTGAGTCTATGGAACCAAACAGGGAGTTTTTGAAAGTACCACGCAACTGGTGTGGGAATGCACTGATAAAAAGAAAAACATGTCTCCTCAAACTTTCCTTTTACACACTTGGGCGTTAAAACATATAAAAAATAGCGCTTTTTGTGCCTTGAAAAAGTTTCGGATATGAAGTAAAAAAGGAGTTTCAATACTGTTTGGGCATCTGAAAAAGCTACCATCATAGTTTCAAGTTCGTTCTTTGGAATCAGAGTCTTAACTCAGTGATAAATCAAGTACAGCGAAAATTAAAATCCTCATGAGGTACCTTAGTAAGTTTTTAAAGGAAGAAATAGAAAAACTTAGAACTTCGTCCCTCTTGCTCTGCTGCGCGAAGAATATGCTGTTGAAGATAGGAGCTTTATCTACAGTTCAAACTCCGGCTCTTACAGAAAAGCGATCATTTCAGATTGAAAGGCATGCGAATTGATAAAGGCATGGCTTTTGAGCCGGTTTGCTCTTGATAGAGTGTGGTTTTGTGCCCCCCCCCCCCCTCTTCCACTCGGTCTCTAGCCAGAGGTATTTCATGTTTTGTTTAACAAATGAACAGGATGAACAGTAGTGATTCTCTCCTTACCTGTGACTCATAATGCCAGTTAAGGGCGCTGAGATCCCACCACGTTTTGTCCATGTATGTCAGTTTAACAACTCCTGAAGCAAACATTAGACGAAACAACAACCACTTAACCAGCCACAGGGTTACATTGTCATGATGCGTTGAGATGTACCTTCAAAGAGTAGTGCCAAAAATTTTGTTGGTAATTATGTTAAAACAGTCAAGTTAATGAGGTGAGAGTTGCCTGTAACAGACTTACAGGATGAAAAGCTGATTCACTGATTTCAGAACTGACTTAATGTTGACTTACAGTTCAACTAAATAGCTATGCCACTCAATTCACTGACTCACTCTGTTACTGACTATCTCACTGACTTGCTGTCTTACTTAATCAACCATTGATGGATTACCGAATGATTGGCTGACTGATGGACAAACTGACTGTCTAGCTTTTTGACTGATTAACTGTCTAAATAACTGACTGAGTGGCCGTCTGAGTGACTGATTAAAATGACTGATTAAGAGTACCTGACCAACTTGCTCATTGGCTGCTCAATTGTCTAAATGACTGACTAATTGATTATTGAATGATTGATTGAGTGGCAAAATGACTGACTGACTGATTGTCTGGCTAAATGACTGACTGACCATGTAGGTAGCTGACTGACTGACTGGCTAGCTGACTGACTAACTTACTAATTAACTAACTGAATGACTGACTGGATGGCTGACTGACTGACAAACAGACTGATCAATTGACTAATCAAGTGACTGAGTGAATGACTGATTGACTTAATGGCTGACTGACTGATTTACTACTTGACTAATTAACTGATTAACTGATTGACTGATTGACTGATTGACTGATTAATTGATTGACTGATTAACTGATTGAATGACTGACTGACTGACTGTCAATAACCCACCAACTGATTTACTCACAAAATGACTGTACCTGAGACATCTGCACTTAAATAATGTTAGTTTTCCAATTCTCCAGGGTGCAAAAACAATGTTCCAAGGAGCAACCAGAAAGGCAAGAAATCCTGATTCCCACAGGAGTGCATCCCTAGAAGCAGCAATATTAAATACCAAATTAGGTCACCTACATGACTCAACTACTAAGGCATTGGGGACTGTCTAAATGACTATGAACATTCAATAAGACATCCAGTGTAATATCCTGTAACACTCTTTAGCCCTGGACAGTATAAAAAGTATCAAGTTTTCACAGTCACACAGTGGTCATTACTTACCACTGATACTGAATGAATATTTGACCAACCTGTCAAGAAAGACCATCAGTTAATCTTTATAAATACTTAATAATAGATAGATTCCATGTTGCCTTGCTTCTGTTCAGTAATAGATCATAGATGACATCAGAACATGGTAAACTATCTATCTGAAGCCTATTGCTCCTTCTCAGAGGGGCAACTCTGCTAAGTGGGTCTTTTGAGCCACTTGCTGGTCCCAGGCATGCTTAAAGGAGGAAGGTTAGCCATGAGGTCACCAACCCCACCATGGAAAACAACACTACTGCCACAGAAATTTCAAAATGTGGTAAGATATACTTAAATTAAATTGATGCAGCCAAGAGTGTCACTGATGTTCTTAATACCACATTTTGAAGTCTTCTATGATCTATTAATGTTCACACCCAAGACAACACAAAATCTATTTGTTTTATCAGATAAAAAATCAAAATGTTGTTTATGGTGACATCATTTACTTGTCTGACCTCCAATAGATCAAAACATTATCGGCTTGGGCTCTCTTGCACATATACTCTCTTTTGCTGTTTCATGAAGACTCTTATTTCTCAATATTTTGTGAAATATGCTAGAAATTTCCTCTAGTTGTGCAATGCAAGAAGAGATGTAAACAAATATGCAAATTGAGATCCCAAATAAAAACCCATAGATTATGTCAACACTCTGCAAGAGACCTTTTGGATCATGACACCCCTCACTCTACGGTATAGGTAATCCCGGCCCCTAATACATTCTTTTTGCTATATCTCCCATTCTTTCTAAGATGTTGTTATTTTCTTTGAAACTTAGCTGCTCTCTTTAATGAAAGAGCAAAGAAACAAAATTTTGAAAATTTTGACCAGATCTTGTTGACAGTAACCTTTAGTTGATGAAAATCTTCACTGAGCTATCAGTGGTGTACATTAGTTTTCTTTCCCAAAGACAAATCTTGTAGATCTAAATAATAACAACTTACTGACTTATTTTAATAATCAAAAAACATGTCAAGAAACAATTTAAAACACTGGTACCAAAAAGGCGAAAATATGGGAGGAAAAGCAGTGTGAAAATAAAACTCACTGGTAACATGGAGTAGTAGAGGAACCACAGCATCAGGTAAGTAAGGCAGTGTCTGCATCTTTGTGACACAAGGAGGACGAGTGAAAGTAAAATGCCCACAGCACACAAGAACTCCATGCCAGTGGGTGTATCCAGTCCCAAATATGGTGTCACCCATAAAAGAGTGGGTGTGTTCCAAAACAATCCACTGACTGATGTGTCCAGTGCTATCAAAAGTAATGATCAGTGCTATCAAAACAAATGATCAGTACTCCTGGTGAGAGAACTATTTTGGAAATGAAATTGCTAAAAAGTTGACATGGGAATAATATTTTTCTGGGAGACTCTGCTGAGAAAATTGTGATGACAGATGTTAAATGTAATTAATACAATCAAGATAGCGAGCAAGTTACCTTGACAGCTGTTACAAGACTTCATGCAGTTCTGCACCATCCACCCTGTGTTTCTGATACACTCTCCTGATGACGCCCACAATGGACAAGCAGCACTTTTATCTATGCATGATGAAACTGATAAAACAAGATAACAAATTTAATGAGAAAATTAAGAATTGTTGTCACATAGTAGCCACTATGATAACAACAACTTCTCTGAGGCTGCAGCATGAAAAATTGAATCTTTAACTCCTGAGAGTGACTGGCATCTGGTATCTCCCAACAGTGTCATCCATAAATCAATCAGTGATAAGGTAAGGAGAATTTGGAAAATAATCAACCAGTTAAGAAGCTCTTTCTCGATAAAAGAATTTTTCTAGTCAATCCCTTAGGAAATGTATAGGGAAGGGTATGGGGAATATGGATACACTCTCCTGATGACGCCCACAATGGACAAGCAGCACTTTTATCTATGCATGATGAAACTGATAAAACAAGACAACAAATTTAATGAGAAAATTAAGAATTGTTGTCACATAGTAGCCACTATGATAACAACAACTTCTCTGGGGTTGCAGCATGAAGAATTGAATCCTTAACTCCTGAGAGTGATTGGCATCTGGTATCTCCCAACAGTGTCATCCATAAATCAATCAACAATAGGGTAAGGAGAATTTGGAAAATAATCAACCAGTTAAGAAGCTCTTTCTCGATAAAAGAATTTTTCTAGTCAATCCCTTAGGAAATGTATAGGGAAGGGTTTGGAGAATATGGATTTTTGGATACTGATGTTAGGGTGTAAAGGGTGAAAAAAAAAAAAAATCCAAAAAACAAAAAAAAATAACTTACAGTCATGCAAAATGTAACTTGCAGGGAGTAGACCATTGTGTCCATAGAGACCTGATTAGAAAGTATTCAGAAATACAGGTTTTAAAACGTTAATTAGACCCATCAAGATTTGGCACTATGTGAGGTATATAAGGTCCTGCAACAGGTAATTTGGTTGATGGAGAAGATAATTAAGGAAGCAAAATTTAATTGCCATGGGGGAAGGGTGGGGAAGGAGTTTTCTTTTTATGGAGATCCCCACCCAGGCAGAGATATTTTTATTTTAGGTAAAAGAATAATACTCGTAAGAACTTCCTTTAATTCACGTGTACATGTACGTATAATTTACAAACGATAAACCTTGCAATTCCCCTGAGACCTGAAATGACTAAACAAAACATACAAACTGAATACAAAGAGATCTGTTATTGGTAGGTTCAAGTGGAAGGTAGTACAAAAATAAGATCAGACAGAGCAACTAACCTGGTATTTGGACATAAAGAGAGGTGAAAGCAAATAAATAGATGGCTGCCATACACCAGAGAAAACCCTGTCTTACAACCTGTTGATTTTGCTTGGAATATTTGAAGTCTGAAGCCATTCATTTCTTTCTCGATTAGCCCACGCAATGTGTCCTCGATTCAGGTTTTTTTTCTGATTTGATGTTATTTCACTTATATTCTGAGAAACAAAACACGAAATGAGAGGACAAATTTCACTTTAAATCCGGCGCCAATGATCACTTGATCTTGAGAGAAGAAGCAAAACAATAATCTGTTGACAATGCAAAGAGGCTATCAGCTGTTTTTCGTGTATATATTACATGACCTGCTTTGCGAGTACTCGTCCCCAGGTGCGCAGGGGAAATCTAACATGGCGGGTTACGGGAAGCAAATTCTCGTACGGGACGTGTTTTTATGGTCCATATCTGCCATCTATCTCTTTGCGTTTTCCTCTCTCTACATACAGATACCAGGTAGATTTGATTTGAAACTGTTCATTTTTCTAGCGTAAAGGTTTGTGAAGTGTTTTTGTCGATCTATCTTGTATGCAGGTCTCTATGGACAGAACGGCGTCCTCCCTGCTAAGCTTACGCTAAGGGAAGGTGAGATATGTAGTACTTGTCGATGTTTTTGGTCGTTCAGGTAAAGATTATAGCAAGGATGCTACCTTCTTTCGTTTAGGGGGAGTGTTAACGACTCCCTTATCATTTTAATTTACCACGCGCCAAAATCACTGAATGGGCTATTGTTTTAATTTGTTTTGATTCATGTTAAGCGATCATTTAAATACACGTGGTATTTGGTTAAGCGTCAATGTATATTTTTTATGTATTTTTGAGTTTGCTGTCTTGTCAAAGAAGTATTAGGAAAGGAATACGCACAGCCCCACATTTCATTATGCATACGGTTATTGGATAAATAAAACAATGGATTGCCTTTAGGACTACGGAATGGTATCGGGTTCTTCAGAAATCTTTCCAGTCTCAGTCTAATAAGTGCTTAATTAACCCTTTAACACTCAGAAGTGACTAACATTCGTAACTTTTTCCTTGATTCCAATATTTTATCTTGCAAACGTTTTCTTGGTTTTAAAAATAGAGAAGCCTTTCAGCCAGAGGGTGTAATCGTGTTATAACACTTAGTTCTCCAATCTAATTTATTAGGAAATGTATGGTAGTAATTAGGGAGAATTACCAAATGCATCTTGGGAGTGAAAGGGTTTATTTGGCCATAGCTGATCATGGCACAGAGGAAGGGAAGCCTGCAAACTACCTAATACTTTCACATGGGTGATCCTGGCCAAAAGTTACACAACACAAATTACAATTATTTTGAAATTCAAATCATCAGGATTTTCCTTATGCTCTGCAAAAATTGTTTTAGTATGGTAAAAGTAGAAAAGTGTGTTACGATGTGAGTGAACATTTATTGAATAGATAATAGGAGTAAAACAAGGGCTTAATGTTATGATGTGTTAAATTAGATCTAGAGTTTAAGATCAATTTTAAGCTGTAAATTAATATCTTTAGTAAGCCAATCAGTGGAAGAAAATTTCTGGCACAAGCCCACCCTGTTGTGGTTCACGCCAAGGCTGGGACTGAATACAGAAACAGGAATGGAATTGTTATGTTTGACTGGAATGCTTCTCTCTCTGTTGGCCATGGCACTGAAGTCCTGGAGGGACTCTATCATCTTCTTTGTTCTGTGGTTTCTTTACTACTCTTTATATCAGGTAAAACAAAGTGTTTGCTGGAAGGCTGTTTGTTATGGGAGACTGTCCTTCCCTTACAACAATTCCATTGATTGTGAGATGACTTTTAATGATGGTTCTTTCTTTTAGTTTTTATTTTATGCCTCCTTGTGAATTGATGATTTTACAATTATACCAACTATCTTACAACTTTGTCTATTCTCATGATTAGTTTAATGGGGGATATTGTGATAAAGGATATAGTTATTTGGGTCAACAAAGACATACTATACATGTATTGTTTTCTCTGAAAAATTAGAAACTCATTTCTTTCAAATTTAGGTTGGACAAACATTTGTCTACTTTCAGTGGTAAGTTACATTCAGATCTTCAACATACCTTCTGTTGCCACCAAAAATTATATTGACGTTATTCATTTTAAATTTGTATTTTTTTCTCCATCACATTTTCATTAGTTCTTTTGTTTTAAAGTGCAATAATTTCTTTGCTATTCTGTTACTTTTTTCTGCATAATTTCTCTTTCTTTTTATCATGCATGTAAAAACCTTACGATAAATTGTATCCATTTGGCTTTATTATTTAACTGTGTTGGATCATGTTTCTCAATCGCTTTAAATCATTTTATATTGTGTTAAACCAGGCATTTGTCCTCAGATCTGGTACAACATTTCTAAGTGTCTTTGTTGTCCTTTATATCGTTTTCTTGTTTGTCCATTTCTTTGCATATAATTGTAGTAACTAATGTAATAATGTTTTAGTAACCACTTCAATTGTTCACTTTGCTTCAATTTTTCAGTTGGTTTTGTTTTGTTTGGACACATTCAAGTAGTTTTGGCTATCACACTTTCAGTAGATTTATCAGAGAAAAAGTTTGCAGTGGCATTGTTTTATTTCCAGCTGATTATTTACCAACACTTGCATGTAGTTTGTACGTCAATGAAAGTCAGCCCTGATTGTTAGATAGCTTGTCAATATGCTGTTGCTTTTGTTGAAGGTGTTCTATTCATGAATTTTTGTTCCTTTTTTTAGGGATATTCTGCTTATGGAAACTGGATTTTTGACAATTCTGGTATCTCCTCTCAATATATTCAAATCCAAGGATAACAAGTAGGTAGTGTTGAATTTACATGTTTGTCTAAAACTTAACTTTAAGTTTACCCTTAACCCTTTAACCTCTAAGAGTGAATGGCATCTAACTTCTTCTTACAATATCACACCAAAAACACGCATTAAGGCCATGAGAATAAAGGAAATGATCACCAACTACTGAAGCTCCTGATTGTCAAATAAGTTCTCCATGTCAGCACCTAAGGAACTGTATAAAGAACAGTAAAGAGAATGTGCAAACTGATTTTAGGTTGTAAAGCTAATAAAATACTCAAATGGTCAAAGCTGATATTTGTCAATTGTTTCAGATCTCAGCGTCACCATGATAACATCACACTGTGGTTAGTGAAGTGGCTGGCATTCAGACTTATGTTTTGTTCTGGAGTTGTTAAGTTGTCAAGCAGATGTCCAACATGGTGGGGGCTTACTGCTCTTGACTGGCATTATGAGTCACAGGTGTGCTGGACATTCTCATGATGCACTTAGTATAAGTAGTAAATCAATGTACATGAAAAAATTATGTCTGTCTGATTGGCTAAAAACGATTACATTTTTCATGTAACAGGAGTGTAAAGTCGTAATGCAAGGTCAAAGTTGTATCACTAGTGTAAATTTCAAATAACGCATGCACTGCAAAATTTTGTTCATTTTGACTTTCTGTGATGCTTGTGCAATGTTTTTGTCTTTATGAGTGCTTATTATACCAAATTGCAAGAGAAATCATGTTATTACTTGTTAGTAATGTACATGAGGAAACATCACAGAAATTCTAGATAGACAAAATTTTAAAAGTGTAGGTGTAATTTGTAATTTGCACTTCTCTTACAACTATACTTGTGTTGCAACTTTGCACTTTTGTTACAACTTTGCACTTGTGTTACATGTGAGTATTCTCATTACTTGTTTGCTGGAAAATTTAAGGTTATTTTGGGAGAAGTTACACATTAATCACTTCTGGAAGTTACAGTGTTAAGCACAAGTGTGGTCTTATTTATTTTATGAAGAAGAATATTCAGTTGGAGATTATATTAAAAGATGTACTATTTCCATCATCAAGTTAAAGGAACTTTCCCTTTCTCTAACATGGAGAATTATCTGTGTTAACTGGAAAAAAAATTATGGCTTCCATAATGTCCCTGTGCCACACCCAATTCCTAAGTGTAGGGAAAGAATAGAATTCAAATGCTCAGCATATGAGGGGGTCATCCCATGGGCTTTACATTTATAGGTGCACAAACATTTTGCCCTCTATATGTGAGCAATTTAGAACTATCCTGAATATAGAAAAAAATGTTAATTGATAAGAGCCTATTTGAAGCAACTGTTGAAGTAAATCTCCTTTTTTTTGGGTTCGCTTAGTGCAGTGTGAGTGGGTAAGTTGATAAGCCTTCTGAAAAAGCAAGATGCTAGTCCAAAATTTTAATTGTATATTTGAACTGTTTGTTTGTTTGTTTTTTTTTTTGTTTCAGTGCATTCCCACTCCACTGGCCTGGTATGCCCATCAGCTTCCAAAATGGTTTCAGAAGCTTAGCATTGTCTTAACGTGAGTAGCATCTGTATATAATAACATAGTTTCCTCATACATAACATCACAGTACTATTGTTTTCCGATAATATTATATTTGGTTCCTTTTCTTTATAGTTTCAGTGTTAGACATCAGAGAAGTGTTACTGGTTGCTTTGTAGACCACATATTAACCCTTTACACCCTAACATCAGTATCCATATTCTGTATACTCTTCTCTATATGCATCTTCTGGTACTGACAAGGAGAATTCACTTGAAGATCAAAGCTTCTTAGGTTGGCAATCATTTCCTATATTTGCATGATCTTAATAAATAGTTCAGCAGTATTTCAGTAACGAGAAAGTAGATGCTGGTCTCTCTTAGGGTTAAAAGGGTTAGAAATGTGTTAAGATGGTTCCATAAAAAAAGCCAAAGAAAGATTTTCAAAGGGAAAAAATATTGGCAAAAATTTGACCCCTCTATTGAATCTAAATGTATCTTCTAAAACAGGCTTTTTGAATTCTTAAATGGAATACTCCTATCACATTAATTTCATACCATTATTATTACTTGACTTAATGTTGAAATCCTTTTTTTTAATTTAATTTTTACAATTTTAAAGGGTAACATTACTTAGAATTACATTAGAATCTTGGGAAGTTTTCAATCAGTTGCAGAAGCTTTCAGTCATTGGTGTACTGAAACATTAACACGCCAATGATGTTATCCGTGGCGCGTTATTGTTTTGGTGTAACTATGTCATCAACCAAAGATAGAGAATAAAGTTGCAATAGTGTAGGTGAGACTTCACCAGCTCACATAACTAATGTGCAAAAATGTAAAGGTATGCTGATCATGCAACTTAATTCAATTCTGAAATCAGTTTCCTTCAAACTGACCATTTCATAGTAGTAACTACTTACCACACACCACACCTCATTGTGTAATGGTAATAGGCCTGATTAGAGTCCAATTCAGTCTGTAATAGTATTATACATGTGATAAACAAACTTGGGGGACCACAAAAGGGCAGTAAGTTTAGTAAAAGTAAGATTATTGAATAATTAAAATAAAAACATGCGCATTAGCTTAGTCAACTGAAACCTAAGAATTCATTAGGACTTAAATAAGATCATATGAAGCTTGATTGAAGTATTTGAAACACATTAACCTAGATATTGAAATGATGCCAAAATTGCTGAGTAGAGATGTGGGTATTATCACATTGGCTCGCTCTCAAATGGCTAATGCTCAAAACTTCAGTTTAAAAACTCTTTACAGTGGCCAAATTACAGTTTGGACTCAATTGATAAACCCAAATTATCTTTTTATACCCACAACTGATGCAACACCACATATTTTCATGTTGGTTTGTGGCACATGTGGTGAACAAGATGAAATTTAGCTACCTGCAAATGTACTAACAGTTCACGATGGTGCTATATAGCAGCACCAAAGTAAACTAAGACAGGCATTTTACTCGGCATTTGTTTTTCTTTTTTTCCATTTCTTTGAGAGGATTATATTTATTTTGTTTTACCATTTTCTCCAATACTTTTTTTTTCATTATTCTCGATTTTCCTCCTGTTTCTTTTATTTCAGATATGTTATTTTAATGGCACTTTCTTGGTTGTTTTTTGTTCCTGTTCGATCCCTGAGAATATTTTCATTTTATTCACAGGTAATTATGGTTTGGCAGTTTTTCTTTTTTCACCTCAGTTGTAATGGTGACTTCAAATTAATTTCTGTTAGGTTCATTATTTCCTCAACAACCTGATCCTTGTTGCCTAAGAGATTTTATAAAAAGCCGGTCACCAAGACTGCTACCTGTAAGACCTCCCACTGCTATTTGTTCAGCAGGCAAACTGGCTTTTGTGTTTGTATTGCACCCAACAATACAGCTGCCTATGACACCGTCTGCAGCCGCTCTCGGAGAAATTTATTGAAACCCTGCATAATGATGCAAAACAGGGGAGTGTGGAGGAGGCTCTTTACTTTTCTTTTATGTCATCAGAGACAAACGAAAGCTTTTCAATGCATGATCATTCAATATCTATGAACAAACTAATGAAAGAACTTTTCAATGTATGTTTCATTGTTTAATGAAAGCCACATACTTAAATTCCAACTGTAGTTATTCCCAAGTCCTTTACAGGTGTTGATGTTACAACATTGTTTCTCTGTTGTTTATTTAGATATTCTTTCAAGTTCTGATTATTCTTACTGGCAACTACAACTTCTTCAACCTACTGGCAATTTCATTATTGTTGCCAATTCTTGATGACGAGCATCTGGTCACAATTCTACCATCTTGGCTTGGTAAGAAGACTTGAGAATCCTTTGCTAGGTTTATTTGTGTTATGTTTTTACCATTATTTACATAATTTGATTTCCTTCTACAGTTGAAAGATCCACCATTCACAAACCAGCTCAGAAAAGCAAAATTGTGAAGGTGCTAGGGAGAATTGCCTCATTTTCAACAATAGCAGTCATAAGTTATGGGATGGTCAGGCTCTTTGCTTTAGAGCTTTCTTCTAAAAGCATTGTCAAGGCCAAGATAAGTAAGTAGCAAATTTTATCAATTTTTTGGCCCTCTCAAATCTTCCTTTTTAACCCTTTAACCCCTAAGAGTGACTTGCATCTAATTTCTCCCTACAATATCACCCCTGAGGCACACATGAAGGTCACGAGAATAAAGGAAATGATCAGCAGCTTAAAGAAGCTATTGATTTTTAAGCAAGTTCTCCTTGTCAGTAAGTTAAAAATGTGTAGAGAACAGTTTGGAGAATATGCATACTGATGTTAGGGTGTAAAGGGTTAACTTAAAAGTAGGTGAGGGGTAGGTTAACATTCTACATTTAGCTATTACCCACTTTCCATTTGATGAATGAAGCCTGTCTGTCAATCAAACTTTCTACTGGCTAACATTGTCTGCTTCATTTTGCGTATAGCATTCTCTCAGAATCAATTCTTCAAGGCAGTGGATCAAGCAGTGCCAGTTACCATATGGCTTGGTGTCTTATCGTTGAGTGTTGAGATTATTGCATCAGTGTCAGGGTAAGCTTAACCCTTAAATTACCATGATCTGATTGTTAATTCTCCAATCTACCTGCTACACATTTCCTAATAAATTTGGTGTCAGATCAAGATAACAACTTCTACCTGATAAGTTTGAGTTTTCTCATCTATTGTTGGCTGGATAATCTATAGATATTATATAAAGAAGTTACATATCAATCATTTCTGAGAGTTGAAGGGTTAACTTGAAGGATAATACCACATATGTGGTGATTGTGTGCTACAACATGCATGTATCAGGTGACTGGATCCTTGCAGGCAAGGATCAGAGAGAGAAGAAAGTTAGGATCTTGCAGGCCTGTTTTTGGGTGTATGTGTGGCATATGCTGTTTGTTAGTGTGGGCAGTTGAAGGTATGCACAACAACCAACAGCTTACCGCATAAGTAGAAAATAGTTATGAGGATGTTTAATAACCCAATGGTCAAAATCAGAATATCAGGGACCTTGTCTAATTTGGCAGTGTGGCCAAATGGTTAGGGTGCTGGGTTTGTAGTCTGATAGTCCTTGGTTCAAGCCCCTCCATCCTGTCAATTACTGGATATTTTATTGGTTGCCCTTGGTTGAACCTGATTAAGAACCTAGGCAACCTAATTTCACGGCAGTCGACATTTGTATGAGAACTTACAGAAGCTAACTTGAAAAAACCTGGGTTCTTACATGTATGTTTTTTTAATTCTACAACAGTTGTGTTGATTTTGTAGGTGCGTCAAGCAAAAAGGCATCTTGAATAAGTTATGGTCATTACTGCAATGGGCAGTATTCAGTTATGCAGCTCTAGGAATGTTTGCAATAAGCCTGGTAAGGAAAGTTTTTGAGTAAATAAGGGTTTGTGTTGAAAAAATATATGATCTAAACTGAGGGAGTATCAAAAGCAGAGATTTTGTTATCTGTATATGTATCTGGAAATGTATAGGGAATAGTATGGAGAAAGTGCATACTGATATTAAGGTCAATAGCTCAGGGAAGCCAATGATTTCATTGTCAGCATGAGGTGCTATCCATCAGTCCACAAGGATCTTGTAGGCTTACTTCTCAATTTTCTCACCCAGTCAAGAGGTATCTAAGTTGTGGGCCTCTTAACAGATTTTTGCCTCATGGGTAGTTATTGTGCCACAGTTAAAAAGGGGCTAAGATACTAATACAAGCTGCTTTTTTTTATCTTCTTTTGAAGGTTCCTTACACAGATATCAGTCATAGTGCTAAGTCAAATTTGTGGCCTGTGATCTCAAGATGGCGTCAAAAGACAGATTCCTTTGAACTTGTGAATGCATACGGATTATTTAGAAGGTAAGGAATGAAGTTCACCTTCCAGCAAAACTACTCTTGCACTTTGCATAGCAGGCTAAAGCGATTTTCCTCCTCTTCTCTTGACACTTTAGTATGACCGGTGTTGGTGGGCGCCCAGAGGTCATTATCGAGGGAAGTAATCATCCTGAGGGGCCCTGGTTGGTAAGATGTCTATTACTGTACGTTACGCGCAGGTTCTCATAAACAGTGGGGCATGAGGGGCTAAGCCTGCAAGATTCAAGCCCACAGGGGCTTGTGAGAGGTCTGGCACGAAAAATGAGTCACTCTCATTTTCGTGCCATAACCGCCGCAGACCTCCCGCAGGCTCGCGTCCCTTGTCGGTGTTTGAATCTCGCTAGCTTTACTATTCGTGCCACAGCATTAATAATAAGAGCCTGCTCGCTGGCCACCATTCCTGTTTATCTCCTTGATCAATACTTCTTTCTACTAAAGTGGCAGCAAACCACTAAACCACTAAACCTTACCTGTATTTATTTGATTGCTCCCTTCATAGGAATACCATTTTCACTACAAACCTGGTAATGTTTCAGAGTCTCCACCGTTAGTTGGTAAGTGAATGGCTTTTTTTTCTTTTACTATTCCTATTACCGAGGTACAAAACCTAGATTAGTCTTGAATTTGTACACAGTTGTGCGAGCCATATAAACAATCTAGATTTTTTTTAGAGCAATTCTCACTTGAGTGTCGAAAGTAATCCGGAATGTCGTTGGTTTCCTTTACTTCGCTCTGTGATTAGCCCAAAAAAACTTGCGCCACTCTCTCAACCAATCAGATGCAAAACTAACACCAATCGAGACTTGGTCGCACGCGTTTTCCCTTCCCGCGCTTTGGACAGCTAGCTTGGCTTTACTTTGAATTCTCATTGGTTCTTAAGGCATTTTCCTTTCCTCTGATTGGTTGCTGTGACAGCTTTGGTTTTTGTTATACGGCACTCAATCGAAAACCGCTCTAGCTTTTTTACTGTCACTCACTGCCACATGCCTTCTGTATTTCAGCGCCACACCAGCCACGTCTTGACTGGCAGATCTGGTTTGCGGCGCTTGGAAGCTATGAATATAATCCGTGGTTTGTACACCTTGTCTACAGATTGCTTCAGGGCCAACAAGATGTTTTGGATCTTTTGGCGAAAAACCCTTTCCCGCGCAAACCCCCCACTTACATCAGGGCCCGGCATTACAAATACCACTACACAGAGCTACCAAAGAATATTTCTTCTGTGTCTGATATTCTTCATAACAACAGGTCAGTAAAGTCACAAGATTAGGAAGCACAGCCATGTCGATGAATTATGGAGCTTTCGCCCTCAACTGTCCTATCTAAATAGTGTACCTTTAACACAGAATGTTGTGCTGATAAGCAGCCTGAAAATATAAAATCAATATTGTAGTAAGGCTCACAAAACGACTGAAAGGGAAGAGTTGAACTTTTGAAGACCAGACGGAGAAGTCCACTAGAGATGCTTCATCGTTTCAGATGCCTTATCTCCTAGAATTTGGCAATAGATGTCAGAAACGCTTTAATATACGACCGGAATATTTTACCATTCAGGGGCTCCTTTCCAGAATTCCCATCATAGCCAGACGTAAGCATGTGACTTATATGGGTTGGACGTTTTCTTCGCCAATATTGCCAACTTTAGCAGAGACTTTTCTTCGACGCCTCTTTACAATCATTGTTGAGTTATTTACACCTCTTACTAACCGAGTTCGAGGTCCGTCCTCTAAGTTGCGGACGGAGTTTTTAGCGCTCGGATTTTTGGCTGAAGCGCAAGGCGCGCAGGCCATAAAGCCGAACTGAAAAAATGAGGTTCCGGAACTTACAGTACGGACTGAGAAAACGAGGTTAGTTAGATATTTATTATGTCTTTAGGTTCTAATAGAGGGTAAAGTTTCAATGGAAAAAAACTTTAGAATTTTTACTACCTCTACACTTCAGTGACACATCATAGCGCATGTACTAACTGAGAGTTATGCTGTTGTGGATTAGGTAACAAATTGCGGTTTTCTCTTCAACATATAACCGGTTGTTATTTCCCTAAATAATGTCTATCCTGTTGTGTTTTTCTTTCAGACTGGTAAAGCACTGGTGGTGGAGAGACAGTCCTAGGGAATATCTACCAATTCTGACTGTTAATGAACCAACACTAATCAACTGGCTTAATCAATATGGCTATGCTAAGGTTTGTAATCATGAGTGCCGTGTAGTTTTATCCTAATGTATTGAACTCGTTTTGATCTTATGTGTGATGGTTTTGAGTGACTTTCATATGACTGAGTGACTGATTGATCGACAAGACGGTCTGACAGACTAACTGACTGACTGATTGATCAACGTACCAACTGAATGAATAGCTTACTAACTAACTGATAGACTGGCTGACCGACTGTCACACCCATTAAACTACGGACTGACTAGCTCACCAACTAATTGTCTGAAAGACTTACGGAATAAATGACTGACTAAATTATTGCTGGACTCGCCAACTTTTACTGGCTGACGGCAAAGTGGCTGACTGACTGGCTAGGCCACAAAATGTGTGACCGGCCCAACTGGCTGACAAACTGTATGACCGACTTACACTGACTGATTGATTGACTGACTGGTTGACTGGCTAACCAACTGGCTGGCTGACTTACTGCCTGACCAATAGGCTGGCGGTCATATTTACTGACTGACTTGTGCCGCCTGATTGATTGACTGATTGACTGACAAACTGACTGACCAAACAAATGACTAATTAAATGACATTTGCGTCGGAGCGTCAAACGTTTATTTGTTTATCGCGTTCGACAAGAGAAAACGCATCCTAATCATGTCGTTTTTCCCGAAATTAGTCTCGATGGCGGCTATTGATTTTCTCTTATTTATTAGTAATAGTTGACAAATGTAATTATCCTTGTTGCAGAATGATCCATGGCCTGAACGACCGTCAGGTCGGCTCTACAGAGCCATCAAGTATCTGCGCTCCATCGTACGAAAATTGGACGCGCTTCGGTTCATGTTAGGGCTGTTTTCCTGTGGAGTGATTATGGCATTTTTTAATCGCTATCGGTCTTCAAAGCAACGATGATGAATATACATAAAATATCATGACAAATGGTTGTATTACTTAGAAAAGTTTAGAGATAAGTTTAATGACTATCTAGCGAGGACATTCCCGCCTTTACAAAATCTCAAGTCCTTCGTGATGAATCAACAGAAATAAGTTCAGATAAAGCACAATATATTATTGTCTTATAGCGTTCGTATGTTTCTTTACATATGAACATGTATGAGAAATTCCTGTAAGAAATGATATGAAGATATAGAGGATATTACATGGCCGCTTGGGGATACCAATTTTTTCTTCGAGTGCTGAAAGTATCTCTCACGAGAGAGCGAAGAGGTACTTTCAGCACTTGAAGATAAAATTCGTATCCCCAAGCGGCCATGTAATGTTCTGTTTATTTTATAGATACTGATGAAATTCCAACATAAAAGACAACTACTTTTCTTTTTTGTGAATGAAATTTCAAAAGAACCAGCCGCGCGCCTCAGCGGGAAGCTCTCTTGTAATTGGCTAATCATGTTAGTAACCATGGCGACACCAATATCCTCACACGTGAAAGATAAAAATGGTATCTTTACTGCACGCAATGAAGAGATGATTTTTTAGTTAAAGGAAAAATCCCGGTATTTCATCAGTATCTATATAATACAATACAGTATTAGTTTAGATAGAGCCACCATAGCGTAAAGTAATGAACAAAAAAAAAGTGTTAAGTTGTGCACTCTCTCCAAATGAATACAGAGGTATATTCAAATAATCGTTAAGTTCGGACAAAAGGAGGAAATGAAAAGTTCTATTTGTTTCTCTCCATCAATTTGATGACAGTTTTTGGCTGTACGGTTTTTTTTTTCAAATAAACGCCCTTGGCGACTTGGCACGCTAAACCATACGTCAGTATAAAGCTGGCGAATAATTAAGGCCTGGAATTCGTTAATGAAGCACAATTTTCTGCCTCTTTTAACCAAAGGTTTTTTTTACCCTTCTTCCATGACTTAGGGGTAGTTATTGGTCGAGACGGAATCATTTTCCCCTGATCCATCCTCAGCAAACTGTGGCTGAGTCTTTTTGTAACTGCACTTATGCGGAATCTGTGGCTGGAATTGACAACTCCGCGTCTTTATACAAACATGATCTTTAATACTCTACGACTGACGTTGATTGAAACTAAAGAAAATAACAAACGGTCACACTAGTTACACAATATACAACCTAAAAAATAACGAACAACAAGACTATAAAATACATTGTTACGGCCACAGAAACATTAATCAACTGCTCTTAGCGAAAAAAAAGGAAACAGTTATATTACATGTGTAGGCTGCACAGAGCGACAGAAGGCGGCAACGAAATGACAAGAAAAGCGTTAATGAAACAATAAGTATAATCACAGAGTGAAAAGACTTAAATAAATGGACTCCAAACACGTAAAGAGAAGTAAAGAAAAACCAACAAGAACAAAAATGTCGCACTTAGAACTTACACTTTTCGAGAGGATTACCTCGCATAGAAAGTACAACTGTTACAGAGGGGAAAGGGTACACTTTGTTATTATTAATATTAAAGGAAAGTGCGTGAGTCTTGCGACCAGGTTTCCCGAGAACAGTAGTTATTACTCTAGACTTAGAAGTTCTTGTTTGATTTCTCCTTTTTATTGTTTTTTGTACTCTGATGTAAGTGGTTGGGTCAGCAATAGGCTCAAAACACTCCACTCTCTCAAATGTTGAATGGGGTGAGTAGCGCGTTGAAAATAAACATTTTTGTAAGTTTGAAAGCTGAGGAAGGTAGGGTACCATTAGTTTATGGATAGGGGAGCAACAAAGACACTTTCACATGTCGTAAGTCTGCAAAGAGGGGCAAATTTCCGTTTTGCTCCATTTTTCTATTAACTCGAGCTAAGTGAGCCAGACACCCATCGCAAACAACTGAAAAATAACTACTTTCACCGATTTCAAATAGCAATTTGGAATGACTATGTTGTGTGTTAAAGGCAAGAAAACTGCTTAAAAAGCAGCTGTTTGTGTAAGAAATAGCTCAGCTTTGGCAGATTTTTATAGGGACGGAGTGGACCGGCAGAGAAATAACCGACATCACCGACCTCCCAGCAAGCGAAGCAAGGGTTTTAATTTTGCGAGGAGGGTACACCCACAGTGATGCAGTTGGGTGAATTGACGTATTTAGTTGCTGATCCCACAAAGCAATCCCAGTTATCTACGGTATTCCTTCGAGCAGATGTTCCGAAAACGCTTTGAACGCGGAAATATCGTTATGATGAAACAAGATACAGGTTTGGAGGCAATCAGTGAGACGCGACGTAGTGACCTCGTTCCTGTGTCATATTTTTCAGAAAGATTGGGAACTAGGAAACAATGTATGGGAAAATGACGAAACCATCGTGAAAATATGTTTGATTGTAGTATATTCTTTTATTTTATTTCCATCGGAATTGTATGTTTACATCCATTCTGTAAAGGAGCAACCCATTGGTTTGTAACAGAGGATGGAAGAATCCAACAGCAGGTAACGAATCTAAATTTTTATCTTTTAAATTATTCACATCAATTACGGCGTTCGGTTGTTTGAATAAGCTTCGAGTTTGGTGTTAGATTTAATTCATTCATCGTTTGCCCATTTTTATCGTGATGTTCTTCATCCTTTGACTGGTTGACGTGCTATTGAAAGTTTCTGGACATTCGTTACTCTTGGAGAGTAAAATTGATAAAATCATCGATAGTGTTCTCTGCCTGACATGAATAAGATGTCACTTTAGTGAATAGACTAATTAGATTCGAAAGGATAAGTACCTGAAATATTTTGATTGAAGAATCTAAGTGAATTATTGATGTTGTTGAATGACCTTTGAAATAAATTGATAATTTTTGATAAGACATTTTTATGTTGTAGACTTTAAGCGCGAACTTATTCCGAAATTTACTTATATTAAAAATAACACTCATTTTAATCAAACTTAAATCTTATGTTTGTTGTAGTCTTCGAGATACACATTTTCACTTTTTGGTAAGAAGCTATGCTATTTAGCAAAGATACTTTTGTGAAACAAACTAGGCTGTTGGACATGATATGCACAAAATGTGAAATTTTCTGTCCCAGGTATAGCAAAATACAGTAGACCTTGGCTAACTCAAACAAGATTGAATTTCCTTTGGATTTGACCCCATTTGATACATGGTTTGTTTCTAGGATGACTCTGTGTTCAATCTCAAACGACCCTATGATCTGGTCACCTTCATTCAGCAACAAACAGCATTTGATAGATTAAAGATTTTACGAGAAGAGTACCTGGAAGAGAAACGAAAAGTCATTGAAGCAAGAGAGAAGGAAAGAGCAGAAATCCAAAAATCATTTTATGAAGAGGATCCTGATTGTGTTGATGCAGGAGGCCACATTTCTGAGTTTGAACTACATTTAGATATGACTCTTCCCTTTTCTAAGAAAGGCATCAAGTAAGTTCAGAAGTATGGTTTAAAGGTCTTATTATTACTGTTGATAAAAGTGGTCATCGGTCAATTTTTCTTTATATACTTTTTCTACATTTATTTTAAAGCTTACTCTACTGAGGCAAATACACTCCACCATTGGAGGTTGCTGTCAAGTTCTAATTAATAAGTAGATTCCATGTTCTCATGGGTCTGTAGAGTAATAGATCACAGATGATGTCAGATTGTGATAGGAACCTAAAAAGTGACATATGAGACATTGTTGAGTGTGCCATTGATTTTGTCAAAAGATTTTGATGTCTTCTGTGATTCATTACCCTAAAGACTAAGGGGAACATGGAATCATTTTTCTCAATATGTTAAAAAAAGCAAAATTTCATTAATACTGATGTCATTTTGTAAGAAACAATCAAAATGGATGTGTAATTCGGCTCGTTGTATAAAAATATTTTGGTCATTTGTCAATGTTCAACTGTAAATAATTTTTAAGTCAAGATAATTAAGGTTTTGTACCTCTGTCAGTAACGTAGAAATACAAATAAATACAGGTGTGGTTTGCAGCTATCTTAGAAGAAAATAAAGGTGATATACAGAAATGCATCTGTTCTCTGACAGATCATAAGTAAGAACCAATCAATCAAATGCATGCACAATTCAGCTTATCATATAACCCTTTAATCCCTGAGAGTGACCAGCCTCTAATTTCTCCTTTCAATATCACCCATGAATCAAACATTAAGGTCATGAGAATAAAGGAAATGATAATCAACTGAAGAAGCTCTTGATTGTTAAACAAATTCTCCTTGCCAGCATATTAGGAAATGTATAGAGAACAGTATGGAGAATATGCATACTGATGTTAGGGTGTAAAGGGATAATTAGTATTACTACTCTTACCCATTGGTTAAATTATTTCAGTCTTCCAGATCATCTTAACCTTTGTCAGTCCCTTCCCTCCGATGTTCAACCACCAGTTTGTCAAGCTCAGCTACCAACAGTTATATACAGCTATGATCATCTTGAGGGAGTAAAGCATCGCCATCTGCTGAATTCCACTGCTGAGCCAATGCTGCTTACAACGATGTCATCTTATTTTAAAACTGCAGAAGAATTAGGAGGCCAAGTGAGTCTGGCTCTTGAAAAGGTGAGCATGATTTTATATTGATCTGAAGTTAAATAAATACATACTGGAATCACATTGGAGATGAATTTGCACTTCAAGTGCGGACTTATTGGCTTTTGCACTTTCTCAATCACATAGTCAACAGTGATGTGCAGATAATTTCAAAGCTTCTCTGGCTTGAGTGGGAAATTTGTAACCAAAAGTTTCAAGTTTTTCCAGGGGAATACAGACAAGTGTTATATCTTAAAATATAGAGGTGTTTTCGCAAGTGAATGGTGAGAGAAGAAAACATCTACAAGGTCAAGGTTTTTAAGACTTAGTAAATTTGTAGAAATTAAGTCACGTTTGCTGATTTTGCCTTTTACAAAAAAAAATTGAGTGGGGTATTTGAACCAATTTTTATGGCAGGGGCAGTAATTTGACCAGACTATTCTACAAAAGTTCAAATGCAAGGGGGTTGTCTGGAAGTAAGGATGATGAAGCTGTAAATTAATCAATGCATAAAGGGTAAAATTTTCTGTTATTAAGAAGGAAAAGAATGCATGCCGTTGTGCAATTTTGCAGGAAGCTATTTTAGGTTTGGTAAATGTTTATTTAATGAACTGTACAACACAATCAGCTGAATGAAGTTTTATGTTTATTTGTACAACACCCGAGTTATGAAACCAACCCTACTAAAAACATTTGTCATCAATGAAATTATTATTATTTTAGGCAAAGGTAAGCCTTTTTAATGTTTTCAAGTATTTTGCTCACTGGGCAATTACCAAAATTAATGAAAAATACCCTCTGTCTCAGCCAATCAACATTTGGTAATATTGCCCTTTTTGTTTTAAATCTATTAAACAGTGAACTTTAATGGAGGGTTGCTGGATTAAGTACTTCTCTGCCAGCTGGGATGTAAAGATAGTAAAATTTTGTTATTAAAGGAAATGGTTCCAATAGATGTTATATCATTATTATTTATCACTTCTGAGAAACAGCAGCACATTACTCTCAGAGAGGAGGATTTGAAGCTGGGTTCTTTAGTCATGCAGGCTTAAGATTACACAGTACAAATCATTCCATCATGTGCTCTTCACACCATGTTTTCACTCCTTTCCAATAGTTTATTTTCACCTCTCTTAGAAATTTGTTGTTTTTGTACAGAATTCAACTTCGTGGGTTTTACTTAATCTTGCTGCATACTATTGGAGAATTAAAGGAAATGCTCTGCATGCTGTGGAATGTTTAAGACAAGCTTTGTATTATTCACCAAGGTAAGACAATTAGATCTCCTCAAATATCTTTTTGGTGGATTTTTTGTTATTTCTCATCCTCTTTCCAAAGGGAGTTTTTGTGGGTTCTTTCTGACAAAAATTAACAAACTAAAATCTGATTTAATCTGATTGCATCATTTGAAGAGATTTAATAGTATCCTCTTTCACTTTGATAGTATAGGAATGGTGTGGAAGTAAAAGGCCTTGTTGGTAAAGACAATTGTGAAAAAACATGCTTTGTATTGAGACATGAATAGTTCTCTCCATGTCTAATCCATCTTGCAATCCTCTCTTTTCAAAAAAATGTCCTGAAAATTGTTGTTCATTATGTAATCTTGTCATATTTTTTTTAAGGGAGCACAAAGATCGTGCACTGATGAGCCTGGCGGCAGTACTTTACCATGCAAATCACACCCATGATTCTGTTGTTCTTCTGCACACTGCTATGGAAACTTGTCAGGAATATTCTGTGTATCACTTTCTACTTGGAAATATTTATGCTGTGAGTACATGTACTTGATTGCTGGGTCAGTTTTGCATGCTGTTATCAGTTACAGAACTCCTCTCTATGAATTTTTCACTCAATAATTTGATTTTCTAGGTAAGGTGGTCACATGGTCATGACCTTGCTCTGTTGATCACGTGTTGACTGTGGGGTTTAACCTTTGCCCCTTTTATATCTTTATATCTCCTAACAAGGAAAATGTGTTTAATGATCAAAACCTTCTTTTATTTGTTGGTGATCATTTCCTAAATATTCTTGAGACCTTAATGTTTGATTCAGGGGGGGGAGGGGTTTGTCAGGAGAAATTTGATGTCAGTCACTCTAAGGGATCAAATTGTTGAGGTGTTCAAGTACTGCTGGCAAGGGAACCGGAACTGGCCTCTTGGTAGCTGTCAACTATGTCATCCTCTAATTAAACTAGTGCAGAAAGCAGAAAGCAGGAAACAAGATTTTAGAGGTCTACCTCTTTAAACCTTTAGAGAGATCAGCATCTAATTTCTCCTGACAGTAATACTACTGAATCATTCATTAAGGTTGTGAGAATAAAGGAAATGATCACCAACCTAAGAAACTTTGATTGAAAAATGAATTCTCTTTGTCTGTACCAAGGAATAGATTGAGAAGAATATGGAGGGTATGCATACTGATGTTAGGGTTTTAAAAAGTGGTCATATTTCTCAGTTCTGATATGTTTTTCTAATTTCTGCTTTTATCTGAACCAGCATAAACCATAAACCATAAAGGTCTCATATTATTGAAAAAAAAAAGGCAGAAACCAGTTACTGTCATGAGTGAATTATTACCATGCAAATAAATTTCATGACCAAGATCTAACTTTGCACAGATCCAGAATGAAACATGTAGTCCACGTTTGTATTACGTTTACAAATTCAAATTGTACTAGAATAGTTGGCATTCTTTCTGTAACTGGTCTTCTATTAACAATGGCTGACTTACTTTGATTTTGTTCTCGTTTTTCCAATAGTCTCAGAAGATGTATGAAATGGCTGACTTATGTTACAAATTCACTGTAGCTGTTTCCCCCGACACGAAATCGTTGTGTGAGCGAGTCAAAGCCGTGAGGTGTGAGATTAAACTGAAACAACTGTTAAAAGAACGCCAATTGTAAGTCTTTATTTCTAAAGTTTGACTTTGTGTCGATAAATCTTTGTAATTGCAACAGCCAATAACATCAACTGTCAACTAGTAACCAATTGGAGACCAGAAGTTAACGTAGGTCACTTGGCTGGTTTCTAACGCAGGAATCACGAAACTTGGTCATCCTAAGTCTTTCATCTTGTTGATTCGCTCTGAGGAAGATCCAGCGCTCGAAACGTCACCTTAGAAATTCTTAACAATGGGCAATTTATATTATTAACTCAGTTGTTAAAACCAAATTATTTTGATATACTCACCCACAGAATCAGCACCATCGTTTCTTGAGAAATTTACCCCCTCTATTCTGTCATCTGGTTGGCTGAGTGGGTGTTGCTGGGTTTGTTTTTTTCGTTTTTTGTGACACCAATCGTTCTCTGTCCCTTTAGAGCATTTGATGAAAGATTGGACTTCCACGGTACTCCTGAACTTGATGATTCAAAAGAGTTTAAAAATGAAGAAGCCGAGAAGAAAGAACTCCTTCCGCTAGAAACATTCAAGAAGCAACTTAACCGGCTCTACCTGCTTACAGAAGGTCTACCAAAGAACCCACACAGCTGTAAGAGCCGATCTGTTCCTGTGAAACAGGCAAGAAATTCTTTTTCTTTTTCAGCTGCCATAAATCGTTGAGACGCCCTTTTGTTCCCAGTTGGTAAGATTCCTTTTTGGAACGCGCGAGACCGAAACTGAAAAGGTTCCTTTGGGATGGCGTCGCTGTGTTTGTTGTGCCCTGTACGTGACAACTGAGAATGGCAACAACCAATCGGAAACCGTTTTGGTAGAGACATAGTTATGTCACAAGTTTGAGAATTATCACAGTATATCTCTTTCAAAAACTAGTCATTGTTTATCACAAGGGGAGGGGTCGGAGGATTTTGGGGGAATCATATGTTTTTTCAGGGGAACGGAGTAGGGATCAGTCGTCGCAACAGAGTACAAGTACGGGGAGGGGAAGGGGAAGGGGGGAAGGAGGACTACAGAAAACTAATTGCCTACGAGGGAGGTCATTATAATTCTACAGTGCCTTCGTAGGGGAGGGGGGAATAAAGCAAATTTTATGGTGACTCATGTAATGTAACTCCTCTCCCTCCCTCCCTCCCCCATCTGAAGTAAAAGATCCCTAGCAAATTTTATTTTTTATTTTTATTTATAGGAAGGGAATTCGGCTTCTGATGGTACTGGAACAACAGAGGGACGGGAAAAACAGCCAAAAAACGAAGACTCCGAAGAGGAAGTCAACAAACAGAGGAATGAGAAAGAGGAAAAAGAAACTGGAAGTTCTGGATTGCGAACTCTGCCGCAAGGAGAATCAAAACACAATTCTGATGCCATCGAATCTGATCTAAAATCGAAATCCCTTGATAGAAACGGCCAAGATGAAGAACGCGCTATCTGGAAAGAAAAAAGAGTGATGAGTGAATCACTAAAAGCAAGAAATTCTCGGTTAAATAATTCTAAATTTTCTATAGAGATGAAAACCATGCAGGATTTAGAAGAAGCTCGACTAGCGTTGACTCGCTTAAAACATGTCATGAAAACTGTTACTCATACAAATTCAGCTACGCAGACTGTGAAAATAACCGAGGAGAAAGTGCTGCAAAGTGAAAACGGTGCGAAGACAAACGTAGGAAAAACAAGCTGTGTTGAAAGTATTTCAACTTTGCAAGAAAAAGAAATGAAAGTCAGAAAGGGGAATACTGGTCGACGCGGCGAGAGCGGTTTTAAAAGGATGAAACGAGACGCTGGTTTTAATAATCCTAGTGAGGATGGCACTGCCGGAAGTGTTATTGCTGATGATGGTAAATTTGTTAAGCAGAAAGGAGAGTCTATTGTGTTGAGCAAGAACGATCCAGGTTCAAAGTTTGATTATCTGATACCTTCCAAGAACACCCGTGACAATGTTATCGCAGAATCACTGTTTGAGCAGCTAAAAGGAAGCGTCCCTAGCGGACCTAAACACACGCCACCTCTAAAGGACAAAGCATTCTTGCCGAGTTTAAGAAATTGTGAAGATCTTGGAAGGAAGAAACTAAAAGGCGAAGCGGTCAGTGCGGAGTGTTTGACTCAAGATTCCAAGAAACAGACGCACGGCACAAACGCTGGAAGAGATGTTGGTGTTGAGAGCTTTGTGTTAACCACTGAATTTACTAAGGCCGAGGAAAATGAGCTATCGACGGATAAAAGAACTCTGCTTGATTCGGATGGTGAGGTAATTTTGATGAAGCAAACTTTGGCAAATGAGATTTCGGCTAACGTGCCCACGGATTCTCTATTAAGTGAGCGCACTTCTGAAGCGAAAGTTCTTGAACAAAACGAGAAGAAAAGAAATACAAAAGTCAATATTGGTTCGACTGCAAGTGATAACAACAATCTTAAAGTGAACTCTGTCGAGAGTGTTTCTGCCTCGCAAATCAAAGGCAGTGATCTAGAAATTGAAAGCAAGAAACATGACGGGAAGACAAACCCTGGAGAGTACGAAAAACCTAATTCGAACGTACCAGAAAATAATGGAGAGAAATTTTCTACCGCTTATGACGATGCGAGAAGTAAAACCAGGGATGAAGAGGATTATAATAGTAAAGACTCTGATAGACCAGATACTAATGGTGTTGTTAAAAATCCTAAAAACGCTAACGGAGAAAAGAGTAAAGCGGAGAAAAGGCAAAATCGGTTGGATTCAAGCACAACAAAAGAGTTACCTGCTAAAAGTGATAAATCAAGTAAACTAAACGAGGTTAAATTTAAGCCATCGCCTAATATGAAGGAAAAAGTTAACAGCGCCGAGTTTCTTCACAGTGTTGGTGCAGGATCGAGCGTTTTTGAAACAAGCTTTATGAACGTGCAAACTGATGGATCTCTTCAGGATCTGAGTGAGGAAGAATGCCGACACATAGAAGGTGTCCAGGCTCTGATTGTCAGGAACAAACAGTTCAGTGCATGGCTGTCGTTGGACACCAAAAACATTGAGTAAGTCAGTTGTTAGTTGTCAGTTGCCTTTTTGCATGAATTTCCTTAAATGAGCTTCTTCGACCAGTCATGTGTGTCCCAGCGGGGAAAACGTATTATTTTATCATCCATAGTGGACAATTTTTTAACATACTGCTTAATATGAAATATGTTGAAATATGTAATCGGCGCCGGGGGGGGGGGGGGGTACTTGGGTCTTTTTTTACTGGGCATGTGTCAAAGACCTCTCAGAACCCCTACCCCATTATACACTATTCTGTGGCCAATTATAGACCCCTTCTTTTGGTAATATCGTAAAAACTATTTAACTGCAAATCTTCCCATTTTTTAAATCCCCACTTACCAGAATATTCTAACCACCAAAGATTCCGAAAATGTGCGACTCCATTCCAGTAACTTTATTGAAGATGCAACCCCATTATGGTCAATCCAGTCGTGAAAATGTGACCCTATCCAATGGCACATACCATCGGCCTATTGTCAAGAAGTACCCCCCCTCCCCCTCGGGGAATCGGCGTCAATGGTTGGTTTCTGTTTCGTCACTGTCAATGTAATTTTTCTTCTCTTCCTTTAGCGTGCGGGCTCACATCGACTTCCTAAGTGAGGTGGACGACTTTCCCAGAAGGCCTCGTTGTACGGCAAAGATCAGGAACAAATTGCACACGTTCCACAACCTTCCGGTACCGTGAATATTGTTTTGTTGTCCTCTTTCTCTCTTGCTCGCTCTTCCGTTAATTAACCTATTACACCCTGACATCAGTATGCATATTCTCATTACTGTTATCTACACATTTCCTAAGGTGCTGACAAGGAGAATTTGCTTAACAATCAAGAGTTTCTTCAGTCGGTCTTAATTTCATTTATTCTCATGATTCAGGGGTGATATTGTAGGAAGAAATTAGATGCTGGTCACTCTTAGGGGCCAAGGGCTCAATTGATACCTCTATGTCTTCCTCAGCCTTAATTGACCAACCCAATGAGTGAGGGCATTATTGTATCTCTTGTAAGATTACTCGCTTTCTTTTGTCTTAGTTTTTTTAAAGTGGTTTGTGTACTGTCTTTTATCAAGGGTGTGGTCAATGCTGCTTATTTTGATCAAGTCGCTGAAGTTGGTCTCACTCAGGTTTGGTTTTGTTGTCTGTTCGTTTTGTATGTCATGTTGCAATGTAATGTTACGTTTCTTTAGAAAAAGAAGTAAATTTCTGTTTTCTTCCTTCCACAAAGAAGAGTTCGTTTTTTTTTTAACCGGGTAAGTCTATGCCTAGACATGACTGTTACATTTACTATTTTTAGACCCTGTTGAGCATGGGAAGAACATTACAAGACACCATTGACGAGATGGGAACACGAATTTACAATGCCCTAAAGAAGGTACCATCCGAAGCTGTATTTTAACGAAACAGACCAGTTTTCTATGGTGGCACGGTGTCTCTCTTCCTTTGATCAAGTTTTCTCTTTCTTGACATTTTATTTCTTCATCTATGAAGTATCATAACATAATTTCCTATTGCGCATGCGCAAAAAGTAAACCCCCTGTAGATTTGGTTAACGTAGGTAAATTTCGCGATGATGGACCAATTTGGTTACGATTTGAAGTTTTGGGTCTTAACAGACTGCTGTTAAATACTTTAAAGTTTTACACCATCGGTAAAGTGAGTAATGTGTCCCACAAGGGTAAGCATCATGTGAAAAAATTATATAGCATCGTTTCTAAGTAGGGAAGGTTTCACCGCACGTTCCATGTCTAGAGGTAGGTCGCCCTATGATCGATTAGTGAGGGGACCAATTACGCTGGACATGTCGGCACATCCTTAGGATGAACCCTTCCGGATCATGAAGTAAAACTGGTCTGGTGGTCGGAACTTTAGCATATTCTGACCCAATTTTTGGACCCGTCTAGCGCTCATGCCACGAGTGCTTAAATGACAACGGTGCTTAGATAACTTGGAAAACGTGAAAGAACGTTTATGATGGTTAGGTCGGCTAAGTCTGACGATTCTTTTCGTTTTTGTAGAATTCTTCGTCCTGGGTGCTACTGAATGTAGCGTCTCTTTATTGGAGAGTACAAGGAGATACTGCTGAAGCCATCAAGTGTCTGCGCCAAGCTCTTTCTTTCTCTCCTTCCAATGCAAGGGTAGGCATTTTATGGTCAGAACAAGAAGAGGTCCTTTTCTTATTTTGAACTCACGCAGCGTCTTAAGACATTTCTTTGTATCAGAGTATCAACGTAATTTTTTACCTCGGATTCCTCGAACTCCCCCCCCCCTCCCTCATCTAAAAAGTTTTAGCTGGCCGCCGGAAAAAAAGGGGGGGGTGGTTTGTTATATCAACACCTATTCTCTACTTAACTTGAGTCGAAACTCGTTCTTTAAGAAAATATATCAAGAAAGTGGAAATGTACAGAGCGGCTCGTTATGAGAGTTGCGTATTTCTGTAAAAAATTATACCCTTTTAACACTTTACACCCTAACATCAGTATGCATATTTTCCATACTGTTCTCCGTACATTCCCTAAGGTGCTGACAAGGAGAATTTGTGTAACAATCAATAACTTCTTTAGCTGCTGATAATTTTTTTATCCTCATGACTTTACTGCATGATTCAGGAGTGATTTTGTAAGGAGAAGTTAGATGCTAGTCACTCTTAAGGGTTAAAGGGTTAATGCGCTAATTGATCCGCAGGATTTCAAATCAAAGCGCGCCTCAGAAATCACTGCAATCATGGAATCCCAAAACTAGTTACATCTTAAAATGACATCGTAAGTCATTTACTATTGTTACATCTGTCAATTCAAAGAAGCATACTTCAACTTGGTCACGTTTTCGTTCCAGGATGTAGCTCATGTTAGTCTGGCCAGTATATTGTTAAGGGAGGGCCAGCTTGAAGACGCTGCTGTAGTCATAAAAAAGGCTCTTGAGGTAACGACTGTACTGAATGACATTTCCAAGTCATTGTCCTCTCGAACTGGTTGTTTTTCGCTTGATGTCTCGGCCCCAAGCCTCACTGTTTCTATAAACGAAGCAATATTTATGATAAGTTACATTGAAAGTTATTTGAAAGTCGTCCCAGGCGCAGGCGCAAAAAAGTTGTGATACACTAGGCGTGACACGTCTGTAACGCGCGTGACTTAATTCTATTTGTGAAGGTCGCGCAAAATCGTGAAGAAAACAGTAATTTTTCTGTGCAAACTTGAACCTCTTTACTCATTTCTGAGGACTTTTCTGTTGCATCCAGTAATTGTTATATCCGTCGTTTCTATGACTTATCTATTAAACTTTAACTTACATGTCTATTAGAAAGAGACATAAGTAATTGACCCGCAGTTTTCCAAGTAAAAGAAAATTATTTTTCTGTAAAACTTAGAGATTGTGAACACCAGAAAAATGTTTGCGGAAGTGTGTTTCAAAGAAAAATAATATTACTGATCCTTGTGGGGGATCGGGTAATTTTATCGTAACATCATCAAAATCATACAACACCCCCCCCCCCCCATAGGCGACTAATAATAACCGGTCGCTAAGCTCAGAAAACGAAGCAAACAGAAACTGTCATAAGTTTATGGCTTTAAACTTTCCTCGCGTGTGCTGAACTTCATTGTGATCGGTTAGTTTAAAATTGACCTGTCAAAATCAATTGATAGGGTTCACCTTTGTTGTTTTTGTTGTTGTTTTTTGTTTTTTTAAAGTTTCACTGTAAAGTAGAAAGAGAGTAATGTTTTAAGTAAAAGAAGCTTCAGTTTCATATTGTTTCCGTTTTTTAGATTTCTCCCAGTCTTGCTCTTGGACACTTTATTCTTGGAAACGTCTTCGGTGCTCAGGTATTTAATGCGTTATCTGTATATTCTTTAGTGCATTTTATTAATGGAAAAAAAAAAAGAATTTAGCCTGAATGCAAATTAGGATGGGAAGCATTTACTGTTTGGTTTTTCTATCTCTGAGCAAATCTTCATCCGAGAAAGGGTTCGTTTAATGTTGAAAAAGGTTGGAGACCTTTTTAAGGTTTAGACTATATCCTATATGTCAATAACAAGTGGATAAATTCTTCTGATCTTCATTTCTCTGTTAATGCGAGTGTTATCGAACCAAGCACTAGTAGCCCAACCAGCTGGAGCCGGTTTCCATACCAATACCCAGTATAAGTTTAGCCAGGCAGAATTAGTTATTTTATTCTCTAGGATCATTGTGCTGGAGAATTATACCGTGTATCTATCTAAAGACCCTTACTGCAGTGTTATATACAAATATTTTTCCGTCTTGCTTTAAGTCAACTTTACTCTCTTTCTTTTCCACCTCAGAGTGAAATACCTGAGGCTATTCAGCACTATCTGCTCGCCTTACAGCTCGAACCAGGCTTCACACCGGCTGTGGAGAGGTTAAAGATCATTCAGTGTGTGCTGTGGAAACAGCAAAAAGCTCTGGAAAAAGAAGCCGCTGACCTCAGGAAACTCCTTACCCCAAAGTGAACGCAGTCGGCAGCGGCCTCGAACTTTTTCTTTCAGCATTCGTAGTCTGAAAGACCGACTTTAATTTTCTAAAATAGTTAAACTTGCTGCGTGGATAAATGACAGAAATTATTTCTATAATGGGAAAAAAAGCATATTTGGCAATCGATGAATTATATATTGGGATGAAAATTTTCTAATTACAAAAATAAAAAGCTTAAAATTTCAAATAAACCCTAGCTGGCAAAACTTAAAAAATAAAACGTTCTTCTTTTGGAAAGATAGGCCAATATTTTGGAGCTTTTTATAAATGCAAAGTAACCGTTAACTTTTCCTCTGGCTTTTGCGATTCAATCTCTCACTGAATCTTGTAAGACAGTGTCTAGAGTCAGGAGTCCATTACATCTGTTTGTGTGTATATTTTCTTTTAGAAATAAATACCATTTTGAAAGCAATGTGTTCGTAGCTTTTAAAAGTAGTTTCTGTGGTCAAATGGTTCAGAATATATAAAGTACCGTTTCAAAACGGCCTCGTCACTCTTTGAATTTAAGCCTGTCACGATTACAGCTTTCTTCATCTTAACTTAATAATTTCATGTAGATATCGAAGTCAAATTAGACAAGTAAGTATTTTTACACAGAGAAAAGAGTAGTTTTGTTTGAGGAGACGCCGGTCATCTGACAAACTTTTCTATAGAATTCTTAAAAAGAAGTACAAAGTTATGAATTTCTCACCTCATTTATAGTTAATATATTATGACGGTAAATATTTTAGAAGGTTTAGATATGGCAGTCGTAAATACAAATGTGCTATTTTGAAATAAAGCGTCATGAACTTTATTGGAAAATAATGCTCTAGTGGTGTTTTAATTTTTTTTATTTTCACGGCTGATATCTGCTAAATCCAACAGTCAAAAGAAGCAAAGAGATACCCAAAGGAACAAAACAAACAATCGTAGCCGTCATTCGTCAGTGCTAATTTACTGACTTGCGAAGGTTGTGTGACTGTCATACTTCCCTTCCTTTGACGCATGCGTACTATGACTCAAAGGAGTGCGTGACGGAAGAGGATTACTCAATTCAACATGGCGAGTGTTTGGATGGTGTGGTTGGCTCTTGTTGTCGTGCAACTGGGATTTGGAGCTTATGGAGTTATCGTTTCCAAATTTGCTAAAGAGAACAAAGCAGATCCTCTAATCTTCAGCCTGATTCGCGATGCGGGATGTTTTCCTGTGCTTCTCTTGGCAGCTTTTGTCTCCGAGAAGAGGATTCAAATTCCTTCTCCTAGGTACGTACAAGGTGAAGGATATTAGGTTGATTTGAATTTAGTTGCTAACTGTAGAAATCAGTTTACCTTAAGGTGGTCTTGGTAACTGAAATTATCTTCAAAAAGCCTTAACAGCTTTTGTTTTAGTCCGATCTCCGTTCTAAATGAATCCAAATGGCCCTTAGATGCCACTGATCGCACTTTGATATTAGATTCGATTCACGAGAGAATATATCGCTTACCAGTTCGAGTAGATTGCGTAGTTGGCTTGATCTTTAAGCTTTCTCATTGCCGTTTGTTGTAAATTTCGAAAAAAACTATCATAATATCGTCACCTATTGCTGTAACTTTGAAATTGTTACTGGTACCAGTAAGCTGAGATCAATGGGATCTTGATTTAATATTCGCTATAGAATAAGAAGTCCGTAAAGGTTACAAATTTACAGTATTGTCCCAGTTTCAGTTTGCTCATTTGGCACTTTCCAATTTCATGTTTGTTTACAAAATGCGTGTTCAAACCCAGTTTCCATTTTGAAACCGCCCACAGCGATCAAGAAAACAAATATTCATACCTATTCGCTGTAACACTCTCAAAAGGAAACTGTGTTTCTTGTGGACCAAAGTAATGATAAATTCATCTCAAAAATTCGTGGATTTGAAGATAAAGAGCTATTATTCTTAACAAAAATACAAAAGCCGAAGAAACTTTTATTGAAGGAACTGTAGGTGCATCTCCCCTTCCCCCACATCCGATTGTTTTGAAGTAGCCCGCGAGCAAGCTCTGCTGCGGCAAGAAAGCCGAAGAGCGATGCAAGCGTGCAAGAGATCTGCGAAGGGCGCGAATGTTTGATGGCACAAAAATGAGTGCCTGCGAGGACGCTTTTGTTTCCCGATTCCGGCGTCTTTTTTAGTGCCAGGCCCCTTGCAAACTTCTCGCACGCTTCATTCGCTCTCAGGCTTTAAATCTCGCGGGCTTTGTCGCTGGTGCCATAGAGGGGATGAAAACCCGTCTACAGGATGTTTCGAAGAGGCTCTGAGTGAGGGCGACTCTTAAGTGAATTTCTTTCTCTACAGGGAACTTCCCCTTTTCATCGTTCTAGGTTTAACAGGAATGTTTGGTAATCAACTATTGTACCTTCTTGGTATTTATTACACTAACGCGAACATAGCGTCCATTTTCCAACCAGCAATCCCCGTGTGGACAGCATTACTTGCTATCATAGTGCGCATTGAGCCGTTTCCAGACTTCCGTACTTTGCGCGGCTGGGCCAAGTCTCTGGGAATTCTCTTAGCTGCTGTCGGAGCCATAGTTATGACAGTGGAAAAAAAAACTGGTCAAGCATCAGACCATAGTGGATCATCCTCGTCTGACAGCGTCAATTTTGTGGGGTATATATTCCTCCTCGGGAATACTTTGTCCATGGCTGTGTATATCCTCCTTCAGAAGAAGTTTATCTTTGACAAAGAGGACTCTTGTTGGAAAACGAAACCTGTGACAGTCACTGCGTGGAGTTATCTCTTCGGTGCAATGTTTATGGCTCTCGCCTCGCTTTATTACGTCAACAAGCCGGAAAAGTTTACGTATTTCCCTCAAGAGGAAGTTTACCCAATTCTGTACGCAATATTCATCGCCTCAGGTCTATGTTATCTTTTAATATCCTGGTGTAACATGCAGATATCTGCGTCGCTCGTGACAGCCACATGGCCACTTCAGGTTTTGTTCTGCGCCATTTTGTCTTACTTTGTGCTGGGCGAGGTGCTGAAAACTTTGGAATACGTTGGAGGTGTGCTTATTGTTATAGGCCTCATGGCAGTCGTTTGGTCAAATTTTTCAGAAGAAAAAATGAAAAGCGAACAGGAAGAAGACTTGAACAATTCTTATGGCTACGTTAAAGTATCACAATATGATAACTTTGTTGCAGAAGGTTCAAGAAAGAGAAAAGAAGTAAATTAGACACTAATTAATTCTGACAAAATAACGTCATCTGATCTAAAATATTCTTCGTTTTATCTAATATTGCAGCGTTGTGCCATAAGTTGGTCTGTACTTATAACTGCCAGGGTATTTAAGAAAATATTTAGGAAGTCTCAAAACTTATGAATTTCTCACCTAATCATAAAACTTATAATTTCCTCGATTGTGATTTGTTTAAAAAAACTCTTATTTTCCACTTATTGACTTGTCAAGGTGTTACCAAATCAACCAATCACAACCTTGGTTTCAATCACCATAGAAAAACAGTGTACAGACTCTTAAATTGGGGCTTTTTTTTTCTCTCTTTTTTAATTCCATTTCTTTTATAACTTGACTATATTCTTCTTCACTCTGAAAATTGTAATTTTTTTGATTAATTGGTAATAAGACTTCATGTCGTCCAATTCGGTCTGTAATCATACTTGTGATAAACAAATCGGACTCCCGCCGCGCGGTCGTCCGATTGTGTTATCACTCGTACGATGACAGACCGAATTGGACTCCACTCAGTCCTATAACCATTACATATTCATAGATGATGTATTTTGTTAACGTATATTTCAGTAATATTAATCGTAGTGGTAAACCTTCGCAAGATTTTGGCTTCAGGGTTTGAAGGCCAAAACCCAAGGAGAAAACTCAGCAGCACACGGGTATGTGTTTCTGTGAGAATGGATACAAGAAGAGAGATGAATAGATGGACTAATAGGTAAATTGATACACATATAGGCGTATCTCGATTTTCAGATTATTTTAGCCAGGCACGCAAGGTTGTATCGAGTGTTTTGTACCACGCGCAAAGTCCCCAGCCTTACTGTTGTCAACATCGCACCTCTAAAGCCAACATTGCGCTTTGCGGTTATGTGATCCATACAGAGCATTCTTTTATTGTTCGATTTATTGTCCTACAATTTAATCACATTTTCCGTACTTTTCAAAGTTGTTGAACTTAATTATGGCCCAACTAGGACTCAACGCACCTATGTTTAGTTTTTATCTGAAAATTGTTCCTCACTTTCCAGAATCATCACTGATGTTGTGTACAAGATGAATATGAAAAAAAATCGATATTTTTATGGGGTTGTCATGTTAAGTAAGGTCTCTAATTGCATTAATTATTTTTATTTTTAGCATCTGATATTTTTCTTGCAATGTCAACCCCAAATCACACACTAATATAAGGCCACGAAAATAAAGGAAATGATCACCAACTAAAGAAGCTCTTGATTGTAAGCAAATTCTCCCTGTCAGTACCTTAGGAAATGTATAGAGAACAGTATGGAGAATATGCATACTGATGTTAAGGCACAAAGGGTGAACGATGCGCAGAACGAGAATCTATGGATCTCCAATCGTTTATCTTCCATTGTGCCAGAGAAAAAGCTGAGCAAATCACATTTGACTAAGAAAACAATCCTTAGAAGGTGCGTATGGAGGAAGGAATCCCTTGGCCTTCAACTTTCCTCACTCAGTCATTTCTTCGAAGAACAGCTGGAGTTATAACCCTAGCCTAGCCTCTACTGGATTCAAGATAGATAGAACTGAAGTGATTTACAGAGCTAAATGTCTCTAACGTGTATAACTACTAAACCTAATCTCTTGTTCACGTGAACATCTGGACCAGACAAAACAAATGATCTCAAGAGGAAGTTGTCTTAAAAACTCAATTGACACTTCTGCTCTCTCCAAATATGCCCTCTGGTATCGAACATATGGCAGGCACGTGCAAGGTCATTAGTTTCTCAAGGTTGACAATTGACGAAAACAATTAGGCAGTCGTCATTTACTGACGCCTGAGGGAGGAGGTTGAGGATTCAGTGCAGGGGGAGGGGGGGTTACGTGATTTTCAAGGAAATCGACAACAGAGTTTAAAGGAAGAAATATAGAAAACTAACTGCCAATTACCTACCGTTGAGGGGAGGGAGGGGATCATAAGAAGGTTATATAGCCTTATGGGGGGATCAGATAAATTTAATCATTACACAACCAAGATCTTCCGACCCCCTCTCCCCTTGGTGATCAATAACGAGGAGTCGATAAGTGCCATTTGCTTCAATTCCGACATCTGTTAACTCCAACCGTCCAAAGATGATGGAAGATGCCAAAGGAACAAATCAAATTATTATCGTCGGTAGCCCTCTAAATGAAACTTTGCTGTTATGTGAAATCTAAGTTACGATATTTGTAGGATTCTCACACTTGCTTTATGAGTGCGTGTATCTTGTAACTCGCAGTGCATGACGGATGAGGATTATTTAGTTCAAAAGTTCGAGGGTAACAACAAAATAATTGGACTCTAATCATTCATTTTTCTCGGACACTTTTTTTTTAATCATTCAGAATTCATTTGGTATCCTGAGATTAGTTTAAGTAATTTTTGTGTTGTTTACACACAATCAGTTCCCGCAGAATGTGTACCACTTTACCGAGTGGGAGGAGTGGCCAGTGGATGGGGAAAAGAGTTGGTTCGAAGTCATGATGTGCGGACTGATTGCAGCGAAGTATTTTTTTCTTCCAGCCCGACGAAACTCAGTCAAAAGGCATAGTGTCATTTTTTCTTTCTTCCTTTCTCTCTTTCTTTTTTTCTTTCAGCTCGCATCTCGCAGGGGCTCAAGGCTTTTTTTCAGCCTTTCCCGCACCATCACGTGTATCGATCATTTTCTTTTTTAGTCTAATAAGAGCGCAAAGGGGGCTGAAGAGGTCAGATGACAACTGAATCAATTATCAGGCAACTCGATAGGGTAAAAACAAACCAAACAAACAGAAACTTCTGCTTGTCAATCACTAATGCCAAGATTTTTCTGCTTGCTTCTGCTTGGACCCCTGATTTTCGATGGTGTCATTTCTAGGATACTTTGGCAAGTAAACACCAACAAGCTTATGCTTGTCCGTTTTTCATTTATTCATGCCATGAAACTTCTGCCTGCAAACTGTTGATATCAGAGGTGAAATCTCAGCGCAGGCACTACAGAAATTAAAATTTTTAATCGTTCTCGGCTTAACGGGAATGTTTGGTAGTCAACTATTGTACCCCTGGGTATCTACTACACGAACGCGAACATAGCGTCCATATTTCAAAATTTAATCCCGGTGTGGACAACATTACTTGCTTTCTTAGCACGCATTGAGCCGTTTCCAGACTTCCGTACTTTGCGCGGCTGGGCCAAGTCCTTGGGGATTCTTTTAGCTGCGATTGAAGCTGTACTACTTTTACTGTGAGAAAAGAATCTGACTAAGCATCGCAGCACAATGGATCAAACTTTTCTGTACGCCGCTTTGTGAGGTACATAATTCTCCTGGGAAGTACTATAACCACGGCGCTGTACATCTTCCTTCAGAAGAAGTTTATCTTTGACAAAGAGGACTCTTACTGAAAAAAAAAACCTGTTGCAGTCACTGCGTGGAGCTATATGTTCGGTGCGGTGTTTTTCGCCCTCGCATCGCTTTGTAGCATTAAGAAGCCAGAAAAATTTACGCATTTTCCTATAGAGGAGGTCTATCGTACGCAATATTCAACACCTCTGGGTTGTGTTATATCTTTATTTCTTGGTGTAACTTGCAGATATCAGCCTCACTCGTAACGGCCACATGGCCTCTTCAAATTTAGAGGAGGTCTATCCAACTACGTACGCAATATTCAACACCTCTGGGTTGTGTTATATCTTTATTTCTTGGTGTAACTTGCAGATATCAGCCTCACTCGTAACGGCCACATGGCCTCTTCAAATTTTTTTTCTGTTTCATTTTTTCGTACTTGATGTTAGGTGAGGTGCTGAAAGCTCTTGAGTTTATTGGGGGTGTGACCATCATTTTAGGCCTAGCGGTAGTGTTCTGGTTGAGTCTTACAGAAGAAAAAACAGGGTCAAATACTAATTTTACCTAACAAAAACGAAGCCATGTGATCTTCCGTCTAACAAGAAACGCTTTATCTAATATTGCAATTTTGTGCTATTACATTCGGATCTTCTGCCTAATTCGAGATGCAAGATGTCTTCCTATGCTTTTCTCGACTGCTTTCGACTCTGAGAGGAGAATCCAAATTCCTTCATTGAGGTTGGGTAAGAATTCAAAAGAATTTAAGTGCTACTATGATCAAATTTTATTTGACAAGTTTCATATACTACCTTCTCCTACAACATGCATACAGTTCTTGGATAAAAAAGACAATGGCCAAAAACAGATTGCCTTTAGGACAACAGCTTTGTTTTATAATGGAAAGGGGTTATACGACCCTTCCCCACGCGATAGATAATCATTGATTTCTCGTATGAGAAAAATTGCTCGATGTGTTACAATCATTTCTCTAATAACAATTGAACTAATTTTGAAAATATCATATTCATATTGAAATAGTAAAACGAAGAAATGGAAAGGGAGGAGACTTTTTATGCACCATTCACAGCATCAAAATCATACTTTCAGTTAAACCAGTTTAAACTGGATGAAAATCAGCAATGGACGAATTGAAAGACTAATTTTACAAAGGGTTCACGTAGTCACTACCTTCTATTGTCATTGGGCTAAATTTGAACTCAACAAACGTCAGTATAAGCAGCTTCTATCAAGAACTGAAACAATTTCATGTCACTAGAGTCCTTGCCATAAAATTATCTCTAACGTTTGAACATAGAATCTTTTTCCTTTGCCCTTTTACTCCCTAATATCAGTATGTATATTCTCCATACTGTTTTCTACACATTTCCTATGATTCTTACAAGGAGAATTTGTCTAATGATCAGGAGCGTCTTGAGTTCGTGATCGCTTCCTTTATTCTCTTCTCGTGACCTTGATATAATGTTTGATTCAGGGGTAATATTGTAAGGAGAAATAAGATGCTTATCAACAGGGACCGCGCAGAGGGAGGGCTAGGGAGGCTTTAGTGTCCCCCCCCATTTTTGCAAAAATACTCCCCCCCCCACTCAAAAACTTGCTGCGCGGTCCCTGATCAAGGGTTCATCATTTCAGTTACTGCGTGCGCTCTGCAGATTAACGAAAACTTTCGAGATTGGCCCATAACCGATTTATTTAGTGCTTTCTCTTACGCCCGTGACTATGAAATAACATCGCTTATTTTTATGTCGATATAATCTTCATGGGCGTGGTCATGATTACAAATCACCATTGTTGTTGTTTTTTTTTATCAATTATTAAGTATATATATTTGTATGTCACCGGGTCGCATTTTACTTACAAACCAATAAAATAAGTCTTGAGATTCTTATAACCTCTTATCGATAATATCCTACGATTAAAGTTTTAATTTGCGCATGGTTGTTATTTACTAACGCAAACAATACCAATGACGACGACAAATCTGGATAGTAACATAAATGACAAAGGCTAAGTATTTGTCTACCACTTAGAGAGACATTTAAAGGGTACCACAAAACTTAAAATACTCTCGATAGTTTCGAAGCATACTTTGTCGTTTAGTATCGTTACGTTAATATTACTCTTATTAATGCGTCATACCCTGTTAAAAACAGCATTTACATTCTGTCCAAATCCCGACAACGAAGACAACGAGGGCGTGGCAAAACACTAGATCTAAAAGGGGCAACAATAGCTTAGCACGTGCGTTTGAAAACTTTGTACATATCTTAACCGCGAAATCCTAACTAAAAGTCTTACTCAGCGCTGCCTTCCTGACTGATAAAGGTCCCTTTTGCTTATGTCGTGTTGGACAATTCTTCTGAAAAAAGATATTTTCTTTACTTGTAAGGTTTAAGATTCAACTTAGCCTCTACTTTCTTTTCGACGAAGGAATAAAACTCTGGGAGTTTGTTCTTTGCGTTTTTGGGCAAATAAAAAAACTTGTGAGGATGAACCATGATGTCAAGAATTTGCGTGATGAGACTCTCGTCCTGAGGAAAAAAAAAAAAAAAAAAAAAAAATGAACATCCGACAAAGACCACATTGTTATTTCAACAGTTCAAGCATTTTTTAGGGAGGAAACCAGATGATGCGTGTAGAAATCTTGGTTTTTGAGGTTGCTACGTATACGGAGAGCTCCGATGCAACCTCGTCTAACCTCGTCAAGTACGAACAGGGAGTAGCATTTTATCGCTATGAGAGTCGGGGTAAGCTCCGGGTGGATTGGCCACTAGGCTTGATTACGGACTGAACTTTTACCCACGTGACACCATCAGAAATTGAGCTGAAAACTATAACAATGCTTTTTAGCAGCCACGGCTTTCCGCGGACATGACTTACCTGTAATATTTTGCGAAGACTGCTGTTTCCATATAACTTGCCGTCTTGAACAATAGACTTCACCAAAGATCTGTATTTCTCTACCAAAGAAAAATGAAAACGCACTGTTAGAATAAGTTACCGCCAAAAGCGTATAAATGACATGTGAAAGGAATATTCCTTGAAATCATTTGAAACAATCTCAAGCTCCTGAAATATCATCATTTCGAAATGTACTTCGTTCTACAGTGCCGTTAACCCTTTAACTCTCAGATCAAATTTGTAATTCTCCTTACTGTCAACCATACAATTCTTATAATGCTAGTTCCGAGAATTTAGTATTGAATCAACTTATTGTCCCCAAATTGATAGTTCTCTTCATTCTCATCACTTATCTGATTGATATTTTATTAATATTGTAAGGAGAAATTCTGTCTTGGTCACTCATGGAATTTAAAGGGTTGAAGTAATCAATAAGTGACGCTTTCAGTTCCTAGGACTCCCGAGGGGAAAAGTACAGACAACAGTAGCAGCCCTGAGACGTCCGAGGATCCAAAATGAAGACGCAAAAAAATTCACATTTTAACAAAAATGCAGACGATAATTTTTCGTGCATTTTACACTTAATGCTTACTTCCTATTTGCGTCGAACAATTTTGCATTTACACTGTGCCTTCAACTTCTAAAAGACATTTCGTTCAGCAATAAAAGAAACGATTTGTCGTCTGCACCCTTCCTAACAACATTTACAAAATTATATCAAGAAGTTATTACGATTTAGAGCGAATGGCACTTTTTCCCGCTCGAAAAATTTGCAAGGCCAAGAAAGAATTATTCGTAATTAAAAGATGATGATAGAGTAGTTTCCAATTGACCAACAAAAAGTAATCACAAAAGTTTATCATAACGAAGGGGTGACATCATCATTAGCCAATGAGCACTCATAGGAAAAATAAGAAAAGGATGAAAAACGCAGGAAAACAAGGGCGGCCAATTCACGACTGGTTTTCGTATTGTGTCTGATTGGTTAAGAAGATGGCGAGATGGACCAATCACAGACCAAAATAATGCAAAATCAAAACAAACTCTGATTACTTTCGAAACTAAATTAAAAATTGCTCGAAAATGGACAAAAAAAACAAAAAAACATAACAAACCAAAGACCAAAAACGAAAACAATGCTTGTCTCATAAAGAAAACCATCTACCTTGAAATGTAACGTAGAAAATCTTAAACCCTTCGGCCATTTCGTTGGTGCTTTTGGAGGTAAACTTGACATAGAGATCCTTGCTTCTCGAGATAAAAGCCACAGGGTTATCATAAGACTCGCATGCGTAGTAGGTAGTCTTTGAAAATGGGCTGGCATTTTTGCGCATGATTAGATGATCTGAGCAATCCGTGGTCAGCGGTAATGATATGTTTGGTATAAGTAGAAGTAAGCCTCGACCTTCGGGACATCGTATGTTCCAGACACACTCGATCCCTTTGGGGTAGGGATCGGGGTGGTTTGGTGATGTGATTACTCCTGACATCGATGATAAATTTCCACCACAAATTGTATCTAAAAATTAACAATAAGTTCGTTAGTTAATTGATAAATTACCTAGTAAGATAATCTCGTGGACTGATTTCAAATTTTTCAAAACCTCATCTCCAGTTATTTTGGGAAAGAACTCTATCATGAATGCCAATATTTTAAGCAGATCTGTGTGACTTTCAGTCAATGATAAGTAAACACTTTATAGAAAGAGTAAGTAAGGGGCTAGCCATTTTCTATCGCCTGTTTTTTTTCGGAGGGGGGAGTGGAAGATTTATTGGGGAACACATGGTTTTATGGGGGGTGGAGAGGGATCAGCCGTCGCCAACAGAGTATTAAGAGGTGACTATAGAAAATTGATTGCCAATTAACTGCCAGTAAGAGAGCCATTTTTATCGCCCGGTTGGGGGTGGGGAGTGTAGGACTCACTGTGGACCACATGGTTTTCAGGGGGCTGAAGGGGAGATCAGTCGTCGCCTCTGGCAATAAGTGATAACCGGTCCGTGGTTGCATGTATGCCATCTAAAGGTGATATCACTGTACCAAGTGGAGAGCACTCCACTCTTCCCTCCCTCTTTACTTAATTATGGCATTTTTAAAATAAATCTTACTTTGTATATTAAACTACATGCGGATGGTTTCATGGATATTAAAAGATCTCCAGATTCATTGTTATAAAGAAGCTCTAAAAATCCATCTCGTTCAAACGACACTGTGTTTCCCTTCAGAATTCCTTTACCCTCTGGAGTTTATAAGCATCACATTTACCTATACACTGTGAGATATCGCTAGCTCCTGCATACAGTGTCGTCTTGTTGTCAGGGCAACGGAAACAAAAGTTCTCTGATCTGTTAGGTTGGTAGGATCCTCTTGAGCAGTTCATACATTTGCGCAGGTAAATGTCATAGTACTTTCCAGGCTGACAGCGAGCTGCAAAAATGAGCAGGGGTAAAAAAATTATTTCCGAGTCAAATGCATCTCAACTCAGCTGGTATAGCTTTAAAGTAAAACGTTGGAGCCATTTTCAATTGAGTGGCGAAAGTAATCCGGGGTTACTCTGTTTTTGTTCCACTTTGTTTTGTGATTGGCTCAAAAAAAACTCGCGTGACTTACTCAACGTACCAATCAGATTCAAAACTAAAGCTAATCGCGACTTGGTCGCTCGCGTTCTCTCCCGCTTTAATTTTTTTTTTTCGTTTTTAGTTCTCATAGACTCCTCGGGATATTTCCTTCCTATGTTTGGCTGTTTTGATCGCTTTGGTTTTGGTTTGACAACGCTTGATTGAAAAGGGCTCTACTTGAGTTTCAGTGAAGTCTTGTTTTATATGGATTACTCAATCAAGCACAGATATTGTGCCCTTCGCTTCCCTTGTTTGTTATTCAAGTCGTTACTTTTATTTGTGGTTGAGCGTGAGCGAGACTATGATTCCCCTTTTATTCCTTAAGGATGCTCATATCACATATGAAAATGTTTTAGCGTTGCAGGTGATAATTTTTGGCTCAGTATTTTCATCTCTAAAATCATAGGGACTTAAAGTTGTTACGAGTCAGTGGATCAATGTCAGTTCCCCCAACCCAACGACAGCTAACTGATAACAAGTTAGGATTAATGTTGGGTTAGGGGAGGGGTAGGTAGGTCGGTAGGTTGGTGCGTAGTTGCTTAGATACAAACATTGGTTCGAGCTAGTTAATCATATTGCACACCTTGCCGCTTAAATTTTTTCCTTGCTGTCTTGTAGCACTGATCACCCTCTTCCTTCCCTTTTTCTTCTTTCTCCTTCTCTTCCCTCTCTTTTGAAATTCGCAGAGTATTTCTAGCGAAAGTAAAAGTCTTGTCATACAGCGTCACGTTTAATTTGTAGCCATTAGTGAGCCCTCGAAGCTCGGCGATCAGTTTTTGTAATCTGTCCTCCATCTGACATCGCGCGCATGTGATATTACAAAATTTCGAAGGTGAGATCACATTTTGATGAAGTTCGATGTCAAAATATACGGACACCACAAGACGATCCCCATCCTTTGGACGGCAACGCAAAAACGGCTTGTAAATCTTGCAGGGAAAATTACAAGCATCCAGACTCAAAAGCTTTGTATGAAATTTGCTAACAATGTGATCTTTGATATCCTTCGATTTGCAGGGCAAGGCCTCCGCCATCTTGATTCTTATTCTCTTTCTGACTTCCTCTGTGGCTATGGAAAGAAAAAAAACTCTGTTTTAGCAGAAATACTCTCTCTTCTCTTTCAGTATAAGGATTTATACCGAGGTATTCCTCTGGATGTGGGTGACGTAGTGCTCTTATGGTTAGTGCGTTGGACTCCGGGTAGAGAAGTCTGGGGAGTAGTGATGCTCGTAATCTCTTCATGCTGATGAAACTGGGATGAATAGCTCCGGCCGAGTGGGCCCCCTCGAGTGCAGACTCAGCCTTATACCTCAGGATTCGCAAGAGGGAAAATAATTTGAAAGAGGAAAGTAGATGAAGGAACAACTCATAAGGATCTCAGACAATAATCATTGGATAATTATTTATTCCGCAGCTTACCCAGACAATCTCTTTTGTTCGGGTGTAAGTGAAAGCCCTCATTACAGCTGCATGAAGCGTGTCCGTTCGAATTCCGCCGGCAAAGGTGCTGACAATCTCCATTGTTTGCAGAACATGGATCAAACTCTGAACACAAAGAAATATAAAATTTAAATTTAAAACTTTTGTGACAAAATGTTTCTTTTGAGTCAGTAAAATTATGTTTCGACAGAAACTATGATGAATAGTGGCAACACGAAAAGAGGTAAAGCATCTTCAGTTTCAATTCCTATACAAATTAACGTTGATGACAGTTGAATTATATTATAAGTAGAGAACAGTTTTAACTATGATGAATAGTGGCAACAAGAAATATCAAGACCCTAAAGAAATATAGATTGCAATACTTTGTACCTTCTTCCAAACCAGTAACCTTTATTTAGTAATCTTACAAAATTACCTCAGGAAACTTTTGTTCAACTTGAAATTTAGTTGGAAATGATTAAAAAGACGTTTTCGATCGCCATTTTGCAGGTTTTCTCTTCCCTGCAATGTTTACCCACCTAAACGTTCCTGTCCGCAAAAAGACTGGGAACTAGAGATCAGGGTTCAAAGAAAATGTTGGCCGGATCGATGATTTCGCTAAAAAGTTTTTGGCTTTTCTCCTTCTGCCTACAAACGTTTTTAGTCCCTGAAACGTGATTTCTATTTTAAATACAGGCGATGTTGGGTCGTCCTTGGGAGTGTTTCGGGCGCTGAATTTGTGATTTTTCCCACGGAATGGGATAGTTGAAACATATTTATGGAGATGAGCTTTACACATTTTAGAAAGACTGAACTGAATTTTAAGGAGGAAAGAGGGGCAATCATGGATTAAAGAAGGATCTTTCAGAAATTAAGCTTACCTAGATATATTTATCATTAGCCCTTCGTCAATCGCTCTGCCAAAGGGCTAACGCTCGAAACGTCAGCCTTTTAACTCTTTATGGTGACCAATTTACGTTTTTAACTCAGTTGTTACCACTAAATTACCTGCTATACTCTCCCACTGACGCAGCACCACAGTTTCTTTAGAAACTTACCCCCTTTATTCATTAGCCATTATAGGTTAGGGAACCATTATGCCATGCGCGCGCATGAAGACGAGTTAAACCGGAAGTGTTTTACACATTGTAACATTCTGTTTGTTCTTACAAAGTAAGTTGGGAAGATTTATCCATATTTCGGGGCGTTTTTGTTAAAATAATTATTCCACTCTCGCTTATAGGATATAAGATGATTATAGCCTGCTCGGCCCATCTCACATCCAACGTGCACTCGTGGAATATCATGGACGTCTTTATTACCCTAGAAAGCCTCAGATGCGAAGCATACAAATTCTAAACTTCACTACAGTCGCATATTAATGCATTTATAATATTTCTGCGAAGAATAACATTGCTTTTCTCTTAATACTAAGAATATTTTTACCTTTACATTTCCGCCCGTCGCCAAGGTAACCCGGCTTACAGATGCATTTGAATAATGAACGCTTGATTGGGTGGCATTCAGCAAATTTATGGCAATCATGATTGCCGGTCGCACAAGGTGAATCTGCAGCAGGAAAAAAAGCAGAATTGTTACTAGGAAAGTCTTCGTCGATTCAATTTTTTAACAAACAAAACTCAATTAGGATTTTGGCCAATGGCCGCGAGCCACATGACTCCAACTTTGAAATTACGGAATACTAAGTTGAAGCAAATGCATGCGTGTGTGCGCGCGTATGGGGAAACAGACCATGTTGAAGGGAAGATACGAACGCATATGTTCTTCTTTTTCAAACAAAGCAAAGTGTCTCACTAAGGTTGTCGTTAGGACGAAGTGAAGAGGTCATTAAAGTCAGACAGACTGACAAACACATTGTGCTCTGTACACTAAAATACTGTAATTTCAATCCCTTGTTCTTAGCTTGTGCTTACTTGAAGTGCTACGCCTCCATTATAACTTGGATTTTGTTGAGTGTATCGCACTTAGAGGTGAAAAGTGCAACTACTATTGAAAATTGAGCGGAGAGTTGGCTGACTCAATTTCTACAACTAACATGCTCCAATCACCTGCAAAAATGGGCAACATTTGTGAAATCTGACTCTAATCCTTTACATTTATTCCATTTACTCTGATGTCTCAAGTTTTTTCATTGTAGTTTTGATTGTCACATGGATAGCTATTCACTTATGTCAGTGGAGTGAAAATTAACTGATGTCATTGGGAGTGATAAAACGACAAGTCAGCTTTCTTAGTACCTCAAGCGCTTATTCGTTTAGTCTGGACACCGGCGCTGGGTTTAGACCTCATTGGCGGGTGCTCAGAAAGAAGCCTTTCCAAACGCCAAAATAAAGAGGCTTTCGCTATCAAATCGACAACGAACCGATGTTATCTACTAAACTCGAGCCAGACGACACGAAAAGATTCCTTACTACGAGGAAACGTCGCGTGAGCGTTGGCGTTTGTCTGATCATGATGTTAAGTCCTGATTAAGCAAACTGTCCTTTTAAACCGTCCGATAACTCGAACCGAAGGCCTGTAATTTAACTCCCGATTTCTCAAACCATTGGAAACACAAAACGCTCCACTTCAGAGAAGTTTTGATTTTAAGTAGAGCCACTTCAACTTTAGTAATCTTTGTGGTACTCTTAGAGAAGGGAGCAGTTTCGTAAGGCGAGGATATTTTTTTTGATAAGAGTTAAAACGCAGATAACTGTTGGACCGTTGTACCGCCCAGTGTGTTCGTTCCCCTTTGTTGCGCCGTTTTGGAATTTATCCCTAGCCTAAGGCACGCTTTGTCTGAAATCAAAAATCTTTATCTTCGGAGTGAAAAGGGAGTCACGGTCGCAGCGGCACTAATGAGTTTTGAATCCTGTTTTATGTTCTAAATGTTGGTTTTTTACTATTCATCGATACCACGAACTGCCAATTTTTCGAGCCTGTTGCTTTAAGATATCCACCATCACCACATTTAGATGATGTTCAGAGGGAAGTCAGTTAGCTTTTAACTTGTTAAGGCATCAAATAAATTGAAAATTCAGTTCGCACGTGAACTGAATACTAATTTGAATATGGTCGGTTGCCAAACTATTCTGATCAATCTACCCAGAGATGTCTTTGATGTCTTTGAAGAATGAAGTCTTTGAAGAATGAAGGTACCTCGTATTACAAATGTCTTACTTCAAACCGATCGGTGATGCAGATGAACCATCAAGGAAAAAGCAAATGATCTAAGCATTTATTTTTCAACTTCTGAGCGTTAACCCCCACGCTTTTTCAGTCATACAACCTTCACGGTATTTCTAGTTTTACTTTTAACACTGGATTTCACGGAGAAATCAATTTTTATCGTTTTCCAGTTTCATTCACCATCCGCCAGTGTATGTCAAGTGTTATTCAGTCTTACCGGCGCAACAATGCTAGCGCTGTTGAGACATAAGCAAGATTAAGTATCTCATCTCTGCCATAAGGTAACAGGCATTTAAGCAGTGATAAAGTTGATACAGCATTAAATGATAAAGCGACTTCATTACATTCCGCGCGGGTGGCGAATGAATCATAAAATAAGCACGCGTCGCATGTTAATTAATGAGGTCGTGATAATTCGCATGAGGCGCGCAATGTTCTGCGCATTTTCACTCTTCTCTATTTCCCTGTACTTTTCAGGTATCTAGTGTCTCAAAACAACTGAGAGCATAAAATCCTGTAAGTGTCTCGGGAGCTCGAGTTTGATCTTGACATCAAATAAAACTTGTTTTCTCTGGTAACCTTCCGGACTAAGCTGTGTATTTCAGGCCCTAAGGTGTCTAACCTACCAAAAGTTTGACGTAGACATATCATGTTTTTTCGTCTTGCCACGGGCTTGAGACGAAGATAGAACTCCGAGTCCCTATCAGAAATAAACAAACCTCTGACCCTCGCGTTCCGTACCCCCATGCTCTACCTCTGAGTCACAGAGACACAATGCGATGAGCTAGTTTATGTGTATCATAAACAATGATAGATCATTCGACTTTTTTTTTCCAACAGAATAAAAACAACATTGCAAACGTCTTAAGCAAGTGGCTACAGGATCCATTGAAATGTATAATTTTTATAATTTTCAGAACACTCTAAAATCATCTTACACGTCCAATGGATCATTTCCATTCTTTATTTATTTTTTATCACCACAATCATTTCGGCTTCGTAGGTCAAGTGTAACATTTTATTTCTAGCTGTAGGTTTTATTGGGTTTAAAAACTTATTGACTTTAAAAAGCACTGAGATACCTATGATTTGAAAGGGAAGAACACTCGAAGTTTAAAATTTCTTCCAAACCTTGTCTCCTTTCTGCTCAGTTTGCTCGCGTTTCAAGTCAAGTATGTATCCTTTCAAATTTACGCCCAAGTGTATATGGACAGTGTCCTTGGATTTCCTCGTTAAGTTTGAAAAGACTTAACATAAAACAACTTTCAAAAGTCCCACAAAGAGTAGTCTAACATCTCTCTAAAGATCATTTTTTTGCTCTTTTTGTCATGGAGTTTATGCCGATGTATGAACTAACTTTCTTTATGAATTCTTTCCAAATTATGTGATCTGTGTATTCGGTTGACGAATCGGTATGCTCGTAACTATCTCGAAAGATGCTATCCATGTTATAAGTAAATATCTCCCGTGAGTGTCTTTTTGTAGATTCTCATTAAAACGGTAGACCGTCTTCTTCATATTGGCCTTTCAGAATGGACCCATGATTATAAACCAGAGGAGCCTTTAAGTTTTTACCACATCAATGCCTTCAAAGAATCACATGAAACTGAGAGCAGGATGTCATCGAACTATTAATATCTTGAGATGAAAAATGGACGGAAACGGGAATAACAAAGCACTTGAAAAATGACATCAAAGGAATGGTAAATAAAGTCAAGATAGATTCCTTCGCTGACCTTATCCGAGGAAGACTCCAAGAATTACGCAAAATGCAACTTAAACGAGAAAAAAAAACAAAAGAAAAAAATTTGTCATGTAAATCTCTTCCGATTTCCTCTACGCAAACAGCTTAATAATTGGGATTAAAAATTTCATCGTGATATAACTGCGGTATGAAGATTTAATATAGTTGGGTAGCTATCAGTACATGGTGATGTCAGAATGAACTTTGAAAATTGTTGTGTGTTTGTTGTGTAATGAAGAGTAATCACTTTACCAAGTTGGAATGTGCCGTAGTCTGCTTTCTGTCAAGCTGACATGAAATCTGGGAAAATGATTAGTAAGGTAAACTTACAGTGCGTCTTAGTTTTCGATACCGCTAAGTAGAACATAATGGCAAAGAAAATAACCATTTTAAAATGTAATTTTGTCTCTGTATTGGATTTCCTGGGTACGAAATGTAATAATGAAGACTTTTATTTTCAGATTAGAGTCCCGAACAAAACTTCACCGGTTAAAACGCGAAATGGGTCCTTACAATGAAACTGTTGGTAAATTCTTGATCACGAGAGGCTTGTCCTTGGTGGAATTCAAAGGGCCAGTTTTAATTTGTATATCTAACACAGTATTGATTTCTTTCTCCTTGTCACCAAGTGGGGTTTTAATATGCTATTTTTGCAGGCGGTTTCTTTTGGCAAATTCTGTCGGAAATTTCTCGCCAAAAACGTGTTTTCTGCCGGAAGTTGTTGTTCAGATGAGGGACGGCCTCTTTTGTGGAAAAACTATGGAACTGTCTCAATGTGTTATCATTTCAAGTTTTAGCATCCTAAATATGTAAGTGGTCACTAAAGTTGGAGTGATATTTAAGCGACATGGATTTGTCTGGAGGCAGAAATAGCTTGTAATGCCGACCAAAAAACAGCGTGAGGACGAGAAACTTTGCGTGAGGCAAGGTCACAGAACATTTAGTGAAATTTTTTTCCCGGTCATAAATGGTGCAAAAATGTAATAGATCAAAATTAATAGAAGGAAAAAAATCGATTCTTTCTTTTAGCACGCGCTGAGAGCAATTCGTCAAACAAACGTTGTGTGAACAACAAAATATTTTCAGTGCTGGCTGGACAAGTATGCAATCAAAAGCCAACAGAGTGCGATAAATAAAACAGTATAACGCTGGAACTATCTTAATAACACATCACCCTCAGACATCTGGGTTTGAGCAAAATGGCAAAGTTCATCTGCGGGATTCAATTCAAACGTTGAAAACTTTGAGTGGAGGGCTGCACGCTTATCAATCGCTACAAATTAACACGTCCTTGCTAATTTAAATTCCTCCCACGCAAAACATATTCCTCCTATCCGCGAAACGTTTTGGTAAAGTAAACAAAGAAATGAGCAATTTACCGATAATCCACACTCAGCGGACAACCCAAAACATCTTCATATTGAGCTCGTTGCGCGCGTCTTACCACCTGAAATAAAATGTTAAAAATGGCGTCATCTTTATCTTACCTTTGCCCAAATCCCGCTTGAATGTGATGCGAACCCTACAAAGACCTGATCCGTTGTGAAAATTCCCGTAGGGAACTCGGTTGAACCCCGCATAGATATATCCGTCTGAGGGTGGACCGAACGTTGGCTTTTGTCCTGAGAGTGAAAAAAGGTATCGATTGTTTTTGATGTGGAAGTAGCTGGAAGAATTAACATAGAATGTTTCCCAGGTTATTGCTTCATTCGCGATGTCGATTGTCATATTGGCTCCATTTTCCACAACTTCGTCCTCTGTAACCATCAAAGAATTTCCATTTTGGGAGTCAAACCTAAAGCCAGGTAGCTTGTTACTGTAGACTCGAAATTGCTGGTTGAATATTTCAGCCGTTGCGCAATTGCTTGAGTAGTTGAAGTTCGAACCGAAGCCATAGCTTGTTGGGACATTTGATATGGTTGCAGTCCAAAGACGAGGTTCTTCACCATAGATAAGTTCGATTTTGGCCTTCTTGAACGGTCCGTTGAAGTCCAGACGCACGACTGCTTGACCATCGCAACGATCCGGTTGGGAAGCAGCAGTGGGCTGGACGATGAAGCTTACCTGAGATTTAGCAGCATGGACTGAGGGTATCACTCGGCCTGACTGAAGATCTAACTCCACTTCCAGCTTGTTAGCGCCCTGTAGGACTGAATTGTAACGACGAGCGTCAGCAATGCATGTGATAAGTAGAGTTAATAGTCCAGCTGAACAATGCTTCATGCTCAGAAGCAAGTCATTTCACGTTCGCTCGACAAGCAAGTGGAAACAGATGCTGTTTTATTACACAACTGCCGGACAAACACAGCATTTGGCTGGACATCTGTGCTCAGCCGCATGAAAAGCAAAAAGAGGCAACACAATAGCAAACCGCCTAATGAGAACGTTCAGATAGTTAGAAGCGCCCCCTAAACAACAGGACATTCAAACCTTTTATATGGAACAGCAGTAAGACAATGATAATCTGTGAAAGGAAGAGAAAAGATTTCATTGTGCAACCAACTTGCTTTCAAAACCGAGAGCTCTTTAGAAACGTTGAGGCTTCTGTTGTCGGCTTTGAATCCAAGGCAATTTGTTAATTGAAGGCTTAAATGCAAATCTCGGATAAATAAGACTTAAAATCGGCCCAACGCCGGTTCAAAAATAAGTGGATTCCACGACGCAGATTGAACGGGATGAGCTGCTACCACTGCCTGTTAAAAGTTCACCGTCTTCTTTCCGTCCGTCAGGATAATCAGCAGTTGAATAGCTACGTGTCGAATGCTGTTGACGTGAATCAGTTAACGCTCTTCACAAGAGAATTTGTATATATTCCCTTAATGAAGTGTAGACATCTCAGCGAAACTTATACTGCGGTCAGTCCTTCGGCGGATCAGGTGACTAGTTTTTTTGGCGTCAATTTGTAAATTTCACGCGATCCTAAGCAGTTTAGCTGAGAGTACTTTGTAAACTTAGACCGCGACACTGTTGAACTTCATCGCCGGAAAATTGATTCATTTTAACGTTTATGAGATAAAGAGTGCAACCGTTGTTATTGTAACCTCACGCCCTTTGTGAGGTTGTACGTGTATCAGATCCAACGGAATGATAGAGAAGGGAAGTCTTTTGACACTTCAAACTGTCTTTTTTTGGAGGCTTTTCAGGTACACCCTTTGAATCTTTTTTTGCTGCTAGAAATGAGACCTTTGACCTTTTTTTTTTACTTGAAATATACTTTTTCCTTCTATTCTACTAATTGCTAAATAAACAACCAGAAAACAACCGTCAACATGGAGTTTATCTAGAATTAATGCCCTTGCGATCTCAGGTGTCTATCCGTTTATTTTTTCATCGGTGAAAACCGTTTGATAGTAATTTCTAGATGTAAGTAATATTCTTAAGGTTTCCACCAGCATTTCTGAACATGTTTTCTTTGTCTTTAGCGGATTTCCGAGTGTTTAACAACGTTTTTTAAACTTCACCTCATGTTTTGCATTAAAAAATTGTAATTAAAATGGTACTAGCTCTTATAAACGTGTAGAAGAATGCTTGTTGAGCAGATGTGGGCGTAAGACATTGTCATCTCTAAGTTATATATCATATCTCCGAACGGATTAGAACTTTAAGAAAATTCTGCAAAAGGAAAAAACGTGCGGGTTTGAGCCGTTCTTAGAGATTATCTTAGCAAAGGAATGTTATCGCGAGCTCGGAAACTTCTTTGTTAAACTCTTCCTTGTTCAGTGATTAATGGTTGTCACGAGGTAAGTGTTTCTTGCCAAAGTGTATAGAAAACAATTTTGAGTTCCTGAAACCCAAAACAATATTTATTTCATTTCCTTTTGAAATAAATGAGTCCGTGGAGGATGTCCGAACAGATGAAGTGTAATTTTTTCCAAGCGTCCTTGTATGCTATCCATCCTGCGCCGCCTGCGGAGTTCTTTGAGACTTTTGATCCACTAACAAGGTTAAAAATTTTAATATAAGATGATATATTGTTTTGAAATAGTCATGATACGTTTCACAGCATGACAGAGACGATTAATGAAGAACTCAAAGACCTGATGACTGATGCAGTCGAAGACCGCTTGAAATTCCTAACTCATCATAAAAGACCCCGATACTCTCACTACCCTTGGGCGAATGACTAAAACATTTTTCAAAGTAGCCCCTATAGAGTGTGGAATGCTTCCTTTACAAGTCGTTTGCTAGGAAGTATTTTTAGCCTTTCAATAACTAGTTAGGGAAGATTCCCACGCAAAATTTCAAGATACGGTCACCTCGGGCTACATTAAATGTCTGAGATAGCTTACACTTGATCTTTCGATCTGATTTATTACTTATGCAATATCGTTACTAAATACTTAGAACTCTCAGCCAAAGCAGATTCTCCTTTTCATTTTTTAATGTCTCAATTCCCGAAGTTTCTTCAAGTTGTTTTTGTAAGTCATGTTACATTTCAAGTAATACTGGCCAGTTCTTCAATAAGAGGGATGCAATGCAGGACGTTTCTTGGTGTATGACTGCTTTTTCGCAAAGACTTTGAAACTTCGCGGGGACAATAAAATGAAATCCAAAGGCACGAAAGGTTAGCTCGTTTCATAGTCCAAGAGTCACGTGGAACGGCGATTATGTTTGCGGCGGACTTTAGAAATAACTATACAAGGATTACATGGATTACTGTCTCAGAAAATTATCAACCAGTCGCAACTTAAATTTGTAGAAAGTTCTTGAATTTTATGAGTGATTTGTGTTCTTCCTTAGCAGGTTATGCGAGTTTTTACACGTGAGAGAACACGTGAATAACATCCTAGCTTTCTGTGATTGTTGACCGAACTCAAAATATTCCAACATCTTCTGATTGTTTACAGTTTAAACGCTTTTGATACTCAGTTGGTCCTAGCGTTTTGAAATTCAGGGCGCTTGTCCCTCGTGAATAAAGTATGTGACCCACACTTCCAGACATAATTAGTTGGGACACTTCTCCAGAACAACTTCTGTGATGTCTGCTTTCTTGCAGACAAACATTAAGAGGTGCAGGGAAGGCAGTTGATTTCCCAACAAATACGTCTGGGAGAGTAGCAGTGGAAGGGCATTGCGCCACAAAATCCGAAGGTCTGTCGGTCGACTCTTCTTGGACGACTCGGCTTTTCAGTTCTTTGTCCTACCCTGGACCCGGCAACTGAAGAGCTTTTACATTCGTTGATCGAGCTCAAAATATTTCATCTTTCTCACTCTGTTTACCGATGGGGTATTTTTAATTATCCGCTAAGCAGGAATTGCTTCTTTGAGGCAAGCCCTTCGGTCTTGAAATTCAGAAAAAGATAACAGACACCATTGACTTAAATCATTTTAACTTATAGCCCTATTTTTGGGAAAGATAAAAATATTGTTTTTGATTAGTCATGTTTAATGCGTTATCCTCATTTGATTTGTCGAGTTCCCTTTCCTAGACATCGTCGGATACAATTAGTTACCGGTATGTAAAAGGTGTTGCCGGTTACTTAAAAAAAAAAAAGTAAGCTGGCAAAATGAGTGGAAGCATACCTTAGTGACGCGGCCATCGCAGGTCAAGATCACGGTTTGACGTAACCATCTATACAGTTGTGGCGAGAAATTATGCACGTTCCCTTGAAAGACCGGATGGGTTAAAAAAGCTTCAATTTACGTGAACCAATTCTTCTTGATAGTTTTGTTATCTCGATATCTGTTTATGAGAAAACACGACTTTTAGCTTCAAACTGTTACGTGCCAGTGTTTAAGGATAGAAATATAACCAGGAAATACTTAGTTATTGAGGGAGCAATGTGTTACTGTTTTCAACGAGGATACTTGGTAACAAAATTGCGAAGTGTTTCGGGAAAAATTCGAGCTTTTTTTTTACGAGTTTCCCAGACAAACATTTCCTGCTTAGATATCTTATCATGAACAATATATGAATTGCGGCTCTTAGTATTTATCGGCGCAGAAGTGGGTTAAGTAGAGTGGGAAGACAACAGCAACGAAAAAATAGGAAAAAAACACTTCTAAGTCCTCTTCAAAGTATTACCTTTCAATTGTCTTCTTTTTTTTTTCTGCAAATTTCCGTTCGTCATAATAATGTGATTATCAGGCACAGATCAGACGGTGAGGCTGCAGTTTTGGAACAATGTTCAAAACGAAATATGAAATGAACTGTGAAAAAACTGCGCGTCTAAACTTTCTAAATTTATTTTCATCACTACGTTTTTGGCAGAAATCTGGATTACTTCTAAAATGGATTGCGTAATTTTAAATGAACAACCTCTGCAGCAAATGAGAAAAGTTTATTGTTTAATTAAGGCCTAGACTTGGAGAAAAAAAAAGCGCACTATGAATGCGTTTTTCAAAATTTTGGAATTTTTGGTTTGAAAAAACTGAAACTATGAAGACGATTGATAGTTGACACTAGGTAGTATCTTGTGCAATTGGTACGTCTTTCAAACTTAACAAGCTCAATTTTGATTCTCTTTTGAATGCCATTTAAGAATCCGGCCGGTGATTTTGACATGAATCCAAATTATACACAAAGCTTTTCCAATCAAGCAGTAATCTGTTGTTTTAACCGAGTAAATCCCTGAATAGTAAAGCAAATACTAGTTGTAAACTTGATTGAAAGCATTTTAAATGTTATTCCTTTATTGCCTCGAATTGCAAGTTGTTCAAGCTAAGCTAGGATGCATCTCTTTATTCATATTTCTAGAAAATTTCCACAAATTATGTTATTTCTATCGGCCAGTAGTGAGTTTTCTTCTTATTTGTTCACTTCGTCGCCTCTCACCATTATCTCGTTATTCATCTAGATAATCATTGCGCTAAAAATAACAATGAACTTAAATTAACTACTATTAGTTTAGGGCCGGCTGAAAAAACAAAGGATTTGTTATGTAGATATAAAAGATAGAAGAACTCTGTTTTGGCTGAAAGCTATTAATTTACAAACATTGCTTAATCTCCAGTTAATTTTACTGCGATGTCTTTTATGCAGCCGGCTGGTGTAGAACGCGAGACAGTAAGCCGACAATGAATGACTGCTGATAGACTGGCTGACGAAAATGGGTTAAACGCCGCCGAAAACTGTTTTACTTTGGCCAGTCATGAGATGTTCGCTTCTCTTCGGAAACGAATTAAAAACGGAAAGGGACGGCGTTTAAACCGACAGCTTTATCTCTCACGGATCGTGCACGCTAAATACAGACAGCAAACGTGAACATTACTTCTCAAATGATTTCCATGCGCAAATAATCACAATTTGAAATACAAAAATGAGGTTGTAACCTTATCTAATTGGCTAACGTGTCACACTTCCCTGTCATCAGTAGTTTGTTATTTATTTTTTCAGCGGAAGATGGCCATGCCGGAATCTTCAGAGATTGCGTGATAACTCATCCGAAGCGCTTTTTTTCTCACGGTTCTTTGTAATCTAATTTCCTTAGTTATTGAACACGATGACAACAGCTTCGCATTAATAGCTTTTGAATTAACTGCAGTAATTATTTAGGTAAATTAACAAACGTTGTCTTTGTCCATCAATTACCACTTATTCTAAAAGCGGTTTGTTTAGTTTTTGATGCATCGTTAATTGGATTAAACCTTCGTGATAAATTTAGAACTCTCATTTAATTATTTTTCTTTCAGATTTGAAAGGTCAAATCGATATCTTTCGAAGGTAGGTAATTGGAAAGAAATTGATGTTTTGTCCAATGTCGTAACCGTAGTGAAATTACTTCAAATTTTTATCCATCTCTCAATATGTATTTATAAATGGTTGAGTTATATATAGACGGATGGGTTTTCGTACATACATAGCGATAAAATCTAAATTTGTAGACGAACAATTAATAATAGTAATAAAGACAGGCTTAAAGCGTCGCAATCAAAACGACTGAGTAACTATGAAGAAAAAAATTACCTGAGGTTATCCTTAAAGGATATCTCTACTAAACGATAAAAATACATAAACGGTTAATTATAGCAAAATGTCATATCTTTTATCTCCGAGACTAATTCCCATCAGCGTAAATAAACAGGTAATTTAAAACAAATAGGTCCTTATGGTGTAAATTAGTAAAAAACTAAACGTAGACAGTATGGAACGACACAATCAAAAGTAATTTAAGATGCCAGTCGCGATAAGATCGAAGAACAACGCATTAAGTCGGTCAATATCAACGAAATGCTCGTCATAGGAATCTCGCGAGAGCCACGCGAGAGCCACGCGAGAGCCACGCGGGAGCATCGGACGACAACCTTGTGCATGCGCTTTGCTTTAAGAAGTAAATCTGATTGGTGCACGAGAATTGGACCAATCAGTGGGCGAAGGGAATCACCAAGTTAGCTATTGCAAATCAAAATTGTTAAAACTTTCCTAAAAGCATGGGAAGTTCTCGTTACTATTAGTCAGCATCTTGGGTCCGCCCTAAAAGGAGTGTTTCGTAACCATTAAAGTAATTTGAATTTATGTTTAATGTCAAGGATAAAATGAGAAAGCCCTACTGATGCTTCACATCGTGAAAATTTCGGCCTTGTCTCATCAGATCCAAAATGAACCTAGTATTTCGTTGGACTTTTTCTTTAAAGAGGTCTAGCATTAAATTAAAAAAGGTCTGGTTCATTTCATAAGGCGTTGATCGTCAAAACAGAACGGTTTGAGTTAGAAAGCGCAATGAAGCATTCTTTTGGAGACAGCTTTATTCGAAAGAGAGTCTCTCAGAAACTCTACTGTTCAATAGAACAGAATAGAAGTTTGTCCTCATTATGAACCTTTTATACCGCAACAAGCTTGCCAAACTGCCTAGTGACTTATATTAAATTTCGCGTGCGTCTGCCACGAGCAGGATCCAACTGAAGAAGACAAGAAATGAGATTAATGAAAGGATTTCCTGAATTTGCCAATAGCACAGAAAATAGAATGTTCTTCGAAAGCATTCGTTCGTGTCTTCCGGCCGAAATGATGCTCGGTGAGTCTTGTCTCTTTCAACACAACGGTGTTACTTAGCACTCTATGCGCAAATACATCCGACCTCTTTAGGGCTGAAAGAAAGTCTGGTCATATAGCATAATCGTGCTTGGAAACGATGCATGATATTTCTACGTAGGAACGTGAAGAAAAAGGAATGATCTCGCAGGTTTCTCTAACTTACGAAAGGCTAGACTTTGCACTAATGAAGTGACAACTCGGCTTTGGCAGACCTTGAAATCTGCTTTCAGTATAATATACGAATCGACATCGTCTCTCTCTTGCTTAAGTCTCCTAATCAGAGCTTTATATATAATTATCTCCATCCTGCGCAGAGAGATATTTCAAACGTACAATCTGAACCGTTGCACAAAAACCAGGGTTATCAGAACATATCTGACATTAAAACTAATTCCTAAAAGCTAGAACACGAAATACGAACTAGTTCGAATGAGGGGCACTGGTTAAATTTGAGGAAAACATCACGAAAAATTATGATTTTTTAAAATGAGGCTAAACAGATACACAGATAGTTATCATCATCTATACTGAATCTGGTGAGGATAATTGGATGCATTAAAGGAAATTCCTAAGAGCTTGTGTCACTGACAAGAAGAGAGCACCTTTAATTCCTGTATTGGTATGAGAGATCACGGAAGATGGGGACAAAAAGATTATAAGAGGTCATCAGACTTGCGTAACTGCGTTTCATGCAAGCATGACAAGGCTTTATCCTTTAATTCACGGTTTCTATTGCATAGCATAGCGAACATTGATCCTGAATACAGTAATTGATAAGAAGATTTTCTTTAGAGTTGGAGAATTCTTTTTTTTCGTACCTCGTCGATAAATGTAGGGTACCTGAATTGGCATATACATAATCTATCTCGAACATTCTTCGGAGATACGTGGGTAACTTACGTTGTGTTGTGGTTTGGAAAAGAACTTGTTGTTTTGCTCCAGAATGTTCTCTTATCTGTTCCTATAGGGCAACGCCTCTTTAAGTCGGTGTAAATAAATCAGGAGACTGAAGGATCTTGAAGGCGTTATAAATCCAAATCCTTTGTACCACATCACGTATCTTTCTTGCTTCAGCTTAAAGGGGTGCCAAGAACTACAAGACACAGAATTTAACTGAAAAAAAAATCTCAACTATGCCAAGACACAAAGCAATTAAGAGGATTCTGTAATCAAGGAAACTCTTGATTACAGTAATGTTCTCATCCGATATTGTATATTGAAAAATAAGTACCATACTTATAAGTAAAATGCGAAAGCACCGCCATGTTTGAAGAGTCGATAAAACCTTGTAGCTAAAAAATACTTGGTGCGAAAAACTGTGATCGTTTCTTGACCTTTCTTTCCCTTAACCAGTTCAAAGGAGAACTAGCTGATTCGAATCTTAGATGTCGTTCATGTTTTCAGATTCTCATGCAAAGTCGCTAAGTCTGTGTTAGGTACATCAAGCCTTATCAAGGTTTTAAAAAAATCAGTGAGAAAGACTCTTCTAAGTTGAACGTTTTTTTTTACATTTTTGACTTATCAGGCTGCAAGCGGATAAATTGCTTATGAACCAAAAATATTTTGAAACTTTGTCGGCCTGGTTTGGTGGCAGAAGAATGCCGGCATAATTCTTTATTGATAACTGTAACATCGTGGATCATGTTTGTGTAAGTTCCGGATCAGTTTCGGACTCGATCAGATCACATTTAATCTGCTTTCTTCAACGCATTACATAGCAATTGTATATGAGCGCAGTTCCTTCGAACATAAATTTCCAGACCCAAATACCTCTGATCATCAGATGTAAACAAATCATCAATAAAGTAAAGGACAGAAAACCGAATGACACAACATGCAGACTACTTTATTAGTTTCTCTCGTGACAGATTACAATAAACGCAACGTTTGATCTTCTAGACAGGTAAAAGATTACAATAACATTCTCTGAGCCATAACTCGCCTTGAATTGTTTGTTTGTTTTTTGCTTGGTAACAGTGTGGATTTCAGAAAATATAATTCTAAATTTGTAAAATGATGCAATGTGTTGTGATGACGTCACATCTAGGAAAGATCCACAATTTCTTCAAACATTCGTGTTTTCACACTTCATGTTAGCCTATTTTTGTTAAAAAAGAGAAAACGAAGGAGGCTAATACCATAGTAAAAGCACCTCAAAATATTTAACGCCTAAACAATATAGTCGATATATGTATGTGAAAATTAGATTTAAGATATCATCGATGTTTGTGTAATATTTTTTGACTAATTTTGTTGTAATTTAATGAAATGCAATGCAAAACCTTCATGTGCCATTTGAGGACCAAAAAGAATTTTTTAGTATCTCTTACCCTTATGATTCTTGTGGGTACAGTTTTTAATTTGGCGATATTTGAAAGAGACGCTTTCTACTTTTTCTTTTTAGAACCTTAGTTCAAAAAAAAAATGGAGAAAACTAAATGATAACTTGAACAAATTTGACTTTAAAGTGATTCAATTAAACCTATAGTCCTTCTGCAGCTCTTGAAGTTGCAAAGAGCGACATAAAAATGGAAAAAAAATTGGAATATAGATGTTTTCATGTTTTCATCAACATTTCATTTCGATATTCTTTGTACATTGCAAATCACATGTTTACTTAACAATAAAAATATTTCAGCTCTCTGCGAAAAAAAAATCAAAAGAAATGGAATTAATTCCTAGCGTTTTGGCAGTGTCTTGCGACCACCGCAACCATAGCAACAACAGCAACACCGACGACCATTGCCGAAGCAATCACGACAATCACGACCGAGGACACAACGACAGCATTGTCGGATGTGTCAAGCTGGACGACTTTCTCGCACTTGGTGTTATTGCCCGCGGTCTGCACAGCGGTGATGTCATGAGCAGCCAGTGTTTTGTTTTTGGGTTTAGCACTGTCATCTTCATCCATGTCAATGTAATCGGTGATCTCTCCGATTTCAGATTTACTGTCTGGGCTCTCTGGGGTTTTGCTGTCAGCTTTGATCTTGTGGCTGTGACTGTGAGTATTGGTTTTCTTCGCTTTGGGGAGGTGCAGAGTAATTCTGTCGCCTTGTACGTGTGTGGTGACTGAATCTGACTCTTCGCTCTCTGTTCCCATGATAAGATAGCGACGACCGTCAATGGTAATATTACCGATGAATTTATGAACTGCCGGCTTTTTCTTCTCTTTGTCAGGTCTCTCTTTCGCCACAATATGCTCCCTTCCTTTAGCCTTGGCGTCGTGCGATTGCGACAGAATCTTTTTATCTCCCAGTTTGCCGAACACTGAGATTCCGTCCGGTAGTCCAGTCAGGCCTACGCCCATACCTGAGCCTACGTCTTTGCTGGTCAGTGGTTTGCTAGTTGCTATTGGCCCTTCTTTATGTGAAGTTAATTCTTTAACGTTGCTTTGCTGCTTGTGCGCTTCGTCTATAATATCGAATATCTTCGGTATCTCGCGCTGTCCGCTACCTCCAGCCGTGAAAGCGCTTGGTGACGTGGACTCATCGATTATGTCGAGAATTTCTGGCAGTGTGCTTATCTTGTCCGAGTGCGAACCGAACATGGACACCTTGTGAGTTAATTTCACAGGCGGGTTTGTTGGAATCAAAGAAACTTCCTCCACGTGGCTCGATGCCAGGTGCTTTGAGAACCCGTTCTGTTTGACAACGTTCTGAACGTCTTCTGGTACGAGAGACTGTTGAGTTGGCCATGCGTGTATTACGGGCATTTTCTTGCTCGGCTTTACAGTCATCGGGTTGAAATATTTAACAGGTTTGTCGTGCTCCTCCTGCACCATGTGCTCTACTTGTTTCAAAGTGTCAGGGATGAGCTGCACTGGTTTAGGACTGGGACGAAAGTCAACAGTTTGGTGCTGGAAGAAACCTTTGAGGAATCCGGTCGGTCGGAAGGGTTGCGGCCTCTGTGCTGAATAATCCAGCTTCTTCTGCGGCACATCGGAGGCGATCGCCGGAGGAATGGAAGGTGGAGGTGTGAATCGTGAAGCTGTTGAAGCAGTCGACTCCGTCATGACAGCTGGGGGTGCCGTGGTTGGTGTGGGAGCGGTTTTTGCTGTTGTTGCTAGGGCAGCGGGTTTACCTTGATTTGGATCTCGGAAATTAATGATGATATCCTCGACCTCTGTGGGGGCTGCTTCCTTTTTCGGGGCGGAAGCAGTCACCTGGTCGCTTAAGAAATGATTGAGTTGGCTCTTGGAAGGATTGCCAGGGGAAAATTTTGGTGAATCATAATATGAATTCGGATACACGTAATCATTCATTGTCTGATCAATATCCGGTGAGTCCCGCCATGGGCCCCAGACTCCTCCGTGCTGATCAGGATTTGCGCCGTCATCTGCTTGAGGGTATGTCGCGGGTGAGGATTTTCGATAGTAAAACTTAAGCCTGTCAATCATGACTTTTAAAGTGTTCGGCATAAAATCTGCCAGGTTGTGGTACTCGCATGGATCCCATTTGATGTTGAATAAGCAAGGCTTCAACTCGGGGTTACAAATCGGTGCTTTTGTGTACAGAAGAGGATGCGGGTGCTTTAAAGTACAATCAACTGCTGCGTCTTTGAGTACACTTGGCTTAGGAGCCTGGTCCAACTCGCGCTGACTCTCTGGTCTTGGGTACCAATCACTATAGAAACTACGGTTTTGATGCACTATCATCTTGTAGTCTCCAATTCTCAGAGCTGCCCTCTTCTCTTTCATGGAATCCAGACCGTGTAGGATCTCGTACCTTGGAGACTGGGCATCGCTGGAAATTGTTTCCCATACATTGAATCCGTCGATGGATCCCAGGCCTTTCACGTCGCCGCCGGCCAGATGGTAGACGGTCGGGAGCCAATCAGAAGCGTGCAGTAAGGCAGTTGAAACTCGACCTGGAACGCGAGTAATGCATAATTGTAAATATCACTTCGTATTTCATGATCAGTAAATGATTAATAAGTTAGTTTTACCTCTCTTCTTTATGAGTGGGCTATGGATAAATCCAACTGCGCGGACACCTCCTTCCCATAGAGTATTTTTGGCACCTCTTAGCGGGTAGTTTGAGCCTGCACTGTTGTCCAATCCACCAGCGGCTGCTCCGTTATCGGTAGTGAAGATTATGATAGAGTTCTCGTAGAGTCCTTTCTTCTTTAAGGTTGTTACCAATTGTCGAACCGACTCGTCCAGAGCTGACACCATACCTGTAGAAAACCGAAGATTTTGGTGCATAAAGTTTATATAGTGCAAAGCAAATATTGCATGGGTTATTGTATCATATGAGTCCTTGGCATCCACAAAAAGAAAAATCTATTGTGGAATTTTTAGAAGGCTACTGTAGTGCTCTTTTAAAAATTTTATATTCTAGAATTGCGACTGAGAATTACCTGAAATACTTAATGATGAACTTGTCAAAGAGGAGTTCTTGAAATAGAACTTTCGCCAGATGAAGAAGTAATCCTGGATTGTGTGATTTCACGCGCTCTGTGATTGATCTAGAAATCTCATCTCCCATCTTTTCAACCAATCAGAAACAAGACTAAAATCAATCGCCGCTCTGTCATTAACGTTTCTCCGCGCCATAGGCTACTAGTTTTTACAATCAATTTTCCCTAGCTTCGTCACCGTTTTTCCTCGTTCTGATTGGACGTTTGCTTGACTTAAGTTTTGTTTTTTGACACATCATCGTAAGGCGCTCTGTCATCATCTCATTACCTGCAAACGTCCTTCTTTTCTCGTCTCCGATGTATCCCAGCCGATCAAGGTATTTCTTTGGCACCTGAAGAGGGTTATTCTGGTTACCAACGTGAACAGCTTGTTGGGCAAAGTACAAAAACAACGGCTTGGTGGCGTCGTGATCATTGAGTACTTTATCAGCCTCGCGTGTGAACAGGTCTGTGCCATAGGTACCTGTTTCATTGTACACGACCTGAAAACAAAAGCGGACACAGTTAAAATGCTATAATCATTTTCCTCCGCAGAACTTGTGTTAATATCGCAAGCGTTCGGTGTTATTTTTCATTTTACTGTAGCTTGCGAGCTGGTCCTCATTATTAGCCCTTCAGCACGGGCGTTTCTTCAAAAGTACGAGGCCTTAAGCTGCACAAGGCGTTAAGAGGTCTACATGGCGTCAAGACAGACGTGCCAGTCCCCCGGCAAACCTCTCCCCGAATCGTCTCAAATCTTCCCGCATACGGAAAAACGCGCGTCTTACAGTACTAATAATAAAGGCTTACTCGCTGGCTAGTTCTGAAGTTGCACGAATATTTCATGCAACTTAGATGTCATTCATCTACTTGCTTGTTGTCTAAGCACCTTCTGCAGTTAAGTTTTTCTATTCTGCTTTACTGTAGCCAATGTATCTCGCGTGCGATAGGTTTTCCTTTTCTTTTTGAACAATTAATCCGGAGTAAATAACAAACTGTGAAATAAATAACAAAAGTGAAAACAAGAATTTTTTAAAATCATCACAAAGTGCTTTATGAACCCCAAATAATGCTTAAATTACTCACGTCCAAGTTTCGTCGTAAATCCAACCCATAGCTTCCGTCATAAGACACGTGACTAAAGTAATCTTGTCCCGACGTCAAGAAGCCGTAGAAGGAATCGAAACCCCTGTAAGTGGGAGTAAATTCCTTGGCAAAGAAACCCAGCTGCCACTGTGAGAAGAGAGTAGATTACTGATTACGACAAAATGGGATCGAAGCTTAGTGTTGCACTCGTGGAATTCAAAGGTAAATTAAAGTAAAACAGAGGTTTGTGAACACTTGTGCCGGTCAATGGAGTTTTGCGGCACTTGTCCGTTTCTTTAAGCAGTCTGGCCTTGATTTTGTAATCCTTGGTAATCTTCTCTATGCTACTTTTAGTTAATTTTCCCCAGTTTTGTGTTTTTATTTCTCATTTTGCTAAAGTAATGTTTTGTAGTTATGCAGTGTTGCCTTTCGCAACGAAAAAACTCAACCAGTCGTTCAGTACTTTGGCAAAAACTTGTTACGCCATTTTAATGACCTCTTGTTTGTGCTTTAAAAGACCAAAGCTTTCTGTTAAAAAAAAAGTCTTTCCTTTTCCTAAGTAACCAATCGCTTTACTTCGGCCAACTGAGAAAATACATATATTTTATAATCACCACAAGTTTACCTTTCCTACAGCGTGGGTCGAGTAACCTAACTGCCTCAAATATTCCGGTAGAAGCTTTTCCTTTAGTGGCACTCCATATGGTTGCCTGTTATGTATCGTGTCATGTTGAAGGCCTGAAAATTTTTAGGAAAAAGCACAAGATTGTTCAAAGTTGCTCGTTCCTTTTTAGACGCCCCATGTATGCCCTCTATCATTTGCGCACTACGTATCTGTTACGCGCTTTTATGGCGCATTTCAAGCGAGCAATAAATGAATGAAAACATCGATAATCGCCCGGCCTTAATGACTTTTCTTCGCTTGGTGCATCGCGTGAGTTTCCTCTATATGACCTTTACTAAGTGCCAAGATCTCACGCGGAGACAACTAAGCTTGAGAATCCGGGTACGAGATCAGACTTGCCTTCGTGATTGCCATTCAATTTTTTGAATATATTTCATTACTCTCAATTGAAATAGTCTAATCCAAAAATACTTATTTCTTACCTAAATTCAAGGCATATTTTCCAGTCAGGAACGCAGCCCTGGAGGGTGAGTCAATCGGAGATACGTAGTAATTGTTAAGGATTACCCCGGAATTTGCCAAGCCGTCAAGTGTGGGCGTGGGGATCTGGGGCGAGCCGTGAAAACTGACGTCATCCCAGCCCTGAAAAAGACACAGCTTTGTTACAAAATGTGCCCCCGAAGTAGAATCGAGTGATGATAAAATGAGATGAGTGGTTAAAAAGTGATTCATTGCTGTGGTGGATACTCATTCCCTATCCAGATTTATTAAATTTTGAACTCTGAATATTGCATTTCTAGTGTTCTGATGGGTTCACCCAGCTCCGGTTATCAGCTCATAATCCGAGTCACCTCATATGAAAATGTGCTGCGCCACCTATTTCAGAGCTAAAAAACAGGCTCCAAATATTAAAACGTTCGGGATTTAACAAAATTAAATCAAACAATTATTTTTCTTGTTGGTTAAAGCCAACTCGACGCTACGCGCCTCGTTGGCTATTTACCATCTCAAGTCCAACTTGCGCTCATGAAATAATTGTTGATTATCCAGAGACTGCATCGTAAGCACACTCTTAATTTGCGCCCAGATCCTATTAGTTTAAATCTGAGTTCATTATGAATTCGATTTTTGTGACATTGACCGCTTGCTTCTTAATAAAATTTGACGCTGATTGCTTTTAGTTCGTATCTCAACGCTGTAGTGTGACAGTCATCACTCCCCCTCCCCCCCCCAAAAAAAGCGTTTTTCCTTTATCTTATGAAACGAAATAGGTTTTTTAAGAAAATAATTTTAAAATAACCTGAGATATTGAAAATAAATTAAACAGCTCTTCGAACGCGTTAGAGATAAAAAAGAATCAATCAAACGTTTTTCGTTTTACATAATGCATACGTGGAAGGTTCAATCTCTAGGGTAACTTTATTGAGGGAAAAAAAATAAAATATACTTACTAAATCATCGGCTACAATCATAATGATGTGAGGCTTCTGTGCCTGTTGGGGTTGCTGGGCATGGAGACAGTGGATTAAGTAAAATATAACTAATATTCCAAGGGTCAGTGACCGGGAAGTGCGACTGAATGAAGCCATAAAATCTACGAGAAGAAAAGGAAAGTTAGTTCAGTCAGGATCGTGCACACACTTGGTGATTTGAGTCATTTGGTTCATAAACAATTTTCATTTAACATTTTAAAAAGACTCCGGTTGATCAGCCATCCTCGACGTGTTCGGATTTCAAAAGAATCCAAGTGATCCTAGGATAAAAGTGTTCAATAATTCTTCATTAAAATTTGAAATTTATAGATTTTGTGGCTATAAGTGTGATTTCTGATTTGTGTGATAATTATGGAATCACTTTTCGTTCGGAAAAACTAGGTTTATAAAAGTGAAATGAAAACAAATTCAATGAGAAATTAAACATAAAAAGTCATCCTTTGTCGTCTCTTAATGACGTGAGGCGATGTAACCAAGCGAACGAAAAAAACTCTGACATTCACTGAACTCACTACGGTTCGAATCCTCACGATTTCACCAATGTATCGTGCATTTTACGTATAATTTAAACGATCCCTTTTCTGTTCTGTTGTAACTTTTCAGCTCTCAGCAGAAGTTTGTTCGTGAAAGCTGTGTTCAAGAACAAGGTCTTCAACTAACTACCAGCTCATTATGAAAACAGGACCAGCCGCGTAGTGTTTGGAGAAAATTAGTTACCTCAACAGCTAAAGGTCATTTGTGACTGGTACCATGACAAAAATATGTGTGGAGCGATCAACAGCCTTTTAATCGCGGAAGCAGTGTTCGAAAGTTTGCGAGACATACATGTACGAGTTAAAAATTCAAATTTCATATTTTTCATCATAAATGTCTTTCAAAGAGACGAATAAAATAAAAATGGAAACTCATTAAAAAATACTGGAGCTCTTAGTTATAAAAGCTACCTCTCTCAGGTTATATAAATCACCATTATATGTTATATTTACGGTAGTTTGATTTTTTTATAGGTTGAAGAAAAATGAATAAAACAGCGTCGCACATGCTCTCTCGCACAAATAGTAACGGCCTTTTAGTTTTCTTTAAATTCATGTTCAATTTTGACTGGACCAAAAAAAAGGAAATTCAGTGGTATCATGTTACTGAGGATCATTATTTCAAGGCTTTTCTCGCCTAAGGAGTGGAAATCTTGCAAGTCGCAGCATTTTCAAAAGAAGCAAAAGGCAGTAATGAAATAGTCGATATTATATATCGTCTGGTGTTGAAAGCAGGCTTTTGTTCATCTTAAAAATTTGAAAATTACAATTATTTGTGATTCGTCAAGTTTATCAATCTATGACCAGTTTGTTGGCACTCTTGTTTCTGATACCTCTTTACTTAGAATGAGTTATTTAGCTAAAAAGAACGAATAAAATATTTTAACCAAAACATGGTGATAATCTATAAACGTTCGTGAATCAAACCTTCAAAAAAACAGCCTTGATCAATTTCACAACTTTAACGAGCCACGTCTTGTGCTCTGCGGCTAGTTACTGAAAGTTTTACGAAAGTTCATTTTGCTTGTGATTTTTCGTTTTTTTTCAATCCTTTTTAAATTTTAACTTCCATTAAGAGCATAGATTTTTCATTTTTTTTGGTGAAATTGACATGAGCCTTCATATTTTGCCGAATTTTTTGAAGCTTTGGGTAGTTTTCATCTTTATGTACACCCTGTCCTTATTGGTAATTTTTGAGATAGGGTGAGTTTTATTCGTTAAAGATGAGCGGTAATTAGAATGAGTGACTCGACCGAAATTGTGTAAATCACGCATTCAATTCAGTTGAATTTTTTACCATTTATCAAATATTTTACCTAACATAAAATTAACCAGTTCGTAGTTGTTCACTTCTTTTGTGATTTTCGATGGATGCTGATTATTACGTATTTATGAGATGCCTTTGTTTCAAGTTTAGAAAGTACTCTCCAGCGATTACGGGGATGAAATCTCGGTATTTCATGAGATACCTGGTTAAATTCGTAATGTTTAAGCAGAAATCATTAAAAACTTGATGTCGTTGAAAATTAACGAAAGTAAAATTGAAGTGCTAAAGAAAAAAATTATCATCGGTGAAATGAAAGTACTTGCCGGATCTCTGATTTCATTCCATGTCAGTCAATAAAGTAAACTTTCCGTTGAGTTATAAGCTTTTTGTAAAGGCTTTCATAATTTGTATCATCCACAGAATCACCACTGAAAATATTTAATAATCAACTTATCGGCTGTGCTGATGAACAACCTCGCGTCGTAAGAGAACAGACTTGAGTATCTTACCTTGTGAAATAACTCCCATATTTCTTTATCCTGTTTTCCCGTCAACACTTCTTAGCTTGAGACAAACAATATCCATTCCTTTGAAAATTACCTCATGTACAATTTTTTTCTTCCAAACGATGGTTAACACACCATCTTGTAAGGAAATAGCCCTGAAAATATAGCTGCGTTCAAGAAACGAAGCAAACCCACGAGATTTAGTCGCTTCGCTAGTTTACAACTGCCAACAAGCGGGTTTTCCTAATTTGGATTGTGATCAACAGGTTCTACCCGCTCGAAAAAACCCGCTAAATTATTGAAGCGCGCGAAAAATTTGACAAAGCCATTTGAATTTACCACTCAACCGTAGAGACAACAGCGGAAAGGGTGGCCTTCATCTGAGGACGAGGCAAGTTGGTTTGAAAACGGGAACAGTCTGTTATGAGATAGCCTTTTGAATTTATTATATCACCATGGAGACAAAAGAGGAGAGGTATCCTCAACCTAGGGACGAGGCAATTTTGTGATTTTTATGGTAGCAGTTATGAAAGTTATTTCAAGGTTAAGTTGCTTCCTCAGTTTTGCTCTGCGCATCCTATACTCTGCATGAAAATCGTATAATTGGGGGAATGAGCTCGCGCGCGCACATTCCGATAACATGGTATTGTTTTTTAATCCATGGATCAAGTAAAGAGGTATGACAGTCTTAAGCACTCGAACGAGCACGGTGACGTACATTTTTATTTTACAATTTATCGCCTTTAAATATGGGAAATAATTTAAAAAAATTATTCGAAGGGAAAAAAAGATAAAGCTAAGAGCGTGCACTCGAGGATGCAAATTATGACCTTGAAAGGAACGACTCGTGGAACGTTTTGAGTCGATGCCATTTAAATTGGCATGATTTTCCAACAAATTATAAATCAAAATTGTTCCATACGCTCGAGACTTTCTACTTATCAGTTTTTTTTCAAGTGTTACTTTAAAAATCCTTGCTTGCATTAAAGATATACCGTGAACCGATGAAATGACGTGCGTGATTAGTGCCAGTACAGGCATAAATAGGATAAGTTTGGCCGGCCATTATGTCTCCTAAACAAGTTCGATGACCCATCTTTTTATTTATTTTTTTTGTGAAACAGACATCGGTGAGAAAAATTTATGGAAAGTTTAAAAAAATTGTTCGGTAACTTTTTTTTCTGAGGAATCACCATAATTTTTAAAAGTTATAGTCAGCCCTCCATACTGACAAAGTTTACCGGTGACTTGTCAAGATCTTGGCTCAAGGAGATACATCTTTTTATCTCTTCTTTTCCGATGATGACTGATCAGGTTTTACATCACATGATACTTCTCAATATAAGTTATATTCAGCAAATCCTCATCTTAATGAAATTTTTTTTTAAGACTGTGCTTCTTAAAAGGAAGTAGGCTGTGAGTTTTAAGAATTTAACTGCGCAACCATGATTTTGCTTTTAAAAGGATTTACTGACAAAGATATGAATTTATTTTAAGGAGCCAGTCTTTCAAACGCATTTGAATTTATTGCAAGTGTCAGTACGTAATCTGAAATTATTGAAAACTGAATCGGTGATTTTATTGTTGTTAATGTGGCTCTTGCGATCATGAGGTTCTCTTGTGAGGTACTCTTACCCTACTTTAACCGGGTTTGGATGTCTCAGAAACAACTACCGTAGGGATTCGATTTAGCGTCCGGAGCGCTTATTTCCTCATGGTTCCTCTAGGGACGACGCTCACTCGAAACCGGGCGCTTATTGGGAACAGGGCGTTTATTATTTTTTGAGAAATAGCAGAATATGCAAATTAAGTTTTCTTGTTTATTTAAAAAGAAACAGTAACAGAAACTGTAAACTGAACAAAAAAGATATACAGTGAATATTGGCATACTAATATTTAGGGGGAATGTACTCTAGCACGGCTATCACTGAAACAGAATAGGGGTGTCTATTGAAATAAAGGCGCTTATTAGAATGAGGGTGCTTATAACCTTATTAACAAAAAAAAATCTAGGGAAGAAGCTTTAAACTAGAGAGCGAGTGCTTATTGGAAGGAGGGCGCTTAGACAAATCATTACCATAAGCTTCTCTTCGCATTAAAACGCAAAAATGATCTCTCATGATGCGCAATCAATTAAGAATATCAAAATAAACTGATGGAGGAAAAGCGTTTAATCATTAGCTCTGTTGTTTTGTAAAGATTTTTAATCAGTCCTAACATCTCAGCTCTGTCTTTTATGATTAGTTTATTGTACAGTTCTTCCAACAATGTGTCCGCCTTGCTCCACCTTCATATATTTGTGTCGCAAATTTAGAGAGTGCGAGGGCTCGTTTAAAGTTAAATGTTATTCTGTAATTCAACAAATTTTCCCAGTTTTTATGCTACAGACTTTATATTTTAGAAAATGAGAAAACGTAAAACTGAGAGAACAAATAAACTGCTGTAATATTGATCTAGAAAATACATGCGAACATAGTACGTTTTTAACTAAACTCGAAAAGTATCAATTTGATAACGTGATCTTAACAAATAAAACGATCAACGATTTTCATAACCCTAACAAGCACAAGTGACAGGTTTTTTAAAAAGCATTTTGATGTATTTCACATTTAAACCGGAACTATGGAAATTAAACGGCCGATGCGATGAAGGACATTTGAAATTTTGGAAATCATGAATGAAAAAACCAAAATAAAAAGAAGCTAACGAGTACATGTTAGAAAAGAAACCTGTCTTTAAAATAGGAACAACTCGGTAAATCTGTCGGAAATCATTATGCAATAGGCAAGTATACTTTGCTACGTAATTAAACGGGAAGTCCCCCTTAACGTGATGAGATGTGCAATTGCGATTTTTTTTTTTTTTGTAAATAGGAGGTTTCCTTGCAGTTATATCGGCGGTAAATAGATAATTTCGCCGTCCCTTTTCGGGCGGGATAAAGGAACATATACATTTTCTTGCCGACTCGATGGTTCAACTGGAGATAGACTTGGTAGGGAAAAGCGTGTGTGAGATCTTTTAAACTCTTCAGATCTCCTTCGGCTCGCTAATACTTCACTCAGTCGCCGACGGAACTGTTTGTTTGTGACTCCCGTTACTTGGGAGCGTGTGGTTCTCTTGCCTGCCGGTAGCTCCTTATAAGCAGCTTGCTGCACGTCGAAGATGCGTCGAATTTCACGCTCAAATTCGCGATGTAACAAGTCCTTGGTTTTTTCCAGGCTGGAGTCAAGAGAGCAGTTCATTGTCTTGGCATAACGGACAGCGTTAACAATCTTCTTATGAGGACTTGTTGACAAAATCGACTCCTCCCGTTTCATTCGCTCGTCCATCGCCTCCAACAGAGAATTATGATCAAATTCTCCGTGTTTACTTTTAGCAGTGCATAACAACGAATTTATTTCTGAAGTCGAATGTCCACGTAGCGAACTGCCTTCGCCTTTCAAAGATTCCGGATCACACTTAATAAACTTGACAGCTTTCATTCGCAAGACAGTCAAAAAGTAGCTTTAAATGGTTCCATGTCAGAGCCACAATTGAAGATCCTTAGCTGTACTTAAAATTTTTCACCGCCCTCTAAACTTTTTCCTCCAGTTTTGAACGACTAAGGCGCTTAAAACTTTCAATTTAAGGAAGTAATTAACTCGTCCATCTGCTCATCTAACAAAGAAAACTGATAGCGGATTGGTTTCCTTTTTATTGAAAATTAAAAAAATATATTTTCTATTATGACTTTTCATCAGCATTTGCATAAAACGCAAGGTGTTCAAACTAAACCTACTTCCACAAATTGTGACAAATTTTGTGCGCGTTTTTATTCAACACTGTAGCTGTTAATACTAAAAACACCATTAATTATTTTCCTCTTTAGCAGTAACACTTAACCTAGCTGTTCAGTTTGTCTTTCGATTCGTTAAGTCACTTCGACAGAGCGAAAACTTAAGTTTCCACTACACAAAAAGATCGTTATCTTTTTTCATGAAAATAAAACTTGTAAAAGCCGACATCTAAGCGGTAATTTCTGTATAAATCTCCTAAAGACAGGCCAGGATCCTGATTAACTTTTAGCAACTGTCAGCCGCGGACGTAATAATGGAGATAGCCAAATTAAAAATGGAAAAGAAAGAGATAATTAAACAAGTCTATGTAAAGTTGGCGTTGGAACGTGTATCTGGCAAAAATAAAATAAAATAAGTTAACGTTTACCTCTTAAAGAACGAGCTAATTATCATAAACAATTTAAAAAAAAGTAATTTAGTCCTCTGCAAGAAAAATTTAATTTGGAATGGTGTTCTGTCTGTTTGGCTGTTTTCAGAATATTTATCAGCTGTTTTGCAGTGTGGGTTGAAATTTACATCTTGTTTAATCTCCTTCAGGGTTTCTTTACCGATCGAACCCCATATTGCCTTTAAATGCAGTATGAGTAAGATGGCATAAGAATTATAGTAACAACTGGGGAGAGAATCTCCTAAAGATACAGCGAGTAAATTCGAATTTTCAGCAATACATCAATTAGATGAAAGAATTGTTAAAACCTTTGTGCTTCTGATTTTTGTCCTTCTTGAAATGACATCATTTCGTGAATAACAATTTGTATGTACAAAGATACACTTGTTTTGTGCTCTCGATCAATGGATTTTTTCCGAACACATTCAGTTTATACTTCCCGGCTTTAGGAAGCTCACATGTTATGACGGCCATCCTGTCAGCGGTTTCCACTGGACAAGAGTCGCCAATCTGCTTGTTATTTGCATCAAACAGCCACGACGTAATGTAAATACCGTGAGGATTAGAAAATGTGACTTTTACAATACTGTCAAGTGAAATAATGTTCTCCAACTGATCTACCAGCTCTAGTCCCCACTCCTTGAACTCGTCCTCCAGGTAGGGGAAGCCTGGGTTTGAGTTTGCTGCTTGATCAGACTTGATAATGAATGTCGCTAAATATTCACTTTCTTTGCTCTCAGGTTTTTGACCAAACACGTTCAGCTGAAAAATGCCAGCTTCGGGCGCGTGAGCAAGAATTGTACCAATACACTCCGCTGTGTTACTTAAGCACAAACTGATGTCAAGATGCAGTTTGTCCTTCATCAAATATCCAACCACTGATACATTATCCGGGGTTTTCAGTTTAACAGAAACTCGTCCATCCGGGGCATAAATATTCTGTTGAGGCTCCCTAAGCTCCAGGCCCCACGAGACAAAGCTGTCCGATAATCGCGGAAAGCCTGGTACAGGCTCTACACCAGTGTGTGCATTTATGTGATAGGTACACACGAAAGTGTCTGATTTTCCCTCACCAAAATACTTGGCAAACACTTTCAAAGTGTACTCGCCTGCAAGTGGGCAATGCACCATCACTCGAAAACCACTCTCTGTCTTCTCTGAGTAGCAAAATGAAAATCCATCGAAGTCTTTTTTGAGTTGTTTCCCCTCTCCCACCAGGTCAAGTTGGCCCACGATGTGAGAAATTTGAGCGTTAAAGTTCTGTAATGAGATGTAGGTCTTTCCGTCGTTGGATACAATGTTCTCGAATGGATGATCAAGACTGAATCCTGCTTCGTAAAACTCACTTCCTAATTGTGGGAATCCGCCTCGATTTTTCTTAACTCCTCTTTTTGCCTGGATGATATATTCTATTCCACCATGCCATTTAGTATGGGTCAGCTCGTCCCTTACGTACAAATTCAGCTTGTATTTTCCAGGGGCAGGGAACTGTGCTTTTAGCTTTACTTGGTTCACCCCGCAGGGCAGAATCTGTGTCCATCTTCTTCCTTCGTATTCTCTTCCTGAGAAGTCCTTTAGATCACCTCGTAGTATCTTCAACGATGGAGTGTAGAACATCATTTCGACGTGATCTGCATCATCAATATCATACATGCTTTCCTTGTGACTGAGAATTTCCACTCCCATTTTGTGAATTCTTCCAGAAGGCACAACCAACTTTTCAAACTCTTCCTTCCTGATAGGTTTCTCGAGGAGCTGCCACTGTTCGTCGGATGGGTAGTGACTGCAAATTGCATATTCGGGGTCCATCAGGAACATGGATACATCTGGGCTGCGATGAAACATCATATCAGCTCCTAGGTAACCAGCACCCCATGTGGGCTCACAAACGAACCACTCACCATTGACTAGGACGCCATTCCACGCATGATTTGTCTCTCTAATCTGCTGGCCGGGCTCGAAGCCATAACCCTTGGCGTAGCCATTTATGGTATGCACCTGAAGATCTGCAGCTTTACCAAGTGCGTCGAAAAGATTCGCATAACCAGCGCACACTGCTGTTCTATGGCGTAGCACGCTTTCGGCATCGCCACTCTTTCTCTCCGTCCTTCCAAAGAAGCCATCCACATCGTAGGCGACATTGAAACTCAGCCAGCGGAAAATCGCGTAAGCTTTGTTCCTGTCTCCCTCCCATCGACTTGTCAGGTAGGCGCTCAGTTTTTCGACGCTCTCAGTTTGTTCCGCTGGTGTCGCGAACACGTGTGCGTCGATCTGCTTCTCGATTCCCGAGCGCTGTTTAAATTTTTCTAGTCGAATCCTTGCAAGAAACCGTCGAATGTTCGTTTGAATAAAAGCGATCATTTCCAAAGAAATATTCGTTGCTGTAGTGATATTTTCAGCATTTTTGTGATGAAATACCACCGACGGTCGAGCAAACAGGCCATGCCTCGGTGCACAAGTGAAATAACGAACTTCATCGAAGAATCCATCGTTCCCCTGTGGATGAGGATGGTCTAACTCGATTCCTATCCACTCACCGCCACTTGGGCCGCTTAGATAACCGACAAACTTGACAGCACCCGTGTATCCAGAAAAATGCACTCGATGGCCGATGGAAAATTGATTTTCACCTCTCTCAATTAGGCTGGTGTCAGGAGCTTTATCCTCGGGTGCAGTCGGTTTTGATTCAAAGTTGTCGTTCGTATTCTGACTGTGATTTGTTGTCTCGACGGCTGTTTGGACCGATTTTGATGTTCCACATCCCATTGTCGGCTGAAAGAAACAAATAGCTACTGTCCAGTGTCGTCGCTTGTTTAGTGTAGCGTGAGAGAATTACTGCCCTCAACAATCTCTGCTTGTGTCTGAACAGAGGAACGTTGATAATGTCAACATATAATAAGTAAATTGATCAGTCATGGATGATCAATGAAAGAGCACCAGTGAGGCTAAATGATGTAAATGGCGGCCACGAAGCACAAAGAGCACTAAAAAAGCTTAATTTTCTAAGTTTAACCTTGTATTGACATATAGCTATGATGGCCATCTGCAATAATAACATCATCTGCTTCAAACGCGAGAAAGCCGAAATGGGCAGATCATCTTAGCACTAGCGACTAAATACAGGAATGGCTCCGACCTGTGATTGGATGATAAAAATTGTAAAAATTAATAACTTATATCTTAACTCCTTGCTCATGAGTATGGTTAACCGCGTGTCTCGAAGCGGAACAATGAAATATCAATGTGAAAACGCCGATGATTCACACAAGAAATGGCCACTTACATAACGAAGAGAAGGCAGAGTCTATCTTGTTCAGCGAGGTCGTTCAGCGACATTCCGGCGATGAAAAAGTCATCCGCTGACAAGCTCCGCTAACAAAACTCATTTAGTCAGTTTAGGCGAACGACCAGAGCGTGGAGCCTTTCGTGTATTTCACCGCAGACAAGAATGGCTCCAACTCATGCGTATATTAATTTTTTTTTTCGTTCTGGCTAAATAATTTATACACTGAGATAAAAAACTGAAAGAGTGATTTATTAGGTTCTTCTTATGTTGAAGTCTACAGTACTTGCAAATGAAGCCCTTTTATATTACTACAGGGAGAACTACTGCGTAGTTAGTAGAACTACTGCTTTCTACAGGGCCATGTTGTTTCTAAGTTTTAAAATAATGCAGTAACTGCATCTCACGTTTGGAAAATCACGCAATGTTGCGTGACGCTGCGACCGATGTTTTTAATTTACAGTATGCTCTGCTGGAGAAATATGGCTTGGCCACTATCGAGAGAGTTTTTTTTGTGGAAAATTGATTTTCAAGCTTATTGTTCACATGAAGGACAAATCCATTCATCGGGCTCTTTATCTGTTTTTGCACAACACCTAAAGAAATAAAGTCGCGGACTAATTTTGCTTGATAATTTCTAACAACTCCACTAGACCTAAAAAAGGAAGAAGACGAAACAAACAAAAAAAAAGACGTCTTACTAGTCAAGCCGGTTGCAGTAGCTCTCGCACTGAATCATGTCGTAGTACCTTGACTGTTTGCAGTGATAGTACAACCAGTCTTCGAACAGTTTTCGGCTTTAACAAGAAATAGTAAAATGATTATATAAAACTTGTTCTAAAATTAATGAAGGCTGTTCATCATATGACGCTGTATTGGAACGAGTATATCTCGTTTGCTATTGTATCACACTACCGTTTTAGACAGGGTATTTATACCACTTAAATTTAAGAAAGAATGAGTAGAACATAAATCACATTTTCAGTAAAGTACACGAGCCATCCTAACCTAATTTGTCAACTGCCAGGCATCTATAAAGAACCGCTTCAATTTTTCAAATTTGAAAATTTCCAAAAATATTTCTCACCTTGCCTAACAAATTTTCAAAAGAAATTTTCAAATTTTTCACAACTTTGCCTATTCCTGCTCGTAGGTCCAGCCAAGCCCTTATGATCATTGGCCCCCGCAATAGCCGTTCACAAAGGCTTATAAATATAGGCGTTTGTTAACTTGTAAAACTCCCTGAAGAAGCCTACTACAGTTAGACGAAACGCATCAGAGAATAAAGAAGTTTTAAAACTACTGTTCGCACAGCGCTGCTCACTAGTTTAGTTTTAAATCTTTTTCCAAAAACTGTTTAAAATATTATTAAAAAATTGTTGAAAAAAATTAATAAACGTTTGAGTCGGAGCTATTCCTGTCAGCGGTGAAATACAGGAATGGCTCCAGTCTCTGGTCGTCCGCGTAAGTTGTATATTCGGGGTCCATCAGGAACATGGACAGGTCTGGGCTGCGATGAAACATCAAATCAACTCCTAGGTAACCAGCTCACAAATGAACTTCTCAAACTCTTCCTTGCTGATAGGTTTCTCAAGGAGCTGCCAGTGTTCGTCGGATGGGTAGCGGTAGAGGCTGCAAATTGTCACCAATCTCCCGGAGGGGCCTTAGAATTAAGAGGAGGTCTAGGAAGGACTGAGAAACAGAGAATGTCATTCCCCGTTCTGACCGTCTTGAAACGGAGGACATTTTGAGTGAGCTCCATTTAGAGAGTATGGTAGCTCAATTTAGACGTGAATGGATCGTTTCTTCCGTAATTTTGGCTTTGACGGAAAAGCAGGTCGAGCGACTGGGTGTTTCGGCAATTGGAGATCGCGTTCGATTGCGGCTGCTTCGCGGAAAGTTCGAAGAAAACAGTGCTGAGACCTCCACTGGCGGTGGAAATGTAGCAACATCAAGCGAAAGACCTTCAGCTGATGCAATCCGCTAAGGAATTGAGATGCAACCTAGGAGGCCAGTTAAAGATCTATCTCAGACCAATTCAAAGAAATCTGTCCACCAAATCTCTTATTCCTCAAAATTATTATGAAGTGAAGGAGAGATGTACAAGAAATTCCCAATGAGTGAGCTTCGTACACATTCTTTTTACATGCGCACTGCTAGTCTTAGTAGTGATTCAGATTCAGAGGGGCAGACCACCAAAGAAAGTCACACCCTGGAAAGTAAAGTCCCTGCTTTACCAGTTTATAATCCTTTATAACTACAGAGTAATCAAGCTGTCGACGAGCAGGATTTCGCTCCTGTAGTTTCCAGTCAACCTAGTGTCGTAGATGAAAAGGATCCTATCGACACTGTCATAAGTTATTGTAGGGCAAAAAATATTCAATTCCTGTTGAGATTCTGCGTTGCATGTAGAAATACATCGTTACTGGTAGGGCCTTAGAGATTAATTCAGATAGCGAAACCTTAATTAGAGGGGGAAGCAAATCACATCAATGTGGATAGAATGAACTTACTTAAAACAAATGTGTGGGGGAAAGAAATGCTAATTTACATTGGTAATTAAGCGGTTCAGGCTCCTGCTTTCACCTCTCTTAGACGAAATCTGGGTCTACTAATTACTTTTTGGGTTTGATTAATTGTTTATTTATTTATCTAATTTTTTAATAATTCAATTCCAGGTAGCTGGTGATTCAGTGAAGGGCCACGAAGGAGGTCGTTACGCATACGTAATGTATCAGACGTGTAGTGATGTGGTTCGTGTTTGCGTTATTTTTTCTCCTGTACGGACAACTGTTTTGGGCGATAAAACAGTCTAGAGGACGTATAAATGGGGTTTCTTATTGCTGGAGTGGTTTTGGTTTTCAGAAATGGACGAACGTAAGGGATTTTGAAGATTATTCAACCTGGGTTTCGCTGGTTTTACGAAGCGAAGGTCTAGGTGGTCATTTGTATGCTGATTGCGATCTATTGCATTGGTTGGCCTGGAATTCAAACAATGGTTTCCTTGGACACCTCATTGTGTCGCTGGGCTCCTCAAACACTCGTCGCGGTTCGCTAAAGATCAAGTTGAGGCGACACAAAAGACCGCGTGCTTATTATGCGAACTCGAATGCCACTTTCCATCTTATTCTAGATGGAGGCGACTTAGTGTTTAAATTGAATGATTGTTTCTTTAATTGGAATGGTCAAGAATGGACACCTGCGGGGTAGACATTCTCTTTCAAAGGAGCTAATTTGCATAATCCTCGTTCTCTGGATCGCGTCAGTGTTGTTCCTAAATTTTCTTTCAACAGGGAATACACCTCGTGCTTTATGAATGCCCGTTCAGTATGCAACAAAACTCTTATCATTTTGTTGTGGATTACAAGGTAGATTTGTTGGGGATCACAGAAACATGGTTGCATATGGAAGGTAGTGACATGGCTATTGGAGAGCTCTGTCCGAATGGTTATCGTCTCCTGCACACCCCACGGTTGACAGGACGAGGCGGTGGCGTAGGCCTTCTTTACAAGCAAGGCATTGGCTTTAAATCTAAAACAAGGCTATGTGAGCATTCTTTTACATCATTTGAATGCATGGATGTCACCTTTGTTGCTCGTAAGAGTTTGAGAGTAATTGTTGTTTACCGTCCCCCCGGAGAGTGCGTCGGTTGGAGTCTTTCTGGAGGAATTTTCTAGTCTATTGCGAGAGACTGAAATATGCCCACAACAGCTTTTGATATACGGGGATTTTAACTTCCATATAGACGACAAGGCCGATAAGGGCACGACATGACTTGGAGAGCTACTGAATTTGTTCAATTTAAAGCAACATGTATGTCTATCCACTCATAAACGAGGTCATATAATGGACTTGGTCATTAAAAGGAATGAGACTGAGAGTGCTTTAAGCCTAAAGAACGTCACAGTCGTGGAACAGTTTATCTCTTATCACAAGGCTGTTTGCTTTAATCTGAGCTTACGGAAACCAGTAAATGAGAGGAGTACTGTTGTCTCTCGTAAATTAAAGGGATTTGATTTTGATGCTTTCAATGAGATGATTATATCGACTGGTTTGTCGGATGGAGGTGTATCGCACTGTATTGAGTTGTTGGCTAAGAAGTATGATGTGTTGTTGTGCAAGGCTTTGGACAAGCTGGCACCTAAAAGAACTCGCACTATTGTCATTCGACCGAATGCCCCTTGGTATAATGAGGAGATCGCCACTCAGAAAAGGAAGAGGCGAAGGCTCGAACGTAAATGGCGTTCGACTAGTCTCGAAATTGATAGGGTGAATTATTTGGAACAGTGCAATGTTGTAAATGCAATGCTTTATAAGACGAAAGAACAGCGTTATTCAACAGTTATTCAGGACAATGCCCTCGATAGCAAGTTACTTTTTCGCACAGTTGATAAATTACTACAAAGGAATACAGACTTAAGATATCCGTCTGCGAACAGTGACCAAGAACTCGCGAATGCTTTTGCTGATTTCTTTAGTGCCAAGATTGTGCGAATTCGTGATGAATTGCTGGTTAGGAAAGAACAGCTGGGGGAGCTCCTTATGAAGGATTTTTAGTGTTCATTATGCTTTAGTGAGTTCGTAATGGTAACAGGTGAAAATGTCTTAGGACTGATTAGGGGTTCCATCAAGGCATGCGCACTGGATCCACTTCCAGCGAGTACCATGCGGAAATGCTATTCTAGTCTTGTACCTGTATTTAGAAGAGCGATTAATTTGTCATTATCATCTGGAATGCTGCCCAAGGAACTAAGGATCGCGCTCAGTGCTATTACCTCTTCTCAAGAAGGTAAATGCAGATTTTGAGAAATTTAGTAACTTTCGCCCTGTGTCAAATTTAAAGTTTCTATCTGAATTGATAGAAAAAGCAGTGTTTGTACAATTGAATAACTATCTCGGCGAAAATGATCTATACAAGCCTCTCCAATCAGCGTACAAGATCTTACACAGCACAGAAACTGCGCTTCTCACCGTCACAAATGACATTATGCTATCATTGGACAAAGGCGAGAATGTTTTCCTTGTTTTATTAGATATGTCGGCAGCATACGATACTGTTAACCATACCTTGTTGCTGGCACGAATGCAGAAATCATTTGGCATGAGAGGAACTGTTCTGCAATAGTTCAATTCCTATCTTTCTGATAGAACTCAGTTTGTTAACATCAATGAGGTGAATTCTACAATACGTGATTTTCCCGTGGGAGTTCCCCAAGGTTCAGTTCTGGGACCTGTACTTTACCTTCTGTATACTGCGCCACTTTCTAAAGTGATAAGATCTTATGGCTTGGATTATCATCTATACGCTAATGATACTCAGTTATACTTTGCATTCAAATCGGTGGATGTGGACGCTGCTAAATCGAGGGTCGAGAGCTGCATTTCTGCTATTTGTCGCTGGATGGATCTCAACGAATTGAAGCTAAACCACGGCAAGACGGAGGTCATGCTCATCCACTCAAAGTGTCGTCCCTCTCCATCCTTTCAGTCCTTACGTGTTGGTGATGAGAGCGTGGCTGCCTCTCAGTCAGCTAGGAGTCTTGGCGTCATCTATGATGAGCACATGTCTTTTCATGCACGTGTCTAGCATCTGTAGATCATCATTTTATCATCTCAGGAACCTATCTAGAATTAGGAAGTATCTCATTAAAGAATCAGTAGCAGTTGCTGTTCACGCATTTGTCACATCGAAACTAAACTATTGTAATGCATTATTATGTGGCTTGCCTAAGTATCAGTTACAAAGATTGCAATATGTAAAAAACACAGTGGCTAGAGTTGTGTGTCAAATGAGTAAGTTTCAGCATATCACTTCTGTTTTGCAGGAGCTTCACTGGCTACCGATCCAATACCGTATTATTTTCAAGATTCTGCTTCTAGTGTATAAATCACTGAATGGGGCATCGCCTAGCTATTTAGCTTAGGAACTACATTATCTTTCTCCTATTAGATCATCTAGGTCTGTTAGTAATGAACTTTTAATGCAACCTAGATCGTATACTGAGACCTATGGAGACAGAGCATTCGCTGTTCATGCACCAAGAGAATGGAACTTGATACCCTATGAAATTCGTAAATTTAACACCATCTCAATTTTTAAAAGAGCATTTAAGACGTTCCTTTTTAGTAAATATATTAATAACAGACCATTATTTCTATAGATTTATATATATCGCTTTAGATTTAATTTTCTTTTTTAATCATTGTGAATTTTAGCTATGTTTAAGTATCATATAATAAGATATGGCTGGCTTTAGTCTTGTTTTTCTTTTTTAAACAGTGTGAATTTTAGCTGTTTCAGTATCATATAGTAGGATATGGTTGTAAGTTTGTAAATTTTTATTAATAATGTATGATTTTGTATGATTGTGAAGCGCCTTGAGCAGAGGATACGAGCGCTATATAAATAAAGCTATTATTATTATTATTATTACGAAGGGAATTCTTTCTTCTGATACTTGCAGACATAAACGAGAGGTATTTTAACGATGAATAAAGGGGTAAGTTTCTAAAGAAACTGTGGTGCTGCGTCGGTGGGAGAGTATAGCAGGTAATTTAGTGTTAACAACTGGGTTGAAAACGTAAATTAGCCACCGTAAAGGGTAAAAAAGCTGACGTTTCGAGCGTTAGCCCTTCGTCAATCGCTCTGACGAAGGGCTAACGCTCGAAACGTCAGCTTTTTTACCCTTTACGGTGGCTAATTTACGTTTTCAACCCAGTTGTTAACACTAAATTACCTGGTATTTTAACGATGGTTCGACAACATCTCCAACCCCCTTTTCGAGGCCACTTGCGGAAAACTTTCGAAGTGTTTTGCCAATCGATTTCCGGTATGACGGATCGAGATCTATTGTGACGAGTCGTCCGATTCGATAACATTTTCAACGACCCTTGGTAGTTACTTGCGGAATATTTTCGAAGTGTCTCGCAAATCGACTTCCGGTGCGACGGGTCGACTTTAGCTGAGACGAGTCGTTCGATTCGAGTCGAATCGAGTCGATTCGATAACATTTTCAACGACCCTTGGTAGCTACTTACGGAATATTTTCTAAGTGTCTTGCAAATCAACTTCTGATATGACGGGTTGACTTTAACTGAGGTGAGTCATTCGATTCGACAACATTTTCAACAACCCTTGACAGTTACTTACAAAGTATTTTCTAAGTGTCTTGCAGCTTGACTTCCGGAATGCGGTTCCATCTAATGAGAGATGTGTTGAAAACTGGACCGAGAGTGTCACGTGGATTTTTGTATGTTTCTTACCCCCCACGAATTGAACTTTGAACTCTTGATGAAAACTAAAAAAAAAATGAAAAGGAATGCGTGAAAGCTGTCTTGTATATTGTTATTCTGGAATACAGTCTTTATTCGAAGTTGTCCTGTTGTATACGTTTTATACATTTGGTGCCGAGACCCGGGACTCGAAAACCGGGATTCTACCGCTCTGAAGAACGTCTTGAATGAAATTGTTGTGAATGCGAGCTGGAAGCACGTGGGTGACATGTCGCAGTCGGGGAAGAAGAAATTGAAGAATCTGAAAAAATTTCGCGACGGTCATCGAAAGTTTGTCGAGAAAACTATCGAAGATGCTAAAGGGTTAATCGCTGAAGGTAATCTCGTCGAAGTGAAAAGGCTGAAATTTCTTCGAACCGCTCTTGAAACGAAGTATTCGGAGTTTCAATCGCTCGACCGCGAAATTGTGGATCTGGTGGATGACATTGAAGTTATTGATACCGAAGTCTGTGAGAGCTGTGAGCTAATGAGCTCCATTCAGGAGTGTATTGTAGAGTTAGAATCTGTTTTGGAAGCTAAAGAAAGTAAGGGAAAGAGCCAGAAATCCCCTTCCGTGGTGCAACCTGTTTCTCCCGAAAGCGCGGGAACTTCTCAAGGTCGCGTTTCGAAAGCTTTCACTCATGCCAAGTTACCCAAGCTTGAGCTGAAGAAATTCCACGGAAATCCCATGCATTGGTATCCTTTCTGGGAATCTTTCGAGTCTGCGGTTCACAAGAACCCAAATCTGTCTTCCGTGGATAAATTCAACTATCTGAAGTCACTTCTCACTGGCACTGCACAAAGTTCGGTCGCTGGTCTAGCCCTGACGAGTGCTAACTACGAAAAGGCGGTTGATCTACTGAAACAAAGATTCGGAAATCGGCAGGTGGTGATCTCTAGCCACATCGAAGTGCTCACCAAACTCCCCAAGGTGGAATCGATTGGCGAAGTTAAGAAACTCCGAAGCTTGTACGACACAGTGGAATCTCATGTTCGTGGATTAGAAGGTATGGAAATCTCTTCCGAGATGTATGGTTGTTTCTTCACACAAATAGTTATGCAGAAATTACCGGAGGAATTTCGAATCGCTATCACTCGCAATCTGGAATCGGAGACATGGAATCTGAAAGATATTCTGGTTGAATTTCACAAGGAACTGTAACTGAGAGAACAATGTCTTGTCAACAACAAAGAGTTCAGATCCTCAAATCAGAGAGGTGAGTTGCCACTTTCTACATCAGCTTTGTACACTGACAGTTCTAAGGATAAGCAGTCTTCTCGTGTTTGGTGTTCATTTTGCAATCAAAACCATCAGAGTTCTAAGTGTAATGTTGTCACAAGTACTGAATCTAGAAAGGAAGTTCTTAAAAAGAAAGGCAAGTGTTTCCTTTGTCTCAAGCAAGGGCATTTGGCACGTAACTGTCAAGCTCATATGAAATGTCTTAAATGTCAAGGAGCTCACCATGTAGCAATTTGTGGTGATTCTCAATCAACCCTGGGTGGGCAAGATCAAGATAATGTGGCCAGTGTATCTACCAGTATGTATGTGGATCAGTCTAGAGGGTCTGTGTTGTTGCAGACGGCAACCGCTGAAGTTGTGCTTCCAGATAATGACACTTCTTCCCTAAGTGTTCGCCTGGTATTTGACTCATGCAGTCAGAGATCTTACATAACTAAGAACCTTAAAGACAGACTGAAGTTAACAGTGATTGGTAGAGAGTCACTTCTGATTAAAACTTTTGGTGAGTCTGATGCCAGACTACGAACATGCGAAATTGTTCAAGTGGGTATCAAAACCATGTGTGATGCAATTGTCTACATACAAGCCTATGTGGTACCAGTCAAAAGTGGCCCCCTGACCCAACAACCCACAGAGCTCGCTCAGCCTAGCTGTGAACATCTGCACGGCCTCTCTTTAGCCAACAGGTGTGGTAGAGGAGATCTGCCTATCAGTATTCTCATTGGTGCTGATCATTATTGGTCATTGGTCGAAGGAACCATAGTGAGAGGTGCACCGTGGGAACCTGTTGCTCTTGCCACCAAACTAGGATATGTCCTCTCTGGCCCCACCATGATTATGTCTCACAATGACAATGGTAACACAGTGAATCTTACTGCAACACATGTTCTGAAAGTGGAAGCGAGTGTTGTCAATCGGGATGAAATTGCCTTTGAACTTGGAAAATTCTGGGACTATGAATCACTTGGGATTCGAAATGACAGTTTGTCTCTGTATGACAAATTTGTTAGCAAAGTTGAATTTACGGAGGGAAGATATCAAGTACAGCTACCCTTCAAGGAAGACCATGAGCTGCTTCCAGATAATTTTGCATTGTGCAAGTCAAGGCTAGTTTCACTGCTGAAGCGTCTGAATTTGAAGCCTGCGGTGTTAAAGCACTATGATGACGTCATCCGAGATCAGGAAAAACAGGGAATCGTGGAACCAGTGGAGCAAGGTACTAATAATGGTGTGGGCAAGGTACATTACCTTCCTCATCATGAAGTGATCCGTGTCGACAAGGACACTACTAAACTGCGTATTGTTTATGACGCCAGTGCTCGATCAGGAAGGAACACACCAAGCCTTAATGACTGTCTGTATGCTGGTCCCCCACTGTTTCCTTTCATTTATGACGTCCTCCTGAGGTTCCGGGCTCACAAGGTAGCCCTCATAGGAGACATTGAGAAAGCCTTCTTAAATGTTTCAGTTCACCCAAGAGATCGTGACTATCTTCGTTTCCTGTGGATTGACGATATCACAAGCAGTCGCCCGAAACTCCAAGTGTATCGATTTGCAAGAGTTGCATTTGGTGTCTCCTCAAGTCCCTTCTTATTAAACGCAACAATTCGTCATCATTTATCTTCTGCTGACATCCCCAGAGAGTTTGCTGAGAGAATTCTGAAAAGTTTGTACGTGGATGAATTTGTTAGTGGAGATGATTCCGATAATTCAGTTCTCGAGATGTATGAGAATCTGAAGTCGTCTTTCAAGAATGGTGGCTTCAATATGCGAAAGTGGGTCTCCAACTCCAAAGTCCTGCAGTAAAGAATTGAACAATCTGAAAGTCGGCCTCATCAAGTTTCAAGCAGTTTTGTTAAGGAACACCCGATTCAAGAGGAAGATGAAACCTACTCAAGTTCTCTGTTTGAGACAGCGAAGAACTCCACCACATCAAAACTCAAAGTACTTGGAGTTGGTTGGGATAGAGAGAAAGATTTGTTGCTCTTGGATCTGACCTCTTCACTAGAAACTGACAATACTTGTCTGGTTACGAAGAGAGCTATTCTTGGTACAACAAGCAAGCTGTATGACCCCCTGGGACTACTGAGTCCAGTCATCATTCCACTGAAGATCATCTTTCAATCTATTTGCAAGACAGGGGTTGGTTGGGATGACCCGGTGGATTCATTTATCCATGAACAGTGGTTAAGCTTGTTCAAGATGCTAAGCAGGTGGGAGTGGTACAACTGAAGAGACACTACTTCCATGGTTGGTCAAAAGCAGATTTGCAAAGTGTTCAACTCCATGGTTTTGGGGATGCAAGTGAGAAGGCCTATGGAGCAGTTGTGTATTTACGCGTTGAAACAGCCACTGGAACTGTCTTCACCCAGCTTGTGTCATCAAAAACCAGAGTTGCCCCGATGAATGGAG